TATTCCAACATGAGAGAAAGAAGGATGAAGCAATCTATATAGAGAGTCAGCAGCCTCGCCGTCGGGCACCTCCCCGGTGTAGTGACTGCGGTGTTCTGGGCCATATACGTACGAGATGTCCTAATCGAGGAACTGGGTGAAAAGATGTTTAAAACGGTGTAATTGAGGCTTCAAAACACCATATTTTTGTATACAAATCAGAATTCATGTTGGGGAGGCATTTGGTGAGGCATTTGGGCGGTTTGGGTGGCTCGCTCGCTTGCGTGGCTCGCTCGGTTGACGATTACGTTAGATGATATTCAGACCCATGGAACTAGCTCATATGGCTCATTGCTGGGCCCTGTTGACGAAGGGTGTTGACATCGTGGAGGACATCCACGAGAATGCAAGCGAAGCTGATAGGTTTTGCTTGGGGGTCTAGGTGTTGTTGAAGCTGAGAACCAGGTTAGAGGGAGTATGAGAGACAGAGGCGCCTTAGATACCCAGTATCTAAGGTTGGGTATGGTACGGGTCGTACTCGTACTTTGTGGTAGGTACCCGGAAGGTCCTGGGAGCAGCAGCAGCAGCAAAGCAAAGTAAAGCAAAGCAAAGCACAAGCAACAGGCATTGAGCAGCATCAGTCAAGCTGCTTCAGGTCTAGTGGACAGTTTAGCGCAGGCGGTACCCCGGCCATCCATGGACCAGTCCAGGCCCGGGATTCGACTCAGGCTCCACTTCGTCTGCTTTTACTGAAGTTCAGGCAGTGATTCGACGTGTATCTTGCAGCCACTCACAACAATCAGCTTTCAGCATCGAACAATACGTCGGAATCATGGATTCGTGGGGACGTGAGTCTGTAGGTTGTCACCGTTTTCATAGGGTGGGCTGCACAATCATACGGACTCAAACGGAGTCCATACCAACAGAGTCAGTATCAGAGATGTATCAGTAGAAAAGTGGACCAACAACCCACACCCCCCAGACACAGAGTGAATTAAGGCGGTAAATCCTTAAAAGAGTGACGATGATGAAAGAACCGTTCCCTCTCTTAGTCTGAGTCTTCTTCCCCTCCTAAAACTATCCCAGTCACTTTCGACTAAGACTAAGACTTAATTAAGTCAATCAATCAATCAAGCAAGCAAGCAAGTAGTTAACTAACTAACAACACAAGACAGTACACAGCACTGGTCTTTTCTCTCCTTCTCTTACTCCCCTTTCCCCTCCTCTCTCCTCTTTTCTTGCTGTTGCTATTGTTACTACCCATAACTATCCTATTCTCCCTTGAATCATAAACCTATCCGAATCCCTCGATTCCGCCCTCTTCTGCCAGCTTCTTTGTTATTCCCTCGACTGCTCTCTCCACTCCATCCATCTTCGAGCAGCTTTCTTCATCATTATTGCCAAATAACCTTTAGCAACGCTCAAACCGGTTTGGTCCCTGGTCGGATAATCTTCGTCTGGTTCAGCTTCATTGGATTTCGATTCTACCCCCCGGTTTTAGGTTCCTGTTACGGGCCAGTATTATTATTATTATTATCATTGCTCTGCATCTCGGAAGGTGGTGGTGAATGAATGAATCCTGAATCGTGTTGTCCCCTCCAGCTTTCACTCCCCTTGTCCAGTTCTTTTCCCTATCTTTCCTCGCGCGCGCGCTCTCTTTCTCTCTCTTTCATCCATCCATCCATCCATCCTCTTCCCTCAACAACACATTCCCTCCCTCTCCCACTCTCTTTCTTCCCCCTCCGCCTCTTCTCTGGCGGTGTCCTCTCTACCTTTCTTCTTCTACTATCCAGGCAACCTGACCCTGGACGCATCCACCCGTCGTGCTGCCTGTATCCCTCCAATCCCCATTATTAATAGATTACGCCACCGCCCAAGTGTCCGTGGAATTTGCCTCCCGAGTGCCAATCGCCGCTAGTTGTTGGCCTCTTTCCAGGTTCCCTTTGCTTTCCTGTTGCTTTCCTGTCGCCTTCCCGTCTTACATGTGACCTTGACTTGGGAAAGGACGAAAAAGTACGGACACGCTTCCCAACTCCGTATTCTTATTATATGATCATTATTATCCGTGTCATTATCATTCCCGCGTTATCGTTCGGCTTTATTCCCATCCATTCCCTATCACCATCTCCCACGCCCTACCTTGACTGACAGTGACTACTATTCACCCACCTTATCACTACACTACAACTATACCACGCCCTTCTACCTACTACTTACCTACTCACCTACCTACCTACCTGCCCTAACTACTATTGAAGCCTTTTTTTTTTGGCCTGGGTCAATCACGCAGTCAACAAATCAAACTAAACAATCTTCCTTTGATCATCGTTGCTTGGTGCATGCTTACTTCTACCCTTCGGAGCTTCCGGCATCTGCCTGTCTCGTTTTCGTTGGGGTAACCTCCTCCCCTCCCTCCGACTATTGCCCGAGTTTCCTTTTCTCGCCCCCTTGCTGGGTTTCAGCCGGTCGCAAACGACTTGTCCGACCGATCGGCAGCGACACCCATTCCCTTGCTGAGTGCTTCGCTTCACTCCACTTCCCTTCTACTCCTCTTTACATTTAGATCGGTTGCTTGTCGCATACACTGGTGTATGGTCGCTGCGCCAAGCAGATAATTAATTCTCGATCCGTTGGCGCGCATCACTCTTGTCCGAAGACCTGGCGCAATTGTCGCAACGCGAGTCGCAAACCACCAGAACTTGCGAACACAACTCGCATGGCATGTTTCGGCTGTTGCCCTGGTCCTCTACAATCGGGGGAAACAAGGTGATGGCGGAGGAGCTGAAAATGCTTGCGACTCCGCCATGCCCTGCGCCTGGCGTGAACGCTATCTCTCTGCCTCAGTTGAAGCGTAAGCGCTCGGAATCTAGCAATTCTACGCCCGATCAAGACACTCCGGTCGCGACCAAGTTACGCGCAGACAATGCGCCGCGCTCCCTTACCATCAAGCAGGACAATACGTCAACCATGAACAATACCATGAACAATCCGGATACTGTCTCGCTTGAAGCGCCCAGCAATCTTCCGGCAAACTCGACGTCCGAAATGTCGCAGCCGCTGCCGCACCCTTTAAGTACGGTCGCATCTGCACCCCCCGCAGTACCCAAGGATACCGGCTCACGGAAGCTGGATGTGGATGCCTTGCGCGAAACACTAGAAGCTCAGCTCAGTTTAGAGGTATTGTTGAAGCACAATGAACTTCGGTTGATCGACCAGGAGATCGCAAAATGTCAGGTCGCGTTAGAGCAAATACGCCGATGCGCAGAGATTCCTTATCCGGGTTCAAATGTGGCGGGCTATTCGCAGTCTGTCAGCAATGGGACGGGCATGGCGATTTGGGCTCCTGAAAATGGACCTGTGCCACTGTCTCCGGCACCGTGGGGTACCACTGACGGTCCGTACACTCGCCACTACGCTCGATGGCTAATCCCAGATCCTCGGTTTGACGGCGGGGAGGTTGAGCCTGCTACCCCCATGACTGGTGGTCTGGCTAGTCCGTGGACTGAAGGGCGCTCGACTCGTGGAAGCTGTGGGGATCTTGGCTACGTCGCGGGCAAGACCCGACCTCAACGAGGCACGGGTGGAAGACTGCAGTCTTTGCCCAATGGCTACCCGCCACCAAAGGAAAAGCCTGGGCCGATGCTTATCCGACGAAAATCGGATAACCTGCTTGTCAAGCTGGTTTGCCTGGACTGCCGGCGGGACAACTTCTCGAGCACGCAGGGTTTCATCAATCACTGTCGTATCGCGCACAGCCGAAACTACGCTAGTCACGAAGCGGCAGCAGTCGAGTCGGGCGAGCCTGTGGAGGTGGACGAAGCCGGTGCAATCATCGGTGGCAAGAACGAGCCCTCGACTCCGGCCACAACGGGTTTCATTCATCCATTGATTCGGTCCGCGCATGTCATTGAGCCGCTTCCCAAGACGGCGGCAACACTTGTCTCCGATGCCAATGTGACTCCTCGAAAACGCTCTAGCCCTAGTCGACAGGCCCCCTCTGGCGCGGTGACCCCTACAACACTTGCTACGGCGAGCGATGCCTCCTTCATGGCGTCCCCGGCAACTCCTCATCTATCGAACTTGATGAAACTTCGAGGCGTTGCGGTTGATCTGGAACAGTTGGTTGGGGATGCCAAGACCGTCGTTGATCTGAATGACTATTCCGATGATGACGAAGGCGAGTCAGACGCCGGGCCTGTGCAACCGTCGGCGGAGATGAGTCAAGACCAGACGCCGCTGGGAGTCCGTGCGGGCAGGCAACCGATGCGGACGACAGCCTCGCAGGCGGCAACACGGCGCCCTGGCAGCCGAAAAGGACTGGACTCCCTGGACCACAGGCCACCTCCCCTGCAAACCTCAACGCCTACCCGGGCTACCCCTTACCAGTCCCCCTATCCTTCTATGTCTTGTCTCCCCCCGGACTCGCAAACGGGAATTTTGCGAGAACTCGAGGGGACCGAACAAGCCTCGAATCTCAGTCCTAATACGGCTGAGTCCAATCAGGCTCCGAGTCTTGTAAGTGATGACGATGATTACGGGGAGGGGTCGGACTCGGATCCGGGGCCCAGTTCTTCTGAAGCGGGCGACCACGACGAAGATTTGGGTCATATCGATGTCGAAGACGGCGATGAGAATACCACAAGATCGGCAACTGCTACTCCGGCGAAGTCGGATATTGGAATGGCCAGTGCGGGAACGCCCCAGGGGCCACTATCGAAGTCGTTGCGACGGGGTAGTATGAAGAAGAAAGACCGACTGGTGGCGGCATCGGTGGTTCCTCCGGCACGCAGCAAGGACGAGAAGCGAGTGAGCTTTGTCAATCCCGACGCGAAGGCTGCCAAGGGTAACGACCAGAAGAGTCCGGACGATACACGATAGAACTTCGATTCATTTCGGGGCTAGACCCTCTGATTTTGTAATCTTTTTGTGTTGTATTTCCCCCCTTACCCTTTCATGTATGAGACTTCGGGTTTTATGGATAAATTGTGTGGATGAGAAATGGAATGAGATTTGGACAGTTTGTCGGGAAGTGACTGCAGTGAGAAGCTGACGGGAATGACGGACTCTACAACTCATGATTAGACAATAAAATCTGTCCATAAGCGATAAGTCGTGGGGAATCCCAAGGAATTCCAAGTCGTTGGATATCTTGTTCTGAACAGTTAGTTTACCTAAGCATGGTTCGTCATGTCTGTATTAGTGCTAGCCGTTTTACTTGAGTGTGGAGCTCCAAGGCTTATCGATTGCGGAGAATGTATGCATTTTGTAACAGCACTGAACCACTACTCACCATCACCACCACCACAACCAACAACTTAGACTTATTATTGTCCAAACATTCTTGTGTACAGCCATAAGCCACCTCCTACCCCAGTGTTCACGAATATACCACAATGTCCACTCCAATCAAAACCTACGACCCCAACCACATCACCAAAGAAACCTTTCAATCCCTGCTATCAAGATACCCATCCACCGTGGAATCCGTCACGCGGCGAAAGGCCCTCGAGAAAAGGAAAGCCAGCAGCAAGAAAAAGTCCAACTCCAACCCCAAACCCACATCCAAATCCACAAGCGCATCCACAACAACAACAACAACAGAAGACCCCGATGCATCATCAGCCGCCTCGCAACTCGTCCAAACCTACCTCACCCTCGACAACGCCCGGTATACGACTCTCCCAGCCACGGTCCGGTCCCGCGCAACTGCAGCCCAAGGGCCCGGATACCTGGAGAAAGAAGAGCTAGAGCGGTTAGTTGAGTGGAAGATGTATGTTTCTTGCCTTCCCTGCCCTTGTTCTTCAGTCTTTAGTCTACGATCTTGTGTTTTTGGGTCTACAGTCTAGTCTAGTCTCGATACAACCCAGAGGACTACGCTCTCACGCATACAGATGGTAAGATGGTACTAACCCGAAGCAGGAAACACGGGAAATTCCGCCCCGCGCTCTTGGGAATGATCCGCTCGAATGCAGAGGATACCGTTCGTGATGCTACGGCGAAAGCGTTTCGGTTGTTACATTCACAGACAGTGGGGATATTTCCCCGGCTTCAGGAGGCACTGGAGAGCTTGACGCGGCCGTTGAGGGGTGTTGGGCCTGCGACGGGGAGTTTGGTTTTGTCGGTTTTGAGGGTTGGGGTTGATGGTGATGCTGATGCTGGGGCTGATGATGTGCCGTTCTACAGTGATGATGTGTATTTGTGGTTGTGTTTCGGGGTTTTCCCTGGATGTGAAGGTCCCGACAAGAAAATGAACAGGGCGTTGAAGGCGGGGAAATCTGGGGAGTTGGATGTTAAGTATAATGTCGCTGAGTATCGGGAGTTATGGGATGCCGTCGTCAGGTTGAGGGAGAGGCTGGGCGTTGGTTGTGCGGAGATTGAGATGGTGGGGTTTGTTTTGAGAAATGGGGTGGATTTCATGGTGGAGGATCAGGGAGAGAGTAAGAAAGAGGAGGTGAAGGAGCAGGAGGGTGAGGAAGACGAGAACAAGAATCGAGAAGGTCAGAGGAAGCGCCCGCGTGGGAAGAATGAGAATGTGGAAGAAAAGGTCGGAGTGAGGAGGAGTACCCGTCAGAGAAGAGGCTAGACAATCAACTTCTATTGAGGCAGGCCGTATCTGCACCAACTGCATAAACTGTCTGTTCTGTCAACTGCCAACTGTCACTGCAACTGTCAACTTTTATTCCTGCAACTCCCCATCTCTACACCCAACCAATAACTCGATGTGCCACGCATTCAATAATGAAATTGACTTTTCCTTGCCATGAAGGCCACGACATGACATTCCGAATAAGGTTATGAAATGACAGCTCCAAATCTGAGCTACCCCCACCGTCGCTGTCGCCTGGCGGAGATACACACAGTACTGTACTTAGTACACACGCGTGCGGTCAGTGCCACTGAAGACCTCAACATAAACTCTGGAAAAGGCTTCTTATGCGATTTTGCAATGCTGCACTATGCCTGTTTGACCAGACCAAAAGAATCAAGCGAGTGGTCGATGCTCTTGCAGAGGCCTTGAGTTTTCAGTACGACTGTACGACAGCTCCAAAGTTGACAACGCCTTTGGCGATGGCCTCCGCGTGGTTATCCACAGCCTATCGACCTAGCGTCGCCCCAAGTGGATTTTTAGGAATCTTGTTTACGTGGGTTCTGAACTGCTGGGGGCCATCAGTGGGACACACGCCAACCGACGACGGCCGCTGATGGGCCCGGTTCGGTTCAATCCGTCGTTTACTCGTCGCTTTGCAATTCATGATCGACCGCGTCATGCTGTGTCCACCTCTGCTTGAATGGCTCACTTCAACAACCTACATTAATTTTCTCGCGGATTGCCTCCTTTCTCCTATTTCTTTATCCTGAAGGTACTTCCTCGCTCATACCATAGATGGCCGCACTGCTGGTTCTCTGGGCTTTCCTGCCCCTACTGGCAACGGCCTTCTCATAGCACGGCCTCTGGTATGAGCATGGGTTGTTCGGTTCGCATCTAACCCTGAGTTATGAGTCGATTGACATAGAATCCTCCGAAGTCCTTGTGAAACAGTGGGGTCCCCATTGTGAGGAGGGCTATGTTTTCCTCAGTCCGCGTGGTCATAGCTATCCCGAACCAGCCCCCCTGATATATGATTATCGAGGGAATCTAGTCTGGATGGGGCGCGCATTCGGGGAGTTCATGGATCTGAAGATACAGCAGTACAAAGGCCAGGATTATCTCACTTTCTGGGCCGGCGAGTTCGATGGCACGCGAGGCATTGGCCAATACTACATGGTGGGTCTTGTCTGTATATTCGCATGCGGATCTGACCGCGGTCGACGGACCGGAAGACGGGGGGATCTATGACAGTCTCTTCCAGGGGATAGAAGTCGAGACGGGCGAGCTGCTCTTCGAGTGGCGTGCGAGCGACCACTACGCTGCTCACGAATCATACTTCTTCCTCGTCGACAAGGGCTCGTCATCTTCTCCGCAGGACGCCTACGATTACTGCCACATCAACAGTATCGACAAACATCCGGAGGACGGAAGTTATCTTATTTCGTCCCGTTACATGCACAGTGTCATCTGCATCAGTGCAACGGGAGAGACTCAGTGGGTGCTAGGCGGAAATGCAACACCTTCCGGGGTATTTCGTCCGATGGATCGGCGAGGGGGTTCACTTGGCAGCACGACGCACGCTGGTACTCGGAGGAAGTTCTCACATTGCTAGACAACGGGGCCCACGAGCACTTGGACAGCCGCGGCTACTCTCGAAGGCTCATGATCCAGCTGGAATTCGACGATTGGACAGCAGACACCCTCCATGTCTACGACAGCCCCGGCCGCTTCAGCAGCCACTCCCATGGCAGCCTGCAGGTTCTCTCGCGGACGGGGAACGTGTTCATCGGCTGGGGGAAACCATCCGCATAGACTGACTGCAGCGTCGATGGCGACCTCCTCTGCAAGTTCCACTGGGGGCCCCGCGTCCTCTTCTGGCTAGGCTGAATCAGGTCATACCGTGCGCAGAAGTCCCACTGGATCGGCCGGCCGCGCAATCCTCCGGATGTCGAAGTGGACGAGAACTCGCGCACGGCGTACGTGAGTTGGAATGGAGCTACGGATGTGGCGGGCTGGGCGTTGCAGCGGGCCAGCAATGGTAGTGACTTGGAGGGGGAGTTTGAGAGCATCCACTACGGACCGAAGGAGGGATTTGAAACGGCTGTGGGACTTGTTGGGGAGGGTTACTTTCTGCTGGTGGCAGTAGATTTCGAGGGTAACCATATGGGAGCGACGAGGTTTTTCGAGGCGTTAGAGGCATGAGTATGTTTCTGCCGCATCTTGTTTCGTGGTTTCGTGAGTATGCTGGCAGCAGGAGCACAGAATACGGCCGAAACGATCAAATCGTCCTTCTCCATCTTCTCCGAGGGAGTCTTCCAATTGACGCTCTTGGTCATCTGCGCCACGGGGGCACTGTCGACGGCCGTGTGGACGGGGCGAAGACGGCTCCTGGAGACTTTGACAGCTGCTTGTCAGCGGTTCAAGACTTATTCAGGCGTCGTGAAGCATGAGCTTGCATGTTGATTTTCTGTGGTTTGTGTCTTCGATTCGATACCCATTTACGTTTCTGGCTTATTACTTTCATTATACAACAACATAACATAATATCACATTCTTCATAGTACAGTGCATTCATATCCATCTATGACCGACCCAGTTTCATATCCCAATCCACCTCCCTCCCTATCACCCACAAAGATTAAACAGGTTTACAACCCCCAAACCCCCAAACCCAGAGCCATAACCCCAAGAACCCCGACCTCCAAACCCCCCACCAAACCAGGAACCCCAACCGCCACCGCCGCCCCAGAAGACTCCTTCGCCGTCCCCGTCGCCGTCGCCGACGCCGTAGTCTTCATTCCATCCGTCGTCTTGGTCGCCACCGCCGTCGCCGACGAGGAGGACGTCCGCGTCACCTTGGTCGAAGTCGAATACAGCAGCGAATTCGCCTGCGCCGCGTTACAGTACGAGACCTGCTGCTGCGTGACGGAGTAGTGGCCCGGATCGGAGGGGCAGACGTTGTAGCATCTTGATCCAACCCCTTTTCGTCAGCGTGACCCTGATACTCAAAACTCAACCTGCAAGTGCAGCTAGAACGCCGGAATTGAAATAGGGATGGAATCATACGTGAGAACATTCTGACTCTGCGTGCACAGACAGTCCCAGTCGTTCTGGGCGCAGGCGCTCATCTGCGGTTGGAGTTGTTTGAGGCATGCGTCTAGGATACTGTTTTCGGATCGGTTATTAGTATGGGGTTGCCTTGGTTCTGGTGGGGGTAAGGTCTGGGGGGGAGGGGGGAGGTGAGTGTGGGCATACCTCTTCGCGCACTGCGCTGTATCCCCCGTACTGGCTGTTGTGGCTGCCGGGGCAGCAGCGGCAGTAGCATCGCTCGGCGATGCGGCGACGAAGGAAGCTGAGGCTAGGAGGATAGGGAGGAATTTGAGGTTCATCTTTGCGGTTCTTATACTTTGATTCGTGACTCGGAGCGAAGGATGGGTTGCAGATATGGTATATAGGTAGGTATAAGAATAAACGCGACGACAACGTCTCAAGAAAAGAGGAATAAGGGCCTAGTTATATGTATCAACATCTGTCCTACCCTGCAGTTCTCCATACCTAGTTTCTTTTGTTACACGGTGAGGAAAAAATGGATAGTAGTTACGGTACTACGCCGTATAGCTCGGGGGAATCCTACGACTGCCAAGAATAATAAGTTGATAGTCCACCTCCCTTGCATATATCTATGCATCTGATGTGTCACGTCGTACAAGGATTCAATCCTACGGAAGTCAACTGGGAGGTAGAGGGATACATCTAAAGTTACTTACTTCGGTGGGCTGCTTGATTCCTGGGGAGAGGGTAAGATCGTGGACCACTGTTATTAGAATTGAAACTCTGAAGGATGAGATACCTGGTTATCCCGGTGTTTATAAAGCCTACCCTTCTTGATGAACTAGAACGGAAGTGCCACTCCTACACTGTGCAGTATGCACCGTATTCCGGCTTATGCACATCACTAACTAACTAATCGTCCGGGTTAGTTAGTTATCCTTGACTGTAAACAGAGACCCGACGATGTGGAAGGAGCCCTATCGTTGCTAGGGTCGAAGCTTGTAGTTCGATTCCTTGGAAGTCTGCGCCAGAGTTGCACGTCTATGTTACTACTATATCAACCCCACAAAGACAAATATAGATCTAGGTATAGTTCCTGTTCCCAACAGAAGAAACAGAACAAAGGACCCCGGTTAGTCTGTAAGAACAAGTTAAGAACAAGATTGAGAACAGACTCCTGATTATGCGGGCTCCCCGTATCTCATCAAGACCGAACCACGAGGTCAGCAGAGATCCATTCTTTTGCCACCGCAATTACTCCAACCATGATGCCAACTCTAGCGAAGCTTACTGGCAAATACCTACGGGCGCAGAATATTAAGAGCGCCGCCAACCAAGTGCAAGCTCCCAGTCACCAAGACATGGATTCCACCATGCTGGGCGCTGATGCTTTTTGCAGCCTTGATTGCCTCCTCGATCGTCTCAGTAGTTGAAACCGTGGCCTGAGAGTCAAATTCCTTCCATCTTGTAGAGTAGATAGAGCAGAGATCTGGGAACGGCTTTTCAGGGGCCTTGAGGGTTTTGTCTGGACAGGTGTCAGTCGGGACAGGACAAACACGGCGCCTTGCGAGGGGGACCATTCTACTGACCAATTCTTGTGGATCCATCTTCTCTTTCGTTGTAGGTGGTGAATATGACATGGTCTGGCATTGCATCCAGTTCGGAAAGAGCCTGTGCTAAGTATTCCACCAGATCCAGCCCGTCTCGGTTCTCTGAGAAATGGCTGAATATCAAGACTCGGCCCCTGTAGATTTGTGATTAGCTGGTGAGTTGATACATGGCTTGTGGCAGCTAGTAGGGTTACATACCTTTGCACTCCAGAGCTCTTGGTATTATCGAAGAACCACTCCGCCGCCTGCCTGAGGCTCAGCGTGTTGTGTGCGCCATCTAAGAACCATTGGCATGGTCCGTCCTCGATAATCTCGAACCTTCCGACCCAAGAGAAATTTCTCACGGCAGCGGATATGTCCTCCGACTCGATCGTATGGTCCGGCCTCTTAGCCTTGACAAAAGCCTTAGCCAGTTCAACAGCCAAGGAGCAGTTCAACCGTTGTACGGAAGCACCCAACACCCTGCTATTATGGGGTAGATTGGGATTCGGCGGAACGAAGTTCAACGTTGTATTCCTTTCGGCTGCACGAGCGCGCATGATCTCGGCGGGGCCAGCCTCCTGCGGAAGAGAGAATGCCGGGGCGCCGGGCTTGAAGATTCCTGCTTTATGCCACGCGATATTCTCAATCGTAGGGCCAAGCTGCGCAACATGGTCCAGCCCTAGCGATGTGATCCCAGTCACAACAGGGTTCTGGATCACATTGGTGGCATCGAATTCGCCCCCATGGTGAGTCTCGAAGACGGCCGCTTCGACATTTTCGCGGATAAAGGTGTGGAAAGCCAGGAGGGCAAGGAACTGCAGGTATCGAGGTTGCCTCGTGTCTGCAGAGTTCTGGAGGCCTTGCCCCGAGGGCCCCGGCATAAGCTTCTCCCATACTTCGAAAAAGTATTTGGTGAAAAGAGCCTCGGTGACGGGTCGGTCATCGATCTGGATCCTTTCCCGGATGCATTGCAGGTCTGGTGATGTGTAGAGGCCAACTCTCTTGGGAAAGCCGGTTCTCAATCCATGCGCATGGAGAATGGAACGGGTGAAGGCGCAGGTGCTGCCTTTGCCTTTCGTTCCGGTGACGTGGACTATATTCAGACGAGCGACCTCGGCGTCCTAGATTCGGTAAGCAAGGCACCTGCAACAAGACCAAAGAGAACTTACCGAGTGTCCGAGGGTCTGCAGCCACTCCCTCATTCCGTACAGACTCGGAATGCCCCGCACAGTCTTGGTGACATTGGGGTTAACTATTTCTGGGTTTGGGGCTGGGGTTGTAGGGGTCCTTGGGCGGGCAGGCCGCCTGCGAGTCTCAAGAAGTTTGAGGGCATTCTGTGTAATCTTAGAACAGTGCATTCTACAGCGGATCGGTGGCTTACCTCATAAGTTCGATTCATCTCAACTGATGAAATTGAGGTGTATCCCTCTATACCAATCAAGCTCATGAACAGACCGACTAAGGGATCTGGTTCGTTGGTTGGTTGGAGATCTAAGCACGCAGCACGTGATCATATGGTTTGGGCCACCCCACTCTTACAGTACAGGCATGTATAGATTGAGCCTCGACGTAACATGGTGTCGGGGATTGAAGAGAACTTGCTGTGCGGTAAAGTTCTCGAAACGGGCATTGTAACCAAAGATCATGATGCGATGCGAATGTAAGGTAATTTCCCGGAGCTACATGATTGCTAATTGTGCATGATTCCACAAAGCCACCATTGAGGCTTTGAACAATAACCAGACTTGACATTTTCAGTTAGCGCTGCGCTGACAGCAGCGTCAGAGAAAAACTACCTATGGAAGTGACCTACTTATATAGGACTTTGTCTGACATAAGACACTTCATTTGTGGAAGCATGACTCGAAGGGGCAACGAGTAGTGATTCCGTACTGATCACCGGCGGCCTTTTGCAGGATGCACATAAGAGTATGTTCGTCGCCGAACACCAGTGAGAATCTAAGCTAAACAAGAGAAGGGAGACTTAAGGATCATCAATAGTCTTAGACAAGCTTTACCTCTCGAGTCAGCACAAAACAAAGACCGATCAAGCATTGATGCATACTCGACCGCATTTCAACTACAGCAATAAAACCAGACAACAAGTAGGAAGCTACCATCCAAACAATCCACTCTCCCACTTCAATCCACCAAGAGGTACAAGCGAACCTGGCTCTGGTGTGAGGAGACATGCCCACTTCAACCACCTCCTTTCCGAATACTAGCTATCTACCTTGCCCTTACACTACCTAACTTCATCTATCGCTATTCTCTGTATCTGTTCCACAGTCTGTCTACAACAGTCTGGCTATTAAGAATCCTCCCTGGAATACAGATCCGCATCTGCAAAGCTTATAGCATAATGTTTGGCAGGTTCGGCAGCATTGCGATCGACCGTGTACATATCCGCGCACGAGTCCAATTGCCGACGTGTCAATCGGAGCTACAGTAGGATATGACAGTACAAGACCATGCCACAGAGTAGTACCTTTGCATTGTAGTAACGGCTTCTCGCTGGCAGGAAGCAGTAGTTAGCTAATCGAATAGGTATAGGGGCCTAATTTATCCCTCGTACAGTAACCAAGAAATACTTAGAAAGATGGTGGATGAGTACTTAGATAAAGGAGGCACCTAACCGTGGATGGGTTTGGATCATCGACGTGACAGGTGATTTATATTGAGCGCAATTACGGAGTACAGCGGTATCGTTACAAGTCCGTGTTATGCAAGGTGAAAAAGCCTCCTATTCTTTGAAAAGGAGAGGTCAGATACAGACTGATGGACTGTCCATTGATTATTGACTTGGAGTGGTGGTGAACCACCTCCACCAAAACTTGAAAGTGATAGGTATTCATGTAGGGCAAGAAAGATGCTGGCACCCGCGACTACTATGCTATTATGACTCTCCCCATACAAAAAGTCTCAATCTGACCCATCGCATGACCAGTCAAGTTTACAATGGTTATTTACTATCCAGCCTAGCCCAAATGGCAGCTCCCAGTTATCCGAGCAATAATACACTATATACAGTTCGCCACAATTCAATCGAAAATAAATGAATAATGATTCAAGCAGAAAAAGTAGTCCCTCGTGCTCCCGCGCATATCGGTTCGCTCTGCTTGCTCGGCTCCAATTCATCCGCGCATGCAATAATAAATCAACGATGGTGGGGAATGATCATCTCGCGATGCTAGAAGCTGTGTCCTCTGGTAGCGCCATACCTCGGCCCATGGCGCTCGACCCAGATCTCAATATAGGGGTCATATGCAATGTCTCTGACTATGCAGCTCTACTCTTGTCCGAAACCTAATGTCTCCTCTACAGCAATGGACATCTTGTGTTCCAGAGCTTCGTGTGTCTTGTACGGAGGCAGATCGAGACGGTTGAAGCTGAAGAAGTTAGCCAGATAGCCAAGAATGTCAGACAGAAACAGAAGACATACCAAGTGTGCGACTTGGGCAACGCGCCCGGATCACCCGACTTTTCGATAGTAAACCGGCGGGGTCCGTCAGAGCCTTGCAGATCCTTGAAGCCGTTGACCGGAATACGCGATGTACCGGTGGTGAACTGCAGCAAGCGAGACTTCTGCTCCGCATCCCAGCTGCGGACGATCTTCCAGAAGTTCTGGATCACTTCGTCCTGCTCCTGGTAGCCGCGGTAGTCCGTGTGCTTCTTCCAGTCGTCAACATCGATGTCAGCAATACCACCGATCAGCAACTCCAGCTCGCGCTCGTCAAACACGTTGACCAGATCGGCCGGGATCAACTCGTTGAACCCAGACATGAAGGCATTGAATTGCTCCTCCACTCGCTTAACAATTTTCCACTCGGTCACCAGCCTAAGATTGTTAGCCTGGTCCATCAGCTTTCAAGCACCGACAACTTACTCAACGTATTCATGCTTGTTCTCGTTAGTCACGGGGATATCGCGACCACCTGGCTTCAGATCGACAGTGGTACGCTCGCCGAATTTCTCATCGTCAACCGCGAAAGTCAACTCCAAAACTCCGTCAATGTCATTCTCCCTGCAATGCGTTAGACCAGACACTCAAACTCACTCTGAAACACTTACAAGGTCCACGTCAAATTGCGGTGCAGGTCCTCATCAACACCCTCCATGTCCTGCAGCGAAACCTTCTTCCGCAACATCATCTTGTAGAAGGCGCCAATGAAGAACGAATCCAAAAAGCGACGGTGGAAAATGGCCAAGCCGACAACTCGTCCAATGAACTTGAAGTAGTTCAAGTGCTCCGGGTTCACGCCAGAGTGGGGATTAATTTGCAGGGTATAATTATCGTGCGCCGAATACTCGAAAAGACAATAGAAGGGGTTGAACATTTCGTGAGAAAGAAGGAAGAAGAATTCACTGCAATCGTCAGTTTTGGTCCCGCTCAAGGCATTTTAGACAAACTCACCGGGAAAGACCACCGTAGTCCAAACCATCTTCGCCATCGAACTTGATCATCAAGCGTTTCTTGAGATCAGAAGCGCTCTGCCGCATGATTTCGGCGTACGAATCCTCGAAGATGTTGTTACGTCGGACCTTGACGTGGCACTGTCCGGACATGATACGCAAGGCCGGTTGAGACCGGAAGTAGATCAGCTTGCGTCTGAAGTCGCGCTTGTACTGCGGTACGCCCTGATCCAGCGATGAAGGCAGACGGGGATCGTCCCATGTGGTCGTCTTGGTGTTGTGATCCACAAAGTACACTCGGGCTGTGTTCGTCAACCGCATCTCCCATCCGCTGGGCAGCGGGCCCAACTGCGATACAGGCTGCTGCTGAATTGTGGTGTTGGTGCCATTAGAGTTCTGCCCGTACATACGAATGTATTGTTGACGCCGAGGATCCACCCACGTCGTAGTGCGGGTGTTGTGGTCCACAAAGTAAGGCCGGCCTTCGGGTGTGTTGCGCTGCTCCCATCCGGGTGGGAGCTCACCAGTGCCTGCAGTGGTCGCTCCCGTGGCCATCATAGAAACCGCATTCGCGCTGCCTCCGGCCGGCGGGGTCTGAGCCTGCGGCGGCGGCGGCTGCTGTTGGCTCTCAGCCAGGTTCGGCGAATTGGCACCCGTGCGATCTTCCGGGAGCATCCGACTCTGGTGGGCGCGACGCTCCAGTTGCATGTTGGCCTCGCGCTGTGTACGCTGCGTGTGTTCGTTGTAGTTCGATGATGGGCGGGTCCAGGTCGTGGTCCTTGTGTTGTGGTCGACGTAGTAGGTCCGTCCCAGGTTATCTTCTCGACGTTCCCAGCCAGCGGGCAATCGGCCCTGGCTATCCTCGAACGAGCTCAAGTTGGTGCGAGAGCCTTGTTGTCCAGTGGGCGGGGCACTCGGGGCGCCATTGGGCGGAGGAGCAACGATGCTTGTCGGTCGGGTGGTCGAGGGTACACGCTGGGGGTTCAAGGACGCAGTGGAAGCGGCGGCGGATGAGTCGACCTGGCTGGGACCAACAGGGGGATGCGCGGACGAGACTTGCGGGACAAGTCCGCTAGATGTCGAGGGCTGAGCATGTGAGCGATGCAATCCATTGGCCTGGTTAGGGATTGGCGTTGCGAGGTTGGTGGACAGGTTGATGATGAGCTTTCCATGGACGACCAGGTTGTCATTCGACTTCTTCAAGTCCCGAGTGAGCATTTCTATTGAGAGGCGCATGCCTTGCATCAGCCGCGAATAGCCAGAGAAAAACAACATAGCCACTCACCGTCACCACCCATCTGTAAATCTATCACATCTCCGATCCGCACATTTATGACACCGAGAAATCCCTGGTCCTTCTTCTTGAACTTCTTCTGGTCGAAAATCTGGATTGCGAGAATACTGTCCTCGTTGACTCGGCTGCAGAGGTTCCCGCCATCAGTTTCCGAGATCGGCAGTTGCACCACGCGGGGCTCCTTACAGATCAAACATCTCATTCCAGTAGGGGTTCAGCGTCTTCTTGATCACCGATGTCGTGTGAGTTTGCTCACCCCCGACAGTGGCCACCGCAAAAGGGTCGGGAAATCCTGGTAGAGGTCAGCCTCCGAACATCTGACCTGCTGAAATCTTCTTGCGGAACTTACGGAAGACATCACGCTTGTATAAACCGTCCGCGGCAATAACTGCGTAAATCACACTCCCTGTCAGTCTCCATCCATAGGCGCCATATCAAAAAGTCGAAAAAAGGGGGCATGTGCTTCTTACTTGTGACCCGAAGATTTGGCTGGCTGCAGGACGTATCTCTATTAGCATTCATTCAGATCTGAATTATGCACGCGTGACATCGTTCGCCAAGGACATGAACGTGCCCGCTCCAAGCAAGGGAGGGGTGGAGGAGGGGATGAGGGGTTGAAGAGGAGGGGGGGAGGGGGAGAACGTATGAACATACGCAGGCAGGTTGGAACCCATCCTGAACTGAACCGATCAAGGTAGGCGATAAAGTGCCTCTGGGTGCAGCAAAAGGCCGATCCGGACAAGCCTCAAAGGGTGATTCGCGGCGTGCGCATCCACCGCTGTCGACAGGCACGGACCCCAACAGCAGCGGTTGATTAACAGTGGTAGTCGTGGTATAGGGAAGGAAAAGTCGGTGGGCGGGGAGATTGAAAGGGCGTCGAGCTGAGCGACTCAATGGGGGGAGGGGAAAGAGCCGGAAGCGATTCAAGAGAGGGAGGGCCGGACGAGCTAAAAGTCGAGGATAGGTGATAAAACCGGCGGGTCAGAGAGAAGGAAAGAGAGCGAGAGAAGGAGTGAGAGAGCGGCCGCGAGCACTAAGGCTTGACTATGGAGGCGCGCGGGCTTCTATGGGGCTGAGCAGGGCAGTCCTGACGTTGCGCCTTCGGAACCAATCACGACCGAGCGAGGGGTTCAACCGGGAGGAGCAACTGGAGGGAGCGTAGGAACAGTAGGGTTAAGCGTCACTCAATACATCACAATAACCAAGAAAAACGAAAGTACTGACAGTCTGACGGTTGTCAAATCTTCTGTGAAGATTGTACCTCTCTGGACGATTCGTGGGAGGGGGAATGCTAGAAGAAAAGGTGGTAATGGTGGTTGGTCGTGGCAAACGGAAAGGAGGGGAAGGGAAGGAAGGAGGAAGAGGAGAGAAGTAAAGTAAGTAATCAATGGCAGATGAGAGAGTTAAGTTAACTAAGGCTATGACTACAACTACAACTACAACTACAACTACAACTACAACTACAACTACAACTACACTTCTTGACATCACCACATCATCAAAACTTCCTACTGTGCCCGACACTTCAACTACTTGAAACTCCAGCGAATCTAGCCCATTTCTTATGATTCATTCCCGTCGAAGTCGATCACATCTTGCAACCAAGTAACTAACTACCCTTAGGGCTGACCAGTATCCAGCAACCGCAAACTGAGTTTTTCTTGCGGGATAAGACAAGGAGTAATTAAGTAATCTCCCACCGGATGTCTATTAAGATAATGGATAAGAATAACCTTTGACCTTACCGTACACCATTTCCCACTATCCGTGTCCTATCCCCAATCATCAACCAGCGGAATAGATTAGATCCCAGTGGCTTCATGAGAACCGCACTGGAAAGAACCTAGACGATGAAATAAATAGAACAATTCTTGTTTTCCAGCCAATCAACCAGTCCCAGACGACATGGATGGCCTGCTTAACAAGGCAGCAAGATTCTTTTCACTCCTCAATAGGAGAGAGACGAAAGAGAGAGAGAGAGAGGAGCCAAATATCTTGCATTTCTTCGGCTCACTTCTCTCTGTCATATTGGGTTCAATTTACCTTCCACCCAAATCTTCTCCCGAGCATTAAGACTCTTCCTGATGTGGTGGAGCCCAACGAGCGTCGTGATTCCGGCTGCTTTGCTCCGCTTCACTGGATAAACTCGTCAGCGTTCCCTTCTAGACTCAGTCTTGTACCGACAGTGCCGGTCCTGACCCGGATTGGAGGCCATAGGGCCATTGCCATGACAGGCTCAAACAGCATATCGTAATTTACTTGTGGCTAAAATTGCTGTGACGCCATCCCACGTCCTCTTTTGTGCATTAGTCAGTCTCGCGGACCGAGACCAACACAGATCCGGACTCGGTCACGCTCAGTCCTTAGGGGAGCAGTAAAGAAGATCAAATCCAACGTGCAGGTCCCTGTCGGATCTTCAGTTTCTCTAACAATCATAGCTTCATGATCGTTCTGATATATTTTTCGGGTTTTGCAGGCAGTTCCTGCCCGTGAAGCGAGACTCTGTAGCTAGATGAAAAAACAGGTATTCCGCCCTTCTGACCCAGTCCGAAATTGCCAGAATGGTTATCATACAAAGTACTTTCCAGTAGGTTGACTCCAAAGACGACTAGAAGAAAAAAGAACCCCTCCCTTTCCCTCATTTAAAGAGACGTGCAAGTGTGAGTCGAGGCGACCATCATGGCCAATTCGGATTTCTTGGTAGCGCTGGGGCTTCGTGCGATGATCTCCGTAGGGCTTTTCCTTGCGCGAACGAATATCACCCCATATACATTGGTCTGGCGCTCAATGCCTCTTTAGTAAGGAGCATAGCCGCGACCCCGGCCACGATAGCCACCACGATAACCTCCCCGAGGCGCGAAACCTCCGCGGTAGCCCCGACCGCCACGGAAGCCACCCCGCCCGCGTCCTCGAGTCATACCTGGCAGGTTGGTGCGCTTGGGAACAACCTAGATCATCATACATTCAGTCACTGTCCACCATGAAAGAGGGGATTATTCCTAAGGTGGGGTACCTTCAGGTTGCGGCCGCGGAAGACACTCTCATTCAACACGAGGGCCTGGGCTACCAGACTGGGCTCTGCGAACTCAACATAGGCATATCTGTGATCGTCAGGGGTCAGCCAGGTTTGTTACACGCCAAAAGTCATTGCGCAACAACATACCCCTTGGGCTGCCCAGTGAACTTGTCCAGTAGAATGGTGACCCGGTTTATCGAACCACAACTCTGGAAGTGTGCCTGGATCTCCTCGGGGGAAGCACCGTAGTCCACGTTGCCGACGAAGATACTCCGAGCGTCGATCTCTTCTTTGTCCTCACGTAGGCTCTCCGACTGTTGATCGAGCGTGGCTTGCATCTCGCGCAGCTTGGCGGCTTCAGATTCCATCTCAGCTACTCGCTTCTTCATCGCGGCGATCTCCTCCTGTAAGTATTGAAGAACTCGAGGTTAGCACGACGACTATCATCACGAGTGTGTAAAGCGGACGAGAACAATGGAGAACCCGGAGCCATTGATCAGATTCCTAGCCAGCAGCTCCAGGACGTCAAAGAAAAGCCCTTACCTCATCATCACCGGCCTCTTCGGGATTTTCGAGGTGCTCATCCTCGATCTTGTGTTCTTCTGTCGCCATGTTTAATTAGGGGTTGTGTGGATGCTGGTTGTCCGTTTACACCACCAGGTCGCAAAGTGAAAGCTCGAGACCGATAGCTTCCCGCCGGGTCGGGCTGGTCAAGTGAGTTGCGGGTAGGAAATCTGCTGGAAAAATACAAGATCCGATAAGATAGGAGCGATTTGCAACACCCAGAACTCAGAACTGGATCTTCAGCGGTCGGTGGAGGGAGGGATAGGAGCAAAGATGGATTAAAGGTGGAATGAAGGTGGAGGAAAGCGAACGTGATGCTTGCGTTTGATTGTCCCCGAACTTACTGCTTGCTCTTTCCGGCTTAGCCCTTTGTCAACAGGAGCATCCGCTGCCGACTCGGGACTGGAATCACTAGTCCTGCGGCGGACGGAGCGCTCTCGAGCGTCATAACTGGGTTAGCTGCTTGTAATCCACTAAACCAAGTAAAACAATACACATGCCGGGACACATCTAGGACGCAGTTGTCTTTTTTCTACACACGGTGTCGCTGGCTACTCAAAGATATTCGATCTCAATGACCCCATCACAACGAGTTCGAATACTTGCTAGAGCAACACTATTCAACCCATCGATCATTGTTGATAGCAGTAGGAAGCTTGACCTGGCTGGCTTCAGATTTGCGATCATGGGTCGTTCACCTCGATGCCACACCTAAGGGTACCCGGCCTGGAATGACTATTGTACCAAGATCTACGCAGAAACCGACAGTACTTAAGCGCTATACGCTCAATGATCACCTGCCCAAGTTGTATTTATATTCCAGCCTAGCATTGCAGTCATCCAGCGAGCGATCATATACAATGAGAAGCTTGGCTGTGAAGCAACAAACGAACCGGCATTTAGGCTTTGTGGCAGTCGGAGCAAGAGAGGAGCGGACCACAAGGAGGAAGTCATTATCGTGTTTGATCTATGATTATGTACAATGGTAATAGATAGAAGCGTCAACTCATGAAGATGGAATGTTGTTCTTGCGGTAGGATACTTTCTCCACCGCGACCGTCTCAACCCCGTTGGCGTCCGTCTTCAACTGGTAAACATAGAGCACGAGAACATCTCCTTGAATCTGCAGCGATGATTAGCACCAGACCTGTCACTCGCCAAGCCACGCATTCACAACTTACATCCATCAGACAGAAACTGGGGGTGGGCTCATCGCCTTCCGCCCAATATCCCGTACTCATCGCACCCGTCGCGCTTCCAGGGTTGATGAAGAAGCGGCCCTCCAGCTCGAAAGCTTCGAAGCGGTGGGTGCCACCCCAGAGCAGGATATCCACGTCCATCTGACGGGCGGCAATCAAAAGGGCATCCGCGTCGCCCGGGGGAATAATCGTGTGGCCATGAGTAAATCCGATGCGCAGGCTACCGTGGGTCACGACTTTCGAGAGAGGAAGATTGGGGGAATCGACATCGAAATCACCCTTGACCAATTGTAGGTCGGGCGCCACTTGGCGGAGGAACTCGAATGTGTTGCGATCAGTCAAGTTGCCGAGACAGAGGATCTGACCGATCTTGCCGGGGGTCAAGAGTTTCTTGAACTGCGTTGCGATTGTGTCAACAGGGAGGTAAAGAGGAATCACGAGGATTGAACGTCACGGCCAATCAGGAAGACGCACCTTGGTGGGGAGATCCTATATCACAATAAGTTAGTAGGCTAATTGATTGTTTATTTTGGCGGGGAGCTGATGAACAACATACGGGAGCTCTGTCAGGGATGAACAGGTCACCGATGACCAGGACCAGGCGCGAAGTCATTCTGGGCGGTGATGCGATCACTCAAGGGCCCATTCCAGAATGGGCAATGAGTCTAGAGAGAGAATGTATAGGTAAGAGAAGGACGAGATCAACTGTGCGAAGCGAAGCGTTGCCCGATGGAGAAGATATCAATTAAGCTACGTAACGTATGAGGGAGTGACTATCTACCGCGTAGGCTCCTATGGTTGGAGCGGCGCGGGGAAAGCTTAGGCTATTCCGACGCCGATGCCATGCCCTGCCAGCCCTATGCCCTAGAAGAGTCACCAGTTGGGACTAGCCTAGGCTGCCTACATCCATGAACGTGGTTCCTGCGTCCTGGGCCTTAGTGTATATACAGTACAGGCTACTTCTAGAGCACTTGCCTGCAGGCATGGAGAGGATGAGAGAGTGTGAGGATGTGGAAGAGCGATTCTCTTTTCTATTGCATTTCTGTTACGACCGGGTCTGTACATCCAAAGAGACCGGCAGGTCAACCATCAACCTCAATTAGAGTCTGGAGTAAGTATAAATATAAGTATGCGGAGGAAGTAGGCTGGTTTGCATAAGCCCTGTTGTAAGGCAAGCCAATTAGTCGTCGTTGCTCGGATATGCTATCTTCATTCTCGCTCAGACACTATTCAATTAGTTAGAATCATTGATGATGACTCAATGCAATGTGTCTTTGAAATCCAGCCCCAATTGATCCACGGCAGGGCCCGCCCGTTGGAGGCATCCGTTGTCTTTACGGCCGATAGAAAGTAAGGGAAACGGGGGAATAATGCGCGAAAGGGGGAAGGAATCTACCCCGACCCTGAGAAAATTTCCTCAACTGAACATCGTCTGGGATATCTGACCTTGTTTGAACGGAATCGTCGTACAATTCACTGGAATCACTTCAGCTTCAGATCCCCATCCCCATCCCCATACACTCCCCACCAAGCAATCCATCCGAAGAGCAACTCCCCCCGGCGACCCCCGATTAGCCGCCGCTCGTCCAATCCTCCCCGGCGAGTCAACGTCTGGGTCTCCCCTCCATCTCAGCCAGAATTCCATCCTCGTCTCCTCCCCGCGGGCTCTCCCGTTGAGAGCCGAACCTTTCGGAAAACTGGCGGCCAAACGGACGCAGCAGCGCCTGAGCCTGATCTCCAGACACCTGGATCAGCGACTCCCGCTGCCTGAGCTTAACACCCCGTTCTCGACCGAGAGGAACTCACTTGCTCCGGACGACCTCGAATATAAACCCATCGACCGCTCCGTCTCATCTTCCATCCCTCCTTCTCCTACCACTCCATCTTCCCCTCAACCCAAAATGTCTTCCCAAGCCCCCCACAACACTCTGTTGATTCCAGGGCCCATCGAATTCGATGATGCTGTCCTCCAGTCTATGTCCCACTATGCGTAAGTTCACTACCCCTCCTCTACCCCTCTTTCTTCCCACCCTCATTGTTTCCTGCCGTCGGATCACACTCTTGCCTTGCCATGGCTAGCTAACCGCTTTATGTCACTTTCAGTGAGAGTCACGTAGCCCCCGGGTTCGTCAAGACCTTCGGCGAGACCTTGTCTCTTGTGCGCAAGCTCTTCCAATCCTCCAACCCCGCCGCTCAACCCTTCGTCATCTCCGGCAGCGGCACTCTGGGCTGGGATGTTGTAGCTTCCAACCTGATTGAGAAGGGCGATAATGCTCTGGTCCTTCACACTGGCTACTTTGCCGATTCCTTCGCCAATTGTCTCGAGACCTACGGAGCTCATGCCACTCAGCTCAAGGCCCCCATCGGCGAGCGGCCCTCGTTTGACGAGGTTGAGCAGGCTCTGAAAGCGAAGCCCTACAAGATCATCACCATCACTCACGTCGACACCTCTACCGGAGTGCTGAGCGACATCAAGCGCGTGGCTGAGATTGTGCGGCGCGTCAGCCCCGAGACGCTGGTCGTCGTCGACGGCGTGTGCAGTGTTGGTTGCGAGGAGATTGCGTTCGATGAGTGGGATCTCGATGTCGTTCTGACGGCCAGCCAGAAGGCCATCGGTTGCCCTCCCGGTCTGAGCATTCTCATGCTGTCCGGCCGGGCCCTCGACACCTTCAGGGCCCGCAAGACGCCTCCCTCCTCGTACTACGCCTCCATCGCCAACTGGCTGCCCATCATGCAGAACTACGAGAACTTCAAGCCCTCCTACTTCGCCACTCCCCCTACTCAGCTCGTCCACGCGCTGCACACCACCCTGTCTCAGATCACCGCTCGCCCCATCACCGAGCGTTACGCCATCCACCGCCATGCCTCGGACCGCGTCAAGGCCGCTGTCGCCGAGCTCGGCCTGAAGCAGGTGGCCGCTACCCCCGAGAACCAGGCACACGCCATGACCGCCATCTGGCTGCCCGAGGGTCTGACTCCCCCCGACGTGCTGCCGGGCCTGTTGAAGCGCGGTGTGATCTTCGCAGCGGGTCTGCACAAGGAGGCTGCCACCAAGTACATCCGCTTCGGCCACATGGGCGTCAGTGTCACCGACCCCGCCCGATCGGACGTTGACAAGGCCATTGCTGCCTTGAAGGAGGCGCTGACCGAGGCCAAGCAGGCCAAGGGATTGTAAATACCGACCCAGACTGCCGGATTGAATGTTAGCTAGCAAAACCGTCCCATAAAAATTACAAAATATTCCAATACCTAGTGCCTTTCCTTCTAACCCACACCACTGCCACCACACAAAATGATCCCATTGATACTGTAACTACCGTACTGTACTACCCCACCAAGTGGCAGCAAGGTTTAAACAAGTGAGCCCCGATATCGGACCCATCTGCCCGATAAGCTCGGGCGATAGGAGTGTTCTGCCGTATCGGGCAATTCTTTCCCGCATGGTCAAAACATCCGAGGCAACAGTTCCGGACCGTCAGAAGCTATTGCTTTACAGCAGGGAGAGTCAATGAAAAGGGCAACCTTTCCAGATGCAAAATAGAGCCTTGTCCAGTGCCTACTTTTCTATACGAGACTTCTGGTATCCATGATCAGAAAAAACGGGTGCTAGGGCTTTTGTCTCTACCTGTCATGCGTATATATCTTGCGAGGGGTGGAAGAGAGTCACCATAGACGAAATGTTCACTTCGCTTTGCTTAATGCAAGTCACTTCAAATATATTGGTTATGATGATGCTCAGTTTTCGGCACAAAAGGTGAAAGAAAAAGGGACAGTAGAAGGTAAGCTTTATTCCTGGCCTCGTGATATCTCATATACTCTCATCAAGGCGGCGGTGGGGGTTGGGATAAAGGAGTGGATTAGGTACATCAGGTTAGCCTCTCATTCTCCGATTCATAACTGTGTATAAAAAGGAGAAGGCAGAAGAGGGCATATATATATGTAGTAGTGTTAACAGGAATCAGAAAGTGGGGAGGGAAGCGGGGGCGGGGAAGGCGAGGGAGAGGGGTCGGTATGGAAGAGATATTGGTCGAAAGTCAAAAGTAATAGGCAAGGTATTTGAAGTGAAGGTCAAAGATGAATAGACATAGTACCACTCTTTCTCTCATCTTTACAAGTGTAGAGGCATGAGAGCCTGAAGATTATGGATGCATTATAAGATTTTCGTAAAAAAGAAACATCGAGCTTCGACGACTCCCTTTAGTTTGTTTTTTCTTTTTGTTTGGTGAAGGGGGATTGTATTATTATATTAAGCCATAAGCCGCTCCATCTCGTCCCACATCCTCGTTTCTACCCCCCCCCATCAAGCTTAAGCTTCTGTTTCTCCTCTACGCAAGGCCAGAAAAGCCCGCACATCGGTCACATACTGTAAAGCTTCTAACATGGGGACGAGGTGGAGCAACCCGTTATCTGTCGGATCATTAATCCAGCCCTCAATGGGAATTGCGTTATCTGCGGTTGAAGATCAGTGGGAAACGTCCAATGGCGGATCGAGAGACTTCCACACACCTTCGTGAAAAATATAACTCATCGGACTGTTGTCCAGGATCATCACTTTGCTCAGGTCTGGCTCAACAGAACTGAGATCTTTAATGTAAGCGCCGTTGCGAAAGGTACAGTGTTGCCGGTAGTACCGCGCGTGGAAGTATTTCCGCTCCTGTTCCAGCCAGTCGATGACCGGGTCGGCATACTCTTGCACACTCGCAGTGAATACCACAAGCTTGTACCACTTACACACTTTGCGCAAGAACTCATCACAGTGTGGCCGTTTGTGGACATAGTATAGAATGGGATGTTGCGGACCAAGCGTGGTGGGTGGCCCGCCCGGAGTCAGGGCGGTCGTCATGGGTGTTGACAGCTTGACTTCAACCATGTGACCGCTGGACATGCGACCGCCCTTGGCTAGAGAATGGATAAGGGTTTCGTCGAGATCAAGAACGAGGGTCTTTTGCGGGCTTTTCGTGCTGCGTAGATTGGCTGTGTAGGAAGGTATACGCTGAGGAATCAGGGGACGAGGAGGAACGGGCGAATGCGGGTATCGAGTGACGCGATGCACAGACGGGGAGGTAGGAGACTTCAGGCTATCGAGATTGAGCGTGCCCTGGGATCCATTTTGCGACGTCTGACCAAGGTCCGCGCTCTGGGAACGACGCTGACGTTGCCGTTGGAGGGTTTCTTCGTTATGGAGCTTGATTCGAATGGACCGTCGGGGAGCGTTTTCATCTGGAACATGCTCCGAACCTGGGGATTTAGACTTGACGGACCGAGAAGGACTGCTGCTGAGTCCCTTGGTGCTTCGCCGGTCTGCCTCCGACTCGGACGTGCTTGAGGCAATGGATTCGCGTGATCTATGGGTTTTGGGTCGTCGTGATGTTCGTTGTTTGCCATTTATTGGAGTCCCTCCTTTGCCCAGCGCGCCAGGGCCAGACTGCGTAGAACGGCGGAAAAACAAGCGGCTTATTTTGCGGAACGGTGTCAGTGGGGAATAATGCCCGTCATCCTCGCGAAAGCAGTGGGCGACGAAGAATCCGGGGGCAGCCAAGGTGGAAAGAATAAACTTGATCGTTTCCGCGATCGCATCGAAGAACCGGTGTACAAACAGCCCTAGGGAGCTGTTTGTGGCCAAGGAGCGATCTTTAGACAAACTTCGTAACAAGGGCGATTTCTCGTCAAGCGTGTACTCGTGATGGTCGACATCATGCGGCGCGCCGGGCGTTTCATCGTGGCCTTTCTCATGGTAATCCGAGGCATGGAAGTTGCTCTCGCTGTAGGATCGAAATTTGGCAAGGTCGCCAGGTTCGAGTGATCGGGAAATCTCTCCTTGCGATCGAGACCGTTGGCGACTTCTACTCGGGCTGGTAGGCTGGCCAATGACTCGGGACGACAAGATATTCAGCGAATTCATTTTCCGACGCGGCCCACGGGTGTCCGGGCTGGCGCAGATGTCTAATTATGTTGAGCGGAGGCGCCGGTCAGCACCTTGTCAAGTCACGAAGCAACTGAAAACGGAAAAGCGATGAACGAAGGAGGAGCGACATCGAGATGTACCGACCTCAATGCGCCAGTCGACAGCCCGTGCTTATGACCTTAAGAGCGGTTGACCCCAACCTCGTTTCGATGAGCGGAATTGGGTGAGCGATAGCCGGACGCCGTAGTGATGGGCCCAACCGACGGATAAGCGGGAGGAGGAAGAGCCAGACAAAAAGGGTAGAAAAGAACCCTCGAAGACTGGAAGGCGAACTATAAACAGGCAGTCGACGAGGGATAAGGGAATATGGAGGAAAGGGAGAGAAAGAAAGAAGATGTGGGGGGGAGGAGGAGGAGGAAGAGGAGAAGCCTTGAGGTGGACGCCGAGGAGGAGAGCGTAGGAAGGGAAAAGTGGAGTGGTAGTAGTGAGTAGTTTGTTAGAGATGTCGTTCCATACTTACCATACACCATACGCTGGCTGGCTGCTGATGGTTCGTTGGGCCGAGCGGGCAAAATCTCCCTCCGTCACATCCCACTTCCGCTAAGTTGCTCTCCCGCCTTTGATCTTCTTCTCCTCTCCCCTCCCACTCTTCTTTCTCTTTCTCGGCTGCATATTCCTCCTCACCTCTACTCGGCCTCGCATACCTGAAGGAAACCTCATTTCCTTCATAAGCCCATATTTAGGCGACCAGTCCGTGAGCTCGAGAGTTGTTGCAAGCGCGCTGACACCTCTCAACGGATTCCCAAGGTATGCGCGCCTTGTGCGACCAGGCCCCGATATGACTCCACCGTTCTGCCTCACTAATGCTGCATATAGCTTGACACGCCATTGAAGCTTGGTGGCCCCCCGCCTCAATTATACTTTCATCCTCTGGCAAAATCACTTGGCAGATAAGATTCAAACAGCAAACAAAATGCCTTCCACCTCGGGGCCCTTGACGCCGGGCCTGGCGTCTTTCCTCAAGACTTTGAAGACCAATCCGATTGACACATCCATTGACAATTTGATCTCGTGCGTTTTTCGTCGTCGTGCGACGACCTGTCGCATCTAATGTCGAGCCATACTAACATACTACCAGGCTTCTGAAGCGCAGACAAATCCGTCATTCCAGATCGTGCGCTACTGCGACCGCTTACCTCCTGCGCAGCGTCATTTCAGCTTCCAGAACAAATGACGCCAACAAATTGATCGAGAGAGTGCAGTATGTGGGAAGGCGGCTTATGGCAGCTCAGCCCAGGGAGATGGTGGTTGGCAACATTGTCAGGCGCGTGCTCGGATTAATTCGTGACGAGGCCGAGGACGACCGCGAGGGCGATTTCAACCTAAGTGAAGCCGGCTCTGAGAGCCAGCCCCAGACTCCTCGTGGTCTTGATGGTAAGGCCTTGGTATTCCAGCCTATGTGGTTGAAGGCTCCCCAGGACTAACAGAGAGCGACAATTATAGACCCAACGGACGCTCTCTCCGCTCGCCATGAGGGCTCCGACCGTGGAGCCTCGAGAAATCCCCTCCCCGCCCTGACGGCCGCCCCGATATCTATGTTCAGTCTGCTTTCGCACCCCGAGCCCGAGAACTCTTTGCCCGGAACTCCCGTATCCGCATCACCCTCTGGTCGGTGGTTGGGATTCGGACACGGCCCCAGCAAAGATATTCGGGCTGAAGTTCTGGACGGTATTGGCGAGATTATCGATGAGTTGGGCCAGGTAGACGATCAGATTGCGGCTTATGCCCTGGACCACATTCACTCCAACGAAATCATTCTCACCCACACCTCATCTACTACGGTGCAAAAGTTCTTGTTGAAGGCGGCTGCTAAGCGGAAGTTCACGGTCATCCACGCCGAGTCCTACCCCAACAACCACGAAGCGACCCACGCGACTGTCAGCGGTGCCAATCCCCACGACGATGAACTCCTGAGCACCGAGTCCTTCCAAAAGCCTTTGATTGCCTTAGGCATCACCGTCATTCTTATCCCCGACTCCGCGGTCTTCGCGCTCATGTCCCGTGTCAACAAGGTTATTCTGGGCACGCATTCAGTCCTTGCCAACGGCGGTTTGGTCGCCGCCGCCGGCACTCGGGTCATTGCTCGCGCCGCCAAGGTACATCAGACGCCCGTCGTGGTGGTGAGCGGTGTGTACAAGCTGAGCCCGGTGTATCCGTTCGATTTCGACTCGTTGATCGAGTACGGAGATGCCAGCAAGGTCATCAGCTACGAAGATGGTGACTTGGTGGACCAGATTGATGTGCAGAACCCGCTGTACGACTATGTTCCGGCCGAGCTGATCGACCTTTACATCACTAACTTGTACGCTCCCTTTCTTTACGTTCCGTGCCTTTCGGAGTTTGTCTTCTTGGAACCGGTGCTAACCACTTCTTATGCAGGGGAGGCCATGCGCCCTCTTATCTGTACCGTATCGTGTCGGATCACTACCGCAAGGAGGATATCAGCGTCTAGGGACCGGAACAGAAGGGAAGAATCAACGAAACATAAAATCAACAATTGCAAAAGAAAATGGGGATTTGACGAACAATTGGATCTCTTATGGCTGGAAAAGTTCACATACCAGTATGGATATAAAAGGCGTAAGGAATTCTCATAGACAATATAAGAGACGATACCCAAGGCGTTGTTACACGAATGAAAATAGCACTACGGGCAGTCCAGCGCATTCACCCAGAACAGCTAGTTAGAAGCATCAAGGATTATAAGAGTATCGAGGCGTCTAGGACATAAGAGGCAACATGCTACGATCCAAGATCTTTTACGAATATACAACGAGCACCCGAGCATTTTTTTTTTTGAAGAATTTGATATTTTAGGGCCCTTCCCAAGGAAAATAAAAAATCATGGCGCCATCTTTTATGGATATATCAATCGTAGTGAAGCCGCAAACATTGGGTTTGTATTTGCAGAAGTGGGTTTCTCATCCAGCCTTTCATTGAACCATACAGACAAGAAATTCCAGACCATCGCGAGAAGAAAAAAAAGTAAAATTCGCCCTTCCCAAGCCTTTTTCTTCTTCTATGGAATGGGCCCCGGAACAAATATCATGGTTCTTTCCCCGGAGCAAGCCAGCATAATTGCGTTCTCTTTTTGCACGTGGTGGTTGGGTTGCTTAAGAGCGGGGCTTCTCCTTCTTCTCCTTCCAGAGGGCCATGAGACCGACACCGGAGACCTTGACGACCTTGAAACGGACACCGGGAATATCACCCTTGGCCTTACCCTTACGACCGAAACCGGCGAGGAGGACCTCGTCGTTCTCGTCGATGAAGTTCAAGCAACCGTCGTTGGGGACTAAGGTATAAGATATTAGCGACGGTGTTCTGGAAGTCGAGTCCCTTGTGGATCAAGTGTCGTGCATTCGCCACCCTTAGCTCTCCCAGCGCACTGCATCCACCACTGCGATTATATCGCTTCAAACCCCATCCATCCGATACACACACGGAAGTCCAAGGGAAAAGAAAAAAAGGAGCACCCACCGAAAGCAGTAACCTTCTTGCCGTTCTTGATGAGCTGGACCTTGACACACTTGCGGATAGCGGAGTTGGGCTGCTTGGCCTCAACACCGACCTTCTCGAGGACGATACCCTTGGCGTGGGAAGCACCACCGAAGGGGGAGGACTTGTAGGCGGTACCGAGAAGGCGCTTCTTGTAGTGCAAGTCGGCCCAACGGTTCTCGCGACGGGTGTTCGCGAGCTTGCGGGCGGCGTTCAAACCACGGGGCTGTCCCTTACCCATCTTGTCGGATTATGTGCGGAGGACTGAAAACTGCATGGAAGAGAAAAAGCGGCGGTTAGATTGGGTTTCTTCTGGAGACCATCTTGACGATATCGCTGCAACACTGAATAAAGTCCGGGGTAGTGGGTAAATGCGCGGAGTGTGAAATGTGCATGGCCCGTCACGATTATCTTCCTTGGCTCTTCATCTTCGGTGTTTTCGCCGTTGTTCCTCCTCTTGGATTATCGGTTTAGGATGGTTTCTGTTGCTGATCGGGCCGGTTGCATCGACTGCATGCATAGTTGATGTCGCATGTTGGTGTGTATGTCGGAGGCGAGAATATCGATGGTCGGACTTTTCCTCTCTCTCTGTCTTTCTTCGGACGGGTGGCACGGCACAATTTCAACCTCACACGCAAGTTGGGGGGAACGGGCGATATCCAGAGAGAACAACGACAGCAATGGCAGGAAGTATCAAGTACGTACCGACTGATGGATATAACGCCAAAAGGCTGGATGGGCGGATGGATTGTCGAGAAGTCGAAAGGTCAAGGGAGGGTCTTCCTTTCACGGCCGGCGGTCGCTCGACTAGATCGAAAATGTTCAGCTGTGCGCCTTCGCCCTAAACGGCCGCTAAGCGAGGGACGACCAGCCCACGGGTTTTCCTCGGTGCCTCGGAGAAGCTGTTTCCCCGGGGGCTCTCTGCCGGCTGTCACCGCCCGCCTGTTATGCCTCCCGCCGCTGGGGGAAGGAAAGGGGAATGAAGAGCCGATAACGATAAGCCCCGGATGGAATACAACTTGCTATATCTACTATCTCCTGTCTCATTTTCTACAAAAGTTGATATCATTGATTTGATATGCTGTCAGAACTATCACCCAGAGATCAATCATAATGCCTTAACTCTACTTATCAACCATCATTCAAAGAAAACACGACACAATGCCTTCCAACAACCTGCGCATGGATCCCAAGATGGATCCCCGCATGGAAACCGCCCGGACGATAAGCTCGCAGCGACTTCCCCCGCCCGTGCTGTTCCAAGGTCCTCCGTCGCATAATGCTTCCAATATCTCCATTCCGCCGCCGCCACCAGCCTCAGTCGGCGTCAGCCCCCGCGGTGCAACCGACGCAGCTAGAGGGGGAAGCACATCGCCTCCGCTGCAGCGCAATCGCTCCGCCCGCGGCCTCGAGACCCCTGGCAGCTTCGGCTCGCCATTCCTCACCCGCAAGCAGTCGAAGGGGGATATCGACGGCTCCGATGCCATCTGGCAGGAGATGCAGAGCGCGCTCTCGGAGGTGGAGCTGAGTGCTGCCACGGGCGAGCATGTGTTTGGGGAGAGGCATTCCGAGGCCTTGGAGGATCTTCGGGCCAAGCAGTTGAAGCTCGCGCAGGCGTGGGCGCGCAGCGAGGCGGATGACAGGTTTGTCGAGGCGAAAGAAGCGATCCCGGCTAAGGGATCTGTCTCGCAGCAGGGACAGGCGGTACGGGGTGGTGCTGGTGCTGGGGAGCCGGCGGCTGCTGCGGAGGATGGCGGCGCTCGGAGTCTGGATGAGGAGACGGAGAATGATATTCTGCTAGCCCGCGAGAGACGCGAGGCTAATGATCGGTACTTTGACCGCGTCAACAATGGTGTTCTGGATGTCGTGGCCAAGTTGGAGGAGGTCGCCCAGGCTATGCGTGCTGTTGAGAGGGAGAGTCGGGATATCTGGAGCGATACTGATAGCTTGAGCACGGCGACGCAGACTACGGCAGATGCGGGGTGATCTGGCAGATGTGTATTGGCACTTGAGTTTCGTCGACTGACTTTCTCTGAAGAAAAGTCAACTGACGTTTGTCCTCGCTTGCTGACGGTTGCCTTTTCTCATACTCAGTAAATGGGTCAGATGAGCAATATGTGAGTTTAACTGTCGGCTGAACTCGATATCACTGTGCGGAACACAGCAAACACTGGGTATACGACCCTCCATCTCATCAATCTACGTCTATAGGACTCTATACAGAATCAAGCATCTAATAACAATCATCAATATATAGCTAAACCCACGCTAAAAGGAAAACCAACACTTTTATACTCATAAGAAACTAAATCAAGGGTATCAGAGAAAAGCCGCTCCCGATATCATACAAGCCCGCGCGCACAACACATATAACCAAACAGCCACAAATAAGCCAACCACACAAGCCCTTCCTACTCCTCACTCTTCACCAGCCTGACAGCCGACCTCCACCCTTCCACCGCCAAATCCCTCGCATCCTCCCAGCTAGCCTCGTAAGCCCTGTTGGCCAATGTCTCCACCTCCGTATTCCAGCGATGCTTGAGTAGTTCGGACAGCGTCGGCTGCGTACGTCTGGGAGGCAGCTCCCGGAGCTTCTCGGCTTCGCTGGGGATCAAGCGGCGGTCGTATGCGCCTGTGGACGAGGCCAGCCAGGTCAATGCGCGGGTTTGCTCGTGGATCGCGTTGCGTTGCTCTAGACGGTTGTATCGGTGGACTTGGACAGTTAGGTAGAGGACGGTCGTCGTGAGTGCGAATCCGCTCGCCTGGGAGTGTCAGTTTGGGCTTGACTATGTAGGAGTTGTGGTTGGGGTGGTTGGGGGAGTTTGAGTTGTTTTCGTGGGACGAGAGTACGGGGGTCTTATGACTTACGAAACCCGTAAAAAAGCCCATTGTATTTCTAGTTCAAGGAGCCAAGTAGACGAGAGCCGAGTGCTCCAAAGAAAAAGCCACCGGGGTTATTTCGATCAAGCGTGGTTGATGTATGCTATCAACTGCACGCAGGAGTCAAGTAGTTAGGCGGGGAGAAGGACGGAAGCAGGCTTTTGCGGATAACGGCGTCGGAGTGCTAGATATAGATTCAATGTCGACCCGTCGCCAATCCAGCGGAGTTATGAGTTTTAACGAGTATATATTCTGTCAAATCCAAGGCAATAATCGAGAGCTTGAGTGTTTCGTAGGTGAACTGGTTACAAAAACCGCTGCGGTCCAACACCGCGCGGACCGGGCCAGTCCTCGACGCACTCCGATTGGCCGATGCGGCGGAAGTTCGAATCTTTTGCTCCTCGCAGAACTTCCACTGCATAACCTATCTAGATGGTAGGACCGCCAAATTCACACTACTCCCTGATCTTCTAGCCACCTCATCCCTTTGAAACGCCAATCAACCTCCACTCCGCTGATCGGACATACCTCGAGTTTCCTTCCCTTTCACCGCCCAATAACACCCGGGGGGAAAAGAGAAAACTCACGACCCCCGACCTCCAGCACCACAACCACAACCACCACCACCCACCCCCAAATTAAACAAGCACAATGGCCGGAGGCGCCGCGAAATACCGCCACCTGAGCCGCAAGTCGTCGCATCGACAAGCGCTGCTCCGCAACCTGGTGACATCGCTCTTCAAGCACGAGTCGATCACGACCACATGGGCCAAGGCCAAGGAAGCGCAACGCCTAGCGGAGAAGCTGATCACGCTGGGCAAGAAGAACACGGCGGCGAGTCGACAAACTGCGCTGGCGACTTTCTACGTACGTCCTTCCCTTTCCTTCCTCAGGCAGAACACGACCGGAACACAAGCAGAACCCCAAGCAGGATGCACATACACATACACACGCATACGCACACCTCCTCTACTCTATTTCCTATTCATTCTACAAACATCAAGCACCTCTCACCCCCGGCGCAACCCTACACCGCAAAGTACTAACCACCCGAGAAAAAAACGAATAGACCCCCCACGAAATCCTCCCCAAACTCTTCGGCCCACTGCGTACCCGCTACGCGAACCGACCGGGCGGGTACACGCGGGTGTTGCGCGTGGAGCCCAAGAAGGACGATGCAGCGGAGAGCGCTGTCCTGGAGCTGGTCGACGGGCCCAAGGACATGCGGTTTGCGATGACGGCGCGCACGATCGCGCGCCAGCGGGCCCAGGGTTTCGACACCCTGAATGAGATCACCACGCAGAACGTCCGCAAGGTCACGCGGTTCCGGGAGAATGGCGTCAAGGTCCTGGAGAAGGCGATTCGGCAGTTGAAGCTTAGTGGGCATGGCGCTGAGGGGGCCGAGGCCGGCGCCGCGCCCGGGGCTGGGGCTACCGCTAAGGGTCGGAGTGGTGGAGGTGTTAGTATCAAGAGTATTGTGGAGAAGAACAAGAAGAAGGGTAAGAAGACGGCTTAAGGGATTTTCTCTTTGAATGTGAAGAATCGAGGAATCTAGGAGGGGGCTCGATGGGGAGGAAGAAGAAGAAGAAGAAGAAGAGAACAGTGAGTTTTTTCTGATGGGAACTTGGAAGTCATCGGCAGCGACATGTTGGTCCGCTTTTTTTTTATCTGGTTGTTATATTTTCTTTTCCCTTTTCTGTACCTTATATCATATCATTACCTAGGTTGTTTCTCTGTGCAGCTCTTCCTTTCAACCCTAACTGGACCGACCGATGGCTGGCCATGATTGTATTTCTACCTGTTATGGCTTTTGTACAAATGATACTGTAACGGAGTGAGTTCCACTTAATAACGCTCGGAACTTGTCTAGGACTACGTACTAGGCTGATTCGCAGGCTGTGGCTAGACTGGACAAACCAGCCAAGAATTGACTCCTTCATCATCAACTCAATCATACATTTATTGTGTCTAAGCACCATCAACCACCCCCGTAACAGCAAGATCTAATGATATAGCAATAAAGCTACCGTGCCATGCTCACACGCCCTAGGTCAAATCCCAGTCAACGCCATGCAAAGCCTAGTCTTGGTCCGCGGTCCATACTACAACGCGGCCTAGGCAAGAACTCACATATCTCGAGAACTCATGACATGGGTGCGGCACTTTCCGCACTCTTGATCAATCCGCCAGAGGTTAAGGGTAGTCAATCCAGGTCCCTGTCACATGTGTTTCGCCACGAGAAGAGAATATGTGCACTTTTTGGGGAAAAAAAAAAACAGTATAAAATCCGTCTATCATCGCCGGAGCCATAGTACTGATGAGAGCAGAGCTAATTAGCTCGTGGTAGCATTGTCCCTCCTGATACAACAAGCGGCCCATTCTTGCTATTCAGAGAGTTGGTGGGATAAGGCGGAGTCGAAGTAGGTCCATTCCGGTGCTTCAAGTCGAAGTCAGACGGCACCTCGGACGGTGGTGGTTTGGGAGGAAGATGAGACGGTGTTCCCCACTTGGCAATCGAATCTCGACCACCGGAGGGTATGTTGCGAGGGAGACCTGGCCCAGCGGACCCCAAAGCATCCTGACTCTTGATGTTGACATCCTGGTAACCATTCCACTGTGGCAGGACCCCCGGCTGCATGCCAGCATACGGACCCATTCCGTGCTGGCCGCCCTTGCTGGGATGCCGTGCTATTGTAGCTGCTCCGCCCGGGACAAACGAGCGTGTCTGGGGGTTGAAAGGAGACCGACCAAAACTTCCTGGCATAGGATGAGGGCCTGAGTGAGGCTGCATGGCAGGACTCATGGGCTGCCCCGGATACTGAGCATAGGGATATGAAGTGGGGGTAGGCGGCTGGGTCTGGTAGTTCGCCCATGCAGCCGGGGGATGGGTCGGGGGATGGGTCGGGGGATGGTTGCGATGAGGAGGTTGATGATAGCCGCCGGGATAAGGTGGTGTCGACCAACCAGGCGTCTGCTGATACTGTACAGGGTTGGGGATGGGATAGCTGCCAAGGGCGGGTGATGATTTCGTCGAAGCCATCGCCGGCGATTGATTGATGGAAGCATACCCTGTAAAAGGAGACTGCTGGGGAACAGGTCCATTCTGCCACGGACCACTTGGAGTCATTTGTGGAGACACGGGCATCGAATAATGAGGCATCGTATTCGGATTCACATTACTCGGGTACATGGCGCCAGGCTGAGGACTCGGGGCATAGCCCATATTGGGTGGAGATACTCCAGGTCCCACCATGCAAGGCTGGTTCGGGAAAGACGGGTCATTCATGGCCATACCGAACGGCACTGAACCATTGCCGAAATGCATCCCAGGGTAATAGGCGTTGAATTGAGATCGGGCCTCAAAACTGTCGTCATGCGGTGTTTTCTGTCTGTGCGTCTTCTTGCGTCCGCTAGTTGAACTGGAGCGCGACATGTTGGCGCTACTGTCGCCATTCGCGGTCTCTGCGGCAGCCTTTGACTCAGGGAAATCTCGGAATATCCGCTCACGCGCTTCCTGATATTTGGCTTCTCGCTCCTCTCGGGTCAAAGCCAGCCTATCTTTAGCCGGAGTGGCCCCTGTGGATGAACCACCACGATCCCCGTCATTGCCGCTATCGCCAGCTTCTGATCCGTCCTTTGAATAGCCAGAGCTTGCTGCAATGCTGCCCTCAGTCGATGGTCGCTCACTACCCATGCGCCGCATTATTTTCATCGCAGGCATTGCAGGTGGCGGTGTGCTGTTATTGGCTGCATATATGATAGAGAGAGGCGTTGGCCTAGCCATAAATTAACACGTTGTTTTACATCGAACCCATGCGAGTAAACTTACAGTCGACAGAAAGGTGTCCTGTGAAGCCTGACTGACGTGACGTTGTTATCCACAAAGTGAGTCAGATGGTAGTAATCGCCCAGTTTATGAGCCAAGAGTCTTCCAAATGCATTGGAAGGAGGAAGTTCCAATGAATGTTCCCTATTCAGCGAGGATTAGAACACGATACGCAGAGCCACCGGTACGGATTCGGGACTTACTTGGAGTTTTGTATGAAATGTCGAACCTTCTCCTCTAGCTGGAGAATCAGAAGACGATCTTTCGGAGATTTCATGGCCTCGAGAAGCTTCTCGTCTGGTTCTGACGGAAAACCGTGTATAGGTCTTCCTGCTTGGAAAGCCTCAGAGCCGGGGGTGATAAAGCCGCTGGAAGCTGGATCCGGAAGCAGAGCGCCGTTGGTGCGCTGCATACCGTCGGGGTATACGGGCCCGGTCGGCTGGAGAATAGCCCGCGGTCTTTGCATGTCTCTGAACCCGCGAACACCCGAGTCGGAACCCGTTATCGAATTCGGGGCGCCAGAAGCAGGCCCAGAGAGAGACTCTTCCTCGTCAATAGCTTGTACGCTAGCGCTATCATCAGGGCGTAGAGAGTCCTTCTCATCCATTGCGAACGTAGTGACTGAAGCCATACTCTTCGAATCAAAGCTCGTCGGCTTGGTCGAAGAACTCGAGAGATGGGTGCGATCATCCTCGTCAAATGACGTCTCTCGTTTGAATGACCCGTTTCCTAGACCCACGCTAGTGAAATCGGGATTATCATGATACTTCTTTTCCGATAGATCAATGCCTTGCACAGCCTGGGAGAGACCGTCGACATTTCGATCGACAGAGGCGGCATCGTCATGAACGTTGCCAGGGCCTAGCTGGCCAGAATGAATGTCTTGGGAACCATAGAGTTCGGACGAAGATGGAGCTTCAATGGACTGCGGACCATTTAGTTCGTCAGGTGGCACGGAAGCTACAGGCTCAAATGATGGAGGCATCGCGGCAATCTGTGGCAGGATGTCAGGCCAAGTCCGGGACATGACGCTGGATGGTGCGGGAGGACCAACCTTTGCAAAGGAGAGACGGTGCTCGTCACTCGTAGAACCTCTCGATGCCATTATCATAGAACACTTTCCGCCGAATATCAATATCTTCTTAGCGTCTCTATTCGCTAGTGGTGTGAACGAACGAGCAGTGAACCGACGACTGAGAGGGAAACGCCGACGAGAGAAAGTGCACGGCTATACTCGACGCGTTCGGGAATTGGCGATAATAAAAACCGGAATTCGAATTGATCAAAATCCACTCAAAGAACCCACTTCACACAAGCCCAAAAAGAAAGACGGCACATCTCTGGGAAACGTAATTCGCCATAAGGAAAGCTGCTTCGAGGTTAGGACCGCGGGGAATACCACAAAGCCGTCTCGTAGGCCAAGCGGAGAGCAAGGTGACCGGTCGATCAGGGGAAGAACGCCAGTGATGTGAGGCGCGAGGGAGATCGGTAAGCAGCTTGAGGGGAAAATGACTGGTCTTACACGATGGTCAGAATGATCGAGTCATGCTCCTCTTTGATATGCGATCTTTTTTTTTCTTCTTGGGGGACAAGCGAAAAAGGTTCGGATATCTTGAGGAAGTGGGATTGGGGGGGAGAGAGAGGGGAGGACAGAGAATCTTCGTACAATGAAAAGCAAAAAAAAGGGGAAGACAAGCAACCACCCTGTAAGAGCAAGTCGGACGAGACGACAGACAGTACCTAGATAGGCCGATGGAGGGTGGGTGTGGTCCGTCGCTACTATGCGGGTGGGAAGTGAATGAGTGGGTATGGATTCATTTGGGCTGAGAAGGAACGAAGGCAGGCAGGGCAGGTCACGGGTCGCCCGCGCGGGTTTTCCAACTTACCTTCGCTTGTTTCTCGTCCTTCAGCAGTTGTTAGCCGCGCGCCTAACCTAGGCTGTTCCGATCCACTCAGTTGGCCTGGACAGCCGCGGAGACAAAGCCTGGAAAGGCAGTCATCAACTGAGTAAGCTACATTTGAGGCACTGGAGAGCTGGAATATATCTCCCTGTCGATCCAAGTGATTAGTAGCGCCTTTGACTTCCACTCCTATCAATCAAGTCCCTATCCTCGCTCGGGTAGAGGGTCGAGGGTCGATCCCCATGAATCGTTATCGAAATGCCCCCGGGCTCCGAGGCCCCAGCAAGGCAACCGCCAGCACCATGTGCCAAAAATGCTTGAAACGAGATATGTCCTCACCTTTGATATATCCTCATGATCGCAGACTAACATGACCCAGCACGGCACTACAGCTATGAATGTAAAGTCACGGCGCAGGAGCGGCCCTACATGTCTCGCCCATCGCGCACCCAACAGTTGCAGAACCCGAAGCTGCGGCCGCAATTAACAAATGATGCCCCCAAGGATACGTTGCGCACGTAAGTCTCCCTCGGCTATCTTATTCTTGTACCCTATCTTTAGAACAGAACAATTGACTGGAACCGTAGGAAAGAGTCTAATGATGAGCCTTTGACAAGGCACGAGGAGGAGCGAGGTCGCAAGAGAGATTTGGACCAGGTGGACCCTTTGGGTAGTCGGACTCAGATGTCAAAACGAGCGCGATCGGCTTCTTCGCACTCAGCGAGCTCTGTATCGACGATTTCGACAAGTCGGTCTCACTCACGGTCGCCTTCCCGTCAGCACGACCGGGCAAGATCTATGTCCTCTCGTCCTTCCGGCCAAAGGAAAAGACGCTATAGTGACTCTTCTTCCACTCACTCCGTTGCTTCTTACACCTCTGGAGAAAGAGGCTCTCGGTCTAGGTCGCGTGAGTGGTCGAATGACCGGAACACACGGCGCAGACGTCGCGCCTCAAGTCCGGAGGAACGAGGGCGGCCCAGAAACATATCGCGGGATGGGGGACGACGGGACAGGTCCAGAAGTCACAACGCGGACCGCAGTCGAATGGGCACAAACAGAAGATCGATGTCTCCTACGCTGGCGACTGAGAGCGACTTCCCAGATCCGAGAGACCGCAAGGCGCAAGCCCGTCCGGATCCCGTGAGAAGTGGCGGCGGACGTGGCCTCGGTCAGGGACCCCCGCCGCCCCGACGGGAGAGGAGTCTCAGTCCTTACAGCAAACGGATTGCGCTGACGCAATCAATGAACTTGGGACGTTAGGCAGCGTGTGATTTTGGATAGAGAAAAGTCATTAGGAAGGATGCGCAGGCGTATGGCGTTCTAGCTCTAGATAATTACCGGGCCACTGTACAATAGGAGAGTTGGTTGTGAACGACGCAGAGTTGTTTGGAAACATATGAAGTCTTAGTATTGCTATGCAAAATCCCGTAACGCCTTGCGACAATCGCCCCTGACCCCAGTAGATGAGCGCCTGATAGATAACGAGATGAAACCGAATCATACCAACAGTTATTGTACACCAATCCAAGGGTATCAAGATCATACCGCCCCGTCCTCTTCCAACTCCCTCCGTTCCTCTTCCTCCTCTTCCCTTTCTCGGACGTGGATTCCCTCCACCAGCATCTCACCCTCGATGCCTACCTCCTCTCCCTGTTGGTCGTCATTGGGTCCGGCGCTCTTGGCCTGCGCGGCCCGTTGCGCATTTTCAATACGTTGGCGCACGAGTCTTGCGATGGCGTTCTGGGTTCGCACATTCAGGACATTCATCTTCTCGTCCAGGTCACGCTTCAGATCCCAGTTGGGCTTCTTGGGCTGCAGCTTGAACAAATCAATCGGTTGATCCGCCTCCGCATCTTTCTCCGCTTGCTCGGCAGTCGCTCTGGCGATCTCAGCAGCTTGAGCTTCCACGGTGATCTGGCCATCTGTTGGGGCTTGTTCAAATCCGAGCTTGGGGCCACGAGTTTCCGGGTCGTAGTTTCTTCCAGACAGGTATTGCTTGGTCACATCCGGAGCGGCATCTTCCAGCTCGTCATTGGCGGCACCAGCTTCAGTTAAAGGCTCCGGTTCTGGTTGTTTGCGTTTTAGGGCAGCAAGCTTTGCAAGCCGAGCTTTGCGCTCCGTCGCCGCGGCATCGAGAGAGGCATGGTTGGAGGACATGGCTGCGGAGATGAGGGGGACGGAGAGCGGTTGTGCACAATCAAAGCAAGTGGGTAGAAAACTAGACTTGCTGATTCCTGAGATGGCAGAAAGGCAATTTGTCTCGAGCTGTCACCCTTCTCAGAAATGACGGGGTACTCAGTCAAACAGGAATGAAAGTAGACCGAGGTGGGAGTTGGTGGTATGAATCGATGAAATTGGAGACCGCAGTAGTAGGACTGATATCGGCAAGTGATTTGCGCGCCCGCGCGCCACAGTCCGGGACCTCCTCAGCCACACTTGATCCGCGCCGGAGCAAAATCGGGCGGCGTCTTCTTCCCCGGGTTTGTCATGGAAAAGAACTCAAACTATGTGATTAATTCCGATCAGCCCTCTTCGGCCACTGTTCCCAGATTACTTCAGGTTTCCTGTTCACACATTTCATGCAAACACACAAACGGACCCTGAATGTTATTAAGTCCGCACCGCTTTCTGCGCTCCCGCGCCGGTGCTGGGTTGCCCCCCTATGCCCTGCAACCGAAACTCTGCTCCGGATATTGGCTTCGCCAGAGTGAGAGAATACAATATACAAGGCGGCACATCCAAGATGCAACGCAAACGAAGATCCAAGTCCCGATTGAGCCTGACTTATTATCACACGACTCAGAATCTTCCATCGACCATACTGGCGCAATAAACCGCGGTTATGATCAACCTCGAAGTACACACCCTCTGGCCTCTTCCGATCACTTCGATTTACCAGGAACCGATCTCGGCTTGATAGATGAAATGCCCACCAAAGCACCAAAGCAACTCAAGCTTCTTGATCCTTGCGAACCTGGACGCAGCTATCGGTCCTTGCGCCTTCCCCACTACGGCCCAGGCAATCGGCCACTCCGACATAATGCATTTGTGGTGAATGGTGGCACTATTAGCTACCGCGAGAGGATAATAGACGAGGAGGCATACAATGCGGATCAGGAGATACGGAAATCGTCTCTGTTTGTTGGTAACAATCGACTTCGGAGGTGGCGAACAGCCCGCAATGAGCTGTTCAAATCTGCATACTTCAAGCGGCCAGTGCCAGAGAGAGTTGGGGATATCCTCGAAGAATTCGAAGTAACTGAATTGGACAAGAAGCTGCTGGAAATGCTTGAAAACGGCCGTCTAGAGGAGTTCCGCGACGCCTGGGAACGGCTCGACCGATTCAACAAATCCGAGCACTGGATGAGACTCTCACTATGGCTTCTGCAAAATTCCCCAGACCTCTCTTTGAAGTTTCTTTACATCACCTGCGAAGGCGAGCATAGGCCGTTGCAAGTCATGGTCAGTGAGTGCTTGCTTTTTGTGCGAATGCACGGTTCAGACTTTCTTCATTCCTGGAGGTATGGTTCGAAGACCTTTGCCGACCTCGTGGCTGTTTGCTTGAACCCACACTATTGGCCTATCGTCCTTGCACCACAGAAAGGGATTCGGTTCTTTATCATTGCGGCAGATGATGAACACGTCATCCAAGCCTGGACGCTCGCACACGAACGACAAGTTCATATTTCCGCTGAAACATACCTCGCTTGGGTAACTCGCTTCACGCAGATGGGTAAAGTCGATCTGGCCCTGGAGGCCTTAGATCATGTACGTCAAATTGGACAGGTGGGCTTGGAGATGACATCCGAGGTAGTCAAACGCCATGCCTGCGTGCTCCTGCTGCGCGACACGGTTGAAGATGGCCCCTCAGGGCGGAATTTCCACATTCTACCCAAGCTCCTTGAGATGGGCATGCGTCCTGACGTAGACATGATGGATCTGATTCTGAGAAACTGTTACAAGACAGGAGATGCAGAACTAGGCCGTGATATGTTGAGACATATGCAGAGTCAAGGCTATCCGTTGACCTCATACACCTATACAACGCTACTGTCAGATGCCACGCGTCGACTGGACCGAAGGGAGATCAACCGGCTGAGGACTGAGATCGACGCCGAAAGAGAGGACATCCGGAACAACAGATTCGTCAAGACTAAGTTGTTCCACGCGTATTTCTGCCTCGATGTGAAGGGAGGGGCGAGTCAGCGGAGTTTAGAAATGGATAACAAGCAGGTCTTCCGCCATTTGTTGAACCTGTACAACTCGCTGTTCGACATCACACCTTTAAAGCAGCTTGGGGTTGTTCCACATTCATACCAACTGGATTCAGATCAAGCAGGGAAAACCTCGCCGGACGCTATCCCTCTTTACCTCATGATTGCCTCGTATCTTCGATGCAACAGGCACGCTTCGGTCACTGCGCGGGTCTACGACCGCTTTATCGAGCGCTTGCATGCAGAGGACCCAGTTTTTCTCCCGCTGGCTAGAACCGATCATACCTGGCACGAGTTTATGTATGCATGGCGCAATGATGTTCGAGGACTGCGACCTTCAGTGCGTCTTGTCGAAACCATGCAGCAAATGAGCAACGAGGACACCGTCAGCCCGGATAAGCCATGGTTCCGGCCCAAGCCGACGGTTTACATCTGGACCACCTTGGTACATGCATTCTTCTGGAACAAAGAACCGCGTGCGGCAGAGCAGGTGGTGGGATTGATGGAAAAGCTCAAAGTCCAGCATAATCCGGTGGTCTGGACCACCTTGATCGAAGGGTACGCGCAGAACAAGGACATCCTCAAGGTCGCCGAGACGATCAGAGCGATGGAAGATGCTGGCCATGATATGGACGCGTTCACCATCAAGGCGCTCCGCCATATCCAGAATCCAGAGCGACTCTGGCAAGCTGTGGAAGAACTAGAAAAACAGGCCGATGAGGGTATAAACAAGGCAGTATCCGAATCGGTCACCGCCAAAATGCGCTTCGACGATGCTGAGGATGACGCCGATTGGTTGCTCGACAAGGGCCTCCAACGCTTGAAGGCCAAAAGCCAAGCACGTGACAAGACACTCTCGTTTGTAGATTAAACTGTTCTGATTGATTCTTAAGCATAGCGTGGGTCGGATGAACTAGGGGCGGTTGGTATATAGAGCGTTTGAGGCGTCCAAACAGGCACGGGATATACATCGTGGGATTTAAACCGCAATTTTTGCCGATGTCATGTACAGAATCCATTATTTCCGCAATTCAAGAAAAAGAAAAGATCACACAAAACTGTATGCCACATGAATCGCACAGTGAAAGTAGAACTTCAAAACTATAACGCCCCTGCCTGGTGAAGCCGACCATGCAATTCCTGAACTCGTGAGACGAGACCACTCTATCAGCCGCCGAAGAAGATCGAAACCTAGACAAAGGAAGCATCACTATCAGCATCTCCGAAGTTATACTTGGGGGTTTCAGAGAGAACGGAAGCTCTTACAGCCATCACCACGCAGCAGATACTGACGTAAGGACTCAGCCGTTCACCGATGCGAGCACATTTCCAGAAAATACCGAAGAAGCTGCTGACATGGTTAGAGTCTTCCATCTAGTGAGCTAAAGATGAGAGTGTCATCCAGAGCTGCCCTGCGAATGGCCACCAACACGTACCCGTTCTGATTGCGGTCCATGATTCCCGGCATGATCGAATGGGCATAAGTGCTCGTGCAGATGACGAGCAGGAAGACCAGCAGCAGTGACTGGAAATTGAAGAGGGCCGACTGCAAGAACCTCGACATTAGCACTCTGATCAGAAGGTCAATGAGCAGCGCTGCTCCGGCGTTCACTTACCATCTTGACGAGGCGGTTGATTGAACCAGGTGTCTGTCCTGTCCTAATTCTCCTTCCCAGGTGCGAGATTGCGAGGAAAGGCCTCTCCTCCTATTGACTACTTCACTGTGAAGCGCAATCTATCGATAAATAGCATGCGCAAGGATCCAATACCTTCAACGAGAGATCACACTGTAGAAGAGAAAGTGGAGCTTCTCCTCGTCATCCTCATCGACCGTCATTCTATCCCGCCTACGAGCTCATTCTGCCACCATGCCGTTCGGCGGGAACCGCCACCGCCTTTCGGGGTCGAGGCCCGTCCTCCGCTATGCGCCGCGGTCCCGACCGACTCCTACTCCAACAAGACCTTCCTCATTCCCACCACCACCACCATCATCATCGTCATCCTCGGCATCATCGTCGCAGGCCACAACCTCTCACACCCGGCAGCAGACCTCAGCCCGGAGGAACCCGTCTGGCCGCACCACCACTCCTACTATCCCCCGTCACCGCAGCACAGGTCATGTTTCGAGTGAACTCGCCCCTCCCTGGCCGTGGAACCCCGAAGAAACAGCATTAATTCAGAGCGGATATAAACCCGCCTATCCTACACCCAAACCGGACAACACCAACAGCACCAACGACGCAATCTCAGCATCCAATTCCAATCTCAAATCCAACCCTCCCACCACCCGCAAGAAAATGGCCGAACCTCGAGCCCGTGCCGCCCGGCACAAAGGGCAAATGAACTTCGCCGGAGACCGTAAGTCCCTGCCTCCGCCGCTCCCCTTGGTCCAAAACACCTACACATCCACCCAAACAATACCCTATCCCATCAATACCCACAGATACTAATCCCCCGGGGGGGAAAACAGTCCGCTTACTCCTCCTCGCCTACGGCGACCCGCGCCCACACCCATCGTATCCCTCGGACCCGCTCCCAGAAACCATCCGCGTGCTGGACGAGATCGTCACGGACTTCGTGCTGGAGATGTGTCACGGCGCCGCGCAGTACGCGAGCTACTCGCGACGGCAGAAGATCAAAGTGGACGATTTCCGGTTCGCGCTGCGCCGGGACCCGAATAAGCTTGGCCGTGTGCAGGAGCTGTTGCGTATGGAGCGCGAGCTGAAGGAGGCCCGGAAGGCGTTCGATCAGAATGATGATCAGGTTGGGAATTTGAAGGATGCGGCTGCGGCTGCGGCTGCGGCGAAGAAGGGAGGTGCTGGTGGGGGTGCAGCTATGGATAATGATGAGTTGGGGCCGGCGGAGAGTGTGGACGGGAGGAAGAGCAAAGGTAAGGGGAAGAGGAGTGCGGCTGCGCGCAGGGATTCCGATGTCACGGAGGAGAGCAGTGTGACGGTTGGGACGGCGAAGAAGAGGAAGGTGGGTGGGAATTGAGTTTCGAGGTGTTTTTCTATTGTTGTTTGGTTGGCGTTTTCGGGCTTTTTCCATGCATTGGCAATGGAATGCGGGTGGTTCTCGGGGTGGGTTGTGCGTAAAGTGTATCTATATTCAAAGTGATATCCCTATTATTTAGTTGGCATTGAGAATGGCGTTGACCATGAAATGAAAATGCAATTGCTCATACTGCATCATTGTTCATATACCGGTAGTAGACAGAAAATATATCTCTATCCACCCGATAAGGCTGCAAATGCTAATCTTTGAACTCCGAGCTATCTTATCTTGTACGGCACCGCCACATCACTATATATCCTGGCAGTACAATATCTTCGATAAATAAACAACCCCACTACCTGAAGACCATACGTCCCAGAATCACAATCCCTACACCCCCGACTTATACTCATAGAATCAAGAAGGTTGACAAAGAAAGCATGCAATAAGCCTCTACCTAAAACGAATTCTATTGCCTCGACTCGCTCCGTGAGGTTCCCCCCTTTCGTTTTCTTTCCCATGACTCCCATTTTGGCGGGGTTGGTTTCAAAACACCCTGAACAGCAAGCTAGACGGACTCCCAAGACGCCGTGCCCTTTTCTTCTTGCCTTGTCCTTTTCATGTTTCTCCTGAAAACCCCTTCCAGGCTGGCTTGGTCGGGTTGATTTCGCTTTCTCCCGAGTGGTACCAGCTCTCCGCATGCAACTGACAGGTCTGAGACGCTCGTTTCGATGACTGGAAAAGTACCCTGCTTGGGAACAGACAGATATCCTAACAAAGCCCAAAAGGGCAAATCTCGGAAGAAGGTAAGTGTATATGTGTGGATGTGAAGGTTGTATGTATAGGAAGCGTTGCGTTGCAGCTCAGCTCTTGCAAGCCAGCAAAAATTCAAGTTGACCAACATAAAATAAAGAAGCCAACGGAATGGGAATGAGGTCAAGATGCACAGAAGAAAAAACAGAGAAGAGAAAGAGAAAAGTAGAAGGTGGGGACAGTGGTTGAAGAGAGAAAAATGGAAGGTATCGTTTCTTTTTTGTCTTAAATCAGAACCCTATCATAATATTCCCTTTACGCGCGGGCCTCCTCTCCGCCGCGCTCTTGATTCCGCTGCTGGCCACCTCGGCCTCCCTTGCCGCCCCGTTGTCCGCCGCGCTGAGCACCGGACTCGCCGCTACCTTCGCCGCCCAGGGTCAGCTGTGCGGTGGCTAGCCGGTTGGACAGTTCCATCTGCGTGCGGATGGTGTTGGCCAGGTAGGACACGACAAGAACGTCCTGGATGTGGTTGTTGCTGCAAAGATGGGGTTAGTTGGAGAATTGATATATAAGGACAGACGGGGAAAAAGAACGTACAAGTCGCGCTCAATGTCGGCAGGCTCGACCTTAGGAGCCAGGGCCAGAGTGTTGAGCAGGTACTGGCCCAAGGCCGTCGAGGCGGGGGCCTCCTCGTCGATCACGGACTCGACGTAGCGGGAAACGCGGTCGATCATGCCGAGAACTTCCTCGATGGCGCGCTCGAGGGCCTCAATGTCGGTGAAGATGTTGGCGGAGCGCTCCTCGGCATCGCGGGCAGCGGCAATCGACTCAAGACCACTCTTCTCGGCCTCGCCGTAGCGGATCTCGTAGGGAACGGGGATGAAGGCGGCGCTGTCGGCAGCACGCTCGGCGGTAACACCGACGGGGGCGGAGATGTAGGCGCGAGTCTCAATGTCCTTACCGGCCTCGGTGGAGACGGTCAAGTGGACGGCGGGGTGAGGCCACGTACCGTCACCCTGGCCGCTGTAGAAGTTTTGGATCAAGGCAGAGAAGGTGTTGAGCTCGGACGAGGTGGCGTACCAACCCACGAGAACCTCCCTGGGGTTGGCCTTCAGGTGCAGGGCGAGCATCTGCTTCTGGTATTCCATGTCCACCTCAACCTGGTCTGTCGTCTCCGTGTGGCCCACGGCGAAAGTGCTGCGGATCTCGACTTCGGTGCCATCCTCGGACCTGGTTCCCAGAAGAGTACCGATGACACGCTCCTGGTCGGCGTTGCGACGGAGGGAATGGTCAAGAATGGAGAACAGAGCCTAGCAGCAACCATCAATCAAACCGGTCTGGGGTGAAAGAATCCCAACAAGAGAAGCTCATGAAGAACCTACCTGAGGCTGGATAACAACGTTCACAGGGGCGGTCGTCGGTGCAGACCCCACTGCCACGGGGCCCAGAGGGCGGGCGAGATGGACGAAGGAATCGGTATCAGCCATGATGAATTAGTTGATATTGAGAGAGAGCTCTGGTGATTTGGGGGAGAGGTTGGCTTGTCACTTCAGTCGGAGTCTCTCTTGGTCGTTCTCCGGGGTGGGGATGGTCCGGTGCTGGCTCTTCTGGAGGAGGATTAAATCTTCTCTTTCCGCCTCTGGGCTGCGGCGGGCGGAGGTTCTGCTGCGAGGCTCAAATTGTGTGTGCGCAAAGGGAATTTCGCGCTAAGATAAGATAAGCACCGCCCAGACACCCGCCGTGAAAAAAGAGTTTCTGGTCGGGTTTCCGCCGCTTGAAGAGCTACAAACCGCCTGGTAATCGCATTTTCTTGGATTCATTAATAAATAGAATGGCTCCTCCTCGCGGTAGAGCTACCAGAGGGCGTGGAAAGCGCACTCGCGGCCCCGTCAGCCGCAGAGATGCTTTCCAAGCATCCCGCGTCGACGACATCCAGTGAGTGCTCCGTCATATCGCAATTGGCCCAAGTATCGACAACTGACCAATTGGACAGGTCAGATGCTTCATCTGACAGTGAGAATGAATCTTTCGACGAGCCTATGGAGGACACAATGGGCGACGAGGAGCTCTTGGACCAAGACTCATCCGATAGCGAAGAGGAAGCCGATCAGAAGGGCCATTCCTACAATGAGTTGCTGCAGCTGTTGAATACCAGCAACGACGCCAATGGACCCGCACGCAAAAAGCGCAAGACCGACCACCGCAAACCTGAAATCAAAGAGGCAACCCGAGATGACGTAGAAGAGGACGAGGGAGAGGCTCTACTGGGGGAAGATGATCTTGAGCAGCAAGAACCATCGGACGCAGAGGATGAAGATAACCAAGCCAACGAGGAGGCAGATTTACAAGCGGACAGTGATGATGAGGATGGTAGGAGCTTACCTGATTTCTCCCTATCGCAGCACAGCTGGCTGATGCGCAACAGATAATGATCCTTTCGACGCCCACTTCAACACTCCCAATGAGGAGGAGCTGAGCAAGAAGATCAAGGCTATCGGGGACAACAAGTGGAAGAACACCAAGAAGGAACTTGCAGAGGGGCTGAAGTTCGTGCGCTCTATCCCTGATACGGGCGACGATGCCTCCTTACTGCCTACAATGAAGAGCATCTCAAGTGTCAAGGTAAACCACGTTGTACTGGGCCGAAACTGGATGAAAGACTAATACATATTACTGCGCTTAGCTCAAGAGGAAGCTCAAGGCCCCTGCGACGGAAAATATCTCCAAGATCGAGGGCCATGCTCAACACCTTGCGCCATACATCTTTAACTATCAGGATGTCCTTTACGGCGCTCGAACGGCAGACAACGCGGCTCATATGCGGGATCTTCTGGCCCTTCATGCGACAAATCATGTCTTGAAGACGCGCGACCGCGTTCTCAAGAACAACGCCCGCTTGGCCAAGGAGCAGGATACCGACTTGGATGTTCGGGATCAGGGCTTCACCCGGCCCAAGGTGCTGTACCTACTGCCCACCAAACAGGCTTGTGTGCGGGCGGTGGACGCCATCACGCGGTTGTTCCAACCAGAGCAACAGGAGAACAGGAAGCGACTTCTCGACACCTTCTCGGCCGCCGATGACAAGTCATGGGAGAACAAGCCGGATGACTTCCGCGACCTGTTCGGGGGCAACGACGATGACATGTTCCGCCTTGGTCTCAAATTCACGCGGAAGACTGTAAAGTACTTCGCCCAGTTCTACACATCCGACATGATTCTTGCCAGTCCGCTCGGACTGCGCACGATCATGGACCAAGCCGAGTAAGTACTTCCGTTCCCCCCACCTACGAACGTGACCCCGTCGGTTACTGACACCACCCGCTACAAGTGCCAAGAAGCGTGACCACGATTTCCTGTCCTCGATCGAAGTCGTCATCATCGACCACGCGGACGGCCTGCTCATGCAGAACTGGGATCACGTCGACTACATCCTCAAGCACCTGAACCTGCAGCCGCGGGAGGCGCACGGCTGCGACTTCAGCCGCGTGCGAACATGGTACCTCGACAACCAGGCGCGCCACGTCCGGCAGATGATCATGCTGTCGTCCTTCCTAACGCCGGAGATGAACTCGGCGTTCTCGACGCAGATGCAGAACGTCAGCGGCCGGATCAAGGTCTCGCCCATCTACTCCGGCGCCATCGGGGAACTGCCGCTGCCGGTGTCGGTGAAACAGACCTTCTCGCGCTTCGACAGCCTCTCGCCGGCGAAGGATCCGGACGCGCGGTTCAAGCACTTCACGACGACGGTGCTGACGTCGCTGGTGCGCGACATCGCATCGGGCCGAGGCAAGAGCGGCGGCGGCGGCGGCACGCTGATCTTCATCCCATCGTACCTGGACTTCGTGCGGGTGCGCAACTACTTCGCCACCTCGACACAGACGACCAACGTCTCATTCGGCGCGATCAGCGAGTACACGGACGTGCGCGAGGGCACGCGCGCGCGCACCCACTTCGTGCAGGGCCGCCACTCCGTGCTGCTGTACACGGAGCGTATCCATCACTTCCGGCGGTACCAGCTGCGCGGCGTCAAGCGGGTCATCATGTACGGCGTGCCCGAGAATCCGACCTTCTATGCCGAGATCGTGGGCTTCCTGGGCTTGGATCCCGCCCAGCTGGCCGAGGCCGTCGAGGGCGGCGTGCGCGCCCTGTTCTCCAAGTGGGATGCCCTGAAGCTGGAGCGCATCGTCGGCACGAAGCGGGTTGGGAATATGTTGCGCGAGAAGGGTGGAGATACCTTCACCTTCATGTAGATTTGTTCTGTCGGTTGGAATAGTATAGTAGTCATCATATATCATACGGCCGGCTCGGCGAGAAGTCCGATACCGCTCTCATTTCAATACCGCTGCATGGCGCGTTTCTTCAAACCAAGTCCCTATTATTTACAACAGAAAAGAGAGAAGAGCTAGTATCTACTCCAACACCTCCTAATCCACGACCTTGCGCAAAATGTATAGTAAAAACCTTAGCGCGCAGATCCTTCACCCCATCCACGCAAAACCACTCGGCTCCTTCACCGACATCCGAACCACCACGCCTAGATCGGAAGAAGGAGGGAGAGAATCGACTCCCCAGTAAGATTTCCGTCAGCCAAAAGTCACGCTCCATGCCTAAAACCCGCAGAAGATCCCCCCATTCCAGTTTGGAAGAATTTTGCTTCTTTTGATTCAGAGCTCAGCTGATTAGTGTTTCTGTCGAATCATACCTTATCTCCTCGTCAAGGGCGCGAACGCGGTGATTAGTCAGTCATTGGCTGTTGATTGGGGAGCGTGATATCTTTTTTCTTCTCGCTTTTTTTTTTTTTTTTCTGTTCTCTCTCTTCCAATTCTTCGTTCTGTTGTTCCTTTATATTCATAAGCACGTTGGCCTCTCTTTTCACGGAAGGGTTTCGTTCCCAGCTAGGGCTTGAGGTTATATAGTGATACAGTGCTTCACAATTATCGAAACTGTGTATCATTTTCCTTATCGCCCCTGCGCCCCTCCCCCAGATCGGATCTATTAGAGGGACTCTCCCCACAATTAAAATTTCTTGACATATACGATCCCGAACCAAGGGTAATAGGCAAACAGACTTTGGGGGAACACAAACATGGCCACCTGCGTCAGTCCTCGATCCCACGAGGATCCGAGCCACCGGGAGACGATAAGAGGCACGCCCACCGAGCAGAGTCCCCTGCTGTCTCGCTCGTCACCAGCCACAATGCCGGATGATTTGACCTCTACTTCGTCCGACCACCAGACGGCCTGGTGGTCTTCCCTGCAGGAGCTTTGGGTGCAGGGAAAGGGAATGATTTTGGTACTTGGGGCCCAGTTCTTCGGCGCCACGATGAATGTCATGACGCAGGTCTTGGAGATCAAGGGGAATAATGGGAAGGGATACCATCCTTTTCAGGTATGTCTGCGTTGATTCCTATCCTGGTCGTGTGCTGGTTCCTGTTTGAGTTTCTTGTGCAGCACGAGTACGTTCTGACGTTAGTGGACTGCTAATCCTTGCGCAGATCCTCTTCGCACGCATGTCCATCACTGTCATAGTTAGTTACCTGTACATGTGGTACACCAAAGTGCCGCATCCATTCGGAACCAAGCCGATCCTGTGGCTGCTGTTCCTACGTGCCAGCGGCGGCTTCTTCGGCGTCTATGGGCTGTACTATTCAGTCCAGTATCTGCCTCTGTCCGAGGCCACGGTCGTTACCTTTTTGGTCCCCATTCTTACCGGGTATGCCTGTTCGCTGTTCATCCCTCGTGAAACGTTCACCCGCAAGCAATTACTGGCTGGGGTGGTATCCCTGGCTGGAGTCATTCTGATTGCCCGCCCGTTTGCCTTTCTGCGTGTGGGCGAGGAGACCGACGATGGAGAAGCCGGCGATAAGCCCGGCGCGACGGACAGCTATCACCATGTTTTGGCGATCGCCGTCGCTCTGCTGGGGGTCCTCGGAGCCACCTGTGCTTACACAACCATCCGTATGATCGGCCGGCGCTGCCATCCGCTCGTGTCTGTCACCTGGTTCTCTTCGTACACGACCGTCGTGTCCTCCCTCGCGATGCTGCTGGTCCCGTCCATTTCCTTCGCGGTGCCGGTTACGTTGTTCGAATGGACTCTGCTACTCGGCCTCGGAGTCTGCGGGTTCCTGTTGCAGTTCCTCCTCACAGCTGGCCTGTCATATGTCCCGCCGGCACGGACACCCAAAGATCTCCCAGATGGCTGTGAGTCGAGTGCATATGGCACCCAAGCGAGCGGTCGCGTGGAGGATGAAGAACAGCAGCAGCAGCAACTCGAAACCAAACCTCCTGCCCAGAAGACCTCGTCGGGATCCCGCGCCACGTTCATGATCTACACCCAGATGCTGTTCGCTCTGTTCTATGACCGCATCGTCTGGGGTAGCACTCTTTCACCTGTGAGCTGGGTCGGATCGGGGTTGATCCTGGGCTGTGCCATTTATGTGGCTGTTGCGCGCGAGGAACGTAAACCTGAGAGTGCTGCTGCTGAGACCGGCAGCAAGAACGACGTCACGGCTGCAGCACCAGCAGACGTGGAGAATGAACGACCGGAGGTAGGCGGACAGAGGTAGGCGAGCAGAGGTAAAGGGTGGCATGCAGCTAAAAACGCACATCTGCAAGTGAGCACAGCAGAGGGGGAAGATCTGAGGGATTTGGCCATGGGTCAACAGAAATCTGCTCAAGTTGTGAGCAGCAAGGAATGCCCCCGACAGCGGATTCGGCTAGTGCGGGGTGATTCCAATAAAATGGAGGCAAGCGACACGATAGAAGAGAATTGTGGGGTTGCCTTACCGTGCTGCATACACACAGAGTGCAGTAGTAGGATGTATTATAGGAGGTGAGCGACAGCGGGAAATTGGTATGCATGAGTTATATAATGAATGGATGAGATGATGATTGAAGAATGGTGTCCTGTACACTGTACGGAGTATATACGGGACTACTGTAGGCAAATCCCAAAGAGGAAGGTGTGGGGCAGGCGGTGGAGCGTTACTTCGCTTGACTTGCCTTTGTCCAATGACCGACAACGGGTGGGTTTCTGTCGATCCGGGGGTGGACTCTTCGATTTTACTATGAATCACTACATCAGTACATCTCAATCTACTAAGTACCTCACTCTCTTCCGATAACTGCCATAAAGTATGAACTGATCACTTCAGCAAACTAAGTAAATAGCGCAGCCCATTACCTCAAATTTGAAGAACACCGAAGAGCCGCCCGGTATGCCGCAGCACATCTCCCTTCGAAGTTCGGCACGGAGCACTCTCGTCCTATGCAGCCATGAAACCCTAACACCCGCAACAGCCCCTGCCAGAGAATGAGGCCTTATCAAACAAAGGGTGTGATTGGACGCCACGACGTCATCTATTGCTCTTATTACCGATGAGACAACGGAAGAGCCCGAGAATGACCGCGAACGGCGGTGATTGGGAAGAGTTTGATGCTGTGGCGTTACACTTATATCTAGGACGATATCTGGAAAGGGGGAGGGGGCTATATAGAGTGCGTGCGTAGCAGCCGTTTATCTTCTTCTGCAGAGTTTCCTCCATGAGCCAATCCTTCCTCCCTTCCTTATACCCCTCACCATAGATAGATAAATAGATCCCATAATGCGACACTTCGACACCTGGCTCGTCCGCGACCCCTACTCAATAACCCAATACTACCCCCCCGAACGCACAGGAGGACGCTGGTGGTCCAAAGCCATCCGCGAACTAATCTCGACCAGACAAATCTGCGCTCCAGCGCCGTCCCCAACCCCAGTCCCCGTCTCACACTCCCAAACACAAACCAAACCGCAAACCAAAAGCCCCCTCTTCACGCACCTCCCCCCCGAACTCCGCCTCATAATCTGGTCCCACGTCTTCAACATAGACCCCAACACACCGTCAGTCCTGCACCTGGTGACCATCCGGAATAGAATCCATCACGTCCGGTGCGCGCATCCGCATCCCTGCGCAATCGACCAGAACCGGCGGTGTTGTCCCGCTAGTGCGGCCAGATGGCGGACCGACGTTCCCCTGTCCACCAGCTCCAAAGACCTCGCAGCAGAAAAGCGAATCCAGACACAAACAGACGAAAGCACAAAGCTCTACCCACACACCCACCCCGCGCTCCCTTCGCACCTCAGCAACGGAAACCCAAGTCTCCTGCGCACTTGCCGCGCGATCTATAACGAGGCGGCTCCCCTGCTGTACGAGACTGTCACCTTCGATGCGGATGATCTGGGGACTTTGATTGCGTTTTTGGGGCAGGTTAGTCCGGGGTGTTTGAGGGTCGTCAGGGGGGTGAGGGTGCAGGTTGTGCCTTTGGGGGGATTGTTTGGTTCTGATGCCACTGGCAGCGGAGGTGGTAGTGGGAATGGTAGTGGGAATGGCAACGGTGGAAGTGGGAATGGGATTGGTGACGCCGGTCCAACGACAAACAAAAGCTACAATATCCACACCCACACACACTCCCCCCACCTCTGGCGCACCCTCTGGCACTTCATCGCGACCCGGCTTCTGAACCTCGATGACCTGTCCCTCTGCATCGACCTCGGGCGGTTCATTGGGACGGCGCAGGGGGGTGTTGTTGGAGGTTTTAGGATTCCGCTGGAAGAGACGGCGGAGTGGGTGGCGCCGCTGCTCAGGGTGCGGGGTTTGCGGCGGTTTGAGCTCGGGGTTACGGCGCGGTGTGATGCCGGGGTGCGGGCGGTGGTGGAGGGGGAGTTAGGGATTGACAGGCTTGTGAGGTTGCGGGAGGGGATTCGGGGGGTTGTTTGTTCGTCTAGGGGGTTGGTCTGTTTGGAGAGGGATATGGATGATGATGGGGAGGAAGCTCAGACAGAGGGGTGGACGCGGAGGTTGGCTATTTGCTCTGCTTGAGGTGATAGGTTGGTCTGGGTGATTACAGTACAGCTAAATAGAGGGATAGATAGACAGACGGTGATAGACCAGTTTAAGTGAGTTAGATACCCTGCAAATATCATGCCAGTCGAGACAGTAGATCAATCACATGCATAGCTACAATCTCACACAGACCGAAATTCAAACGCCATTCATCTATAACAATTTGACCTTTGTACACAAGCATATTAAACCCTTCCCTTCCAGCCATCCCAAACATGATAAGTAAAGATAAGACAAACCAAGTCAACCAAGAGTCCCAAGCTACCACCCGGAACATTAGAAATGATACACCCTCCCCAGGCAAATGTACACACTTGACTACCCAAGCCCCATTCCAAGACTGGTGCATGCCCATTTCCTTTCGCTTGAGACATCGCGGAAAGAAAGTCATTACTCTTCAGAACCACATGGGAGCAATCAAAGAAGGAAGAAATTTTGATGTCCAATTTCAAAGTTAGGCTCATACCCAAACCGGTCTTTTTGCTAACCTTACATTATGGAGGGTGGTGTGAGAGTCTGGACGAGAAAGACATGAACCGAAGGTAGGGTAAATTAGGGGAGGGAAGGGGAAACAAAAGAATTGAGAGAGGGAAAAATGGGTCATGAAGAAAGAAAGAGAAACCGCTCAAGCCCGGGCGTCAGCTGCATGTTGTTGTTCATACTCATGTTCTTGTTGAAGCTGTTGTCCGCTGCTGCGCTCTGCTTCTGATTCATGGTCTTCCTCGCTTGTGGGAGAGGGCGCCCGGCTGCCCACTAGGGACTGGCGGCTACGCATCTGGATCATCAGAGTTAGTTGCGCGCATTTAGATTGTATCCTTGCAGAAAACTCACCCATGATCGAACACCACCAATCAGACCCAGACTGTACCCAGTCGCAAAGTAATCAGGCTCATTCCGGCCGGTGCCCATCGGGCTCTCCGGGCGACCGAGAGCCTCAACCCGCGAGACGTGCGACTTGTTGCCGAGCACAGGACTGGTCAGGCCACTGCGCGAACCACCCAAATCCACGCTGTTTCGGGTGCTGGGCGCCGGGCTGCCGGGACGGCTGTTCTGCCAGAACTGACGCAGCTCACGACCCAATTCTTGGCCGGTGGTGGTCCAGTTGGTCCGGATGTTGTCGCGCAGCTCGGCCACATGGCGTTTAATCTCCAGCTCGTTCTTCTTGATCCAGGACACGTTCAACTCCTGACGCGAGGCACCGCGCTTGAATTGTCGGGAAATGTACCGGTCGTAGTCGCGGACAATTCTGGGCGAGGTCAGCCTGAGACTCCTTTTTTGTTTTCCAGACTCCAAGCCTACCTAGTAATGATTCCCGTGGTGCTGACACCTTCCGTGCGCTGCGTGACGAGGAATTTCCCTTGTCGCTTGATCGGGGCGTAGATGTCGTCTCCCTCATCCGCACCGTACGGCAGATCGTCATGTGCCACATAATCGATCTGGTGCTCATCGAGGAACTCGGTGGTCAGGATCCAGGGACAATCGGGAACCACTTCATCCACCCATTTACAGTGTCGCACGGATTCTGCACGCTCTGCCCCACTCAAGACCGTCAAGCCCTTGCGCTTATGTGTTTCCTCATCACCTGTCACACCCACAATAAGATATACATCGGGGAAAGCCTTCTTCGCCTGCTCCAATTGCCGCATGTGACTGTTCACCAAACCAATTAGCCCCTGGCTGTTCCAATGGCAGGATTTGAGAAAGAGAGAAAAGGGCATACCCCAAGTGAAACAAATCGAACACTCCATCCGCATACACCCGCACCGGCCGACCTACCGGAGGCGGATTGGTGTGATAACCGACGGGATCCTGTATTCCACCGCGCTCCGGCGGCTTCAACAAGTGCTCCGGGGGCGTCGTCGTGTCGACCTGCAGGCCTGGTCGGCCGCTCTGGTTCTCGATGTCGCTGCTGGCCACGGTGGTCTCAGACGGCTCGCCCGGATCCTCCTTGTTTAGCGCTCCGGTCGCCGCATTGCCGTTGGATAGGTGGCCGTGGTTGTGGTCGCTGACGGAAGCCTTCCGGGCCCGCTTTGAGGGGGGCACAGCGCCGGTCGATGTTACGTCCAGAGACGGTTGTTTCTTGTGCTTGCTCGGACTGGGCAACGGGATGGCTGGGCCCGTGGAGTCGTCGCCCTCCTCGCCGGACGCGTCGCGGGAAGAAGGTTGCAGGAGATCGGCAGGCGCAGGGACAGCAGCAGAGAGATGTTGCGAGCCGCTGCGCTTGCGTTTGCCGGACGGAGGAGAGGACATGGTGGCTGACCGAGGGAGCACAGCTCTACTTCTGTCGAGGAAGAATTAGGGGAGAGGAGTGGGGGAGGAAAGAAGAAAAAGAAGAGGGGATGGGGGAGGGAAGGAGAGTGAGAGGAAGGAAAGGAGAGGAATACGGACGGAGAAGAGGGTCCGAGAGGAATGGAGGAAGATGGAAGCAAAAGGGGAGAGAGAAGAGGTGAGACAAGAAGAGAGAGGATGACGAGCGAGAGTGGAAGTGGAAGTGAGCAGAAGCCGGGCGGGAGGTCCCGGTGGAGGTGCAAAACACGGGCTCAACTAAACAAACTTTCCTCTTTTTAACGGAGCTTTGATTAACCCGAACGGGAGAGAAGACAGGACCCTGAATCGACTCCGAGGGGAAAATGCAGGAATTGAAACTCAGGGGAGAGAGAACTGCCAGCTGCAGTGGATAGATAGATAGAAAAAGAACGAGCGCGAAAGAATCAAAACTCTGCGGGAGCGCATCGGCAGAAATGCCAGGCAGGGATCCCAGGCAGAATCCGGTTAGTATGGTGTACTGTACTACATGCAGTCTATTAAGTGATGCCACCGCCTCCTCTCCTCTCCCCCCCCCAAAAGGGTCCATCCTTTGCCCCAACAATTCCTTAGCTGTCCGAGTAACTAGTTAACTAACTAACTAGTAAGTACTCCAGGCTCCAGCTCGTAAGTAGTTTCCCTCCTAGTTAACATCCACAACAACTAATCATCCTTCCAACGTTCATTCTTCATCCTTCTGTTTCAATAATGAGCCATTGGTTCAATATCTCCGGTCCAGAGTGGGGGCTCTTACCATGTCCCAGTCAATTTATAACAACCTCATCTCCAAGAACTCCAATCTAAGTATCCCCAATATGCACTAGCTGTAATAGGTAAAGCCCAGTCGCTTATACTTCCTTTCTCCTGAGGTAAACTGTATTGCATGCTACTCGTAGTAGTTCCAGATAAGAGCTCAAGGCAACTTGCGACCATTGTCGTTGTAGCCTGAGCTGGGCTCGCGCCCGGCATTTCTGGTCTACCAGGTTCTGTGCCCTCACCGCAGCTGGCAGTCAAATGGGCATGGGCTACTATCCAACTGATGCACCAGGACGGAATCAAGCTCAGTCATCACTGACTACGATCTACGCGTCAGACACGAAGGGGAACAGCCAACGGTTTCTATATGCATAGCAAATGAAAAAGGACATCAGGTACATGACCGTATCCATCCCATTCCAGAAACTCCGCTGCTGAAGGAAGCTGTCGAGTCCATGTGCCAGGCTATCGCGTACAAGTCCCACCGTGATGCGATACAGATCTTCCGCAGACGCCGTTCTCGCAAGATGCGTGCCCATTTCCCTCGGGGGCAGTCAACTACAACTGACCTATCTTCCCGGTTTACACGCCGGCTACGCCCTCCGGTGGATCCGGGACAGAAGGACCGTGCTGCTGCTGCTGCCGCTCGCGCCGACGAGAAAAGAGGAGGTAGTATAGAAGGAGAGCGAATAGGAGAGGGACCGAAACAAGGCGTAGTAGAAATATCAAGGTTCATCAACACTGGGCGTTTTGTGCGGTATCTTGGGTGTCAAGGCATGAAACAGACGTGATCTCGTGAGACCTGCCGCTCGCGGCTTCGAATGTGAAATAGAAAAAGAAAAGCTGGAACGAGAACCTCCCCAATCCGATCCTGAAGACTCACCCCGCAAGATATGACAGAGCTGTGTAGGGAGAGCTTGACAGTCGCACTTCTCCGCAAGTTTCATTCCGTCCGCAATCACCAGCCAGTCAATGTCAGGAAGCTGGAATGATGTAGAGTAGGGTGTAAATTTGGAAGAGAGATAACATGGCGCTTCGGACAACATGAAGAGAACAAAACAGAAAGAAAAAAAGAGGCGAAGAAGGGCGACACTGTCAAAGAATCACACGAGGATCAGGAAACCCAAAAGAAAAAGAAGACATCAACAGTGAAAAAATATGCAACAGATCCATCCCATCATAACTACTAATTAGTAGGTTTCTGCGGCGTTCCATGGGCACTGGTGGAAGAGCTCTCCGCGGTAGAAGACGGCGACTGCGAGATGGTGGCAGCTTCATCAGCTTTGGGGGTGCTATCCTTGGATTGTGGCCCGGGGGTTCCTTCACGATCGCCCCGTCCCGCATCGGAAGAGTCCTGGTGCACCTGATTGCCAAGGTCCCGATCCTCCTCAGTGTGGTCAAACAGCTCGTCGTCATTTTGCTCCGGAATCAACTCTGTGCCGTCCCCCAGGAGAATAATGCGGCCCGAGCGGACACTGAAGCCACGGGAACGATCGTTTTCCACGTCATACTCATCTGGGTTCTCCTCGAACTGATTACGGATGCCAGGGCCGCGGAACTCAGCTGCACCCCCGGGTCAGTCAGTAGGAGTTGGGATTGGAGGCCTCGGGTTCCTCGAGAGACTTGCCGTACTCGGGCGGAGCGCAAGGGCCGTCGCCGTTCGCCACGCGCTCAGCGATCTGGTTGTACCACTCCTCTTTGGTCCTACCGTTCAGGAGTCCAATGATGATCATGGTCATGTTGTCGCATCCAACGCCGCCGGTTTCGCTGTTGGAAGCCAGGCAGTTGTCCATCATGTTCTCACAGATGCGGTGGAGGTCCTGCTTAGCGGCAATACCGCGACGAACGAATTCGACCACGGCCTGCGAGGTTTGGCAATCCCAGATACCTAGTTACACATCAGCACTCGTTAGCCAAAGCTAACTGAACACGCGAAAAGAGACACACCGTCGCAAGCAATAACGAGGAACTCGTCGTCGTCGGCAAGGTCGTGGACGGTGACATCCGGGTAAGCGGTCACGATTTGCTGTTCGGGCGACAGCTCGGGGCTCTTCTTAAATTCGAAATCTCCAATGGCACGGGACAGGGCCAAGTTGCCGTTGACACGGCCAAAGTCGACAAAGCCGCCTGCAGCGCTGATACGGGCTTTCTCGCCTATTTTTGATATTTCAGTATGGCCAATTCTATCCCAAGCAACGCAGTCTCAAGCTACTGACCTTCGTTCTGAGGCTTGTGATCAAAGGATAGGGGCTTAGCGCGGCCCTTCACACCGAGCACGGAGCGGGAGTCACCAGCATTGGCCTATGCACAATCAACAATCAATCCGATGATCAGCTTCCGCGTCTCCGACAGGATGATTGATATACATACCACCCAGATCTTGTGCTTGGAGATAACGCTAACGGCCGCAGTGCAGCCAGACACTTCTTCCTCGTATTTAGGATCTAGCCGAGTCAGTCCGCCGTCGGTTCGAATAGGGGAAAGAGAGTCGTTCGACTCTCGGACCAAGTGCTCACGAACCTTCCAAGATAGCGCGGTCGGTAGCAAGGAAACCGTCCTTCAAAGCTTGCTCGATATCGCCCTTGGCGAAAGCATCCTGCTTTGCGACAATCTTGTGGACATTCTCTCCGGCGAATAAAGCTACTTTGTCACCACCGTGCCCGTCGTATACACCAAAGAACGCGAGACGTTTATCGGGATCGGTAGATTCGTTCTGCTCCGAGAACTTGGCCTGGAGGTCTAGCACGGCCGCATGGGCATCCTCCATGCTGATCCGCCAGCCCTGCATGGCCGAGACACCGTATATACAACACTCATCCTGGCCTTCAGCCGAGGTCTGGACAATGCTCGATCAGATTAGCGGGGCTTACGAAGAAGGAACGCGAAGAGAAGGCAAAAGTGACAGGTCACCCGCTCGGATGCCGCCTGCAGGAATTTTCATCATCCTGTGGAGGGACCCCGCAGACCTGGGAAGATCACCACGCTGCAGCCCCTCCGACCACCAAAAGAAGTGATCACACGGAGTTGGCTGTGACCCAAGGTAGTGGTAGAGGAGTCGGTTGAGTAACTCATAAATATTGGGAGAGGATGGGAGAGAAAATGGTTGCGCGATGTGGTAGGGGAGAGTGGTTATAGCAATTGCGTAAGGCCCGGTTGCAGTGTGGGGGGACGAAAGGCAAAAGCATTGCTTCAGTTCACGTACCTTATCGACCACGGGCTCGGACAAGGTCTGACCCATGATATTTGAGGGGAATTTGTGTTTAAGAGGAATGCGCGAAACGAAGTATTGTGTTCACAAGGTAGGAGGGGGAGGGGAGAAAGTCGAGAGGTCAAACAGGAAGGGAAAAGTTTAACACACACGGAGGGTATCTGAGGGGGAAATGAGAAGAGCCACTGAACGAGATCAGGTGGAAAGAGGGACTAGACTAGAGCGGGAGTAGAGGGAGAGGGAGATTGGGTGAGCGAGAGCGAGAGAGCAAAGGGAGGGAGGAAGAGAGGGAGAGGGAGGGTAAGGGCAGAATGACTATTAGGGGAGGCGGCGTGACGGAACACTTCTCAGCAGAAAGACATGAGTCGGTAGCTGCCTGCAAAAATTAGGTAGCGATGGTGGTGTAAAGTAGGAGTAAGAAGAGTTACTTAGTAGGTAGTTAGCCTGGGGCAGCAGTGAGCAATCATCCTAAAAAGGACAATACCGGGGAGTGCCAGTGATTGCAGTGAGCAATGAGTGGGGAACCGATTCAACGATGACGATACTCTGTCCACCTAACCAGTGGAAGATTGGCTGACCTTTCTTCCCCTCCCCGATCCTGTCCAAGATCTGTTACTACTGTGTTCAATTACCACGGCTGACGAGTACCACGCGGAATGCAATGGAATTATGACAGCAGTGGCAGAAAAGGGGCGAAGATGAAGGAATTTTAGGATCAATCACAGTCCAGTCGAAAGGCTAAGTGAGGGGGTGGGTGGTGAATGGTGTCACAGGTTAGGGATGAGGTTTTCGGCATTAAAATCTTCGAATCACAAGGGCATCAGGAGCAGTCCTAGCAGCTGCAGTGCAGGCCAGGCAGATCGACAGGCAAACCCACAGAAGTCTCGAATCTCCTTTCACGACATCATAAGTTCGCCAGGCTCTCTACATCCAATACTACTTCGTATCTACTTACTTCTAGGTCATTAAGGTACAGTACTATTGTTGGCTGCTTTGGGTGGACCGCCTGCCTGTCGCGTGCCTCCCACCCCAGGCAGTGCCGAAAACAGTACAATTCGAACCGCTGTCGGCCGACTCAAAGAAAAACATCTTCACTGAATCACAGACGAGCTAGCAGATCTCCTGCACGCCCTCTTCTCGCAATGCCGCAATTCGTGCATACACCAAGCATTGAACTAGAGTTTGTGCCTGCTATCCCAAGCAAGGGACTTTCAACCACCTGGCTGACTGGCCTGCACGGGCAACATGAGATCGCTAGCAAGCCTGCTTCAACCGGTAACTCCCTTAGTATATTCACACGAACCAGGATTTCGTATCCGAAGCGTTGCTCAGAATTCGCGACAAGTATTTCAATGCCCTTCATCACCTCGTATATTGGCGGATGTCAAAAGGACGAACCGAGCTTGATCCATCGACCCCCATACCTTGCTTGAGTAGTTGCTACTTATCCCAAACGAGTAGTAGGTGGTAAAACTAATGCCACTTGTCGCAAGGACTCTTGTCATACCTTGCTCAACAACTGTACCTGGAGTGAAAGCGCACAAGGCAACCAACGTCTGCAACTTAGCCTGGAGATGAAGCCAGGAGTCCCGATTGGCAGCGCTCATTCGAGTTCAATTCGTACTGGTGAGCTAAGCAATTATTTACCGGCTATCATTGTAGACATCCCCCGAGTTAGTCTCCATAGCACAATACTGGAAGGTCTCAATCTGCATGGATCGCTCTTGCAGTTTGGGGTGACGATGGTGACCGCCTGGGGGAGATCATGTGGTGAACCCGGTGTCTTCGCTATCTTGCACATATAATGAATTCCCTTCCATCACCACCCCTGAAGGTTCCATGACGTGCTGCAACATGGCCATCTGTTATCGTTGAGGCAATGTCTGCCCTGGACATATTCCCGCTCTGAGAAGAACAGCAAGAGCGGTCCAGCCACCATGGAGCCCCCTGCCTCGGCCAGTGCGAGCGTTGTGTTGAAGAGCCCGACATGAGTTTCTGCCACTAAAGCGCTTCCAACGCTCCGCAATGTCGTGTAAAACCCCCACCCAAGAGCCGAGAAAGATAACCCTATACCGAAAAGAGCCGGATGAGCCGCGACTGACATGACACCGAAGCCTGCTATCAGTACACAGATACTGGACTGTGTGATTCGGAGATCTCTTCGTATCGGGGAGAGGTAGTTTCCAAGGACCTTGGAAATGAGAGGTAATATGACAAGAAAGGCGACAAGGTTGACAACACCTTTCAGGCTGATGAGGAATGTAGCCTGTGGATTCCTTCTGTCAGTGGATCTGAATGTATCGCTTTACACTAGCAAGAGCATACCTCGGCCACACTCCACATGAAACGCTTGGAAGCATATTGGAGCACAAACTGAAGCGCCTGGCTACCAATGCTCGACATCAAGAAAGCGAAGAAGATAGCCAAGGTATTGGCACTGGAAAGATTATGATTACCTTTTATCCACAAGAAAGACATCTGCAATGACGATCCAGGCAACGGAACTAGCAATCTGGCTACCACCCCCAAACATCTGGAACAACGGCGTAAACCACACTGCTTCAAGTGGGATGCTTGCATGGTACCAACCTGAGATGCACATCAGCATATACTCATTGTTTGAACTTCGAAGATGCTCACAGATGAGGCGGACGGCGCATTCCTGCATGATATAACTCGCAACGCTGAGAATCAAGACTGGTTTACGTCCGACCTGATCCGCCATCAGGCCAAATGGGATGGCCAGGATCCTTCCGGGGAGCTGACTGAAGGTTTCCTTCCAACCTAATAGTAGAGCCAGTTCACCTTGCACGTCAGAGGACTTGCAGAGAGACTTGGCTGTTTCATCGAGGGCACTGGCAAAGAGTTGGGGATGCATGCGCTAGCATATGACGTTCTCGAATATCTGCAGCTGCGGCGCAACAGAAAGAAATTCGCCAAAGTCCAAAGTGACGATGATGAGACACACAAATAGAAGTATCCATTTAGACCTTGTGGGCGTGCTCTTAGGAACATGAGAGCACACATACGCACACTGCATACTACATCGAGGGAGGAGCAAGGAAGAGATAGTCGAATTCCACCAAGCGCAACCAGAAAGGTGCTATTGCGAGCTATTTAGCCGCATTGCAAAGCAATGCGCTAGGCGAGATGAGTCCCCACTTTGATATAGGTCAAGTGTCTTATCTGCGTCCAGAAAAGTCAGCGGAGACAACAATCAACCTCCGGAGTGATGGATTGATTATGCGGGTTACATTCAGGATCAATGGTGCGAGCCTATAGGTCCATCCATGCACCTGAAACCTTACGCGCTACTAAGCTCCAGCCCATTCCCGCACGTCGTCCCGTATATTGACTTGGCCCGATACATGGTTGCCTGCTGCTTCGTTGAAATTGTCATTGGATTCACAGAATTCATATTATTTTGATTAGGGTAAACAGGCACAAAGGAGGGCATCAGAATGAACATGGTACAAAATATGGACGGTGGATATCATGCTCGCCGAAGACTTGTCTAAAACAAAACCCACAAACAAAATGCAAAAGACGACATGAAAAACAATTGGGTATGTATAGATTCACCTCAGTCATACAAAAGCGATGTCACTTCTTACACTCCCCGTCCGCTCCCTTTGGATTTCCCTCTGCTCATTCCAGTCCCGGTCCGCCGATCGGATCAAGCTCACCCGACGCGATCGAATCTCGTATGGCATGGAAGATAAAGAAGGGCTCTTGCGGAATGGTGGCAAGGGAGGAGGGTCCGTACTAGGGGCCTCGCCCGGCGCGTTCGACGCGACCTGAAACCATGTTCGACCATTTCTATGGGGTCGACGCTCATTGTTCTGTGGATCAGTCGGTCCGGGGTACGCATTGTTGCCGGCGTCGCCGCGTTGAGCACTGGTTAAGCTTAACTCGCTGTAAAAGCGGGGTAGCGGAGCAATCGCCTCGGAATAGTTCTGGGCGAGACTCGATTGACTGGGTTGCTTATCCATGGGTCCCGACAACGGCAAATCCGAGGATTCTTCCGACAGCGAATGGAGGTACGCCGACTGGCGGTGGTCGTCGGTATAGATGGAGGCGGACATCGCAGTCGACCAGGGGCGGTCAGACTGCCGGTAGTCATCGACATACTGGGAACTGGCGATCGTGTCCGCGCGACTGACTGTACTGCGCGCCCGATGGAGAGCGCGGCCGCCGGATGAGCCACGCCGACCGAACTGGCCCGCAAACAAAGGATTGGAGGAGTTTCGGCTCTTCGCGCGACTTTGAACGAAGGCCTCCAGCGAGTCCGTATCGGAAATGGTCAGAGTGTCTGGCTCGACTGCGCGGAGGCTCACCCGCTTGGGATATTCCGTGCTTTCGTGGGCTCGGAGGGGCGGGCGAGGGAACAATGGCGCTAGGTTGCCAACGTCGCTCTCGTCGCTCTGGAATGAGGCTTGGGTGTTCTGCCAGGAGACACGGACGACTCCATGTCCCGGAGGCCCGAAGCCACCGGCCCCATGGCCAGCACCACTGAGTCTGACAGGTAGCCCTGAAGCAACTGTGGAGATGCCGCTGGAGCGCTTCGAATACCTTTTTGAACGCGATACTGTCGAGTTACGCTTAAGTGATTTTCTGGGCTGGATCGGTCGCAGTGGTTCTCGCTTCTTGGAAGTAGTCGTGGTGCGCCTGCGCACAGGGGGACTGCTCTGGAACGACAACCTTTTTGGCTGTGGCGGTGCATCGGCGACCGGTTTCGGCTCTTCCGGTTCTGTCTTTGCCAGTGGTCCGAAGTCCCAGTCCAGTGTTGAGTGGGGGTAGGCGTTCTCCTTGTCATCCGTATAGATAGTCGCGTCCGTTTCGGCCAGGGGCTTCGTGTGCCAGAAGATCTCGAGCTTCGGGGGTTCCGACGATGGCGACGGACTTCTCACCATCCTTGGAGGCTTGCCTGGGGTAGTCTGTTCAAAAGGTTGGCAGTGTGGGTACATGTCCGAATCGGGATCGGGGCCTGGAGACATCGCCTTCTGGCCTGCATGGCCTTCCTCCGGCCCTGGAGTCGCGCCTTTGCGCTTGTGACGCCAACAGAAGAACAAAAGTACTAGGGAGCTCAGAATGATCAGCGGAACAATGACCGAGATAGCGATGATACCGGCCTTCCTGCCGCTAATGCCACCGCTACTGTGGCTCTGGTCTGCATTGACGGTAGCAGCGGCGTCCTCGTCGGACTTTTTCTTCGACACTGCGTTGATGGTGAACTGCCGGCTATCCTCCGCAGTCTCCTCGCGTGCTGTCAGATTGACGTTGAAAACCCCGGGGCTGATATCGGAAGGTACCTGCCCGTATAATGTCTTGTTGTCGCGGTTATAATGAAGCCAGGGAAGCTGATCACCCATCTCAACATCCAGTTGAACCGAATCGTTGGTCAGAATCGAGCTGTTGAAGGTGAACATGAAGAACTGCCCGATGACAGCGTCGCATTCTTCAATTCCATCGCGAAAGAACTGAGAGAATTGCAGGCTGACGAGTAGTGTCGCCACGTCTTGGAACTTATCAGTCACGGTGATGGTGACATTCTGGTCTGCTGCGTCTGCTGGAGGGGTTCCGCTCAGGGAGATCGAATCCTTATCCAATGACAGCCATTCCGGAGAGTCGTCACGGATGCTTGTCAAGTCAGTTCCTGTCGCTCCGTGGCCATCCAGAGTCAGATCATCGACAAATTTAGGACTCTCAAAGTGTTTGCCTTTGGTGACAAAGAGGGTCTGTGCACTTCGGTTGAAAGACAAGATATGTGGGCTAACGGTCATCGCAAATGTCACGGTAGCGGCGCTGAATCCGGATACGTCTGAAGCGATCAGATTGAAGCTGAAGGTCTGAGGTCCGATGTCTGGGGTAGATCCGGAGAATCGCAAAGCGGCCTGGTCGAATGAGACCCACGATGGCAACGGAGCGTTATCAGGAGAAGTGCCATAATAGACGGTCGAGGGGCGCGTGTTGGTGAACGTGTCATGATCGAATGATAAGGAGAACGAGTCGCCAGAGTGTATGATAAGCGTGTCTGGAGCCGACGTCGCACCGATAGCTTCGAGTTGTGGCAGCAGTGGCTTCCCGAGCTTAGGACCGTCGTCGGTCGTGACAATTAGATTGACCTCCATATTAACAGATCCCGTCTCATCGGACGCCACCAGGTCGAACTTCGGCGATCCAATGTCCCCTTTCTGAGGCGTTCCAGATATCGTACGGTGCTTGCCATCTAGCTCGAGCCATGACGGGGCATTGGAAAGCGTGTATTGCGTGTTCGGCCCGCTGCCAGCAAACGTGCCCTGAGAGAAAACAAATTCAAATGGTTCTGAGACTCGGGCTACCGGAGGCAGCTGTGCGTTCACAGGATAGCTCGGTGCCAGACCTGCATTTACCGTCCCCAGGATGCTGAGGAGACCCAACGCGATGAGCGCCATTTCTCCAGAGCTGTGAGAACGGTCGGGACGGATGTCTTCAGCTTCGTATGCGCGAGAGGCGGGCTCGTATATTCGCGCTAAGATAGCATCTGACGACGACGACAACCTAAGGAAGAAGCGACAGTGAGACGTTGAGAGTTGAGTTGTTGAGAGCGAGGAACAGAGGAATTGTTCTGCCCTTAGGGCAGAGAATCTAGCTTCCTCCAGGGCATTCGCGCCCAAGGGCCCAACGGGCACAGGAGAGGCGCGAAGCTTGCATCCCCTTCAAAAAGAGCCATGCCTGGATATGTTTGACGTCACTTGAGTATGGGAATGGTTAGAGATTGATGGTTCACGGCGCGTTAATGCTCACGTTGTGAAATGTAGGCTCTACCCCCCCTCCTGCAAGGGATGGCGACGGAAGGCCAAGGAGCGAATCACCCTCCAACCACCATCGGAACCGTCAGCACCCTGACTCGGAGAATTGGAGGTATTTGACAGATGGCCAGAGGGAAATCGACGCTTTTCCTCTTTGGTTCTGAAGCGACAGGTTTATCGAGGGGCACAGAAGATGTCGCAGGAGTGACAGGGGCCAGCAACAATTCAAGGTCCTCAAGGGCCCATTCGACTACAGATCCAGGACCATCCTAATGCCAGTCCGGCCAGGTCCATAGTAATCGGGAATCTCTTCCCGCTCTTGATAGCCACTGCGGACATACAAAGCTCTAGCGGGAGCCCTGTCCTTGTCCACCCATAGCTGGATATACTGACAACCCTCCTTTTGCAGACGAGTTCGGACATAGTCCATTAGTTGGACCCCTACTCCCTGACGGCGATAAGACTCCGCTACGCAGACCTTATGGAGCAGCGCAAGGCCCTTCTGGCGAACGTAGACCGCATAGGCTAGAACAACAGGCGGGCTTGCGCTTGAAGTTTGCGCTGTCGTCGCATACAGAACCCTCGTGTTGGGCTTCTTGCGCCAGAGTTCCTCCCCAAAGCTCATGCCCTCATTGGCAGGGAAACTTTTCTTCTCGACACGTGCAATCTGAGCAAGAATCTCGCGGGCTTGACTCCGGTCCAGAGAATGGATGTCTGAGAGGTTCAGATCGGTCCACATTCTTGGGAGCGGGCGTACATTCAGGGCTGGTTTTGAAAAGTCAAGGGAAGCAAAGAGATCCCGAAAGTGACAGGGCAAGCCGAAGGAGGGCGGGCTGAAAATGAAGGGAAGTAGTAAGGAGGTTGGTTTGTGAAGGGTAAAATTCAAAGGGGGGGCGGTCTTCAAAATGAGGCTCCGAGAGAGAGGAGGAGGATGTTTTGGTGAAGAACTTGTCGTCTCTCCTACCGGTGTGCCTGTTCGTTATCCAACTTGACATCTGTCTGGCTTTTGCTTGCACAGTTGGTGTCTAATGCATTGTAAAGCTGGATGGTAATCTACCGCCCTGAAATCGCGTAACATATCGTAGTTTTACTTACACAGTACCGTACGGCGATTCCTTCCCGCGAAAGCAAAAGATCGGCTTGATTGATCCCTTGAGAAAGAGTTATCTACATACAAACAATCCATCTACTCGATAAGAAACTACCAAAGATCCCTAGCACGAACATTCCCCATCGCGTTTCACCTATCGTTCCCCTACCCTTAGGTTAGGTTAAGGATTCAAATACCCAGACAGAAACCCTGACAAAAAAAAAACCGATCATGCCTCCGTCCCAAGCCGACGACAAACGCCAAGCAGCCCGCGAAGTCATCGACATTCTTCACGAGATTTCCACCCTCCTGGTAAGTGAGAGTATCTTCATTTTCATTCTTTTCTATGGCAGACGGCAGCACCACCACCTGTGAATTTGCAATTGCACTCGTGTCGGCTGGCTAGGTCACGGTGTTATGCGTCTAGCTAGGCCATGCATATATCATTGCTGTGGACGGTATATCTTATTGATTGATTGATTGATTGATTGATTAACATCTTTATAGAACACCAATCTGGATCGAACGGAACTCTCGCTTTGTGTCTCGCTGATTGAGAATGGGGTTAATCCTGAGGCTTTGGCTGTATGTTTTCCTTCTTCTTTCTGCTTCTTTTTTGTCTGTCTGGATTGGTGGTAGGATGAGACTGCTATAGCGAAGGTTACTTACTGACTCATGGTTTGTATCAGGCTGTGATTAAGGATTTGCGGAAGGAGACTGCCGGTGGTGCTGGCGCGATGGGTTTGGGGGAGCAGCAGCAGCAGCAGCATGAATGAGTGATTGCCAACCGAAAGGGATGGGGGCGCGTGCGAGGGCTTCCGGGGTGGTTTTCGGCCTTGTCTACTGATTGTTGGACTTGTGTGGCTAGTGCTGTGTTTGAGTTTTAGTTCTTCGAGATACCCGTCAATTGTATTCATTTGTTAAATACTTGTGTGTTGAGTTAAGGGGTGGGTATGGTGGTGATGGTGTGCTTTGGTTATGGAAACTGGGTATCTACAAACATCTGGGGGAGGCTGCTTGATAGTATTGTAATGCGAAGCTAACGCTTAAATGCCAATAGATCGGCTCGTAATTCAAATTTAAAATTCGTTTGGATCGCAGTCTCTGGTATCATGATTTCTGGCCGGAAGGACAAATGACACGGTTCTCTTGCTGTAGAAATCATATCACAGTGTACAACCACATAGGCCCGCGGAAACTATTCGGAAGGTAAATGAAAGAGAGCACCCCTATCCCCCGCTACGACTTGCTGGCACCGCCTGTGCTGTCCTTTGATGCCGCGTCGGGCACGGTCTCGACTGTCGCAGCCTTAGAAGGACCCTCCGTGGTAGGTTCCTTCGCTTTCGTGGTGGTGTCTTTCTCGTCTTCGCTATCGCCTAGACTGAATGGATCGTGTTCTCCCACTGGGGAGGGCTCCACGGTGGACAAGGGCTGCCATTTACTGGATTTGCCCGTCGCGGGCGAGGCCCGTCTGATCGGCTCGGACGCATCGTATAGGTTATCGATCTCCGTAGGTGGTCCGTCCTGGAAGGCAACCTTGCGTCTGTCGGGGGAGGGCGAGGAGGTTTTGTACAGGTTAGGGTTGGCGAGCGGGCGGGGAGGACGCGCGGGAGGAGCTGGGAGATGCGTCAGTGACTCTGATCGTCGAGGAACATTTTGCGACAGCCCTACCTTCTGAGTCCCTCAGTTCAAGAGCGGAGAAGTCGTCGCTCAAGACGCGATGGTCCGCATCGTACCGCTCACGGTCTCCACTGCGACGACCCATGTCGCCGCTCCGACGCGGACGGCCGAAGGGATCTTCGCGCTGAGTCTGGGCTGCCGCCGGGCCACTGTCTTCGGGCTCCTCTCCATCAAGCTTCTTCTTCAGGTTGGCCACCCACGAGTTCACCTTTGACTGAGTGTCCAGGAAGCCCTTGCGAATATTCTCACGAATGACGGGCAAGTCGTCTGCGCGGCAGTCATCACTGGTTAGCATCGAGGAACGAGCATGCATCGGTAGGGCGCAACTGACCATCGAAGAAACTGTATTCCTTCTCTTCCGCCTCCTCGTTCCCGCCTCGTCGCCGGTACGCATGTTCGTCCTCATACCGGGGTTGCGGTGCCGCGCGGCGGTTGTAGTGTTCGGCAAGCTGGCGGGCGTACATCTCATCTTGCTCGAGCTGTCTCTGGGCGGCCGACGGACGGGGTGGCTTCGGTGGGGGTGCGTCTTGTTCCGCGGCATTGGGATCGGTCATCCCTAAGAATCAGGTGTTAGTTGGAACAAAGGTAACACTCGTGGCCGGCCAGCACGAACCCAAAAGGGCATGGAAAGCCCGTTCTACATCCCAGTTGCTTGCTACCAGCACTGCTCTCACCACTCCGATGTCGATCGAGGGGAAAGCTTCTTTGAGAGTGGTCTCGGCCTGCTGTCGGGGGCTGACGGGGCGCGGGGGCTTTGGCGGGGCAGCTTCCGCGGCGCGCGGCTGGGCTGGGGGAGCTGAGGGGAAGGTCGAGATGACGCCAGTCTCCTGGGCTTCATCATCGAAATCCAGCGGACGCGCCGTGGTTGGCGACTCCGGTTTGGGGCTGGCTGGCCCTGCGGAGAGTCTGTTGGCTGTCTGGGTTGCCGCTTGAGTTAGTAGCCATTGGTTATAAGGGAGCGGGGGATCTAGAACCTACATTCTTGTCTTCCTCGGACATTATGGACGGTGATGCTGAGGTGTGTCGGGGAGCTAATATGCGCGTAGAAGTATCTGTAGGCTCACAGCCTGAAAATAGATTGAGCTTCGCGGTTTCTGGATTTTATTTTAATGCGCAAAGGAGGAATTCGCCCAACAGGCAGAAAGTAACAGTGGATTGGATGCCCTCGAAACTCCGCCCCCTTTCCGACGGTTCCTGGTGACGTTGCATCACGTGCTGCAGAAATGAGCTGACATAATCACTGGCTGCAATTCCAGTCCAAATGAGCATACATACTTCAAGACGGTTGTTGCAAGGTATACCTTTCGCATTGCGTGAAGCTGTTCACTTACTTGTTGTCTGGCCTGTCTGGACTGCACCCGTGGAGGTGAGAGTCAGTCAAGTAGCCTATACTTCAATCTTGTTGGGCTGTGTTCAATATGTCTCAGTTGGATCGGTCACTTATCGTCAGATCTCATTGTGATTGAAAACTGGGACCATCGGCAAGTAAAACTAGACTAGGCTGATCACCGATCCCTTGGGGCTTCTTCAGCATGGCATCTGAACTCGAACTCGCTTCCGGGTTCATACCTTCCTTGTACAAGCCTGCTGCGCTGCTCCCCATTGCCAGACATAAACAAAGTTTACTCTATCTGGTTGAAACCTATCCAGTCACCATCGTCGTTGGACAGACGGGAAGCGGAAAGACAACCCAGTTGCCTCAATACCTCGAACAAGCGGGGTGGTGCGCAGATGGGAAAGCAATCGCTATCACACAGGTAGATTGTTCTCACCCTTCTTCTATTGCACATGAAACGTTAACAAGAATCATAGCCGCGTCGCGTGGCTGCCACCACTGTGGCAGCTCGAGTTGCCGAGGAAATGCGGTGCAAGCTAGGCGAGGAGGTGGGCTACTCAATCCGCTTCGAGGACCTGACTTCTGCTTCCACTAGGATCAAGTTCCTAACCGATGGGATGCTACTTAGGGAGGCACTCGTCGACCCCTTGCTGTCGCGGTACTCAGTGATCATGGTCGATGAAGCCCACGAGCGCTCTCTCAGCACCGATGTGCTCCTGGGAATCTTAAAAAAGATCATGAAAAAACGCCCTGAGCTGAGAATCATTGTCAGTAGTGCAACGCTACAAGCTGAAGACTTCCTGCGCTTCTTTGCGGGAGAAGAGTTCGACAGTGAGGCAGAGTCTGGCGAGATTGGGGGAAAGGTCGGCAGGATTATCAGCTTAGAGGGGCGCATGTATCCTGTGGATATGCTCTTTCTTGAATCTCCAGCAGAAGACTATGTGGAACGGGCGGTCAAAACTGTTTTTGACATACATCTTCAAGAAGCGGAGGGTGATGTTCTTGTGTTCTTGACTGGCCGGGAAGAGATCGATACAGCTATACAATTGATCTCGGAACGGGCCGCCACCCTCCATCCCAAAGCGCAGTCGGTGCTTCCTCTCCCGCTATACGCCGGTCTCACGACAGACCAGCAGATGTATGTTTTCGAGCCGGCTCCCGAAAACACTCGCAAAGTCATCGTGTCCACAAACATCGCCGAAGCGTCTGTAACCATCAATGGAATTGTGTATGTGGTTGATTGTGGATTTGCTAAGCTAAGAGCTTACAATCCTACCACGGGAATTGAGACCTTGACAGCGGTGCCGATCTCAAAAGCAGCAGCGGTTCAGCGTGCAGGTCGAGCCGGGCGCACCAAGCCGGGGAAGTGTTTCCGTCTCTACACGCAACAGGCATATGAATCCCTCCCAGAAGCGACTGTCCCGGAGATCCAGCGATCGAACCTGGCGCCGGTGATTATGCAACTGAAAGCCTTGGGAATCGACAATATCGTTCGTTTCGATTTCTTGACGCCTCCTCCAGCTGAACTGGTGATCCGTGCTTTCGAGCTTCTGTATTCCCTGGGAGCGGTTGACGACTATGCCAAACTCACCAAGCCTCAGGGTATGCGGATGGCCGAATTAGCTGTTGACCCTATGATGGCAAAGGTGCTCCTCTCCGCACCGGGCTTCGGCTGTTTGAGCGAAATACTCTCCATCGCTGCCATGGTCAGTCTCCAGGGCACAGTCTGGGTCCAACACGATGGTGATCGAAAAACCTCCGAGAGCATGCGGAGAAAGTTTGCAGTGGAAGAAGGTGATCACCTGACGTATCTTAACGTCTACCAAGCCTTTGTCACCAAGGGCAAGAAAGAATCGAAGTGGTGTCGGGATAATCTTTTGAACTTCCGGTCCATGCAACGAGCCGTGAGTATACGTGCGCAGCTCAAGCGGTACCTGGAGCGCTTCGGAATTCAGGTCGATGAGACCCTTTCTGCCCGTGCGAGACAGGAAGACCCAAGCAAGCTCCCGGAAAAGATTCAGAGGTGTCTCACAACTGGGTACTTTGCACATGCTGCAAAAATGCAACCCGACGGCACATTCCGAACGGTGAGCGGAGGGCTAACGCTGCATGCTCATCCGAGCTCGCTGATGTTTGTGAGTAGAACGCTACATGATTCTAGAGACCATTTTGCTGACTGAATGTATAGAATCGCAAAGCTGAGTGGGTCATTTTCCATGAAATACTGCAGACTGGGGAAAAGACTTTTATTCGAGATATAACGAAGATCGAAAAGGGCTATTTGCTCGAGTATGCACCGAACTATTACCAAGTGCATTAATAGATACCCGTCCAGATTCTTTATTGCAATATCTTCTGTATAGTAGAGAAATCCGATAGTTTGTATTTCTATAATGATATGACCATATAATAAGTCTTATTACTATTCTGGTGAAGACAAACGTCAAAACCGTCCAAGCTTCATAAAGACAAGCTCAGTGTGAGGACAACTACTTAGGTAAAAAACCGTCAGACTTACTAGGTGTGAAGAGATGCCATGGATCTATAGACTGAAGGTGGGAGTGTAATGATTGATACTGTGGAAGCGCCCTGCTGTTTGTAGAAATTGCTAGACATTGACTCGACCGTGAATGCGTGACTTAACCGACGCATCTAAGGTCGCGTAGACCTCGCTGAACACCTTTTTGCTTTCATACTCATCGCAAAGGCTCATCGGAGTCTTCGAACCACTACCTTTCGCTCTAGCTATCTTATCAGCGGATGTCAACATAATCTCTCATTTCCATAGACAATCACCAGGAGAATTCAGCATTGTATTACGAGATGTCCGATCATCATCATCACCACCATGGCCATGGCGGTTGCCACGACGAACATGACCACTCTAACGATATCACCCCCGCCATCCAGTCGCTACTCTATTCCCAGGTCCAGTTCGACTCTATCACAACTCTCAATGGTGCGTATGATATCCGCGCCTACAGAAACGACTGCTTTCGTACGGGATAATTGTTGATTAATGATGCAGAGGCCGCTCCCAAGTCCGGCGCCGCGATCGTCGAGAAGACATGGGCGGAGAGACTCAACGACGAGCCGGAGCTGGAAAGCGATGCCGATGAGCAGCTGTTGATGTACATTCCGTGAGTTCTGCCCTGTGAGATAGCTAGGAGTGAGAGAGAACCGTCGTTCTTCCTGCTACCCCGCCATTGCCCCTCCTCGGGATTGTTGGTGTCGCAATGAGCGAAAGCCAAACTTTTAACACACTGCCATTCACACCAATCCATCTCCCTGCAACAGTCAACTAATACTTGATGCACATAATATAGGTTCACCGGCCAAGTCAAAGTCCACTCCCTCCTCATATACACCGCGCCGACCCCCTCCGCTCCAAAAACCCTGAAACTGTTCAAGAACCGCGATGATCTAGATTTCTCGACTGCGTCCGAGTTATCGCCCACCCAGAAGATCGAGATCCCTCAACCTGTCGCCGGTGCCGACGTTTTCGAAATACCCCTGAACCGTGCGCATTGGAATACCACCACCTCTATCACCTTGTTCTTCGAGGACAACTGGAGCGATGGCGAGGAAGACGTGACTAAGGTGGGTTACATTGGCTTCAAGGGAACTTTTATGGCGCTGAACCGCGAGCCCGTCAACTTCCTCTACGAAGCGGCGGCGAACCCGAACGACCATGTCGCAATCCAGGGCGTCAACGGAGTGGGCAGTAGGATTCTATGAGAACTCTGGGGTTCTTGTAGATTGTGGTGATATGAAACAAAACGGAAGACCCGACGGCTTGACGTTATCATTCTGAACACTTACTACCGTCATGATGTTCCTGTCAGTGCGATTAGTGCAGTGGACCTGTTCTCGTGCTTTCTCTGGTTATGGAGCTGGACTCTACCCTTGCACTGAATGCCAATTCCGAGTTCAGCTATGTAGTTTGTAACATTGACTAGCTTGAGCTATCTAATGATATGATGGAATATAATGACCCATTGACGAAACCTGTAACTCCTGAGAAATGCGATGTATGGATGGAAACGGTAGTGACTGATATCAAGCAAGGATGGCAGTTCGCTCCTCGGCCCTTGCCTTTCTTCCTCCAGCCGATTGCTGCTCTGCCTCCACTTCGCCCGTCTCCTCTCCAACCTCTGGAAGGGACGAGACAGGCGCATTCGGCAAGACGACCGGGCCCTGCGCTTGGCGCTGTAACTCCTCCAGCTCCTCCTCGACCTCGTCCTCGTCTTCCCTGGACAGACGGCCCGCGAGCATCTGACTGATTTCCTACGTGCCACAACCGCCACCTTAGCAAGCACGCAAGATCTCCGAGTCGAGTAAAGAGAAAGACCTACCTCTTGGTATGCGCGGGCCTCCTCGGTCTCGCCCATCAGCTTCTCCACCCCTTCGATGCCGCCCATCTCCTTATTGATAGTCTGCAGCACCTGCGTACCCTGCTGCAGCCCGTAGAGCACGTCCTTCTGCACAAGCGCAAACTCAATCTGGCCCGTGAGCTGCTCCAATTGTTCCAGCTGCTTGTCGGTCTTCTCAAGCAGTGACTCCTGGTACTTCTTGCGGCGCAACGCCAGCAGCGCGCGCTTTCGGTCGTCGCGCGCAAGGCATTCCTTGGCGATGGCGGTCTCCCGGTCCGTGAGCACGGTGATGCGTTTCTGGTACTGACGTAGCTTGTCGCGCTGGTTCTTCAGGTCGAGGATCGCTCTGTGTGCATGTGCAGTTCAACTCGTTTAGCTTAACTATCGGAGCATCCAGCAGCAGCTGGTTCAGACCATCAGGCTTTTCCCCGTAGCGCGCGGGAAAGGATCGTTGAGAGAAGGAGCGTGAGAAATGCAGGTTCTTACCGATCCTGGGCCGAGATTTTGTGAGAGCTATTTGCGTTTCCCATTGTCAGCGCATGTTGTCGTCCTTGTTGAGAGACGTTCTTCCGGAGATAAACCATGCCCCGGAGGGGGTCAGGCGCTGATAACAGACGGGGAGATGACGTGCAACTCGTGTTTTAGTATGGTCATGACGGCGGGCGGTAGGGCAGGTTGTCCAATGGCACTTGAGAGCTTGTGGTACCAGAATTACATGATCGCGATCGAGCGTCCCTCCGCCGGTCAATTGATTCTCCGGCCGTCTAAAATTGTAGAAGATCCCCGGCGACTGATCATGTATCAATCAGTGGCCTGGAGCCTTTTTCTCGCTGGACTTTAGAATTCTACGCACGAGAGCTTCTCGACTCGGTCAGAATGGGTCGCGGGGGCAGGCCAAGCCTGAGACAGGGCCTGGACAAGGATGTGAGCCGATTCAAGCCTCCAATCGCACCCGGCAATCTATACAGTTGCTAATCCCCGTTTCTCGTTTACAGGTCTATCAGATTGTGCGCAAAATTGTTGATGAGCAGGCTGAGAACGGCGCCGTCCGGTTATCGGTCTCTACGATTTATGAAACCATCAAGCGGTCCAATTCGAGTCTGAACCGCAAACCGAAGAGGATCTTAGAGGATAGCATTGAGCGCGTGGTGGAGGTGATCAAAGGTGATGAAGAGGAGGAGGACTCGGTAGAAGGCGACTTTGAAGGACTGGAGGAGCCGGCGGCACCGGTGAGTCTTACGCGTAGACATCGACACACAACCCGGCCAGTATTGACTGGAGTAGGAGTCCAACAGCCTCAACAAAAGCCTAGTCGGCATGTGGAACACCACCAACGCAACGAATTCCCAGAAGCAGAGCGAGACGACAGAGACGGCCGCGCCGGCCGCTAAATCCTCGACGAAGAAACGACACCATGGCGGTGAATCGCACTCCTCTAAGCGTCGCAAGGGTGACGCCGCCGTCGACAGATCCCCGCCTACGCACATCAGTCTTGCGGACTTGGGTGGCCTGGACGATGTGGTCGAGCAACTCGGAGATCTGGTCATCCTCCCCATGACCCGCCCGCAAGTCTACATGTCATCCAACGTGCAACCGCCGCGCGGCGTGCTGCTCCACGGTCCGCCAGGTTGCGGTAAAACCATGATCGCCAATGCGTTCGCGGCCGAGCTGGGCGTCCCCTTCATCTCTATCTCCGCCCCATCAGTCATCTCCGGCATGTCTGGTGAATCCGAGAAGGCTCTGCGCGAGTACTTCGAGGAAGCCAGGCGTATCGCGCCGTGTCTGATCTTCATCGACGAAATCGATGCCATCACACCGAAGCGTGAAAGCGCCCAGCGCGAAATGGAGAAGCGCATCGTGGCCCAGCTCCTGACCTGCATGGACGACCTTGCTCTCGAAAAGACCGACGGCAAGCCGGTCATTGTGCTCGCTGCCACCAACCGCCCAGACAGTTTGGACGCCGCTCTCCGCCGCGGAGGCCGCTTCGACAAGGAAATCAACATGACAGTGCCCTCAGAGCCCGTGCGCGAGCAAATCCTCCGTGCGCTGACCCGCAAGATGCGTCTCGCCGACGACCTCGACCTCAAGCTCCTCGCCAAACGCACGCCGGGCTTCGTTGGCGCCGATCTCAACGACCTGGTAGCCACGGCCGGCTCAACGGCGATCAAGCGCTACCTCGAGATCCTGAAATCCAACAGCGGGCCCGAAGACGAGATGATGGACGACATCGGCGACCTCAGCGTGGTCGACGACCTCAGCCCCAAGGTCAAAGAGATCCGGCGGCTGATCCTGCACGCCAAGGACACGCCGATCGGCGACGAAACGCAGACGGTGCTGGTCTCGAACGCGGACTTCTTCACGGCGCTGCCCAAGATCCAGCCGTCGTCGAAACGCGAGGGCTTCGCGACGATCCCGGACACGACGTGGGCGGACATCGGGGCGCTGGGCGGCATCCGGGACGAGCTGTCGACGGCGATCGTCGACCCGATCCGCAACCCGGAGATCTACGCCAACGTGGGCATCACGGCGCCGACGGGCGTGCTCCTCTGGGGACCCCCCGGGTGCGGTAAGACGCTGCTGGCCAAAGCGGTGGCCAACGAGTCGCGCGCCAACTTCATCAGCGTCAAGGGGCCGGAGCTGCTCAACAAGTTCGTGGGCGAGTCCGAGCGCGCCGTGCGCCAGGTGTTCGTGCGCGCCCGCTCCTCCGTCCCCTGCGTCATCTTCTTCGACGAGCTCGACGCCCTCGTGCCCCGCCGCGACGATACCCTCTCCGAGGCCTCCGCCCGCGTCGTCAACACCCTCCTCACCGAGCTCGACGGCCTCGGCAGCAGCCGCCAGGGCATCTACGTTATCGCCGCCACCAACCGCCCCGACATCATTGATCCCGCCATGCTGCGCCCCGGCCGCCTCGAGACCCTGCTGTTCGTCAACCTGCCCAGCCCCCTCGAGCGCGCCGACATCCTGCAGACCCTCGTCCGCAACTTGCCCATCGAGTTCGACGATAACCTCCGCCGCCTCGCTGAGGAGTGCGAGGGCTTCAGCGGTGCAGATCTCGGCAGCTTGCTGCGCCGCGCTGGTTACTCCGCTATCAAGCGCCGGGACATCATCAAATTTGAGGACTTTGTGGCTGCCAAGGCCTTCATTAGACCCAGTGTGACGGATTTGAAGAAGTATGAGCGCTTGAGGAGGGACTGGAGTGGTGGTGTCGTTTAGATTTCGCTTGCGGTGGTGTGATATATGTACATAGATCAAAAGAGGTGCGGAGTGCCGTAGATGATATACCAGTTGTTTCGGTTCAAGTTTCGTTGTATATGGTTCTCTGGTAATTGGAGACTCCTACGTATGAATTACTGAGTGTTAAGATCTGGGCTAGGTGGAATAAATTGAGGGCGCTCTCTGAGCTGGGCACGTGTGGTGAGGGTATGTAAGCTAGGTTTAGTATGGAGTTGAGTTAGGCCAGCAAGCTGAAAGGTGGGGAGTCCGGGGGGTCTCCTCGGGGACGTTAAGGATTCTAGTATCAGAATTAAGGTAACCAGGAAGCTGCAAAGAAAGGGGGGTCCGGGGGGTTCTCCCCCGGAACGCTTTATCCTAGTATTAAGATTGAGGGTGGCAATCTACGCTAGGACGATGGTTGCAGAAAACTTTTGAATGGATATCGAAATAGTAAAGAGAAGAATGTATATACACACACCGAGAACGCCTCTCATGTAGATGATGGGAACAAACAGTAGACGACAACAAAGTATGCGCTGATCGATTACATCCATAAACGGCACGTGCCGTCCGCACCGGCACTGACACACCACGCTTCGCGCGGGTGCCAGTCGATGTCCAGGACACCCAGTTCGGCCGTGATCTTGTGGCCCTTGAGGACCTTGAGCGGCACGATGCTGGCGTTGCTGAGCATGTCGCCCGTGACGCTGCCGTGGAAGATCTGCAGGGAGCCGTCGTCGCTGGCGTCGGCAAACAGCGGGTAGCGGCCGCTGGGGTGGAACTTGACGGCGCGGATGGCCTTGCGGTGGTAGCGCAAGGTCTTGTAGGGGCGCTGCGAGAGCTCGAGATCGTGCCACAGGAGGCGGCGGTCGTAGGATCCGACGATGAGGTTGTCGCCGCCGGACGCGGTGGAGGAGGTCGGGTGGATGTCGAAGGAGGAGATCCAGCGGGCACCGGGTTGGACGATCTTGACGAGGAGCTGGCGGGAGAGATCGTAGCCGCGGACGGTGCGCTGGTTGGCGACGAACAGGATCGGCTTCGAGGGGTGGAAGTGCGCGGTTTGGGGCGGGCCACCTCCCTTGATGCGCCGGCTGAACGGGTATTGGGTCAGGTGCTTGGACACTGTGTGGATAGCAACAGCCATAGAAGCAGGAGTAGAAGAGCCGGGGCAGACGGTGACGAAGTAGTCTCCGCGACGGTGCCAGGAGATAGACTTGGCCACGTAGCGAAGAGGAATGACGGCGCAGACGCCAGAGTCGGCAAGGGACGACGAAGGGCGGATCCACTGGGGTGGTGTCTTCTTGCCTTCTTCTGCGGCGCTGGGAGCAGGCTTCGAGGCCGCGTATCCCCATCCGGCGTCGAGGAATTCCAGACTGGCCTTCTCCAGCTCGGGGTCGAGAATGGAGGGAACCATGAGGTAGAGGTCGTCGCCTGCGGCCGCAGCCAGAACCACAGCATCCTTGCCAGGCCTCCAGCGGACGACGTTCACGGCCTCCTCTTCACTCAGCTGAACACTCCACAGCTGACGACCGGTGAGCAACTCCCAGACACGAACAGTGCCGTCATCGCCAGCAGTCGCCAGCCAAACTCCAGTAGGGTCAACGGAAAGGGAGCGAACACGGCCTTTGTGTCCGCGGAACACGGTGGCACACATAGAGGGGAAGGGCTTGAGCTCCTCGGGGCTGGGAAGCTTGGGAAGTAGACTCTCGGGGTCGATGTTGAGCTTGCTGCGACGAACTCGGGGAGCCAAGTAAAGATCCAAGCAACGCTCGAATTTCTCCTTGACAAACTCGCCGTAACCAGGGACTCGGCGAAGGGAGCCAAAATCGGTCGGCAAGTACTCGCGCTCTCGATCTTCGGGGTCCGCTTGTTCCCAGGTCTTGCGCTCCTTGTTGTCGGGGATATACTCCGGAGGAGGGTGGTAACTCTCCTCGTAGCCGGGGGGCGGAAGCTTGGGAGCAGGGATATGCATGATGTGATCGGGCCGCTCCTCCTCGTCTGCCCACAGGTCGTATTTGATAATATCCTTGTTCTCCTCGTCTTGCTCGGATGGAGGCTTGTAAGGCAAGATGCGACCTTCTCTGATCGCCTTGACGAGCTTCATGACCCGCTTGGCTTCGTGCTTGGACGGCAAGAACCGGCGCTTGGGTTCGGGAGCAGCGCTCAAAGGCATGACTTCCTTCTCCGTGGTGAACCATTCCATCAAAGGCTCGTAGGGGTTGTAGCCCTCCTCGGGAATCTCGTTCATCTGCACCTTGCGCAGCAGTTCCAACTCGTCCTGGCTCAATTCCAGGGGCTTTCCAGTGGAAGGGTCGGTAAGACCAGTGAATCCCTTCGGAATCTCGATGCTATCCAGGAGGGCATCCAGCGCCTCACCGGTAGCAGGACGCATGATCTTCTTTCCATTAATGTCGTAACCGATGTGAGGGTACTGATCGTAGAAGGACAACGGAATATTGCCGATTGTGTTCGAGTCCTCGTCGACGTCAGAGTAATCAGAGTTGTCGTCTGGGTTGATCTCGTCGTAAACGAAGCGGTCGTTGCCATTGGCATCTTTCTCGATACGGAAATTCACCTCTGCCTCGTCACTCGAGCTTTCATCGTCCGCGGGAGCTGCAGTCGATTTGTCGGACTTCCTGACAGCATCTTCGCCATCCGAAGGGATCTCGTCGCTGTCGAGCTCCTCCTCACCCTCATCATCTTCATCGCTGCTGAAATCATCAACCAGTTCGACTTCAGAGTCCTCGTCGCTGGAAAGATCATTGGCGCTGTCCGAGAGCGCGCCGTTCAGATCTCCAGCCAATTCGTCTCCAGAGAAGGCGCCTGCTTCCTCCTCAACATCGCGGGTAACAGCCTTGCGCTTCTTCGAACCTGCTGAAGCAACCATAATGGCGGTAGAACGCTTCCAAATTGCGTTCGGTGCTTAACAACGACGACCGTTCGAAAAACCGAATTGTTTCCCTGCAACTTTTTTTTTCTGCGTCGGGAAGATTTGCGCTCTCCCACCGCCCACGTGATACACCGCCTGTTCTTATCGTCCCGCCGGTCTGACAACTTTATCGATAATAACCTTCTGGGTTCATCATCGCTGTGAGCATTGAGTGGTTGCCCCCAGTGCAGCCTTATTTGCGTTTTCTTACTGCTAGATGTGACTGTTCTTACCTGGTTTGATCATTCACCATGACACAGTTTGAGCCTAAGGCTGAGTGGTATTCAACCTCACTCACACTTCCGGAAAGCACTTTCAATGATACTGTGGCGCGGCCGGTGAAAAGACATGCTGCGTGTGATGAGTGCAGTATGCCTGACGCAAGAGATCGAGGCTCATCATCCGTAGGCTGACAAAACTAGGGAAACGCAAACTGAAATGCTCCGGCGAACAAACAGGGTGCACACGATGTCTCAAACAGGATCTTTTCTGTCACTACTCGGAACAGAAACAGATGGGACGGCCGCCGAAAAAGCGCTTACGGGAGGACGATGATCCTTCGCTGCTAGGTTTAGATACTGGGCTATGGGGCGCGGATATTGATCTCAGCCATGTTCTGTCCACCGACCCTGTGGGAAATGGCATAACTTCAGCAGACGCCTTACAGCCAGCAATTGCAGCCTATACCCCACAGACAACCCCTCCTGCTCCCTTGGCAGACGACACCCAGAGCCCACAGAGCCGAATGGATCTCGCAACGCCCCTGAACTGTGTCCCTACGACCACAAGTCCTTGGCCGGACTTCTCCAGTGTCTCTGCGGCGACAGCTAGTCTGACGCCGCTTCCACCGGACGTGTCATACCCTTCCCCTGACTCCTCTGATTCGCCAGACCAACAATGCTCATGTCTCTCACGTCTCTACTTATGCCTCAGCCATCTCTCCTCCCTCGCTCCCTTCCCGGTCTCACAACATACCTTCTGCTCGTTATACATTGCCGCGCGAACCGCCCGGGAAGTCATTCAGTGTCGAATATGCCCACTCCGCTTCGGCACAGGGATGCAGAACGTCATGTGTACCGGGACCCTGCTTGCGGTCCTTGCTGATGCATGGCTCCGCGCTTATAAAACAAACCCGACGGATCTAGGCAAGCAGACGACGTCGTCCGCGTACGCTGCGACGATCGAACAATCACCCGATCCGGCAGCTGGTTGGAAAGACTGGCTACGACAGACTGTACGCAGCGCGGTCGTTGGCGGGCCCTACGACCCTGCCGGTTCCCCGCAAGTCGTCAAAACCCCCAGTCTCCTCGCCCTCATTGAGGAGATGGAAGCACGCCAGCGATTATGGCACGAGTCGCATCCCACGCCTCCAGAGGAACGTCTTCTAGCCGTACCCAATTGCAAGACGGATGAGAGTGAAATGTTATGCCTGCGGGTCATCAAAAGCGCGAGGGAGGTCATCGCTAAGTTTGGATTTGAGCCGTACGATTACCCGGAAGGGAAAGCGCCTGTGACGAGCAGCATGTAGCTGTGATTAGGTTTATATTGGTCTTTTCTGGAGTTGGTGTGTGTTGATCTTTCGTGGGATCGATCGACAGCTATTCTATGTGTGCATGATGTTCAAGCGTAAATTTGTGCTTTCGATACCAATGTGTTACAGGTTATGCGGACAAAGATTTATATGGAACTGCGTCATCTGCCGATTCTAGTATAATGGTGTACTATCTTAATTCAGTTATTAGTTCAATGCCCGCGAGCTAGGCAATTAATCATATCCATGTCTCTGGAATTCCGGTCTGTGCATTCACCGTATCACTGAACTAGTATCTGCCCCGTGAAACCCATGCACGAATATGACTACGCTTCGATAATGAAGCATGCAAGCCAATTTCTTTTTCATTGTCCGGTAGTGACATTTGAGATGAGAAGAAAGAAAAGTCCCAGGCGATATATGACCAGTCATGCGCCGATGAAGTATCCAGAGTGATATAATATAATAGTTACAAGTCATTAGCATACGAAAGCAAGTTTATGGTGGCCGTAAAGCAGAAGCAAAAGAGGGCGACAAGAGAAGGCCGTGAGTAGATGCGATACATCATCTACTCCTCGTCGTCATCGTCCACGATATAGCGATTCTTCTTCCGAGTGGGTGGAGTGTCGGCACTGGCATCGGGCGATGGTCGTTTCTGACGGGGTTTGGCGGGCCGGGCATCATCGTCCTCGCCTTCGGCGTCCATATCCTCATCCTCCAGGATGTCCTCGTCATCGTCGTCGTCCACGATCTCGGGCTCCTCGTCACTGCCGACCAGGAAGCCGTCGTCTTCGTCGTATTCGTCCTCGCGGGTGCGTCCGCGGCGGTCGTAGTCCTCCTCGTCGTCCGTGTAGATCTCGCCGCGACGGTTCGGCTTGCGCGCCTTCTTGGCGCGAGGGCGGGTCGTCATCAGGCCATCGCCATCTTCCAGGCCGCCCACGGTGAGACCTCCGCCTCCCGTGCGGTGGCCAAAGCCGGCCCGACGGCCGCGGTCCAGCTCACGGTCCTGGAGCTGCTGGCGCCGACGCGCCGCCTTGAGTTTCTCGCGCTCCGCCATCTCCGCCTGTCGCTTGGCCAGCTCGGGGTCTTCCTTGACTTCGATCACAGGCGCCGATCCGTCCAGCGTCTTCTTGCCGCTGCGGGCGGCCGCTGCCAGCGACTCTTGGAGACGCTGCACCGCGTCGTCCGTCTCCACCGTTGTCGGGTACACTGTGAGGCCATGAGTCAGGTGCGATGTGAGTCGGAAGACGGAGGAAGCCTCCGCCGCGGCACCCAGGTAGACGTGCGAATCCAGCTTGACATCGTATTCACCGGCCTTGTTGAGCGGTGCAAGTGGCTTCGTAGAGATCCGGTACTGCTCCTTTGGTGCTGACGCAAGCTGAAGCGTCATCGATCCATCCTCCCAGCGGATGATGCGAGCATTAGATTGGAGCAGGGATTCGTCCTGCGGGTCGTGTCTCCAGCAGAGAGAGGTCGCGGCTGTCGCGAAGGGAGGCGCAACATAGGTTTCTGGGTTGAACTCTTCGGTTTCCACCGAAAGGAAGTTGGGCACAGGCATTGTGTAAATCTAGGTAGCAAGAACGGCGGATAAGTGTTCCGCTCCGGTACAGCGGTGTGGTAAGTCTGACATACCTCGCCGTAGGACGTCAAGGGCTCCGGCGCCCGACTCAGAGTCATATCCATGACGTTCACTGTTTCCTGGAAATGTTCCTCGCCTCCATCTTCGTAGTCCATGCGCTCTCCGGCGCGATCGTAGCGGTCCACGTCGTCTCCCGAGTCGAGCTCTTCATCGTCAAGTGTTCGTTGAGGCTGACTGGTGATAGATTAGCTTTCCTTTTCTGCTCATAGATATGTCCGGCATTGATTCGCCCATACTCATTATCATCACCCCCTAGACCTGCATCTGAAGCATCTGAGCCGAAAAGATCTGCGTCGTTGTAACTGTTCATGTTGCCCGTATCTGAACCGAGTTCACTTCCGGACGGGCTTCCCGGTTGACCAGCTCCTGCGCTGCGTCCGGGGCGACGGACGACATCCTCATCTGAAGAGGACATACTGTGCGAAGTAGAATATGGTTGACTGAGTCAACCCGAGTTGCAGGGTCGCCTGTCAGGTACCGGAAGCGAGAAAGGAACTGCTAATGAAGCAGAGCTTGTGTTGATGCGCGAACTTGCGATCGAATAAATTGGGCGCTTCCAAAGCAATTCGTTAGAGAAGATTGTACTCAAACTAGACCTCAAGTCGGTGTTGGAGAGGGAGCAGGCAAGTGAATGAGAAGAAGAATGCCGTGCTCGGTCAATTGAAGAAGCGTAGGACATACACTCAATGCACTCCAGCTTGCACGGAACACATCCGGTGGTGAAAGCGGAACAGCTTGATCTTCCGGTCCGAGCCCAAGTAGGCTTAGTGGAGGGCGGCATCTCGACGGGCCAGACCGAATGAGGGACTCACCACTGAAACAACCGCCCCCTCCAGTCACTCTCACTCACTCCCTCACTCCTCAGTCTCGCCTTTCCCCAAAGTTGTCTCTGCTAATTGTTCTCCCCTGCTTGCTGTCGCTGCTGCTCTTTTGTTTCTTCTCTGTCTTTCCCCCCCCAAAATTGGCTACTCCTCGTCACCCATTGCTTTAGATCTCGATTTCCTATTCACCACCCGCGTTACTTCGTATCTTACACCGCTTCCCATCATGGCGACCTTCTTCCAGAGTGTGTATGTGGTTCCCCCTCTTTTCTAGGAATGTATCCCGCACGGTCTCTCTCCCCTGAAATTCCCTTTGCCGCACATGGCCAGCGGTATTCAAAATGACCACGCCCCTGGCTTGGTGGTCAACTGGACACGCCATACCGTCTCTCATTTAAAATGAATCTTCTCCGGATTCCCTTCTTGTTTTATCTTCCCTCTTAGATGCTTGAAGCAGCTGGCACTGACCTGCGATTTGATATCATGTTTAGTCGCCAAGGCTTTGGCAGAGGAGGCAACAACAAGAACAACAACAACAACAACGCCCCAAAGATGAACAATGGGAGTCCTGCGCCGTCTCCGACGCTCCAGGGCCCGCCGGCCGGCCATGTGCCTAACTCTCCCTCTCTCACTTCGAGCTTCTCTGTCGACACCTCTTCCGCATACGACCCCGATGCTCCCAAGTACTTTTTCCAGGAAAAATACGCACCCCTGAATGTGAAGGGCAACTTCTTGACGTTGTGTGCCTGTCCAAAGAATGTGGAGCTGGGCGAATGGCTGGCTCATCAAAGTAAGCGCGCACCAGCTTGCTTCATTCTCTTGTCTCGGGATCTCGACGCTGACCGTGTGTTCGACTAGTTGTTGAACAATATCGCTTGCTCCACGGCATGCTCCAAGTGATCCAGGAGGTCAACAGCCTCACAGGGCTTCCAATCTGCAATGAAAGCACTTGCCCCACCATGTCCGCTGGTCGGTAAGTCGAACGCGCGTTGTGAACTGATAGTCGGAATCACGTCTGACTGTCGCGTTATTCAACAGTTTGACATATACATGGCTTGTCGATGGCCGAGCAGCCAAAATCTCGGCCCCCAAGTTCATCAACCGGGTCGAAAAATGGATCGTTAGCAAGATCCACGACCCGGTCATGTTCCCCACGGAGAAAGTTACGGGCATGCCGGAGACATTTACGATCAACGAAGTTGGAGGCGCTAGCGCTACTTCGGGTGAGGAATGGATCGGCAAGTCCAGCGGCTTCCCGCAGACGTTTTACAAGGATTGTCAAGGCATCATGAAGCAGATGTTCCGCTGCTACGCCCACCTTTACCATGCGCACTGGTTAAATCCGTTCTGGCACATCAACAAGCACGACATTTTGAACATGTGTTTCGTCCACTTCGTCACCGTGGCCAAGTACTACAAGCTGGTCTCCGACAAGGAAATGGAGCCCATGCAGCCACTGATTGACTTGTTCATCAAGCAACAGAGGATTCCCCCCGAGGCCCTTTCTGGGGGACACTGGGGCCAACAACAGCAGGCCTCTAGCTGAGCTAGACCGGCCCCCTCTCACCTTCTTTGACCAGCCTCGAAACCAGCCTCGAAATCCGTCCGTTTCTGACCTGGCGTTAGAACTCGCTACTTCCCACTGTAGTACGGTTATGGAGTTGTCTTCGCTGACCGCTCCCTATCTTGGTGTCTTGCGCGTGGTTGCCAGCAATGGCGTGCAGATGATACCACACACCCATACACATACAACACAGTCGGTGTTGAGCATTTAGCATGCGGTGTGAATATTTGTTCTTACTATTACTCTTGCATATTGTCTTTCCTGTCTTGTCACATCGTCTGGCTACGCGGTTGTCATCATCTTAGCTTAGATCAACAGAGTGCATCACGATTCGAAGGAACTACCTTAACGTGCTGTGGGAGTGAATTTCAGCCCACCGAGAATGAGAATTGAACAAGGATACACCATTGGTGCGGATGATTTGTTTTCTGAAGACTGGTACAGTGCTTAAGGTCAAGGCCGTAGCCGACGTAGGTCTCGATGACAGTATACAGCCAGTCCAATGATCCTTCACGACACTATATACCCAAAACAGATCAAACCATCCCTCGATTTATTTCGACAGTGCTGTCAGGACGCTTGAACGTCAGTAGCTCAGTTCAATGGGGCTCTATTCCGCTCCACTTCCGTGCTCAATCTCCTTCCTCCCTTGGCCCATGCAGCGACAGCGGCAGCGAGCTCGCCGTCATCACATCCACAAATCGACAGTAAATAGCTAAATGACCGAACCAAAACAACCAGCCCCCATCGCCACATCGTGGAAAGCTATCGATACCTTCACTTCTACTATGAACCTCTCAGACAACCAAGAAGCTCCTTTGCAAGTAGATCATTTGGTTAATGGCTGCATAGATAGACGAACGGTACACTAGAAGTGACTAGTACTTGTAGCGTTCTAATTCCATGCAACACAGATGAAAGAATGTATTGAAGGGGGTAGGGGATATCAGCGGTGACCGAGCCGGTTGAATCCACTTGGCAGTATTCCTGTCTTTCTCTACTACCGTGCCTGGGACATGGCGATGGTTGGATGTCGTTGTGTGTGATGAGACTCTTGATTCTCTTTTCAACTGCAGGTCTTTGAAGTATCTGACTATCTCTGCCGCGTATAGTTTCTCCTAGACGGGAGGGGGTTGAATGATCATGTTAGCTTTCATGGTCTGGGATTTTGGTGATTTTGGGTCAGGGGATGGTTACTTGCTTGGCCGATTTGGAGGATATCCTTTCAGATGAACATTTGCACGATTAGCAGGCGTCAAAGGGGTGGTGATGAGGGTTTTCTCTGCGAACTCGCGATCAAGCAAAGGCCTTTATTTGTGGTGCTAATAGAGGAATCTTGTTGGCAGTGCATGAACTTAAGCTAAGAAAGGGCAAGTAGGACAGTTTGTGTCGATCATAGAAAGCAGTGCTTGAGCTACTGAAGGTAGAAGAACACAGCTGCTGTGGAGAGTCTCACTCTCAATTCCTTAGGTAGCAGCCAAAGTACACGACCTTGTTAGCGGTGTTGTGAGCTACGACTCGGCGCTCACACTGGTGTTAATCTTTATTCGATTGATATCGACCATGTGTTCTTTCATCTTTCGGTTTACAAGGCCTTACGGGGTTGCGGGGACCCGCATGGTTCATTATCTCGTACACATGGTTTGGAAGGTGAAGTGTAGAATCACTGAACCGGAAAAACCTCACGCGGGGCCATCGCCATCGGTTACTCTATACAGGTGTAGGGCTGAGGTGTATAATGCTACTTGTGGTGTCTGATAGTTTTTCCTACATGAGTTTCTTATCATACATTGATGATCGGTGTTGGACTTAGTTTGGTAGGGCTGTTGGGCCTTTTTATTAGTATTCCCTCACTGTGGCAGAAGTGGGTGAATGTTTACATACGTGTTAGAGATCCACATCCTCTCACTTTCCCAGGCAAGCTGAAGAGAGATCTCTCACCTCTTGACTCTCAATTGTCTGTCTGTCTTCTTCTTCCATCCCTCTTTCGCTTCACCGTCATCACCTCCTTCTCCCTCCTTCTCCCACCTCATCCCTCCACGCGTCTCATCAAGTCTGCCGAGTCCGATATCCCTCAGAGGAGCTCAAACTCTTCTTTCACTCTCATCCAGATCATCGGAGTCTCTGCAGCCCCTTCATACAGAAAAGGCTTGTAAGTGTTGTTCTTTTGAAACACGCGATGAGCCTTCAACTTCTGTGTTTTCTCTCGACCCAAGGCCTCGATGCTGACCGTCCATGACAGTATCGATGACGGAAGTTGAGCTGTCCTCTCGTCGCACGAGAGCGGGCGGGTCCCCGATCTTCACGATGCTGCACTGGCAAATGGCCAGAAGGAAGTCATGGCTAGACGAAGACATGTCCTCTGAGGACCTTCCCCAGATGCTCGGTCCAGATAGCGAAGATAGAGATGACTTCAGCGTGAACTTGGCCCAAGACAGGATGCCCGGAATCTCCGAGCGCGGGAGAAACAATGTCCATACAAATGTCGGATATGTGGGATCTGATGGCTCCGTCAAGTCCCACCGGAATAAGCCTGACGAGAGACCTGTCCCCGGCCTTGTGGTTCGTCCCGGTTGGAACATCCTTGACTATCACCTCTACCTTCTGAGCAATGAGAAGGGCAGAGACGAGCACACCAGAAAGAACAGCATGTACATCTTCGACGGGGAAGAGTGCACCATCCGTTCTTATAAGGAGCTGTTCGATGACGAAGTGCTGGCACCTTTCAACGTCGGTGATGACCCACAGATAGTGTTCAACATTTTACCCATCATCGACCAGGATGCCTCCAAATGCCACGCGGGCTATATCTTGGGGTTCAACTTTGTTGATAAGACGATGTATGCCCGGTATTTTGATTGGATCCCCCACATCGAAGATCTCGGGTTTGTGTGGAACGATGGGTGGAACATGTATGAGGTGCATATTTATGACTTGCTTGACATCCTTGAAGATTGTTTCGACCTGAAGAAGTTCTTCCCAGGCGAGGGTATCTTGAGTAAGGGTCATTGTTGCAGGTCCAAGAAGTCCGATGATCCCGGGATGGAACTAGTCATGACCATTCTGTTCTGTCAATGGATTGTGGATGCCGCAGATCCGCTGTTCGCTCCCGCCTATCTGCGAATTGGCAATCTCAAGGAGCTGACCACCGGCTACGAGCGGCAATGTCGCCTCGTGCTGCAACGCGCTTCGGCTAGAGCGTGGCACTGCATCCGCGACGGATGGATCCCAGAGGACCTGGCGCGCAGTCTGACGCTCAATGCGTGGACCAACGATCTGTATACATATGTCGACTCCATGTATGCAGAGAATGAGATTCCCTGGCCCGCCCCCGGCTTGACAACTTCAGCCGAGCTTCGAGAGCAGTATATCGAGACTCGCAAAGCCGAAACTTCCGCCGAAGTACGTTTCGAGAGACTGTTCAACAAGGCGGAGGACGACGATAAGCCCAATCCCGAGGATGAGGTTCTCAAGCAAATGCTCGAAATGTCCGGACCCGATCAAGCGGACCAGCTGCTGGTATGCCCTATTAGCCCAGTCACCCTTTCTCCCGCTGAAGCTGACTCAACCCGATCAGGGACATGAATCCCTAGATCTTGTCACCCCGATCGAGACATTCGACGAAACATCATCTCAGATCGATAGATTTCTTAGTGTCTCTCTTGAGTGGCTCGCGCGTCGTCTTGCCTATCTCATGTTGGATCGGCCCGAACTGGACAATCTTAGCAACCGTGAAAGCTTTGGCGAGGTTTTATTGAGAATGGGTATTTCTATGCAGCAACAGCCAGATGAGCATCTAAATCAGCTGCCGGGCTTTCCGATGAGGGGCGATTTCTGGAGACTGGTTGCCGATTCCCCCGAAGCAGATACCTCGAGCACCTCTGAACTCCCCCCGAGCCCAACCATCGTTCAGCAGGATGAATAGAACATTAGGGACCTGGAAATGCCTCTCTAACCTGAGAGATGACCGGTGATTATTGATTTGCCGTTTTCTTTTTCAATACTATCTTCTAGGGCTCTGGATCCGTCTGGCGTTCTGGACCTCCACGATTCCTCCACGATTTTGTCAGAGTTTGATACCAATTTCCTTGGCTCGGGTTTTTATTCTCTCGTCATATTTTCTGTTTCCCTTTTATATTTTCTTTTTTTCGCGTGTCTCTTGTGTTTTCGAGTTCTTTCTTTGCGTTTGCCAGAAATGTTTCATCATCAGAGAACCATCTTTATCTGCAATGATCAGCATGGACGATGCAATGGGTCGTCGTCCTTACATACCCTGGACCCCCACCCCTTGGCTCTTACCCCGGGCTTACCCACCTCTCATTGTCCGCTTTTAACCTCCCCAAGCCCCTTGAAAACTTGCACCATCTTTCTGATAAGGCTTGATCCGCCATTTCTCGCCACGGACGCCACCCCCGTTGGCCAATAATGACGTTCAGATCCGCGGTGATCTGCCCTAATCAATGATGACCTTTGACGAAGCCGGTGCTTTGGCCCTAAGCCTTGATCTTTTCGCCGCCAACTGGAATCGTCCGAATCCTTTGGTTTTATGGCCCTCAGGAATTGAACTTCTTTTTCCCGGCTGCTTAGGCAGAAGTTGAAGCTGGTGCGGAGCGAGCTTGAAGATGGAGATGACAGAAAAGAGGTTGAACCCAAGAAAAAAAGAAAAAGGATGGAGATATCTGGACAATCCAGACAGGGAGAGAGAGATGGAATGAGGAAGAAAGGTATTAATGGATAGGAGACGAATGGAATGGTGCCATCAATCGATACGGTCTATATTTGAAATGACTCTGACAATGTGTGGTGCTGGTGTAATGTCTACTTTATGTGTGAGGGTAGGTAGATCTGATGCAAGGTCGTGTTACCGTGGGCTAGATAGAGTAGACAATGTCACATGTTCAGAGCGGAATTGCGCTGGTTCTTGAGGGCGGTTGGTGGACGGTGGTGCGCTTTTGCACGTAGTTTCCTGGAGGATTCTAATTCATTGGATGGTATAGGCAGTGATAGAGATGATGTTTGATGAGGTGTGACTATTGGGTTGGGATGATGATGGGGCGGTGGTGGTGGTTTGTATGGACTGTCGAGGTTGTAGCCGAACCTGGTTTACCTACTATGAACTTTAATTGAGGACATGATTACCTATTCGGGAAACCCATAGCTTCTGCGAATCACTGCCATGGCTTGAGTAGTATGACTATATCAACTGTAATAACTACATGAAAATGATGATGAAAGGATTCAAGATATCCCGTGGCGTTCTATTTACAGATCTTTACAAACGATAACTGAAACCACTACCGCCACGAGCAGACTGGGGAAAAGCAAGACCAGGCTGTCTTGGAGGGGTACTCATATGCAATGAGCAAGCACAAATGCAGTCCATGCCCGTGGCTAATTGACTCAACCTGCACGAGTAGTATTGTGTCATGGGAGGTGCAGCTGTTTTAGGCCACCGCATGAGGAGACGGGAATGGGAGGAAATTGCGATCCACACTAGCCACAGACCGAACAGGAACCGAATCGAGGTGTGGCTGAGACGTGGGGCTGAGGCTCCACCGGGATGCTCGGCAGGAAAGAAAGTCAGCCTGGAGCATCATCAAATCCTCCCTCCCTCGTCCAATCATTCCAGCCTCGATCGGTTCCAAGATCGAGGAGTTCTCATTCTTCATGGCCAAGAATACGAAATTACGAATACGTCCGGAAAATTCATGCCGATGAAGAGGACGAAGCAGGCAGGATGAGCAGGACCCCGCCTCTCTCCTGGATCCATGGATGCCGCTGCTGCTGATTGCTGCTGATGCTGCCAAGATCAACTAAGCCAGCAGAAGAACCGACAGGCCAATGACCAGGAACATGAATATGATAATAATTTCTTGGCCCTCCATAGTAAAGTGAGACTCGCCGTCGTACAATCGGTCTTCCACTCCCTCTTTTCTCCCTCCTGGACTTTCTCAGCCCTGCAGCCCTATTGACTGATTCTGTTGTGCTGCTCAGTACAGAGAGTACCTGGACATCATCATTCCCTGAGTCTTTCTGGCTGACTGACTGGTGCTTGATGCTACCTGTCGCCGCTCCTTTCACATCCTTTCTTTCTTCCATACTACTTACTGATCATCATCATCATTCTGAATTTCCGGGACGACACGAACTACTTGCTTTCCCGTCCCAATCTTCGTTCTTTTGCCCACGGCCCTCGTCCCTCGTCCCACCCCCCTTGGCTCCTTCCAGGGGATCGGAATCAAACATCCTGGTCTCCCTGTCCGCGTCGCATTCGTTATTAATCGTCTAATCCCGCTCGTGGCGCGTACGCTCTGCCACGCTCTTCCTTTTTCTCTCTTGCCTGAATCATCTTGCCTATCTGATACCCAGTCTGCACGACTCGTCGCGGCTCCCCTCTAATCTGTAATCGCATACCATACACATTCCTACGAGCTTGCCCTCTAATAACTATTGTGTATTTTTTCGGATGTGACATTGTCATTCACCCCTTAAGTCTCTGATAATTATTGTCGTGGCTGTCTTTTAATTACCTCATCCGGCCCGTGACCTCCCGATCTGATGTCTTTCCCAGGCAAGTCACTCATTCCTAACGATACACACTTCAGCACTGACCGTGTTACTCTAGCAAATGGAGCAGCTCCTGCTGCAAATGGCCATCACTCGGCCGCTAGCCCGTCAGTAGACGTCATCTGCGGCCCTCTAATTAACTTCAAAAATATGGATGTCACGGCTTCCTCCTCAGTATGGCGTGGAAGCATTCTGATTGTGACTAAGCCCGGCCAGAGCCCGCCTCAGCTAGTTATGCGCCAGGCGGGTCCTGTCGATAGCAGTGGCCTCGCGAACGGCACCCAGCCCAATTTCCAGAGGTTTGTGGCTGACGGACTTCGTCTGTATGAAGACCCTGAGAAAGCTTTCTGGAGATTCTCAATTGCCTTGGCCCTGGAACAGTATGAAGCACGCTGGGAATACACTATCCCAGGATTCCAGTATGCGAACGGTGAGGAGCTTCCTCCGCCGTGGGACTTTGTGGTTCCTTCTGTCCACCAGTCGATGCGTCTGATGTTTCACTCTTGCAATGGCTTTTCCGTCGGCACCGATATGAACGCATGGGTTGGACCCAATCTGTGGAACGACGTTATGCGGGTGCATGGCCAGAAACCCTTCCATGCCATGATCGGTGGTGGTGATCAGCTCTACTGCGACGGAATCCGCGTCGATGGGCCTTTGAAGGCATGGACGGCCATCGCAAACCCCCACAAGAGACGGGCGCATTCTTTTGACAACGACTTAAGAGCTCAGTGTGATGAGTACTATTATGCAAACTATGTCAGGTGGTATTCCATCAAGCCGTTTAAGACAGCAAATGGCCGTATTCCACAGATCAACATCTGGGATGACCATGACATCATTGACGGTTTTGGTTCTTACACGGATCATTTTATGCGCTGTTCGGTGTTTCGGGGTATTGGTGGAGTTGCGTTCAAGTACTACTGCTTGTTCCAACATCATATCGCGCCGCCCAAGTCGACGTACACTACAGACGCTCCGCAAACTATGCATGCCGTCAATGGAACCGCCGGTGCCGATCCTCGACAGCTGGAAAACACCTATGTTCTGGAGGGACAATCGGAAGATGACAGCTGGATCATTGGTAACCGTCCCGGCCCTTATGTTGAAGAAAAGAGTCGGAGTCTCTACATGCGCCTCGGCAAGCGGTTCGCTTTCATCGGCGTCGATGCGCGGACGGAGCGCACGCGTCACCAGGTCAATTACCCCGATACATATGACCTCATCTTTTCCCGGCTTGAGAGTGAAGTATTAGCAGCCGAAGGAGATATCAAACACTTGGTGGTCCTACTGGGGGTCCCGATTGCTTACCCCCGACTCGCATGGTTGGAGAACATTTTGAGTTCTCCTCTGATCGCGCCCATCCGATTGTTGAACAAGCGATTCGGTTTCGCAGGCGGTTTGTTCAACCAATTCGATGGTCAGGTTGACCTCCTGGACGACTTGGACGACCACTACACGGCACGTCAGCACAAGAAGGAGCGAAGGATTTTCGTTCAACGTCTTCAGGACTTCGCTAAAACTCATTCCATCCGTGTGACAATCCTAGGTGGAGATGTGCATCTGGCAGCCATTGGTCGATTCTACTCCAACCCAGCTCTTAACCTTCACAGCGAACTCGACCCCCGATATATGGTCAATGTCGTTAGCAGTGCAATCACCAACAAGCCTCCGCCAAAGGCTGTAGCCAATCTCTTGGCACGCAGAAACAAGATTCATCATATGGATCCATACACAGATGAGACACTGATGGACATTTTCGATCGACAGCCTGGTGGACAAGAGAAGAGTGCCTCTTGGAATAAGGTTACGATGCCTTCACGGAACTTTGCCTGCATCACCGAAATCGAACCTCTTTACACAAATGGAGACGTCCCGGTGGCGCCGAATGAGCAGGCCTCTTCATTCCCTTTGGCAAAGGACGGTCATTCACCTCTTCACCAGGGTGAAGCTGAGGCCGGCTCTAGTCATCCCGCCGCAGATGGGTATACCAGCAGCGGAAGCATGCCCGGAGGGTTGGACATTGCTATCCGAGTAGAGATTAACCCACAGAACAGAGAAGGAGCAACCGATGGTTACGGGTTTAGCAGTAAGTTTGTCCTGTATCGCTAGATTATCCCGGAGTACTCTCGCTGACATTCCCACAGTTCCTGCCCTGGCCTATGACCCTTCGAAGGACGCTTCTCGTCCAACTTCGCGCGCCCGATCTCTGCGACCTCAATCTCTTCGCCCTCCTTCGCGACACTCTGCACGGCCTCAGACCGCCAATTAATCACTGAAATACTCCTTTGCATGAACCATGCCAGATTCTCCTAGCATTTTGATCCGTTGCTCTTCCTAAGTTTTTCGCCACCGTGGTGGCTTTCCCTTATGGTCGAGTGTTGATGTAGGATAGGTTTTGATTTTGTTTATCTGGTCCTCTTTCCTGATTCCCCAGTGTATCCATTGCATAATTATCTTCTTCTGCTTCGAATATCAAAATGCTCTACTAGTGATGACATCGATTTTTCATGTTTCTCATTCCTCGATTACGTCCTGAGGGCATTTCCGCTCATCCCTGATCTTCGCCTCCCTTGCTTACAGCCCTGCAAAAGCGATTCAACACAGAAGAGGGTGGTTAACCAGTTAACCATACCCGATAACAGACTTTCCTCTATTTTTCCCCTTATCTCTCGTCCAGCTACCGCAGACGAACTCACTATCGCCACGAGCCATTCCAGGTTACAATAGGCAGAGAACCCCGCCTGCCAAGATCAAATAGCTCTCTAATTGATGGTTTCGCACCACTGCAGCTGAGCAAAAGCCTGCAGTTTGAAAAGTCAAAGCAAGCCTGCGTTGATGATCAGGCAGAAGCGAATTGTTTTCCTTGAAATGCGGCTTATCTCGAGAGGTTCAACCAATCTCAATTATCGCTACGTTTAAGATACAGCTTGCCACTACTCGTTGGTGCTTCTAGGCATGGAACGAAAGCAAGGACGAACTGTGGAGTGCAGAGACATCACGAGTGGCACTGCATGCCGAAGCTGATGGGCCATCGCGCCGGCCGTGCCACACAACAATGTTACTTGCTGTTCGACCCTGCAAGGGTCGGCCCAGTTCGGCGGATTTTACTCAGCTCAAGGGGGCAACAAAAAGGTAATGGATAACCGACAAAGGACCAAGTTCACAAATCTAGTTCTCTTCGCATCTTGTGAAGAGGCTCGATTACCGCAAGCTTGTCTATAATGGGAGACAAAGATAGGGCGCCTCAAAATGTCTCAAAAGAAAAGGTCACTCCAGAACACGGTGCGGAAAGTAATTCCGATGACGAGAGACTCGACATTCTGGGCTACAAGCAGGAGCTCCGTCGCAATCGCTCCCTTATCACTCTACTCTTTCAAACGCTTGCTATAGCCGCAATTCCCTACAGTGAGGGAAGCCCACTCATCAGCGCCATATACGGCGGAGGGCCGATGTCCATCTTCATTGGCTGGATCATCGTCGGCATCCTATACCAATGCGTCGCGCTGTCGCTCGGCGAGCTCGTATCGCGATATCCAACCTCTGCCGGGCCCTACTACTGGTCTCATCAACTAGCGCAGAAACACAAATCCACCCTATCTTTCCTTACCGGCTGGGTATGGCTCATCGGTAACTGGACGAGCATTCTCTCCACGAACTTCGGCTTCGCCTCCATGGCCTCGGCCTCGGTTTCCATGTTCCACCCCAGCTGGAACCCGCGCAGCTGGGAACTTCTGCTGATGTTCTACGCCGTCTGCATTGGCACCTTTCTAGTCTGCACATTCGGTAATCGCTTCCTCCCTCATATCGACTCTTTCTGCACGGCCTGTACAGCTTTGACCATCATCGTTGTGCTCATCGCATTATCCGTCACCGCTTCCACCGGCCGCCACACAGCCGCCTACGCCCTCGGCCACTACGACACGCAATTATCCGGTTGGGGAGGCTTGACCTTCTTCATCGGCCTCCTCCCAGCAGCGTACACCTTCTGCGGACTGGGAATGGTCACCGCAATGGCCGAAGAATGCGTCGCGCCGGCGCGTACCGTCCCACAAGTCCTCAGCCTCCACATCCCCGTCGGCGGCCTCGCAGGCCTCCTCTTCATCCTTCCCATCTGCTTCACCCTGCCTGCTCTCGAAGATATTCTCAACGCACCCGCCGGGCAGGCCTTGCCCTACATTTTTCACCGCGTCATGGGCACCCCCGGCGGCGGTCTCGCCCTGACCATTCCAGTTCTGATCCTCGCCTTCTTCGGCTCCATCAGTTCGACTGTCGCCAGCTCCAGAGCTACCTACGCCTTCGCGCGCGACAACGGCCTCCCTTTCTCTCGCTTCTGGGCTCATGTCCACAACCCTTACGCCTTATCCTCGGCCTCATCGTCAAGCAACAACAAGCCCGACAACATCCCGGTTAACGCGCTCCTAGGCGGCACCGTCCTCCAGATGTTCCTTGGGCTCATCAACCTAGGCAGCACCAGCGCCTTCACCGCCTTCGTCTCCGTCGGCACCATTGCCCTATCCCTCGCATACGCCATTCCTATCGCGTTGAGTCTGATGCATCGTCGCACGGAAGTCTCCCGCGCCCCGTGGACATGTGGGCCCCTCCTCGGCCCCGTCGTGAACGTGATCTCCCTGGCGTGGATCATTCTCGGACTATTCCTATTCAGCCTCCCCACCGCGCTGCCAGTCACGCCGTCGTCAATGAATTATGCTGCGGTAGTGTTGGTGGGGTTGTTGGGGTTGGCATTGGCGTGGTATGTGGCCTATGGGTACAAAGGTTCGTTCTGCTTTCTAGAGGGCCATGTCACCCTACGGTGGATATCCTGCCCGGCCATCGATCTCGATAAAGATATGGAGATGACTCGACTAACTGGTTGAGCGGTGATAGTGTACAAAGGTCCGCCGTCGGAAGCCACGGGCTTTCGATCGTAGGCTTCCAAATAACTTCAAATTCTAGAGACTGATTTCGAAGAGATCCTGTGGAGGGGGAGAGCTCATGTCGGACATGCAGCCCCAAGAAGGGGGAAACAGTGGCAAGATGCATAGCGGCATAGATTCTGTTGGCTTTAGGTTCTGGAGTTTTCTTTCTCTCGCCATCTTAGGTAAATTCAGCTGTATAGCTCTCTCAAGACTAAAAGTAAATGAAGTCATGTCTTTTGAGTCTATCCTTGTGATGTACGTGTAGAGACGAGTTTTGTTGAGATCCGTGTATTACGAGCTAGAATGTACTACTGATTTTCCCTCGTCACATAGTGTCTTACATCTCTTCGATCTAATGAGGATCTGGTGGGGAAGAATGGCATTGTAAACCAAGGGTTAGCTAGTTAGAGAGACAGCTATACAGCAAGCTATACAATCATATACCTAGTGATACATGACCACCTCACGCCGATCATGACGTTGAGCATTCCCGGAGTATTGATCTAATAATTCGAATCATCCTGACAATCCAACTCGCCCGCCACCAAACTCGTCAGCGGGTTCTCATGCGCATAATCGATGCTATTCCCGCGTCGACGCCGCGGAAGGCCCTCGTTGGGCACCACGGCCCTGCGCGATACGGATCCAGTCGTGCTCCCGCGCCCGCTTCCGCTCCCAGCCATCGTCCGTCCCCCTGTCTCTGTGCCACCCGCGCCGCCGCTACCCAGCATCTCGGCGGGCCGCCGCCGCCGAACCACCTGGTACCCTTTGTCCAGCTCGATCTCGACGACGCAGCGGACCTTCAGCGCACTAACGGCTGGCCAGACGCCGCGCTCGCCTTTGCGGGACCAGTGCGCGAGGCTCTCCTTGCTTGGGTTTTCGAAGATCTTGGTGAAGTCTCGGGCGGTTAGGTCGGGGACGAGAGTGATGCTGGGGCCTGGGATGGATTCCTCGATGAGGAGGCGCGCGAGGGCGGTGGGGAGCAGGCCGATGTAGTCGAGTTGGCGGAGGCGGTGGCGGATCTCGCCCATGACGAGACGGGTGAAGTAGCGGGTTGGGCTGGGTTGGTCGCCGGGTCGGCGGCTGACGAGGGTGCCGCTGTCGGAGCGTAGGAAGGGGATCAGGTACGGCCGCGCCTGCGAGACGATGAAGTGGTTGACGTTGAAGAGCTCTGCAATCCGCGATAGCGGCGACTCGCCCTCGTTGTACTGCACGTGGCGCCACGAGGCGAAGGTCGCGTCGCGGGAGTGCGGCCACGGGACGATCGAGCCCGTCTCGTCTTTGCAGTAGATGGTTACCGGGCGGTAGAGGGAGGTGTTGGAGGCGTTGGAGGCGACGGCGGCGGACCAGATGAGCTGCTTTCGTTAGCTCTTTTATTCCTGTTTTCAAGGAAGAGGATTACTTGGAGAGTGGATGGATACGTACCACGTTTGGTGCTGTGAGATAGTTAAGCAGGTTGGGCGTGGCGTTGGTGTTGGATGTTGCGACGGTGATGTTGAGGATGCGTTTCGATCGAGCGTATGCTTCTTCGAACGTCAGATCCCCCAGGTTGGCTCGCACGCATTCTTCCAGGACTTCCGCGTCGAGGAAGTACCCTGTCTGGAGGTATCGCTTGAGGCGCCGTAATAGGGTCCCCGCCCAGTTGTCGCTGATGTCGAACGGCAGCCATTGGCTGTCGTCGGTGGAAGCTTTGGGTTTTCGACGCCGGTCAAAGGCGCTCAGGTCGATGCCGTCGCTGTCTAGAAACGTCAACAGCTCGTCCTCTGTATGAACTCCGACAAGTGCGGCGATGAGGGCGCCCGTCGCTGTTCCGATAATGATGCGAGGCAGTAGGCCTCTCAGATGCAAAGCCTTGACGACTCCGAGGTGACAAAGCCCGAATATCGACCCTCCCTGGAGTAAAAGAGTCGTTCGGCCGAATGCCTGTCGGGTATCATGGAGAAGCTCGAGCTTCGCCTGGGATCCGAAGCCACTGATGTGAACAGGAGCGGTGGGAAGAGCCGTCACCTGTTGGATGGAGAGCGCTACCTGCGTGATATAGTCGTCGATCAGAAGCTTGGTCCCCGCGTAAGCATGTATGAACAGCTTTGGCGACGTGATGTTGCCCAGATTACGTAGTAGACCGGATCGGAGTAGGTTGACCAGAGTCAAGATATCCTCGTCTTCTCGGGCACTCATCAAAGCCTCCAGTCTCCCCAAGATCAAGCGGTAGTCATAATGGCGGCTCGTTGGGTTTTGGCGCCTATTGTACATTGTCAGAGATGACTTAGACTCATAGTTGAAACGAGGCGATCTTACCATAGATCCTTACTGAGGATCTCGTCTAGATCGAAGGCGGCCTCTTCCCATTCCTCGTAAGTCGTTGCAGTAGCGAGAGCATGTCGTAATCGATCCCGGGGAGACTGTGTATTCCACCAGGAAGATAACCTCTAAATAAAAAATGTCAGCTAGCCCGGATACACATAGCGAAGTTCAATCATCAAGTCGTTGGGAGCACCAGGGCTTCAATTCCACATCTCTCAGATAGAGTCCGATGTTGTTGAATGGAATGTAGTTGGTGATGTATGACATCTTTGACCCACTTGCACGGGTACCTGACTTCCAACGCAGACTGAAGACCTACCTGTTTCCAGAATTGTGCGACGTCGAGTATCATACTAACAATCGCAGCGAAGAATCCATAGATCACCGTCCAGGACGCCATCATGAATGAAGGAGGCGGGGAGGCAGGTTTATCAATGTCAGATCCAAGGAGTGGGGGAAAGATGGCACATGTCGACAACGCCTGGTTCTTTCACATGCCGGATCGCCCACAACGTCAGGAGGACAGAAGAGCTTTCATCTCAGCAAGGAAGAAAGCAAGGAATGTTGAGCGGGAGAGTGAACAAGGTAGATCAACAAAAATCACACAGTCTAAGTGAGGTAAAGTTATCTGCAATAAAGAGGAAGAGGGAAAGAGAGGGAAGGAAGAGGGTTGATTGTCCGGGGTGTTTCTGATTGACCTCGGCGGGATGATGACACACTCCCCGGCCTACTGACTCCGCGACTCATTGTTACTATATCCATGTCACGGTTACGAACTTGATCTGATCACTGAAGTTCGAGTTTGGTGCTCCTTGGGTGATCTGATCTTCTTGAAAACTGCAATATGTATCTCAAACAAGTCCACATATCCCTCGAAGGTCTACATCCTCGGTGTCTATTCACCCCGTAGAAGTATATATATATTGGCAGTAACAGTGAAGAATTGGGATTTATCCAGTACTTATGATCCATTCCGTGCCATTCTCGCGAGGAATGGAAGAAAAGCGCAAATGCAAGCTGCTCAAAACCCACAATATCCATGCAGATAATCTAGATCAACCTTATGTGAGCACGGCTGCCGTGGCCCGACAACGGTCTCTGTGGAGATGCTCTAAGAATACGGGGTGAAATAACATCATTCGTTGCTCATAGTCCAGAGGATCGTGGAGAATTGGGGAGTATTTGAAGAGTTCATTTACGCTACAAGCCCAGACACGACGAGACAAACCAATCCATCGAAAGAGATACTTCTTTTCGTCAAGATAGGGAACCGAGGCCAAGGGAAAAAAAAGCCAAACAGATTTTTGAGTCTCTCTACACGCCACGCTTCGCCAGCGGAGAAGGATAATTGCCAGACAAACCTCCGTGGACACGTTAAAAGGGCATTTGAAATTCCATGATTTTGGGTTTTAAATTTCGCGTTGCTTCCCTATGCAAGTAGGCGAAAATGTATTCTTCGAACATTCCTTCACTACCCACCAAGGCGGACATTTTCCAACCGCTTACTCCTCGACAATGTTACCCCGCTCCGACACGTACAGACCGTCAAGGAACTGGAGAGAAAGAAAGGTTAGTGACGGATGAGAATAGGGTCTGGAGTCCGGGTGTTTGTGGCGCAACTCACCTTACGGATATCCTTGTTGCGGACTCTGCAGATCTGCTGGATGTCGGCGGCGCTCTGGGAGACACCCTCAAGGGAGTTACCGGAGAGCTGGAGCTCATCCTTAACGTTGGGGGAGGTGATGATCTCAACACCGGGCTGGGCAGTCACGCGGCGGACGTACTTCTCACCCAAGAAGTTACTAGAAAAACAAAATCCGTCAGTCCGAATATTCCTTCCCACGAATAATGACGAGCGACGCAGTATTGCCCCAGAGCTGATTGGATAACAAATTCGATCACCACAATCCAACCAGCCAGGAGACAAACTGTCGTGTCGCGCATAGACAAGCATTGCCATACCGGATCTCAACTTCGACCTGGCCGGTCTCGGCGTTCTTCTCAAGGTTGACGTTGATGGGAAAGTGAGCGTAGACGTAACGCATCTTGTACTTGAAGCCCTTGGTGACACCGATGATCAGGTTGTTGATGAGGGTGCGGACGGTGCGGAGGGTGGCAACACCCTTGCGAGCGCCGTGGTGCAGCTGAATGCTGATGACATTCTTCTCGGGGCGGCCGAAGGTGACGGCGATGTGAGAAAGGTCCTTGACGAGCTTGCCTGGAGAGGGGCGGGAAAAAAATCCATGTTAGCGGTTGTTGCAGTCGCACAGTCCGGTCGGGGCCTGAGAACATCGAAGCCAGCACCATTGAGGGTCTGGCTGTTCCGAGTCTGTCCTATGGGGTCTGGATGTGGTGTTGGAGAAGTGGTAATTGCATACCTCGGGGTCCCTCGACGGTCACAACGCGAGAGCGAATGTGAACCTTCACTATATGACGAAAATTGAATCAGTCCCAGTGTTCTCTCTCTCTTTCTCACTCATGATACGCCGCAAAGTCTGTATCGACTGTTTCCGTTCCTCCGCGGAGAGACAGGCATTGTGATACGCATTCCTCCTTCTCTTATTATTTTTCTCCTCCCCAGCGTTGACTGTGTCGTAGAGTCGGCGCAACGCTATCCCTCTCTTCTCGGTGGTGATATCCCTCAACGCGTCCCTCTCCATGCCTGTCCCTCCGGGTTTTTCTTGCCTATCCTCCCACCTCTTGCGAAACCAGCGATCTTTTGCGAAACCAGCGAGTCGAGCTTCAGGAGAAGCTCAGGAAATAATTCGAATTGCTCACCATTCTCGGGGACGGGCAGCGTTTCCTCGGAGTGAATGTACCGCATCTTGACTGCGTGGGCTGTGGTGTGTCCGAGGGGGGAATTGTCGATATCGTCGTGCGGTCGGTCGTCAAAAGGATCGAAATTCCTCAAGGCAAACCAGAGTCGAGAGTGGTGGAGCGAAAATCACGGGTTGTGCGTCGCTTACGGCCCAATCTAGTTTAGGTCTTCCCGCCTAGGGTTGGCCACTTCGGGTCTAGTGCTATCCGCCCGGCCCCCCGGTAGAACATCAACAATGCCCGAACTATCATCGGGGCTTATCAGTTCGCGGCTTCGGTCGCATTGATTAAATTGTTTTCTAGCGGGATGTTAGCTTTCTCTGGCAGGTACAAGAGTCAGTATATTCCCTAGTCTCATGTAATTGCTTCACATCTGCCCTCTGGCTCAAAACAACACCGAAACAACAACTAAGTGCTGCCCACGTGCGGCCCGAATGAACATGCTATGAAATTATGATTAATCATCCATATCATCGGATGCTTTCAACTATGTACGTAGAAAAATGGCATAAAATCCCCAAAGCTCGCCCTCAAATATCCTCGTAATGTCTCTGTACGATCGAAAAAAAAACCCTTTTGGCGGCGCCGTTCAACGCGGATCGTGAAACATCCAATCCCATACATGTCGCAAATGGATCAAGTCCAGATGCCTTAGTCAATCGACAAGTAGTGCCCAGTGGCTTCATTCCTTACGGTGGACTTCCTGGACCCACTTACCACCCAATTCTCTCAAGGTCGATGTCAATTTGCCGCTCTCGTCGAGGGCCGTCACGTCGTCACCACCCCCGATACTTTTACCGTTGACCAGCACATTGGGAACAGTTCGACGGTTGGTAGTCTCGGCCAAAACGCCCTGCAATTCGCGGCCACGGGGGTGTTGGTCCAACTCCACGACGAAGGGCGCAGGGGTAATGGAGTATTTGTCCACTAGGATGGACTTGGCTTTGGCGCTGTAAGGGCAGTAGGATTTGGAGAAGATGATGACTGCGATGGAAGACATAGGGCATTAGTGAACTTATCTCCCACAGCATGGCAAACGAAACAAATGGAAAGCCACATACTAGGTGCCCGTTTCAGGATATCATTCAACTCAGCCACAGCATGCGCATGCGCCTCCGTCTCGGCTTCCTCTGCTTCTGCCTGCTGCGGTTGCTGCTGCTGCTGCTGTTGGAACTGCTTCTTCTTTTCCTCCTCTACCCCCTCCGGTTTCTTCGCCACGGTCATCTTCGTCCGTCCCGCGATGGAGATCTCTTCTACTTGGTCCACCGGTTGAGCCTTGGGGATCGCCGGCGCAATCTTGTCATCGGTCATGGGATGCTTGGTGTCTTCCTTGACCGGGTTGCGGTTCGATGCGGGAATGTTAGCCGCGGCGGCCTCGGCTTCCTTGACCTGCTTGCGGGCATCCATGGCGGCCACAGTCGAGCGGTAGAATTGCTGGTTCTGGATACTCCGCGCGTCGCTCTAGACATAACCCGGCGCGTCGCGTTAGCTTGTGTCACCACAATGTGTAGACAGGTAAAACCATAGGCGAGGGGTTTACCGAGTAGTACCAGGTCACGCCGGAGATCACCAGCACGGCAATGACCAGCAGTCGCATGCGCCGTTGGGAGAACATCTTGGACCGGAATGTGGGAAGATAGAATTGACGAAGGGAGGGGATTGACGGCGGTCCGATCGATTATCACGATCAGGAGATGGGATTAGGCCGCGGGAGAATGCTTGTCGCTGTTTCAACAGGCAACTGTGCGCATCGGCGCTAAGAAGGTTCAACAGTAAATGTGTCGAGCCGAGAGGTCATGAATGCAGCTCCTGGACCAACAGTGGCTGGACATTGGGCGGGAGCGAACGATCGGGAATTCTCGAACGATTCAAGACTGAAACAGGTGGCAAAGTCAATAGTGGTTGATAATTTCAATCGTATGTTATCAGTCAGAGGACTAAAAATACACGCGACCAAATAATTGTCCAAAGGTGTCTCCTAAGGGGAGGGGGGAGGGGGTTCCATAAGGAGTGGGGGAGGGTCGGTCGAGGCAAAGACAAACTCCGGGCTCACCGGCGCGGCGCCGATAGTCTATAAGCAGTCCCCGAGCATGTCACGGGGTCACTGCGAGCTTCCGCTCCAACAACTTTCTCCACCCACATCATTTCACTTGCATACTTTTGCGGATCCACCCCATTTTCGATGTCAATGATCTATTAGATTATGAACTATTCATGCTATAATGTGGGTATGTAGCTGGGTGGTATCATGGTAAAACAAACAAACACACAAACAAAATGCAAGACAGGGTCTTGAAGGCGACATACATAAGGACATATACATGTAGATTGCTCACAGGCACTCCAAATGGTTGTGGCAGATCAATGCCGAATCATGAAACCGCGGAGCCTGCAGCGATCTGACTGGAGAGATCGAGAAGTGCTGGTAATGAAGACCCCGCGGGGATCAATCCCCAGTACGCAGCGTTTCCCTTCGCTCGCCTGCGGAATATAATAGGTCTCAAAGAGAGGGACCATGGGGTATTTGGAACTCTAGGCCATCATCACGCTTGTACCGCGATGCCGGAGCGCGCCCCAATAGTTCCTTTGCGCTTTCCTTGGACCACAATCATCCAGTCCTCCCATTCCTTAGCTATTTCCATCAACACATTGCCCATTACCGTGGCGGAGGCCATTAATCCGTGCCCTTCACCTTCAAGCACACGAACCTCGCAGCGACGCATGGTTTTCCCCAGCCACTTGACGTTTTCCACAGGAACGCGAGTATCTCTGCTACCATGATGAATCACCACATTCCGAGTGATATCCACATAGCGGAATCCAATGGATTGACGACGTTCCAGACACACTAGCAAATCCACAGCCGGGTTTGCGTTCGTTGTCGCCAAGTCCCATATTCTGTGAGTCAGTCGATTATCGTAATCCACCTGGCGCTCCCGATCTAGCGATGCCGCAAGTGCGGCCTGGTTCGATAAATGCTCATCAATTGGGCGGCCTGCTCCTACTACGATAGGTGTTGGCTTCTCGAAGCCCTTCAGACCGCTTTGGTGATGGATCGCGCCTGGGAGCTGTTGAGGCTTGCTGAGTTCGATAACAGCTGAGCTTAGAATGTCTTTCTGTAGCGCTTTGCGCTTGGCTCGTCGAGGCGACTTCGGTAAACTAGAAGTAAGACTAGCACTTGCTGCGCTCATGAAGCTGGAGTTGGCGACCTTAAGGATAGACGTGGGAAGAGCGCGGAGAATGCGTTGAGTGTAAGGAACAGCATTGGTCGGGACTGGGGCCTTCAAGGAGCCAAAACTTGATAGTTGCGAAGGAGGAATCCACGGTGCCAGCAAATGAATTCTTCCCCGGATATGTTGCGGGATTCTCAATGCGGTGGCGAGCGCGTAGATAGCGCCAGCGGAGTGTGCCATAATTGAGAACTTTGTCACCTTAAGATGGTTGCATACAATCGCAACGTCATCTAGAAAATGTCAGTCAACGACTCAGAACGAAGGAAGTGATGATGGCGTGAGATAAGCAGGACTCACCAGGCCAACTGAGAGGGGTTGCCGGCTCGTTGATGTAAGGTGCGCTTTCACCCACCCCAGGGCGATCTAGTGTGATCAAACGAAGGTGGAGAGACCTCGCCAACTCGTCATAAAAAGCCATCAAGTATCTCGTCAAACCCATACCAAGGCAACAAAGAACCACATGACCGTTGGGATCCCCAACCTCCGAGAATGCTATAGAGCGACCCGACGCGGGGTGGATAACCCTCTGGGTAAGCTTAGCGGCTGTCACGTAGTCCTGGATCGCAAGGTCGATAGAATCCGCGCTGGAGGGCCGCTCGTCCACAGCGAAATAGCCGGTGGGAGAACTGGCATTTGACCGAGAACGCTGATGTCGGAAAGGAGAGGGCGGCTCCGCTGTGTTTCGATGAGAAGCTTTCTCAAAGGGGTCAAACTTGTCAAAGGAGTGGATGGATGTTGTGGCAGATCTAGAAGTGAATGGAGGGCTGATGCGGGCTGTGGAGCGGCTCTTGCCCGTTAGGACTGCCGGAGCTGGAGCGCTCTCGTCGAAGCTGAAACGAGATGGATGTTCCGTTTGTTGCGAGTCGGTAGTTCCGTCAAATCCGGTGGAATTGACCAATTGCTGAGCAGGCGTGGCAATCGGCTCTTTACGAAAATCAGATGGGATATCATCTAATTCTAGCTCGGTCTTGATCTTTTGTTGTTGGTCCTTTAGTTCCAGAATTCTCTTTGTCACCTGATCAGCTTCACTTCCCACCCCCGAAACGGCGCTGTCCACTTTCATTTCTCTACTACTAGTGGATGAGTATCGGCTATGGCGAGTAGAGGATCTGCGGTGCTTTGGGCTCGAAGAGAATTTATGCCGTAAGGATGATTCACGAGCAGGGATACTCCGGCCGCTCCCGATTCCACCTGGCGCACTAAGCATGCTCTCACGAGCGCCCTGTAGAGATCTGCGTTCCTTGCTGGATGGTCTGCTAATCGAAGATTCTGTAGCGGTCTCGGTGGCGGAGCGAAATGGTAGGGCACGTCCTTCTTCGGCCACGTCGGCCATGGAATACAGGGAGCGTACACTGGCCCTACTCCGCGGTATGTTATGTCGGAAACCGTCGTTGCAGCTGTTTGCCTTGCGCAATCGATCTACCTGTCGCTCTTTTTCGCTAGGGAACTCTCGCGAGGTTCTTTTCAAAATGCTGATTTGGTGTTTGAGACTTGTCTTGGAACCGGACGAGGCGACACTATTTGCGGTGGAAAGCCGTGGACCTGGTTCGGCAGTGATCATGCCAAAAGCGGAATCTTCGTAGGCTGCCTTGGACGAAGTAAAGGAGCCCCTTGAAGTCGGTCTCCCTGGGGACAAGGGCGGATCGAGGGCAACTTTGGATTTCGAGGGTGGCGGGGCCCGGGCCATACGAACGATCGGAGCGACTGCTGCATCATCCGGATGCAAGAAGGGACTCTGTGCCGTCTCCTCCGGCAGCTGAAACGCCCCGAGACTTAGCCCGAGTTCATGCGCGCTGGAGGGTCGTTGGTCCGGAATGTGATCTTGGTCGGGGGCCAGGTAGACGGGCGAGCCGGGATCGGTCTTGGTGTCAATGCGCGGAACGCTGTCGAAGTGCGTTTGGAGGGGTACAGATATGGTCGACAGAGACGAAATCAGAGAAGAGATGACCTCGGGAGAGGCAGGATCGGATGCTGGCGGAGGGCTCGCCGCGAGTGCGCGCGACGGAATCGATTTGCGACGCTTGTCTGGCAAAGCCGAATGTTGGAAAGGGGCATCGACCTGGGATGTCGGCGAATGTTCCGCGCGATCCATGGCGGGCATGGACAGGGAATCTGACGTTCCAACAGCAAGTTTCGGCCCCAGCTAGCAATGGGCAGGAGACAATCACCGACGATATATGCGGTTGATGGTAGTACGCGCTTGCATGATCCAGTGAGAGGGCCAGATAACGTCTGCAAAGCTTGGTAGCTTAACGGTAAAAATCAATAGACCGCGGGCGCTTGACGCATGTGCCAGTCACCATGCAGGCGTCGGGGGAGAGGGGGAGTGGAGGAACCAGGGCCGTCCTATCGCTTGCCCTTGCGGTATGCAAGCCCAGCGCGCCCCCTTGCCGAACGTTTATTGTCTGGAAGGAGACCAGCAGCTGAACGAGAGGGGGAGAGAGGAGGATGTGATGTATGATCGACCTAGACAACCAATGAATTTTCGCAATGCAGTAAACAAGGACGACAGGGAGAAGTCAGAACGGTCGTTGTACGTAGGAGAGAGGGGGATTGCACGGATAAGAACTATTGAATTAGATAGTGAGAAAAAAAAGATTAAAAAATAAAATAGAAAAGAAAAACAGAAATAGAAAAAAAGGGGAATGGTTGGTGGAAGAAGGGAGGGGGACCCAAGGAACGATCAAGGTCGATAAAAAGGGTACTAATCCCGAAACTGGGAGGATAAACAATAAGCGGTGTCAGTGTAAAATCCAGATAGTGTAAATAAGAATAGAGAAGAGACAAGAAGAAGGCAATGTGCTATGTCGCTTCAGAAGACATTCAGAAGAAATCTCAAAGATACGGAGGAGCAAAACAAAGTAGAGGGACTAGATAGAGGCATCAACTGATGGTCTGAGAAAGAAATTAGAGTATGATGGAATGAATGATGGAATGATTCCGGTGGAGACAATCTACAGTTGTTCCACTGATCACTTTTCCTTGCCTTTCTTCTTCTTCTTCTTCTTCTTCTTTGCACTGAAAAAAAGACACTGTGCGTCATCCATCTAGCAATCCTCCTTCCCCCTCCCTCGCTGTGTGCTTTATATCAGAGGCGAAAAAGCTCCCCCCCCCCCTCCCTTCCTCCGTCTTAGGAGTCCAAGGCAAAAAGTACTCGTACTCATAGGTAAGGTACGGCAAAGAAAAGGACCAAGCAATAATCAATGGTCTGGCGGGTCTCCCGCAGACAATGGATGGAAGGGAGAATCCACTCCCTCGATCTCACTGGATTCTTTTCCCTTTTTTTCCTCCGCACTGTTCGCAGATCCAAATTTTTGAATCGTATCGAGCTCGACTTTCCAGGGGTATCTACTCTCTGTACTTACTGCAGCGCTCAGCTCAACTACTAAGTATATTAATCATGTTGATGATGCAAGACAAGCCTTTCCTCGGTACTGGAAGCTCAACTCGAAAATAATACACGTCCACGATGGTCGAGGCAAACAGTCTCCATCTTGCTCGTAAGAAACTCTTGACTCAGGAGCATGGATCCCCACCGAACCCTCACAGGGTTGAGCACGAAATGAGGGTCGGCTGTTCTCGATCCGCACTTTCGGTATCTGCAAATTAAACTACGCGGTCTATTCCGAGGCAAGGATGGATAACTTCCACTGCCGCCACCTCTTATGCCGGGGCGATGGTTGACGACCGATCTTCCTGCATTCCTTCTTAACGCACCCAATGAAATAGCTGCAATATAGAACACACAGGCCGCGTGGAAACATGATATAAGAAGCGTTGGGGCTATGAGATTTATGCATATCATGTGGATGTGAGATCATCATCGTTCATTATTGCTAATGAGAGCACGCCCTCCAGGCTGGGTATCGTCGCAGGGGGATCATTTCATGTCAAAGTGGATGCTTGGACAGTGCAACAAACAGCGATCTCTATTGTATGCCAGTAGGGGGTATTAATCTGGCATCATCTCAATTGAAGCTCGGGCTTTCCTGATAGTGGTTACTTAGTCCCTGATGTAGACGGTCGCGGACAACTGGACTTAGTGAGCAGAGGAGATTGAAGTTGATTTTATATATTCACATCTGAACCGGTGATTCGGTGATGAGGTGGTACATACGTTGTTGGTAGAACTTTGTATTAAACATCCCTGAGCTGTGTTCTCTCAGCTAAGCACGACGAGATTCAATCCAAGGACCTCCTTTTCATGCACTCCAGCGTGGGATTGTTGAATGAATTTTTTATGATGCACAAGGCGTCGTGTATCGGAGTATGTGAATGTTGCGCGGCGGGAGGACCGAAAGCAAGCTTGGCATGTTTTGCAGTCGGAAACCCCATCTGGCATTTAGTTGCCCGCAATCCCTCTCTGACGTGCCGCCAGCTCATTCGGGTGGAAGCTCCCCCAACAACAACCCCTCTACCTAGGTATCTACGTTATCACAATTGGCCCTTCACTTTCTACCCCATTTTTCTTTGGACCAGTCACCTCCGGTGTGACTTCGAATTTCCGTTCCAATCAGATATGCGGTGACCGACGAGATCGCGAGAGAGCACCTGTCCGCAATGGACGCCTATCCTGAAGACTACGTCACTCACAACCTTCCGTTCATATTGCTCTCCGGCCTTGAACCAGAGCCCGAGGAGGAGCTGGAAATCGTGCGGACCGATTATCCTCTTTTGCATGAGAAGGGCGCGAAAGTATACTCAGATTTCCCGCCGTTGAGCGGCTCGGTTGCGGAGGAACTGCGACGTGTACTTCTGGAAGAAGATGCATCGCGCTTGGTAGAGAGTCCTAGAGACGAAAGTCATACAGACTCAGCAAGAGCTCAATATAAAATCAAAAGTGTTGGACGGGTAAGCCATTTCAGGGCGCTACTCCAGGCCGTGCCCCTCCCTCCGCTTCATCTCCTTGTCGCACCGACAGACTGGTTGCGCCGGGGGCCTACGACTGTCACCCGGTCATGCTCTTGTTTCACCATCATTCTGCTCATTGCTGTATGCGAGATTCAAGTTGACTGATACCTGCCCAGTCTTATAGATTACCTCCGCGCAAAGCTGATCCCCCACCCGTATCCCCGCCGACAAGTCCTGTAGCCGGCCAGGAGAATGATGTACCGCGCGGAACCTCGTTCATACTTCACTCGCCTATTTCACCTTTGACTCCATCGTCGCCCACATTTCCTGATGGCTTACTTACGCCTTTGTGGGTCACTAAACATCAGGGCCTCGTTCCCGCGGCGGTGATCAACTTCTTTCCGTTTTGCGCAGACCCTAACATGAGCTCGCTGCGCGACAACCAACTCAAGATAGAGATCAATGGATTGAAGAAGGAATGGCAGTCATCAGGCTACAAGACTCGATTCTTAGTTGTTCTTTTATCCGAAGACCCCGAGAACAGCTACTACGGAGATGCCGAGGACCGGGCAGCGGGCATTCGGAGAGCGACCAATCTGGATCAGAAGTCACTTTTCCTTCTCCCATCCGATGCCACGACGATGGAACTGAAGGAATTCGCAACGTCTTTGTTATCTCACCTGCAACCATCCGTGATAGAATACTATCGAGATTTGTCTAAACATGCTAGGAGAAAGCGGAACCGAGGAACCATCCCCCCACCAACAGCGCCACCGACTAGCGGTACTTCCCAGACCTTGTCGAGTCAGGGTTGGAATGTTAGATATGAATTCAAATTGGGGATCTTCGCGGAGTTCCGTCGAGAAATCGATGCAGCATTGAGGAACTACGAGAGCGCGTACGAAACTCTGTTCGGCCAAGAAGTCTTTGAGTCTATCGCTGGCTGGAATCCTCGGTTTAATGATGCGCGCTTACTTGGAGACGCCCTTGCCATACGAATTATACGATGCCTCTTGTGGATCGGGCAGACCGCCATTGCGGTGCGGGCATGGGGCAACCATCGAACACGTTCACACGATATCCTCAACCGCCGCGGTAAAGGAACGAAGAATTATGGATGGGAGGCGTGGGAGGCTCGGTGGTCGATGGTCATGGCACAGCTCATACGTCAGGCCAACATTCCTCAGTTTACCTCCGTGGGTATACCGCAAGATCAATTCCAGCAGCAATATTCGATTTTTGTCCCCCAAAACAAAACGAATACCACCCTTGATGCTGAAGTACCCTGGGAGCAGCTTCACCATGAGGGATACTGGCTATATCGAGCAGCCAAACACGCCAACTTCCGACGTATTTTGGCAGAGCAGATTCCAGAAGAAGACCGGATGCCACCTGGACAATCTCCCGCCTCTCAGATAGCGAACAAATCTTACATGTACGACACATATCTGGTACCAGAACCACATTCCGAGGCACCTAGGTCGGGGACAAGCGGCTTCAATCACTTTGCTTGGAGACTAGATGCGCTAAAAGCAGCCTTAGAAGAATTTTCGAAGCGTGACCAGATACGGAAAACGGAAAGCATTAGCTTGGAAATAGCTGAAGAATACATGCGTGTGGGACTGTGGCCGGAAGCTTATGCAATTCTTAAAACGTTATGGCCAACCTTGACGTGGCGACGCACTGGCTGGTGGCAGTTAATGGAGAAGGCCGGCTGGGCGTTGAGAGAAAGTGCGTCACAGGTTGATGACGGTGACCTGATGTTACGAGTTGACTGGGAGTTGCTCAACAAGGGTAAGATAAGACCCTGACTTGATCCTATGCTTGCATAGATACCGGTTGGGCTAGCTTTTCACTTGGCTTGCGCTGAACTGTTGACAACCGATTAGCTTTCACGCCCCGGCCCGATTGGCATTACGATATTCATCGGAGTCTCGAAAACCTTCCCTTGGTAAAACCAAAGCCATCGGTTGTTCTGCTTGCAGAGGATGTTGTTTCATGCGGTAAGACGCACCCTCCGCTACTAAGGGTTTGATGCTAAACACTGCCCGCCAGTCACGGCATCATTTGTTTTTCAGAAGTCGGAAGGCAATGTCGGCGAGCCACTAAAGGGTCAACTGGCTATCACATCGTTAGCCCACGCATCATCAGCACCCATCAGATTCTCAGAAATCAAAATTGCTTTCGAGGGGTGCCTGCGCCCAATCAGGCTTCAATCAAATGGCGACCAAGAAATTGATACTATGACGCCGTGTACAATAACTTCGCCGTCTCTGCGTGACCCAAGTGTGTCGGTAGACCAGTCCTCTATCCAGTCACCTACTATTGGCTTGACAGCGCTGACCGGCATTGCGGGTCTGACCATTGCCCCCTCTCAAACAAGGGTGTATGATTTGACATGCATTCCTCGAGAGGCAGGAGATTCACGCGTGGCTTCAATAACACTGCTTATTGAGGAAGAAAAGTTTGACCTTGCCATCGCTATTACTGATAACAACACAACCCAAGCGTCGTGGTGGCAGACGGCCTCAAAAGGCCCAACACGACGACGTGTCGGCAAAGGTCGAGATCCTGGTCGGTGCAAGATCCTGCCGAAGCCGCCGAAGATACGTATCTCTGTGCTGAACATGCGAGATACATACTATACAAACGAGCAAATCATCCTTAAGGTTGACCTTCACAACGAGGAAGATGAGGCTGCCGAGGTCTCAGCGGAAACGAGACTTTTCGGTCATCCAGATTCCAAAGCCAAAATCCGATGGTCAGATGAAGCGACATGCCCCGAGACGCCGAGCTCTGGGCAGAGCACACCGACTGAAGGGGTGTCACATTTCATCAAACGGCCAATAGGATTGATGGAAAGCTCGAGCCACCGAGAATTGGCAATCGTTCTAACCGATACCAGCGAAGCCTCTAACTACGAACTCGAAATATCCACAGTTTACAACCTCGTGTCTGATATTCAGACACCAATCATCGCAACAACACGGGTTGGCCTAACTATAATCCGACCTTTTGAAGCCAACTATGAATTCCTTCCTCATCTTCATCCAGAGCCCTGGCCGGACTTCTTCACCGTTGACGATGACCTGCTCCCCAATGGAGAGGTAACAACACCTGGAGGGCTGCAGCAGCGATGGTGTCTGAATTCAAAAGTTGTCTCTTTTGCGTTGGAGCCTCTCGTCATCGAGAAAATGTCGGTTGTGATGCTTGGACTCGGTGGGGCATCAACCTGCCATATCGGCTCGGAGCAGGTTGTTAGTCCTGAAGCTGTTGAAATCCAACCCGAGGAACTCCGGGAGTCCAATTTCGTTCTAGATCTGCAGAAGGAGATTCTGGGCGACCGACGGCCTACTGCCTTGACTCTGGCCCTTGAGATACGATGGAGGCGTAGCACAACCGAAGATGATGGCTCTAACTTAGATACCACCACGTCGACACTTGCTATCCCCCGATTCATGATCCCGGCCGGCGAGCCTCGGGTACTGGCCTCGGCGAAACCTTCCAACGCTCTTTCAGGACTGATTCACCTCGAGTACACGCTGGAGAACCCGTCAATGCACTTCCTCACTTTCAACCTGACCATGGAGGCTAGCGAGAATTTCGCCTTCAGCGGACCCAAGACGATTGTTGTACAACTGGTACCGCTGAGCAGACAAACAGTCCGGTATAACCTACTGGCCTCTAAACGGGGTTTGTGGATTCAGCCACAGCTCGTTATAGTAGATACATACTTCAACAAGACTCTTCGGGTCCTTCCGACAGAAGACATGCGAACGGATAAGAAAGGGATTCTGGTCTGGGTCGATGCTGATGACTAGAACTTAGCGGTAAGGGAAAGATCTAGGTGGAGATAATCTTGTAATGGTTCAAATGAAGATCTAGGTTGGCTCGAAAGAGATACTCGTGCAGTGGCTGCAGAATGTTCGTTTGGATAGACCTCGGAGTGTGTACATACAGTGTGATGAAGATGAAGATGATGATGACATGCATGCCGTTTATTTAATATAAAGACAAGTCCATCACGTGATCCCGGCCTTATCACAAATTGCCCGCAATGGTCTAGCGACGGCGATCGGAGCGACGCCCGCAGCTCCCCGTTCCGTTAAGCGGAGAGCGACTCTCTCGCTCGCTCTCTCGCTCTGTCGTCGGACGGAAGAGCTGCGCAGATTCACCTTCTGCCCTCCTCCCACTTCGCTCTCACCACCACCCCCCCATCTCTTTCGCCCGTGTCTTGGTCTCGGGCTCAAACCCGGACACACTTCCTTGATACAGAGTCTCTGTCAAAAACCCTTCTTGTCAACACCATCGTCATCCCAGACACCATTTCCTTCCCCTCTTCCTGCTCTTGCGGCTGCTTGGTAGTGCGACTGCTTCTTCCGTCGTCTGTTCGCTCCAACCGCAGCCATGAACCAGCAGGCCTTAATCCTCGATACGATCCTTGGCATGAAAAGGGCCTTGCACAAGGAAAATGATTGTACGTCTTCACCTCCCCATATTACCCTTCCTTGCCGAGATTTTGGCTAATCCTCCTTCCTTCTCGCCGTGGTAGATTCGGGCCCCGACGATCCCATCACCCAGCCAACAAATCGAGGCAACAAGCTCCGAGCAAACGCGAAGTTCGTCCGCGAGGGCGCACTAGGATACTTGCACCCGGAGGATCAATATAAGCAGGTGAGTCGCTCATCCGCATGTGTTCACTCTCGTTCATACTGCCAGTCTGGCGGTGGCTGTCATGAACGGACGGAAGCACGGACTTAAAGGGAGAGCGCGAGTTGGAAGGCTGGCTATAACGGGTTCTAATATTAACAGAAAATCGAGCATGGAGGGTTTACGCGCTACATCCTTCAACGGAACCCCGTGCGCTACGACTCGGAAGGTGATGAGCTCGATGACGACGATGAAGACTCTGAGGCCGATGCTGCGGCAGCGGAAGAGAACCCATTCTCTGAAATCGCTCTTGAAAGTGAGTCTTCACCCCCTCTCCCAGGATTGGTTGTGGGAAAGGTACGGGTGGCTAATTGTTCTATCTCATACGGTCTTAGATTACATGTGCCCGCTCAAGCATCCTTCTGAACTGCCTACCCATCCTTCCATGTCGCATGCCTACACGTCGAAAGCACTGTCGAACATGACGAAGGCGATTGAAGCCAAACTTCGCCAGGAAAGAGCATTGTTGTGGCGAGCGAGAAATCTGCACAGACAATTTCTTGGGGATAGTTCTTGGATGTCATGTGCAATGGTTGAAACACCGGGAGATCGCTGGATCTTCGAACCCCGGGTGGCTAGTACTACGCATAGCCCGTCTTTGAGCCAGTACGGACCGAATGGCACGGCTACTCCTCTACCAAGGAGTGAACCGGCAACGCAACGAAACGGAGCACAGGGGTCGTCGTCGGTTACAGATGCTTCACGGCTGTCTCATACCGCTCAGAACGAGACGCCGCAGGCTCAGCCTGCTGCAGATCAAGACGTGGAGATGACTGATATCCCAGATGAGCAGACGAAGCAGGCCAATCATTTGCCAAAGCTCGATCAAAGCAGAGAACCTAAATCGGAGGAAGTTGACACACCTGTTGGCGACTTGCCGCATCACTCAGAAGCAACCAAGCAAGAGGCGCAAGTCAATGGAGGTAACACTGTCAGCAACCCTAAAGCCGTGGATGCTCGGATATCCGAATCCGATAGTGCTCTTGACCGAGCAGGGAAGGGAAACGCAAACAACGATGGCCTTGCAATTGTTGGAGATGCACAGCCAAACACCGAGAGTCGTCTTCATGCGCCAGGCGACGAGACGGATAAGGACGCAGAGATGCTGGATGGTTCCTCGCCAGAGCCTCCCCGACGCATGACAACGCGGGCGCAGGCCAACGCTACCAATCCCCAAGAGGATGATGAATCCGACCTTCTGTCCCCGTCTCCATCCGACGACACTCTGGGCAGCCTACCCACACCTCACCCGCTTTTCCTCATACCCGAAACGGTCCGACCTGACCTCAACTTCGGCCTCCCGCCCAATGAAGCGGAAGACACCCGCCGACTATTATGGTCCTACGTCCAGAAACAAGAAGAGACGGTCCGCGGCTTTGAGCACATGCTGGAATGCCTCCTCCGCGCTTGTCGAATGAAGGAGGACGTACTTGAATGGTGCAAAGCTGAAGGCCACGTCGGCGAAATGAGCGACGGCGAAGACTGGTATGACCGCGAGAAATGGGGTCTTGCCGAGGGAGAGGATCTCAAGAAGGGCGCGGACGAGGATGACATCGAGCCTGTCGAAGAAAGCCGGACGTCGAACAAGAGGGGCAGAGGAAGACGAAATTAGACTTTCTTCGCTTCTGCTTTTCGCCTCTTCTTTCCCCTCCCCTTCCTTCCCGGCTCACCACTCTTTCACTTTCCACGAATGCAGGCATCGATTCTTATCTTAACATCTCAAGAGACCTATAGCGCGGAGTTGGCGGTGTTTACTTTTGAGCTGATCCCCATTGAATATTGACTGATGACCACCCCCCATTTCCCTGTCAGACTCTCTGCATGTAGCACGCCGCATATACACACCTTGATACCCACCCCCATTTTACCCCCATCTCCTGTGACATATGAAGACTACTTATTACGGATCAGAAATATGTTCGACCAGTAGTATCAGGGCACTTGGCATTTTTTGTTTTCAATCATTGCGATCTATATACATAACCATGGCCTCATGAGAAAAGCTCACAAATGGCAACATCAAAGCATTTTATTTACTTCCCCTACTTCCTCCCTTCTCGTGTACTGTAAACCTTTCTTTCTCCTCTTGTTCTTTTGATTTTCTTTTTCGATCGAATAACCGGCCGCCGCCAGAGACTGGTATATTGTACCATATCCTCGGTTCGTCGGCTTGCTTTCGTTTTTCATTTTTGACTCTCTGCGTTGTAGCTTTAAAAGGGGTTGGTGAGTGGGTATCGGGTTATCGTTGAGGATCGTTGTAGAGTAGAGAAGCCTCTGCACTTTCGATTTTACCTGGTGGGTTGCGTTGACGTTGCGAGGCTGTCTTAGGAGGGCAATGGCATGCGATAGCAAGATGCGGAGTAGTAAATGGGTGTTGAAGAGCCAGGGGCTCCCCTCTTTTCTTCATTGGCGCGTTAGGGGGGAGCTGCATCGCATTCGCATGTGGATTTGGGGGGTGGTTATATCAGGAAGCCGGGGAGAGGTGCATGACATGATACTCCCGAAATCGAAGTATGACCGTCCGTTGAAAGGGCTGCTTGCGAGCTGCGATTACAGGTTCTTCTTGCCGCCTTGCTTGCCCTTGGCACGCTCGCGTTCGCGCTTGGCGTAGATCTCGGCAGTGAAGGGACTACATGAGGTTTGTTTGTGGTTAGTGGATCACGAGGTCCAGTCTGGGGTGTTCTTGTGGTACAAAAGCAGAAGCGCGTGTGGGCCATGATGTTCGTGGGACGGTAGGTTTGCAGGGATTCTGGTCTTGTCGCGTTGGGTTGGTCGAGTGAGGCTGATTGATACTTTGCCTTGTACAGAGACAGGCCCGTGATATGATGTATAAGGAATGAGATGTAGGGGTGGGGGGACAGTGGATGAAAGGGGATACTTACTCCTCCCATTGGAGAGCGAACCAGTAGAGAATGAAGACTTCGGCCGTCAGGAAAAGTCCCGCCACTTTGCCTTTGTAGAGGGCAACACCCAAGAAGTTGAGGGTGCTTCCCCAGTACATCGGCGAGCCGGTGACGTTGAAGGGGAATCCGGTGACGGGGGCATCCATAAGGATTCCGAAGTAGTCTCCCAGGTAGGTGCCTGTCACACCGAGAGCCCACATGCTGGAGAGGACGAGGACAGAGCCGACGGAGAAGAGAAGACCGCCGAGAACGGGTTGGTGCACTGGGGCATAGTAGGGCTGGTCGGCCAGGGCCGTCTGGTAGATGTGGTCGCGTAGGATTCCAATGCCGAAAATGGTGACTGCGAGGAAGTAGCAGCCGTAGTACGGGTTACCCCCGAAAATACGAGTCAAGAAGTGATTGCGGTATTCTACAGAACAAGATGAGAACGAGGTCCATTCACACCCTGTAAGGCTGGATTGGTTCGGATCTCGCCAGGCTGGCAGGCAGACCTGAGTGACGGGGGTGGTGGGGAGAACCGACCAGCACGTGCGACAATGCTGATTTTGAGACGATAGATTAGTCGACTGACCCGAAGAAAAGTATGACAGACGGTCAGTGAGGACGGTCCAGCACGAAATACTCACTTCCAGAAAATCGGGTTGAAGGCGATGGACAACGCAGCCCCTAGACAGAGAGTGGAGTTGAGAATCACATGCGGCGGGGAGAACCGGGGAAGACCTTAGCGGGACATACATTGGAGGGATGGCTGGGATAAGTCAACGAAGTGGGAGAGGGAAGCCATAGCGAGAGAAATAAAGCAAGACAAGGCGAGACGAATGGACAAGAAAGGGAACTGAGGAGTGAAGAGGAAAAGAAGAGAGAGGGAAAGAAGAGAGAGACGAGGAAGGAGGAAGACAAAAGAGATGGAGGTGGAGAAGAACATCTCCCGAAACGGCATGACGTCGTTTATCTTCCTCGGCGGCCGTCACGGGACTTCAACCCCGGCCCAACACTTTTAGTCGGAAACTCATGAGGTTTATTTCAGCCCGTCGTCAGGGCCAGATTATGCAATAAACACCATGTCTCACGATTCTATAGTGCCGCAAGCATAGTAGTTGTCCCTAAGCATTCGAAGATGGGAGAAAGCATACTTGAGCCAACCCAACTTGTTGACAAGATTCCTAATTCGGTATAGCCGGTAATGCTATGATACCGTACTTTACCAATCGTGGTCCCGGACTCCGGATCAACCATATATCCTCACCGCCTGCACTTATCATCATCGTTCCATGCATTATCTCATCGTGGTTATCTCGACCATATAATACTCCCAATATTGTCCCAGTCAGGGGTTCCTTTCGAATTTCCATGATATTGAAATAAGCCATACAATGTCTTTTTCAACAAATACACCCTGTCCTTATCTCGCGTGACCCGGCATGGCAGCACGACTGATCCGGGGACAATGGCCCTGAAGCGTCAAGAGTATGTCCTGCTGGGCATCGGTGGTTTCATAGCATGGGGACTGGTAACCCAGTGGCTTCCTGTGCTCCGATACCTTGGCTATGCACTGGTGTCAGGCGCATTGATTTCTGCGACTATTTTACTTCTTCTCGTCCTTCTTACAACGCGACCTACAACTGATGCAGCCTCCCCCACCTTCAACAAGCGCCCCGTCGCGTTCCTCACCCGCCGCCATTGGGACAAGGAAGCGCGGGGTGTTCAAAAGCGCTCTATCTACAAACCCGACTCTCTATACCCTCAATCTTTTGTTGTCTCTGAGGGCATTGATGAAGTTCTCAGTCTAGTTACGCGCGATTTTGTCGCATCCTGGTATCAACACATCAGTCCAAACCCCGCATTCGTGAACGAGGTCGACCGGGTGATCCGAACCGCGATTGAAAACCTGCGCGAGCGACTACTTGCGGAGGACCTAGTCTCACTTCTAGTCTCCCGAATCTTCCCAATACTTACAACCCACCTGAAAGAGTTCGACGTCGCGGAGCGATTGGTGCGGGGACGAAATCTTACACGGAATGTCACCGAGTCGGAAGAGCTCGACCTGGCCATCGCCAGCAAATATCGGGAGGGAAATTTACATCCGGCCGCCAGACTTTCCTTGTCAGATCAGAAGCTCGTCGAGCAAGAGTACCTCCGCAAACTGACCGTCGGTTTGTTGCCAAAGCTTTTTCCCGCATCGGTACTCAATAGTCGCATCGTCTCCGTCATCGTCCGAGAAATCCTCGCATGCGCCGTACTGTACCCTATAATTGCGTCACTTTCAGACCCTGACACTTGGAATCAACTGGTGGAGGCCTATGGGCGTACTGCTATACAGGACCGGAAGACGGTGCGAAAGCTGCGGGCAGCGTTGGACGAGCATGCCTCACCAGCCCCAAGATCCAAGCGTGGGAGCCAATTTCCGCGTTTAAGTCCACATGACTCGGAAAGGGCCTTCGAGAGATTCGTACGAGCGATCCGGCGCTGCGACAATATCTCCGACGCCAGACGCTTCAGGGCGCTCATTGTAAGCCAGCTAAAGCGAGAATCCATGGTCGAAGGACAGGATGCGACTTACCTGCAAAGGCTAGAAACGGCTAAGAGGGTTTTGGATCAAAAAGTGGCCAAACTCTCGACGCCCGCAGGCAGCCATGTATCACACGCCTCTGCAGCCGCATCACACTTCCGCCGCAAGAACTCCGCATCACGGGAAGCATCGTTAGTCGATGTGATGCACGACGCTTCAGGCCTCTCTTACTTCATGGAGTTCATGGACCGTCAAAAGCTCATGTCTTTAGTGCAGTTCTGGATCGTGGTTGATGGGTTCCGCAATCCACTGGAGGATGACTTTGGAGATGAGGACTCTCCCAGTTCGACGACCTGGACGCCTACGGACCAAAATGACATGGCCTTGATCAGTCAGCGTTACCTGAACAAGCCCGAACTGAAAGTGCCGGATGAATCACGTCGAGCAGTCAAAGCTTTTCTTAGCGCAGGCAAGCGAGCTACTGCGGATCAATACCGCAGAGCGCGCACCGTCATTCTAACCACCCAATCGGCGGTGCTGGACGAGCTCCAAAATATTTACTACCCCAAGTTCAAGAAGTCCGATTTATATTACAAATACCTTGCATCGGATGAAGTTTCACAGTCCGTGACACATGCACCTCCCAATCCTCCCAGCCCCGCCGAGCTGCTCGAGAGACGGCCGCTCCCTCTAATGACCCGCACTTCATCGCAGCCTAATGCCAGACCAAAAGACCTAAGACGAGCAGCTGTGTCGTCAAGTGATGTCCGTAGCATGGGCAAAAGGCTCGATGACGATGATTCTTCCAGAAGATCGTTCGATTCCGAAAGGTCAGCTCCCTTGTTCGATGATGACTATGACACCGATCCCCTGGCGATGTCGACCCAGAGTCTTGGTCAAGACTCGCAGAATGGTGACAACGAGGCAAGCCAGAATCAGGTGATCGAGACAATAGAGGCTGCTCTGAACGATATCATCACCAATCAGCCCAAAAATAGTCGGCTGGAAGATTTAAAGAGTGGAGATGCATCTCCCACTCGCCTTGTACCTGGTGATCCATTCCCGCGGTCTCCGCGTAGCTCGATCGAGTCTGCTCGGGCGGAGAACCGCGTTGATGACCGGGCGAAACCAAGTATCGCGTCGCTCGGACTCATTGATCGGTCTTCCCGCCATGGCGTCTTTGATGACGATCTCTTTGCCGACCAGCAGAAATTCATCGAAGATGAATATGAAGAGCCTCTGGGATCAGAAAAGGACCCGGCCGACGAGGTTCATGAAGCCGCCCCCGGAGACCTAGGGCTGACGGAAGCCATTGAGGCGCTTACGACTGACATTGAAAAGTTGGGGTCGCAAGAATCGGTGGTCGACACTCTGACTCGGAAAGCCGAGCTCACCAACAACACCGCGGAAATGCGAATCCTGCGCAAGTCCAAGGCGAGCATTCAGCGTGAGATTCACCGCAAAGAGATGCAACGGCAACAGTACATCATTCAAGAGAGTGATAATAGCTTGTATGGTCGATCTACAGTCCGGATCAAATCCATCGTAGTGGGTAAAGAGGAGGATGGTCGGGAATTCGCGATGTGTAAGCCTGAACGTCCCCTTCTGCTTAATTCTTCATACATATGACGGAATGAATCAATTCACTGACATATACCTAGACGTGATCGAGGTGCAGAGAAATGCCGGCGAGCAAATGCCAGCGGCATCCTGGGCAGTTGCGCGTCGCTATAGCGAGTTTCATGAACTCCACACCAAGCTACGCATGAGATACCCGTCCGTGCGGCACCTGGAATTCCCTCGTCGCCGGGTGGTCCTGAAACTCCAAAAGGAGTTCCTCCAGAAACGGCGTCTAGCTCTCGAAACATATCTACAGAAACTGCTCCTCCTCCCCGAAGTCTGTCGCAGCCGGGATCTGCGAGCCTTCCTGTCGCAACGAGCGATCATCCAACGCGACGAGACGCAGAGCTCTCGCGACGGAGAAACCAAAGACTTAGTAACCCGGATCTACAACTCAGTCGCCGACGGAATGGACGACTTCCTCGGCAATTTCGGCGTCCTGGATCAACTCTCTACGGCCGGCCAAAACCTCATATCTGCCGCCACCAACAATAACACCAATTCCGCAACCACCACCACCACAAACACCGTTCCCCTCTCCCCGGAAGACGCCGTCACCGCCGCCGAAGCGGAAGCCGAACTCAACGCGTTCGAAGACCGCGACCTTGAACCCTTCATCAAACCGATCTGCGACCTCTTCCTCGAAGGCTTCGAACTGAACAAGGGCAACAACTGGCTGCGCGGGCGCGCCGTCGTCGTCGTCCTCCACCAGCTCCTGGGCGGCACCATCGAGCGCAAGGTCCGCGAGGGCGCCCGATCCCTGGTGCAGGACGACTCGCTCCTCCGCTACGTATCCCTAGCCAGGGACACCATGTGGCCGGGCGGCACCCTGCGCCAAAGCAAAGTGCGCACCGCGCCCGAGCGTCTCCGCAGCCGCACCGAGGCGAGCCTCGTGCTGGCGACCCTGATCCCCGACCTGGCCGGCAACGTGGTCGGGCGGGCCAACGCGCAGGGCGCGGCCCGGCGCATCTTCGCCACGCTGAACAACCCACGGTTGAACACGCACCTGGTGTTCACGATCCTGGACGAGATTATGCTGGTTTTGTTCGGCGGGGCCAACACCACTGCAGGTACTGTCGACGGAGTCGGCCGTAATCGGTAAAACAACATCTCTCTACTACATTAATGCGTCTGATGATGACCGTGACGTATTGCGTTGTTTGTTATGATTGAGCAAATTCTGCGTGTTCCCACTTCCCCCTTAATCTGTTGTTCTTCTTTGCCCGTCAGTTCTTGCATCACTTTAGCGGGCGTTTGTATGTTTTACTATCGCATTCGAGCCATCAGGGCGGTCTTCTGTTTTATCCTCTGCCTCACCTGTGTCTATACTCATCGGCTGCCCATTGTGCAAATAAGCGTGATTGCTCCCTGTGACTTGAGGAATAATACACAAATTCCGTGGACGCTGCTTGCTAGATGCATCTCTCTATCCCATACTGTATCTAGTAACAACAACACAGATGCATTACCTAGTTCTTAAGTAAGTTGTAGTCGATGAAGTGGATCCTAGTGCTGACGCCATGGAACTAGTTCCCTCAGCTTAGTCCCGCTAGTCCTCTTGGCGATCGGGGTCCTATCCCGCCCACTCATACCTCATGGGCATGTCTACATTTCTACTCATTGGGGCAAAAAAAGAAGGCCACTGATCGTGTTCCGGTTGTCTGGTTTGGTATTCGGAGAATGAGCGTGTGTAAATGATGGAATTCGCTGGTCGACACCCAGTCAATCAGTTGCAGTAGGGGTTGCACTTCCACTCCACTTCTTCCATCTCAGCCCTTTAAAAACACCTGGCGTACCCGCCTGAAAATAACGAAAGTGACCATGAGACGACAAAGAGAGACAGAAAGGAATTTAAAAGCACAGAAGATAGAGAATGGGGTTCGGATTACAAAGGATTAGATATCGTTCCCCTCACCCCTTGTCCCGCATTTGCAGACGGGGTCTTCAGTCAGCGAGGGGGAGGGAGGTGGTTCGTTACGAGGATTAGAGAGAAAGAGGGTTTGGCTGTGTGGTCCAGGCACAGGTAGGCAAGGCTGACAGGCCGCTCATGCGTCGTCGCTCTTCTTCTTCTTGGACTTCTTGCTGCTGGTCTGGACCGGGGGACCCGTCTTGGTCTGGTGGACGATGAGGCGTGTCCAGCACTCCTCCTTGTCCCACTCGAAACCTTTGAGGTAGGGCTCCGTTAATGTGTCGTCGGACTGGGGTGGTGAGGTGATGGTTAGTTGTGTTGCTTGGTGGGGTTGGAGGGGACGAGTGAAAGGTTCGAAAGAAAGTCGGGGAAAAGAACATACCTGTTTCTTGAACTGCTTGTGGATTGCGTCCAGCGCATCCTTTACCGTGACGCCCTTCATGTTGCGGGCTGTGACCTCCAGCCCCAAGGGGAAGTGCAGGTCGATCTTCTTGACGGGAGGGTTGACGAGGTGGAGTTTGAGGATGTCCTTGTCCTCAATGGTTGATGGGGAGGTGTTGAGCTTCCTGTTGTTCAGGCAGGTTAGCTTTAGGTCCTGGTGTTGGGTTGGTGGTGTTTGTGGTGCACTTACCATCCCGTGCGTTGCGTTTCAATGGGAAGAGTCAATTCGATCTTCTTCTCCTCTGTTTCACTCGGAGATTAGCTTGTGCTGGGGAAGTGACGGTGATAGACGACACACGTACCTAGTTCCTTGATGTTGTAGACGCCTTCGGCGGTGGAGGAGGCACGTCGTGTCTTGGCCTTGGTCTCCTTGGGCTTCTCCTCCTTGGCATCTAGCGTCAAGCCGGCGACGGCGGAGTCGACCTTGGTGAGTTCTTCCGACATGATGGGAAGGTATGAGTCTGTGGTTACTGGCTGGGGAGATGAGAATACATGAGTTAGTGATGATAATGCTGATGACGATGACGATGACGATAACGATGACGATGACGATGGTGAGGGATAGATGGGAATAGGAGAATGGCCTACGACTCCAGGGAGCCTAAAGCTACAGAGAGGGTGAAGTGACAAGGGAATATGGGGTGAAAGAGTTCCGGGTCAGGGTCCAAAGCTTACCGAACCGTTGGGGTGGAAGTAGTGGATGAACTGGCAGTGGATGAGAGATGGATAGTTCAATGGATGATGATGAAGAAGAGAAGAAAGAGAAGAAGAAGAGAAGGAGAAGGGAGGGGAGAAGGACTCAAGAAGTAAGTGAGTAGTAGTAGAACAGAGAGGGGAAGAGACACAGCGAGGAGGGTGGGCAGGTGACCTGACTGGTTCAACCCACCCCCGGTTCTCAATTGCATGAAAGCCCCCTTGACTCTCTGGCTCGACCCAGACTGTAATTAATTTCCACTCGTTTGACGGGTGGGACGTTGTTCGAATGATGATCGGAAGAGTCGACATCGACGGCTCATCTCGTGGTATACTCTCTATCCTCTATCCTCTATCCTCTATGGTGTATACTAACTAGACTATGACGCCCAGAATTGATTGTGAGAAGAACAACAACAGCAATAACAACTATAACAGTGATTACGACAGCTGCTCGATATCTCCACGACTGTTGTGATACTACTGGAATAAGACTTGAAGGAACTCAATAGGTTCGACCAGACTGGAATCGTATGTTGTTGTACAATACATACATGGGATGATCTCCGCATTGCTAGCTGGGGAGCGGCGTTTGATTCCTCCAGCATCATCAGCATCACCTGATGATGATGCTGATGATGATGATGATGATGCTGTGTTTCAGCCTTTCAATTCCGTTTCCAGTGTCCCTGACCCTTACTGGTATTCTGTATAATTTTTCCCTAGGAAATGTGATATTGTCCCCGGCAGGACCGGATCACACGAGCAGCTCCTGACGTTGAAAGCGGCCACTAAAAGGAAACTAAAGGCTGCACCCCGCATTCCCAACGCGGGAACGCTCCACTTGACACTGACTGACACTGACACTTGAACAAAGTACTGTTGGACTCTTTTACATAGTATGACACCACCAATGCAACTGCAACCAGAGATCGGCTCACTCCCCCACTCATTCCCCCAAAAATGGATGACTTCATCGTCTGCGTGGTTTTCGGGCTAGAATGCCAATCAATCGATACCAGTTTCCATGGTACTGTTCACTTCCCCAACCTGTAAACGGCTCTTGGTTCCCCAGCCGCACGTGAGCTAAAGTTGGGGCATCACCACTACAATGAAGGGACATGAAAGGTTACCAAGTACTCTGAGTGCATTGAGCACATTGAGTACATTGAGCACTGTCAGGGATGCATGCCTGGTCATGGACTGGACTTGTCGAAAATCATGCCTGGCTTCCCCCACTCCTTCGAGTGGTGTGATGTATGCTCAGCACCGAGCCGGGGTGCGCTGATACCTCCCTGCAACGAGCTGTCTCCAGAACGTCCATCGGAGGTCGATCGTAAGATGATGGAGGTCGGTTACTGGTTCGCAGACTGCCTCAACTTGCAGCCCCGGGCGGGGTTTGCCGTGAGCTACGAATCACGACCAGCTTCGCCTGCGGTTTCATACCGAATACTGTCGCCTGCCTACATTTGTTTGGCGTCGGAGCGGGAGGGAATGGGGAGGAAGAGGGAATTCTGGACTCAGGGCTGCCTGCATGCTCTGTATTCCCGTGTCTTAATTCCTGTGTGTATGTGTATACAATGTCATCTGTTAGTCCTGAACCTAGTGGTGACAACTCACTGTCAGCTCGGATGACCTGATCTCTTAAACACTTGTATGCCAACTCCGAGCACATCCTAGTCGTACCAGTGCCGGCTCATAGGAACAGGAACAGGAACCTGAACAGGAACCTGAACAGGAACAGACTATAAATCTGGCCGCTGGATGAAGCGCAGGCTGGCGTGCTGCCAGACCCAAAAACATCGACGAGTCGAACTCTCGATCATCTGACCCTCTCTCACCCATGCATGCACTTGTGAAGTGATACTCCCGATAAGGTCAAGTCGATCAGACCAAAGGACAATGGCTGAGTCAGCACCTGGGCCGGGCGGAAGGCGGTGTGGCTCGGCAGGAACGAAGATATTCGAGGATTGCGCGGATGGACGACGAAAGAGCATCACTTCTCCTTCCATGTTCCTGTGCTTCGTCGCCTAGCGCTTTCCCTTATCACGAGCTTTGTTCTTGCTCTGTAGTTTGAAAAAACCGTGGGGAGCTAATATTCTGATCTCGCAGTCGCCTAGAATCCCCCCTCTGATCCTGCCGACCGTCGACCGATTAATCCATCGCGTCTGCTTTTCCTTTTTCGTCTCGCGTGTCGGAGCTCTCGTCCCCATTGCCTCCGGCCAACCCGTCCTTTACCACATCACATACAGCAGATGGCATCGCTCTTCGGTAATGTTGGCGCTTCGTCGTCAGCGGGTGCTTCCAACACCACCGGCGACATCTCCAAGGATGTTGCCCTGAACCAGCCTCCGGAAGATAGCATCTCGGATATCCGATTCTCCCCCGGTCCGACCGGTGAATACCTTGCCGTTGCCTCGTGGGACAAGAAGGTGCGCATCTACGAGATCAACGAGCAAGGACAGAGTGAGGGCAAAGCTTTCTTTGAGCATGAGGGCCCGGTATTGAATTGCTGTTGGTCACCGGTACGTTTCGTCCTTCCTCCCCCCTCTCCCGGCTCCGCGACTAATGCATGAGGGACCTGTCCAGGATGGAACGAAAGTCGTTGGTGCCGGCGCGGACAAGGCGGCCCGCATGCTGGATCTGGCTTCAAATGCGACGACTCAAGTGGCAGCGCACGATGCACCGATCCGCAGCTGCCATATGATCCCCAACCCGCAGGGCAACACCCCGTTACTCATCACAGGCTCGTGGGACAAGACGGTGAAATACTGGGATATCCGGCAGCAGACTCCGATCGCAACGGTGGAATGCCAAGAGCGCGTCTACACAATGGACGTCAAGAACAAGCTGCTGGTGGTGGGCACGGCGGACCGCTACATCAACATCATCAACCTCGACCAGCCGACCAAGTTCTTCAAGACGATGCAGTCCCCCCTCAAGTGGCAGACGCGGGTAGTCAGCTGCTTCGCCGACTCCACGGGCTTCGCCGTCGGCAGTGTCGAGGGCCGCTGCGCCATCCAGTACGTCGACGAGAAGGACTCCAGCTCCAACTTCAGCTTCAAGTGCCACCGCGAGCAACCGCCCAACCAGCGCGACGTCAGCAACATCTACTCGGTCAACGCCATCTCCTTCCACCCCATCCACGGCACCTTCAGCACCGCCGGCAGCGACGGCACCTTCCACTTCTGGGACAAGGACGCCAAACACCGCCTCAAGGGCTACCCCTCGGTCGGCGGCACCATCTCCACCACCGCCTTCAATCGCACCGGCACTATCTTCGCCTACGCTGTCAGCTACGACTGGAGCAAGGGCTACTCCGCCAACACCCCCCAACTTGCCAACAAGGTTATGTTGCACCCCGTCGCCCAGGAGGAAGTCAAGCCCCGACCCGGCACTCGCAAGCGGTAATGATTTAAGTTCGATAAGAAATATTCTGATGTCCAGGGAAAGAAAGAAGGGGAATCCGGGGAAGAAGGGCTTCATGCAAGCATTGGTACGTTCACTCACGGGTGTGTGCGTGTACGCTCGATCTATGTAATGTCTCTAAGGGAGTCCGGAGGTCGATACTTAGAGATTTTGCGAAATCAACAACTTCGACCTTCAGATCAGAAATCATTGGTTTCCACCTCTTTCTCCCGCATCTCCACATTTCCTCTCTTTCCTCTTCTATGTATTTCTTCTATCGTCGTTTTCTTTTGGTTCAGGGAATAATGCATATGAGCGGTTCATTTCAGGTTTAGAATCGATGTCTCCCGTGGTTATGCCGTAGGCAAGATGGTAGTAGGTAGGCACTATGAGCGACCATCTCGTTGCAGGGTGTTTACTCGCGTGGCCGATATCAATCTTCATACGTTTACCAGGATGGATTCGACCCCGGGAAAAAGAATCATAGTGCATCGAAGGGACCTATGATTTTTTTTTTTCTTTTTGAAATGCACCCGAACTACATCAGCCCACCTTGTATACACCTTCCCCTCACCTATTGCTAGAAAGTCGTAAAAAGAAGAAAAAAAAAACGATAAGACCAGAAACTATCCAGGAAAGTTCAAGTTCTGATGATAAGTGTAAATAAAGAAAAAGGAATCAATCTGCATCATATCTCGTATCAACTCTGCGCATATGTATAAGTAAAAACCACAGGAAAGAAAAAGAAAAAAAAAGTGCTTCTAATCCAACCACTAACACGATCAGCATCACACAAACACACACACACACACACACACACAAGTCGCTCTAGAAAGACTTGAGATAAGGGAACTTCCGGTGTTTATTCCTGCTTGTTCCCCCAGTACAGAAACAGAACTGGCAGATGTTACGCTTCATGTACTCAAGAATTTAGGTGTGGATGGGATGGTGGCAGAAAGAAAGAAAGACAGAGAAAAAAATCTTCTAAACTTCTTGAAAATTCACGTCACAGATAAACTGGTATACTAAGAGGTGGGAAGGGTCACCTGAGCGACACCGTCCGTGACCTTGTCGACGGCCTCGTCGGTCGAGGAGTCAGATTTTTCGGCACCACCCTTGGCGGAGGCTTCGACGGGCTGCGCGGAGCCAGCAGCAGCAGCTTCAGCCGCGGCCTTGGCCTTCTTCTCCTTCTTCTTGGCCTTGGCGGCGGCGTTGGCGGCCTTCTTCGCGGCGACCCTGGCGGCCTCCTCCTCCTTCTTCTGGCGGTCGGCCTGGGAGCCGCCGAAGAGATCACGCCACTCGTCGGCCTTCTTGGGGTCGATGCGCGAGAACAGGTACTGGGCCTTGCCAATCTTGTGGCCGGGCTGGACGGCGGTGGGCTTCCAGCCGTCCTTGAGGTCGTCGAGGGCGGGGATCAGGCCGAAGGGCACGGCCAGCTGCTCGTTGATCGACTTGGAGGTGGCGGGGAGGTAGGGGGCGAAGACGCTGGCGAGCAGGTGGATGAGGTTGAGCACGGTGCCGACGACGGCGGCGGCGCGCTCGGGCTCGTTGGCGATCAGCGAGTTGTCCAGCCGGTTGGCCTGGATCAGGCCGTTGCCGATCTCCGCCAGCTTCATTGCGCTGACCACACCCGCCCGCAGGTGGGCGCCCTCCATCTCCTCGACGTACTGGCGCAGCGTGGCCGTCACCTCGTCCAGGGTGGGCTGGAAGGACTCGGGCACGGTGAACTCGGGCACCACCGACCCGTACGACGCGATCACCAGCTTGATCACCCGGTTGACCAGGTTGCCCAGCTTGGCCAGCAGCTCGCTGTTGTTGCTGTCCACGAACGAGCGCCACTCGAACTGCGTGTCGCCCGTCTCCGGGCGGTTCTTGAGCAGGTAGTACCGCCACACGTCGGGCGGCACGCCCGTCTGCTTGGCGTTGTTGCCGAACACACCGATGCCGCGCGACTTGCTGAACTTGCCGCCCTCGTAGTTCAGGTACTCAGTCGTGCTGAGGTGGTGCAGCATGGTCCACTTCTCGCCCGTGCCCATCTGGCAACCGGGGAAGATGACGCTGTGGAAGGGCACGTTGTCCTTGCCCAGGAACTGGTAGAGCTGGACGTCCTCGGGGTTGCGCCACCAGAGCTCCCAGTCGGGAGTGTAGTTGGCCGTGATGGAGGGGTAGCCGATGCAGGCCTCGAACCAGACGTAGAGCACCTTGGTCTCGAAGCCATCCAGGGGCACGGGGACACCCCACTTGAGATCACGGGTGATACCACGGTCCTTCAGACCCTCCTTCAGCCAGGACTCCGTAATGACGCGCGAGTTCTTGGGCCAGTCACCCTTCTCGATGGCCTTGGAAGACCACTCTTCGATCTGCGGCTGGAGCTTGTCCAGGAGGAGGTGGATGTGTTTCGTCGCGCGACGGACGGGGGTGGCGCCATCGAGCTTGCAGCGGGGGTTGATCAGGTCGAAGGGATCGAGGAGGTGGCCACACTTATCGCACTGGTCGCCACGGGCGTCATCGTAGTGGCAGCGAGGGCACTCGCCCTCGACGTAGCGATCGGCCAAGAAGGAGTTGTGCGTCTCACAGTACGGTTGCTCAGCGGTCTTCTCTGTCAGGTAGCCGTTCTCGTAGAGTCGCTTGAAGATGGCCTGGGAGATCTCGGTGTGCTGTTTCGTCGGGGTGCGGCCAAAGTGGTCGAAGCCGATCTCGAACCACTCGTAGACTTCCTGGTGAATCTTGTTATACTTGGCGCACAGCTCCTCCGGAGTCACCTTCTCCTCCAACGCCTTGGTCTCGGTCGCAGTTCCGTACTCATCGGTACCGCAGATATAGAGAGTTTGATGTCCGGCAGCCTTGTGATATCTAATTGAGGGTTAGGTTAGCTCAATGAGGGGAAAGAGAAAGGTAGAGAGGGGAGAGACGGACCTAGCGAAAACATCGGCACTGAGCACGGAACCCACGATGTTACCCAAGTGGGGGACGTTGTTCACGTAGGGCAGGGCACTGGTAACCAGGATATTGCGCTGACCCTTCTTGGGTAAAATCTTTGATTCCTCGGACGCCATACTTTGTGGGTAGAATGGGAGGGGAGGAGGGAGAGAGAGAGAGGAAGAGGGAGGAAGAGGAGGGGGGGAAAGATTGGCGGGGTTTGGAGAGAGAAGTTCGGATGTCAGTCAGTCAGTCACACTCACTCAGTAGTAAGGAAGAAGTTTGTGTCTGCCGCCGCCGCCGCCTGTCGGAGGATGATTCATCGCTTCTTCTTCTTCTTCTTCTCCGCAGCGCTAAGTTGCTTATCTACTCTCTCTTTTTCTCGCTATCGCTATCGCTACCCTCCCCTCCATCGCGATTTTTTCTTTTCTCTGTTTGCTCCCCGCATCGTCCATTCTGTTGGGTTGGCCTGCCTTTCTTTGTTGCGTTTCTTTATCTACAGTCTTCGGTGCGGCCATTTCTAACACCCTACAACGTTATAACTCTCCGACCACACCTCAAGAAGCAAGAGGGTGGAGACACAATGGCAATGGACAATAGTGACGGTAATTTGCTGGAGAGTCTTCTGGACTTGGAGGAAGAATTCTACCAAGAGGGCTTCAACCTGGGCTCGGCGGACGGTGCGTTGGCTGGCTACACCGAAGGAAGCGTGTTTGCCGTCGAGAAAGGATTCGAAAAGTTCGTCGAGATTGGAAGACTGTACGGGAAAGCCTTGGTATGGGCTCAGCGACTTGCAGACTCCGATCCGTCGGTCTCTGCCAAGGCCGATTCGCAGTCGAAGGACGAGGTTGGGACGAGTGACCAGCCAAGCGAAGGATTGCTGGACCCATCGATTTGCAAGCTGATGCCAAACTTGGTGGCGAGCTCCAGGCTGCCCAAGAATCTTGACACTCTGCTGGAATTAGTTGATCCTGCTTCTCTACCCACGGCAAACGATGAGGAAGCTGTCAACGATGTGGACGAACGCCATAAAGGCGCAGTCATGAAGGCTAAGCTCATCCAGCGTGCGCTGGGCGAGAGGGATGACAATTCGGACATCCACCCGGACGCAAAGGAAACATCGACTGCACCTGCAGGTGACGGCACCGGTAGCATTGAAGACATCAGTTCCTTAAGTATCCGCCATTGAGGACCCCGTTGCTGCAAGTCTAGAAGTGTACGACCGGGCTCTGCAAGGGATGTCGCGGGCTTGCCTTGGCAGCGGATCGTCTCTTTTACCTGGATCGGAGATTCTCCGAACAACCACCAGCTCACTTGAGTCGAGTTGTTCCCATCCCCTCAGTCGGAGACCCGTGATAGTCCGAGCCCTTGCTGCGTTGTGGTTAGCTTGGGTGTATAGCTTCAGAGGGTCGGGCGAACCGCGAGGCCGGTCGCTCGCCACAATCTCCGCAGCCGAGGCTTCCTCTAGGCTCTTCCAGTTTTCCAGATCGTTCACCCCGCCAAGTCGGGCCAGTCGCCCATACTTGGTCCTTCCTCCACACGGTTTTCTCTCGGATATGGAGAACTTGGTTCACCGGTCTTGCGCAGGCACCTTTCCCCTTTTTCGGTGACCGCTTCTCCGTTCTCGGATGTCTGCGACGCATCTATAAGTACCGGCTTTGATCCGCCATACATTTTCAGCTTCAATGCCATTCAGTCGGATACCATCACATATCTGGGATTGCCATTCTCATCGTCTCGTCCGGTAGTTATCATGCATTTAATTCTTCTATCTTTAGTCTCCCTTTCCACTGGATTGGCCCGTGCACAAACAGGAGTCACAGAACCCATCTCAGAAGAGTGCGGTCCCTCCGTGGTGTGTGTCAATCATTATGGCAACGTCCTACCGTGAGTGACTTATGACAAACACTCCAAATATAAAACCTTAATTTGAGACGTGAATAGCTATCATTTCTTCCGCAATGTAACCACAATGGACGCGGTTACTACTTTCGGTGACACAACTGTAGCCAACGGTACCAAATTGAACGACATCAAGTCGGCTGATTTTGTTGTATACAACAAAGAAAAAGGCCTCGCGGCTTTGGGCTCCAACCCTAGCTACGAGTACATCTTTGCGGTCAACGAGGCTGTGCATGAGGCACCTGTCTACGTAGCGTCACAAAACAAGCTGTATTTGTCGCAGCTGGCTCCTCCTACCGGCTACCTGCCGCAGCTTGTGGTCGACCTGAACCAGGACCCTCCGACGCTATCTGAGTTCCTTTCTGATCCACCAGTCTATGCTCCCAATGGTGGCACTTTCCACAACGGTAAGATCATCTGGGGCGCTTCGGGGGGCAACAATTCCATCGGAGGGTCCGAGCAGCGTGTGGGATTGAGGACCCTGGACCCAGAGACCAACAAGACAGTCAGCCTGGTGAACAACTACTTTGGATACTACTTTAATACGGTCGACGATGTTGCCGTTCATCCCAAGACCGGAGATATCTGGTTCACGGATCCTCGTGAGTCTGATTCGCTGCAGTTTTCCATGTTCATGTTTGCTCATACATGGCAGAATACTCTTGGTTCAACGATCTCACCGACACACCGCCCCAGCTGCCAGCTGCCAGCTACCGGTATAACACGTCATCCGGCGCGGTCGTCGTAGTCGATGACAGCCTAGGCCAGCCCAACGGGGTCGCCTTCACTCCCGATGGCTCCATCGTCTACATCAGCGACACAGCTGCTATCAGCGCCCCAATTGACCCGAAATACGGCCATCCAGGCAGTACATTCAACACGACTCATCGCAGGTAATATCTGTGATATTGTGCTTTTGCCATGACTGAATCCAAGAATGCTAACACTCACTAGGACCATCTATGCCTTTGATGTTAGTCAAGATGGCGCCCACGCCTACAACAAACGGCCTGTCTACATGGCACCAGGTTTCGTCCCCGATGGTCTGAAGGTTGCAGCGAATGGCTACATCGTCACCGGCTGTGGCTACGGAGTTGACGTCATAGATCCCTCTGGGGAGTTGCTTTTCACTATCCAGACGAACTACACGGTGCAGAACTTTGCCTGGACGGGTCCGGAGCTGAAGACGCTGTGGTTGATGGGGAATGGGGGCATCAGTAAGGTCGAGTGGGAGCTAGCGGGCCAGGAGTTGAAATAGGTCGATGTACAGGACGACCCTCGCATGATCAGTAATGTGACTAACGCGGAATGATTAATGCCCTTGTCTGTCTGTACATTCTCGTGGCTGTCAGGTTTATTGCTTAGGGAGCGCGAATGTGTTTATTTACCGGCTTTGTACTTTAGTGAGGTACTGAGCTTCCATGCGATATCTGGTGAAGTTCTCTATCTATCATGTACATATCTGAAGACGATGTCCTAACGCCATGACAAGAATATTTTACATTTTCGTCAACAGCACAAGACAATGAGAAGAGTCGATCCACTAATCAACTTCTGCATCGGCGATGACAGGAAAGGAATTGAGATAGTCACTACCGAAGATACCAAACTAGCACCGTGTCGCTCACACGAAATTTGTACACATCTATTTGCATCAACGCGGCCGACTTGACACCCCGAGCTAGTCCATCTCTTCCGGCTGCTGTATAAACATCGCCAAGCTCGCGAACCACCTCCGGGCACGGATCATTAATTAGCAAGACCTTCCTTCTCTATGTCCTGCTAGCCGCGAAACTCACCTGTCGCTTGCCATGTTGCTCTTCGGGAGGTACGGGCAGTGCAACTGCCAGAACGCAGACGAGGGTTAGCAGAAGAGCTGGCTGCAGCATTGCGAGGAAGAGGAGCATGGCCCTTGGTCACTCAAAGGCTGCGCCGAGAAGGATTAGAAGAGGGTAATATAACCTCAGAAGTGTCCTAGATCGTGTTACAGAGTGGTGGTTATAGTAAGTGCCAGACGTCTATAGATATCAAGCTTCATACATACGGCTAAGCAATGCCCTGTAATTCCAGCGATGCCACTGAGGAAATCAAGGAGCCATTCCAGGAATTCACGCTAAGCAAGCCATATTGTCATGCTCCCCCACACAGGGTATCGCTATGCTCACAGCACATAAGAGACCCGGGTTGCTTCCCGCGAGTAACAAAGGCGCATCTCTGCTGGCCCAGTTTATGAGTAGAGTCAGCATCTTCCGAGATACCAACAATTCACCTCTCCCCGTAACGTGATACACAACATTCGCTATCTATCTTTCACTGTTGCTATCTTTTCCTATCCTATCCTTCTTTCTCTCCCCTGTCTGTTGGCAGTCTATTTATTCGGCCCGTGCAGGTGCAGATAAGACTCTGTATTTGTATCCAGAAGCGGACCAGTGTGAGCACTTCATTTAAATAAATCCTATTTTATCTCCCTGTTAGCTGCATCTCTCAAGGTTTTGTTGTGGAGGGCAGTGCCTACCGTCTTGAGTTCGCTGGAAACCTCGAGCCCCGTAATGTTGGATATTTGGTCACTAATAGCATCAAGCGCATCATTGAGCGCAGCATCTATAGTCTGTGTCCGCTACCCAGTCAGCAGGCCAGTGTCCGCGTTTCTTCCAAAATTTCCAGCTCACCTCTCGTTTACCACGATGTCTTGCAGGGTCCAGAGGAAGTGCGGCTACCAGCACGCAGAGAAGTATCAATACAAGAGGCTGAATTGTTTTCCAGTATAGAAGCATGGTTGTCCAAGGTGTCATGGACTGTGTAGAAAAGATAAGTGCAAGGTAATAAGTATTCTGCATCGCCTCTCTACCATTCCAGTTACCGAGTCAACCAGCTTGCCCTGGTTGGTATGTGACAAAGCACCATTATCTAACTCCACCGGAGACTAGGATTGCCTCATGCAATAAACAATAATTTCTTTCTCATGCTAGCAGCACGCTGTATGTTTCACCCATGCTTGCTAGGGACAGTGCATGAGTCGCCAAAGACACTGATATCGGGTAGATGAGACGAGGGCTATATGCTTCTGTTAGAAGCATTACTTCAATCCAGTAGCTTGAGAGCATCAGGTGCTACATCCTGAGAACGATAATCTCTTGCCGGCGGACAAATTGCAAGTGCCCCTTAGTAGTCTTCCTGCAGATAAACGCCAATGATTGCGTTCTAGTGTCAATGAAAGCGTAAGCATACACACCTGTGCCTGCCATGCCATTGTCAGCGTCTGCTATATGAAACCGATCCTCGAATGAGGAATTCGAACTACGCCAACAAGACAAGGCCATCTCTTCACCCGCCAGCCAGCATGACAGCTCCATCACCCTCGTGGATATTCCAGATCCCCATCGGCATCTGCATATATCCCTACTACTGCTTGGACAGATAGAATTCCCACCGTGGACCTCAGCTCTCCCAGAGCCACCCAATCGCTCCTCCAACAGCGAGCGCCAGCAATCCAAATTCCCCGACTTCCTCACATCCTGGGACGTATACCAGAAACTCTACCACCCACCAAGCCTCCCGCATAGACTCCACCCTCCAAGCAGCGACACTCGCGACCCTCCTGGCACGGGTCCTGTCGTTGCGGATACAAGGAAACGAAGACCCAGACCAAACGACCATCTTCACAGACGCCTACCGCCTCGAAATCGACTAACGAGACAGACATCCTAGGCCGCGGCGCCAGCGGTCTCGTCTACCCCGGCACATCCCACAGCGCCGCCGCCGACCAGCCACTCGACGTCGCCGTCAAGGTCGAGCTCGCACCGCGTGCACCTGCTCTGGGAAGCGCAGATGATGGACATACTCAGCGGGGACTACCGGCTCCGATGCTTGGTGACAGTGACCATCGCGCAGCCGAGCGACACGCAGATTACGTGCTGATCCTGCCGCGGCTGCAGGGGAGTCTGCAGTCGTGGGCGGGTATGCTAACCCCCAAAGACCGCGAGCAGCGGCGCCTACTGGCTCATCATGCTGCAGATGTGGGAGGGGCTGGTGCAGCTGCATGGGCAGGCTCCGCGCATCGCGACATCAAGCTCGCGAATATGGTGTGCGGGTGGAACGAGACGGGGGATATGCGCGTCTTGCTCTCGGATCTGGATCGTGTGACTCCCGGCCCATGAGATACGCGGCAGTGCTGGGACGGTGGGGTATCTTGCACGAGGTACGTTGGTTCGAGGAATAGTTACCGATCGACATTTGTGGTTTGCTGATGCTGTGACAGAGGTCTTACTGGGCCAGGTGCATGATCCCATGAGTGCGGATGTCTTCGCTATGGCTATGTCGTTGCTCGGGATCGCGTTCTAGAGCATGACGTCGGAACGAGGCTTTCCACTGCTGGTGTGGAAGACGGTCGTCGATGCTGGGAAGAAGTCGCTGGTGGAGTCTTCATTGGTCGAGTTGTCCAATGGAAGCTTGTCGACACAACAGGCATCTTGTCGAAAGCGCTGTGCGAGCAAGAAGGGAAGGACAACGGGCAGTTGAAGCGGCGTATCACCACCAAGTAGTTTCTGACCGAGTTGTGGGCGATAGTGGATAGTGGATTATGGCGATGATCAATATCTATCAGGCATCTAAGCAGGTCTTGGGTATCGTTGTTAATTCTTTAGGAGGTAGATGACATTGTACACATTCAGTGGGTAGGGTAGCCCTAAATGGCTTCTTCACTAACTCCGATCCCGCATAGAATCCTGATGAGCATGAGTATCATCCTCTATCTTGATATCCCAGCCTTTTGTCTTCCCTTATGCCTTCTCTCTTGTCACTGTCGGATGGCCGCAGGGCTGCCACCGCGGCCTCGCGCCTTCCATGGCTCCTTCCTACGCATCATGTATTTAAGACCTCCAGCTGAGTCTCTGGTCGTCTTTGTCCTTAGAATCAATCAATCAATCATTCATTCATTCATCATATCATATTAGTCTTTCGACCGACATGACAAATGACTACCACATTCCCCTTCCTTGCGTGCCCGGAGAACAGATTCTCCCGTTCGATAGCGAGAGGTAGAGAGCTTCTCTGCATCGATACGGCCTGTGCAATGATAGAAAATGTTTCTGGAATTCTATAACCAGTCTGCCTTGAAAATCTCAGTCGGATTGCATCAGCTCGTCTTGTCGATTCCGAAGTCGCTGTAACCGCTTCAGTTTGGCCGGATACATGTAATGTTCTTTTGGAATCGCATCCACCGAGCTCTGGGCCGCCACGACAGCGTGATGCAGATTGTTGATATCCTTTGTCAGGTCAAACCGAGCTTCTAGGATGGAAGCGAGATTGGTAAAGGCGAGGGATCGGTCCTTGGAGCTGGACATCGTAACTGCCTTTCTGGCCTCCTCAACAGCACGATCGAGGTCCTCGATGTTTCCAGTGGCTTTGTATTTGATTCGTAGGAAGAGAGCGACGTTGTTAGCGGAGGCCAGACTGCCGTTTAAACTGATCGACTCCTCGGCTGTTGCGATCGCCTCGTCAAGTTCTTCGATTCGATCAGTTTCCCTGTACCTTTTATAGAAGCATAACGAAAGAGTATTCAGAACAATGCTACGCCGCTTGTCGTCCGTGGTTATATCTAGAGCCTGTGTCAAGTCCTGAATTGCTGTGTTCACATCGTCTAGATTGCCCTTCGCTTGACGAGAGCGCTCTATCAATACTTTGCTGCGAAGGTGCAGAGCCATGCTAAGACATGGATCTCCAGCGGGGATCAGGTCCACCATCCTATTGGCGATTTGAATGGCTTCATCAAGCGTAGAAACGGATCCTGTCATTCGAGCTTTTGCATGGAGACACTTAGCAACGATTTCGAGTCTGGATGCAAGCATTGGATCGTCCTGCGGGGTTTCGTCCACGGTTTGCTTTCCTAGTTCAACGGCATAGTCGAGCTCCAGGAGTCCACTAACGCCGGTTACGCATCTGAAACTGAAGGATTTGGCTAGGAGGGATATGATTTCAATCCTTCTAGGATACCCAGATGGCAAAGCATTAACAAAAACTCGCGCTTCCACTTCGGAAGATGCTCTCGAGTAGCAGAAAATTGCCATGGCGAGAGTCAGCGGAAACTCAGGGTGCAAGTTTTGGAAGCGAGTGAAGAGGTTCGGTTCCAAATCAGGCTCTTCAACTCCATAAGAGTTACTTGAGTGCACGACCCATTGGGTAAAAGCGTAGTTTCCAAACTCGGACTGGCGTTCGCATTTCTCGACACAGAGCTGCTGATCCAAGTCATCGGCCTGTATGAATTCCTTGATATTCATGAATCCCTCCTGCTGTATGAATGGCAATGAGAAATAAGCTAGACAGCTTTTTGCCAATGTCCGGTGACAAGCTTCGATTGTAAAAGCGTCTAGCCAGGTCGGCCGATCCTCGGTAGAGAAGAGATGCTCTTTCGCAGTCAGGTGGATGAAGTAGATTCTTCCGTTGTAGATATCAAGGAAAAATCCACAAACTTCAAGGACCCAATTCTTGAACATCTCCGACGAGGAAGAGCACAAGTCGTCTTCTGTTTCATAATCATGGTCAGCGTCGTGAAGCGCGAGGGCGACGTCCATTTCCTGCAAGGTAAGGGGCCTAGAGGCTGCCATCACGATCTCTAGCATTCTCCTGACTTCAGTTCTGTGATCTGCCGAAACGCCACTCAGCAGAGTTGCATAGGCTTCCCTCAAGTCGGTCGGAGATTCTCGAAACTTCTGGTCCCATATCTTGCTGTTGCGTTGTCGACCTTGCTGTTCGAGGTATTTAAACATCAAATCCACGTAAAGGTATGTGCGGTCATTGCCGGCGGTGATCCGATCTAGAAATACCCGTTTTGTACTTTCCCATATCTCCTTGCCTTCAGCAAATCTCTCCAGGCGTAGCTTGGAAACAGCTATAATGTCACGATTGATGAGTTCTCGGCACACCGGGTCGTCATCCATGTTCAGAAGAGAGCCCGCAAACATTTCTAGGATATTTGGCATAGGACGAGTGGTGAGAAGAATCTTTATCTTCGACGTTGGATAGAGCAATCGGTAGTCCCTCAACGCCTGTAGAAGAGCCCGTCTCTGCTCCGAGTCACATTCATCGAGTGCGTCGATAACGAGAATCAGTCTCCTGGAGGGAGTGCTGTGAGTCACAGCATCCAGGAGATCCCAGTACACTCTGGAGTGGGGATGAATTTCATGGCTGTCCAGTCTGTTTGCTTTGTCCTCCACCGCCGCTGTCAGTTGATTACAGTTCTTGATGGCCTCGTAGAGAATTTTGGAAAGCGCAACTCGTGGCTTATTCTGTCCTTTGTTGTTATTGTCCTTGAAGAAAAAGGAGCAGACCGTGATTGGACTGGACTCCGACATTTTCTCCACCAGATATTTGGCAAGAACCGACTTTCCTGTTCCAGGGTGTGCTGCGAGCACAAGGATCCCTTCGTCACCACTGACCCACGCGCTGAATCTTTCATGCTCGAGCACCCCTTTCCCCGTGCCATTGTATGGACGAGCAAGTTGGCCCACGTAGTCCTCATAGATCTCGAGGCTGAAACGCGATGGATCCGGCTTGTATTTCATCATCAAGTTCTCTTTCTGCTTCACAGCCGCTGCTTTCTTCTGATCCTCCAGTAGAGTCGTTTGTCTGTCGGTGGACTCCCCGATATGCCTCAGAAGATCAGTCTGTTCTTCGATGGCCGACGCCATACTTCTGAAGAATTCCTGGGCGGCACTAGTAGTGTACGCCGAAATGTACTCATGAAATTGTGTTTCCATATCTTTGATGCTCTGCACCATTCCCTCCCAATCGTCCCATTTGACCAGGTTCTTCCCGAAGCTAGAGACCGGGTGGTAATATGATCGAAAGCTTTGCAGCTGGTACTCGATCAACTTCGTGTAGAGGCCGATAATCTCACTTTGTATATGTCCCTTGAGCCCTTGCAATACGCTTGGAGTTTTCCAAGTCTCCGAATTGAGAAGATCGATGAGCCGGACATACCATGGAAATCGTGAGATGACATACTTCAGTCCGGATTGTCTTGCTTCGACCTGCTGCGCCGTATGTGTGAAGACCTGAAGCCGTCAGACATGCGTCGATGATCCCTGTCAGATCGGTCTCATACCGGGCCAAGAAGAAGACAAGTCATCCCCCATGCAATCGAGGCCGGAGGATAGGCCAATAAGGCTGAGCTCACGACCGACTGGGTTCTCTGAACCGAAGTTGCGATGATGGTCATTGTCCTCCTTCGATCCGCCGATTTCTCGGTCTTCTCCACGCCCTGTTGGATCAGTGCGTTGAAGAGTGCTTCACGATCTCCATCGCTCAGGTCCGCCAGCTTCTGTACCACGGATGTGCTGCTGCTCCCTATACAATAATAAGGCTCAAGGGTCAGAAGAGAAGCCTGTGCGAAATAGTAATTATTTTGCTTGAATCTTTCGCCAACATACCAACATTGTTCTTTTCCAGTTTCTGCTGGAGAATCCTTTCATACTCTTCCACCAACTCTCGCGTATTCTCATCATTCTTGAGGTTCTCATAAGCGTGGTACCAGATATCCCCCGCGCCAAGCTGGATCGGAGGATCCGTGGTATCCTCCGCGTTTGGTGTCTCTGCGATGTCTTCGCCGGTCGGGTTTTTAGTTGAAATTGAATGCTTCTCTTCTGAGTGAGCATACGGTTCAGTAAGTGTAACTGGACTATGGCTGGAAGCTTTGGTTTTCTCTGTCTTCTGGAAAGGCCAACAAGTGCAGAAGACCATTTTGCAGTTCTGAGCGCATCCTCTCTTCCTTGGGCAAAAGTCGAACGGGGCAGCCCAGGTGCGGGGAGGCTCGCTAAAATATCTTTTTCTCCATGCATGCAAGGCTGAAGGACAGACCCAAGTGGCTGGGGCTGGGGCTTATCATTAGCCGACGGGGATTTGCATCCTTCATCTCCGCTCATCCCCGCCAATGAGACCTGGTGGAGGCGTGGGTGATGGTGAGATTCCGCCAAGCCAGGAACACGAAGCTATACATAATCTTTAGAGTATGGGGTGATTGGCTGATGGGCCTCCTACCCACTCATGCCTCAGGCAGCGAGCCGAAACAACTCGCGAGTCCTCATACTTATTTACTTTCTTTCCCATCTTTCAAGAATCTTCGCGTTGTTCTTTGTACCCCTCTCAAGCTTCATCTGCTCTTACCTTCTCAAGTGTGCGCGATTGACATGGTCATACTTGGAGCAGGTTGTCATGGGTGACTGCTGTCAAGCTATCAGTTTTAGTACGAAACCTGAGTAAAGCTTGAGGATCATCCCCAGTGATAATGGTACGAGAGCGACAATTCCGATGCCAATCATGCAGATCACATATAATAAACCAAGTCAGAGAGGGGTGCACAGCTGAGAGACACGGAAGAACAAGTAGCTTGGCTGTAGCACTACTATAGGGTAATGATGAGGTTGAAGTTGCCGTCAGCCTGTCATCAATCCGGAGGAAATCTCCAGGCTTGAGTCACCATTCGACTTTTTATAGATGACCTCTTCTCAGGAAAACCTCAGTAATCAATCCATTTCTCAATCCAGTCCCTTCCCAGAATTCATTCCATTCTCAGGATCGAGTCCCTTCTTCGAAAACCAACCCCTCCTCATAAAGGTCCATAACCAAGGTCCCCTCTTCCACAAACATGTTCACAAACTTCACCCTCCAAACAACCATCATCGCAGCCCTCAAGGACGCAAACTTCGCCGACCATCTCGCATCCACCCTCCCAAAGACCACCATATCCGACCTAAAGCGCGGATGCATCTCCCCAACACTGTGGTACCGAATCCACGTCCTGCTCTACGACCTCGAGAATTTCGACTCTAGTCCCGCATCCCAGAAGCGGCTGGGCAAGATAGGCGACCCGTCTTACATCGGGCGGCCGTACTTCACGCGCGAAGAGGCGGAGATCATCAAGAGGACCAGGATCGACGTCGATGGTCGAACGGAAACAATCGAACAGATGATTGACAAGTGCTTGGAAGAGAGAGAGAAGTTCGGGTGTCGCATCAGCAGTAAGCGGCCGAGAAGTGGGGATTTGATCCGGGTCAGTGCCAGTCAGCAGGTTGCGTCTACTCTGGCGGGATTACTGGGGATTGATCTAGTGATGCTTGGTGAGGATAGGACGTTTGTGAACCTGATGGTGGAAAATGGGCTTTTTCTTGAGGGGGTGAGGTGGACGGGGCTGAAGAAAAGGTTCTTTGTTTCGAGGAAGAAGAGGAGATAGATACTCTGAGTTTTGCATGTCCTGGGAGGTGGAATGGGGTTTGTAGCGACGATTCGAGGATTTGTATATACAGTTAGGATGTGTTTCTGGCTTTCTGGGGCCAGTGATTCGCCGTTTCGCCAAATTGCCACGGAACAGGCAAGGATGAATCAAATACGATCAGCATATTGCTCACCTTATAGAAATCACAACTATCATGGTAAATCGAGATGAAGACAGTCCCTAGGGTTGGCATAGAATACACCGCCAAGTTTCTCAATCACCTGGCACCGTTCCTCCATCGTAGCTGCAATGTGGTTTCTGGAAGCCCCTTTCCGAGCGGCTTTTGCCCGCGTACAATGTAACACCCAGACGCCACCAGTAGCTGCCCAGCCCGAGGAAGTCGATCTCCACCTTCGAGACCCCCCGCAGCAGATATTTTCTGCCCTGAAAGGGAACCCTAACACGCTGATCTCAGACCCGACCCCGAAGTCCAGCCAGTAGCTGTCATCGTTGAGACTATCCCCGCATAAACCTATGAAGGGCTCAGGCGGTGATGGATCTTCTAAGTCGAGGGTCACATTGGCCATGTCTGGTCGTGCTTCCGTTGACCTGGACACTGGCTTCGAGCTGAAGACCTGCTTCGGGCCGGAGAACAATAGACGGAAGGCAAGTAGGAACGTAGAGATTAGCCCCAGAGCTGCAAGCAACATTTTGTCGGGTCCCTGAGTAGTACCAAATATTGAGTTGTAATGGAGTGAAAGAGTGGTCGGGTTAATATACTGTCCAAAACCAGCGCTGTCAGAGTGTTTGCCTACTGGTATCTAGATCAAGTTAGATTCAGGGCGATTTAGCCCTAGCATCTTGGCTTGGACGATTGGGCCAACCATCCTATTCAGCGGAATCTAACGGCTGCGGCGTAAGATTTTAGGAAGAAGTTTGAGAGAACTATGGCCGCATTCCGACAATGCTTGTCCCTAGACACTACGCCGGGGTTGGCAGTAGTCTATACCAAGAAAGAGGCACTGCCACGGCCAGTCGCGCAAAATCACAGTCACCGAGCCCCGTGAATTCCACTTTGCGAAGCAGGGATTCAATGGCAGAATCTGACCGTAGACTGACTCCCTTTGCCGCAAGCGCTTTGCCGACGGCCCACATAAAACAAATAAAGACATGCTGAGCATAGAGCTGGCCCACTGGAACCCTTGCAATTCGTACTAGTTTCGCACCAGACCGGCTTTCAAGTTGATCTTGGTCACTGACTCTGCTAATCTTGAAGGTAACCTCGTCCTGGTTCTCTTCTTCTCTTATATCTTCAGTGATATTGTTGATCCCGAGAAGCACGTCTTTGTCAATCGTGATGCTGAGGCCTTCTGAGGGATCCTGCGGCGGAATCTGGTATAGCCCAACGTTGCTGTACGATTGCCTGCGTCTCAAGTACATTTCGATATCCACTGAGCTGTGGCCGATAATCAATGTACTGAGCTTGGGAACTTTTGCATCTTTCAGATTAATGCCGGACAGCAGTAATGAGACCAGAGCATCCAGCTCTTGTGCAGTTGCCTCCCAGGCTTTACCTTTTACAAGCGTGAGTTCCAGAGGCTCAGGTGCCTGGTTGTCTACCTGAACTTCCAGGTCCCAAGCCCAGCGGTCGATTCCATCGCCTGCAATAGCGCTCATGTCAATTGCCGGACTCTGCGACACTTCACTGATTGCTTGCGCAAGAGAGCGGGCCAACTCAGTATGCAGACCATTGTCCCGAGACGTGCAAGCCAGAAACTGCCGGATTCCCAACAAATCCTGGGCGCACCGACAGCCGCGAAAATTAGCACTGTCACTCCCGCTAACTTCGAATGAGGACAGCTTCCAGGTCAAGTCTGGATCACCACCAAGCATGGCAGGCCCATAGAGCCGCTGAGGGTCGAGGAGACACATCTTGGCGACCCAATCCTTGCACGAGCCTGTATTGATCTTTTTCGTGCAATCAGGCTGGTCCTGGCGGCGCAGAACGCTCCGACAGAAAAACATGACCATTGTAGTTAGAAATTGCAGTGCCTGTGGAGGCCAGTGCAGCTTCGGGAGGGAGATCGCTTGCAGGAGGTATCCCACGGCGATGGAGAGGATGATCAGGGGGGAAAATGGCACATGGGGAGTCATCCCGCGCGGGCGGTGCGACGAAACAACTTCTGTGCAGATGCGTTTGGTAATCACGTAGGACTCCGTCGGATCTTCTTCGGTGCCTTCTTGAAGCCAGATGACAAGCATATTCGGGCGTGTTGGCTTCCACAGTACATCCCGAGAGGCCTTGTCGATAGCCGAAGCGCATACTACCAGGCCAAAGACAAGAATAGCTGTGCCAATTGTGAAGACATACAGTGACCAAGGAGGGGTTTGGAAACACTCTCTCATCGGGGGGTAGAAGGTTGCAAGAGCAATCATGACGATGACGGCAGCTTGCAGTACGAGACCCAAGATGGTGAAAGCCCATAGCCAGGGGAGCCGTCGATAAGGGCCCAAGTTGAGCATAAGATTAGGTGGGTAACACCGTTCAGCCGCCGCAAGTCTTTGCTGCTGGTCAAGGTTCTGTTCCCAGAGCTGGAATTCCCAATCCCAGTCGGTTGACCACTGGTCTTTGAGACTGTTAATATGATGGTGAATTCGTATGTGTGTGTTCAGGCTTACGTTTCCTCTCCAAGATTCGAGCACCGAACTTAGCATCATGTGCCGTAAAGAACCCATATGAAAGCTGACTAGCATCAAATCCGGTGAAAAAGAGTTCCGAAACCCGGGAAGGAGCAATGACCCTGACGACCTTTTTGCCGTCCCATATTTCGGAGACCTCACTGGAGGTGGAGGACATGAGGTCTCTCTCTACATGGGCGGGCTTATCTTCGGCGAGTCCAGCCAGGCTCTTCAGAAAGTGCATCTGTGACGTACGTATCACGGCTAAGACTGCGAATGGGACTCCCATGGGCGCTATAGCAAACAGCACCCAGTCCAGGACGCTCACGGACTGCGACAGAAATACGTTTGTCGCATCTTTTCCAAACAACGCAAGTAGACTAACGGGTGTAAGCTCCCCATTCGCACTATGGGCGATATTAGATAGTACTTACATGGTCACCCCAGAGATAAAATCCCTGGTCATCGGATCGCCAGTATTGTTTACACAAAACTCAGGGAGGGTTTTCGGGCCCATCTTCGATTTGACGATCGATTGGTAGACAGCACGAAAGCATGACATGTAGCATGGGCTCACATTCTCTACCATTCTTTGAACGCGCACATAGTGTCTACAGCCATTTCTTATATCCAGAATACCCGACTGAGTGTTTAGACATGGAAAATGAAGGTAATTAAGCTAAACCAGAACCGAGGCACGATTTGTGTGGTCCAGTTCCAGGGTTTCGCAAACGTAAGCCCATTCCTAGGTTACACCCAGCCATGAAGTTCTGAGTTTACGAGATCACGGTGGGATCGAACAGGCTAGATCTTGGGCAATACGAGCAATAACTGTTCAAGCTGCCAAGACTCTATAATTTCTCAAAGAGCACAAGACATCTGAAATCAGGTCGGGATGCTCTTCTTTGAAAAATAAACGTCAGAATGACTTTATACGAAGTCAGCTGCCTAGATTTGCGGGAGGAAAGCGGAGAAAATGCGCTTATACCGTAATGAGAGCGAGGCCTCCAGAGAGACTTGCGCTGGAAAGAGCCATGGCTGATCATCGTGATGGAAGTCAGATGCCTTCTAAAAAGGATGGAGATAAGAAGGATCGAAGAGCAGAAGGAGGATCTATCTGACTAGTTACGCTACTAATGAGTCTGACTAGAAACGAACTGCCTGGCGTACATAAAGCAAGGCAATTGGTTCAAGGTTATGGGTCCAATCAACGGCAAAACTCTGATCACTCTAGATAGATACAAGAACAGGTAGTGAAATACATCTGTACTAGTCCCTGTAGTCAGTATAGTCAGAAGGCTTGTTTTCATTTACAACTGAACTCATTTAATGCATCAATCTGATCTTGGCAACATTAGTCACGTGCGCCTCACCGCTGGGTGTGTTTGTTCATTGGCCCTCTCGACCGATTTTGATGGGTTAATCCCATCCTATCAGATGTACAGTACTTGCATCTCAAAGGAAAACAATGCCCCTGAGGTTATGGTCTCTCTTGAAGCAGTCCTTCGTGTCATTTCAGATTTTCTCTGACCTCCATCTCGAGGTTGGTCAGCAGTATGCGTCTTATGAGATTCCCGTTTGTGCAGACTACCTGGTCCTTGCGGGTGATATTGGGCGCTTAGCAGATTATGAGGACTATCGCGATTTCCTAGAAGCAGACCGACAGATATGAATTAGTGTTCCTCGTACTGGGAAATCAGGAGTTCTACAATGGGACTTTCGCAGCAGGGCTAGACAAGGCTAGACAAGGCTAGACAACTCGAACAAGAACCCTCCCTAAATAGACGATTGATTGTCTTTCACCAGAAGCGATTCGATGTCCCAGGGTGTGATATCACTATACTTGGCTGTACACTCTGGTCGAAAGTGCCATCTGAGTTGACGGACATTGTCCAGTCCAAAGTCAAGGACTTCCAGAAGATCGAGGGCTGGTCGATCAATGGCCATAACGCAAGCCATGAGTCATATCTCGCTTGGTTATTGAAAGACATGCGTCTGATATACCAGGAGAATGGAAGGTAGAGACGCGGAGGGAGAAACAATCTGTCCTGGTCGTGACTCACCACGCTCCTTCACTCCAGAGAACGTCGAGTCCGCAACACGCTAAGAACCCTTGGAGTGTTGCTTTTGGCACTGATGTCTTATCACAATTCGCAGATGGCGTGAAGGTCTTGGTGTTCGGGCACACTCATCATACCACTGATTTCCAAGGAGAGCGGTGTGCGAGTTGTGAGCAATCAGCGCGGATATGTGCTGCCTTGGAGCAATTCAGAGGCAAAAGATAGGTTCGACGTTAGAAAGGTTATACATGTACCGTGAACGTTCAAGTGCATTCCATTTGTCAGTCTTCAGACTACACTAACAGTTATGTTAGCGAAGTCCTGCCAGGGCATTCTTTATTTATGTATAGTGAATCTAGCAGAGATTCGATCTGAATGACTCAGCGGGATGCAACATTCACAATTCCTTGAAGTTAGGGCTTATCTGAAGCGGACTTCGAGTCTAGGACAGAAACTGACAGCATTGGAGATGATAGTTCCTCTTGGCATTATTGGCTATTGCTCGGCGATGATGAATCTCGGGCACTGCCGAGCCCGGATGTGGAGCACGACTGAATGTCTCTGGATGTTTGTTGCGATGACATTCTCGATGCTTGATTGACCCGACTCGAACTGGGGTGTGTCGAGCTCATAACACCTGATCCAGGCGAATCTTGATTGATTGTCTGCATAAATACTCCGTTGCCCCTAGCCCTAATCTCGCGAATCTACTTCTGCTGCCTACGACGAACACGTTGCTCAAGCGGGAACAGTGGGGCCTGCCGAGCAATACCTCGTGGCCGCTGACGACTACTGCCTTTCTCTTCGGCTGCATTGGTGCTAGGATATTTCCAGGAGACAGACAGCTAAGCACACAAACCCGTCGCTGAGATGAGCTTATTTAGGCCGATCGCCACTTTCCCCTGCCCGCTCAAACTCCGATCCAAAAATGTCGTCGTTGGAGTCTGATGCCCCTAAGTCGATAACTAGAACTTCCATATTGGAGGCATAACAGCTGCAAATCATGAAGGAACAGTGGGATCCTGTCTCCTGGACGAGATGCTTGCTGGTCCTGCTTGTCCTTGTGCAAGCAACGCGGGCTATTGATATCGAAGTCAGCAGCGAGCGTATGTCCCCAAATGAAGAATGCAGCTTGGCTCGGTTACGACTGGTCTTTCAATCGATAGTTAGTATGGCTAATATTATAATTAGAATCTATCAAAGACGCTGCCAGTACCGCCGCGTACGGCATGATGTCGTACTACCATGGCAACGAGTCCGGGCAGATTCCCGGAAAACTGAGTGACACCTGGTGGGAGGGCGGCGCTATGTTCATGGCCTTGATCCAGTACTATCACTACACCAAAGACTCGACATACAACCAAGAGGTCATCCAAGGCATGCAATGGCAGGCTGGAGATTGCGACTACATGCCATCCAACTATACGAGTTGGCTAGTACGGCAATCCCACCAAGCACCCACCCAAGCCAACAATCATCACTGACAACATCTAGGGAAACGACGACCAGATGTTCTGGGGCCTGGCGGCGATGACAGCGGCGGAGCTAAATTTCCCCAACTCGGACGACGGGTATTCGTGGCTGGCGCTTGCGCAGGGGGTGTTCAACACGCAGGTGCCACGGTGGGACACGAGCTCATGCGACGGGGGCATGCGGTGGCAGATGTGGTCGTATGAGTCCGGGTACACGATGAAGAACTCGATCTCAAATGCGGGGCTATTCCAGCTGTCGGCGCGGCTGGCGCGCTACACCAGCAACCAGACGTACTACCAATGGGCGGAGAAGATCTGGGACTGGTCGGCGTCGTCGCCGTTGTTGAGCAACTCGACGTGGAACGTGGCCGACTCAACCGACACGTCCAATGACTGCAGTACGCAGGGCAACAACCAGTGGACGTACAACTACGGGGCGTACCTGGCCGGCGCGGCCTACATGTACAACTACACCAACGGCACCAGCAGCAAGTGGAGCACCGCCGTCCAGGGCCTCCTCAACGTCACCTTCGACACCTTCTTCCCGGCCAAACACGGCGGCAACGTCATGTCTGAGGTCACCTGCGAGCCGACTGAAGTCTGCAACCGCGACGAGATCATCTTCAAGGGCTTGCTGTCTAGCTGGCTGTCCTTCACCGCCATGCTCGTCCCCTCGACCTACTCCCGCATCCTGCCCAAGCTGCAGGGCTCCGCCCAGGGCGCCGCCGCCTCTTGCACCGGCTACTCCAACAGTTCGTGCGGCGTACGCTGGAATTCTAGCTGGGACGGCTGGTCCGGCCTCGAGGAGCAGATGAGCGTCGTCAGTGTCTTTGTCGCTACCCTGCTGCCGTATGTCAGTTCCTCCGAGACACCGCTCACCTCCAGCACCGGCGGAAACAGCACCAGTAACCCGTCCGCGGGCACCTCGGACGACACCAACGACGAGGAGACGTTGAGCGCAATCACGACCGGCGACCGCGTCGGTGCTGCATTTGTAACCATCATTCTGACCTGCATGGCGGTCGGGAGCTTGGTGTGGATGATTGCGTTTGAATGATACTCAGCATCGACTTTCCAAAACAACTGTTTCTTCTCATTCCAGTGTTGAATAATCACTTATAGATATTTGTATATATGAACAACAATGCAACTAATGTATCATGTCTATGCGCTGCGCCGCTTGCTCTATTAAGGTTTAGTCATTCGCACTCTTGCGTGTCGTGGCCTCGACTAAATGAAAGTCGGCTCAGAATGAAGCCAAGCCGCTTACCAACAAAAAGGAATGCCCGAACTTAGGGAGTTCATGTTATTCTCTGGTCAAACATAGCCAATTGAGTCTGAAGTCTCATAGGATAATATGCAGGGTCGGAACTATTATCCGACCTTCCCCGCATGGTGGCTCTATGTCTCCTGGAGTGGCGTGCATCTTTATACCTGAATGTTGTCCCTCGCAATCGTTCGTTGAAACCTGCCAAAGGCTGTCCAGATATATGGGATACCACTTTTCGAAGACGCATAGCCACCGAGAATTGTTGCAGAAACCTACCCTCAGCATCACAAAGTAAGATCCAAGACGTGACTGTTGTCGCATCTGCTAATAACTGCAACAGCCAAGTCAATAAGCGATGGAAAACAGCCACTCCAACTCAACGGATAGTATCCACCGATACATCTATCCCGCCGAGACCGCTCCGCACGTCGCCACAATCCTAGAATTCCCAGCCAGATCCTTAATCGCACAAGAATACTACGAGACAGCCTGCAGAGAGATTGCACACCTAGCCACCGCCATCGCAGCCTTCGAGCCGGTGCGCCTCTTCGGCCAGCCCGAGGATACCGCCAAAGCGCAGGAATTGATCACGCAAGCCATCGCAGAAAACCCCTCGGCCAGGCAGACCCCAGCGCCCCCCATCACCACAATCCCCCCCCAACAAACCACCTCTGGGTCCGCGACACCGGCTCAGTATACGTCCACCGCGCCGGATGAGCGCCGGACGAGCCCTCCGAAGGCAACCGCTTGCCATGAACTTCCGCTTCCGCAAATGGGGCAAACGCGAGCAACTATCATCCCACGACCGCGCCGCAGACAACCTCGACTGGCTAGTCATGGACGCTCAGCAGCTGCACGAAAACGCGACGTTCGCGCAACGCGTAATCGAGCTCGACAACACCCCGTCACCCGTGACGCGCGTCGACTCCCCGATCCTCTCACTCGAGGGCAGCGCGTTAGCCGTCGACGGCGAGGGCACACTGCTCGCGACGGAAAGCAGCATCGTTAACGGAAAACGTAACCTCGGTGTCTCGCGGACGCTCATCAAGAACGAGCTCCGTCGTTTGCTGGGCGTCGGCAAGATTATCTGGTTCCCTGGTCGGAAGGGCCTGGATGTTAATGATGTGCATGTTAAATGCCGAGTCAGTTTTATCAGGCCGGGCGTGGTGGTGATATCGCGGCCGCATGAGAGTGTGCCGCGGGGGTGGATGGAGGTGTATGAGGAGATTCGTCGGGTGCTGGAACGGGAGGTCGATGCGAGGGGCGCAGGTTCGAGGTGCATGTGCTTTACGAGCCGGATCCACGAATTATGTCGATTTTTGCTTTGTGAATGGCGGTGTTATTGTGCCGCAATTTGGCGATCCGGGGCGGGATCGCGAGGCTGCGGGGTTGTTGCAAGCATTGTGTCCGGGGTGTGTGGTTAGGCCTGGATGGTGCCTACGTTGGCGCTGGCCGGGGGCGTCATTCACTGCGCTACGCAGCCGGTTGTTGCTCCTTAGCCGACTACCCTCTCATAATAAGCGTCCCGGGGGAGAACCCCCGGACCCCCCTTTTCTTTCAGCTTCCCAGGCACCTCGACCCTATAACCAAGTATAAGCATCCCCGGGGAGAACCCCCGGACCCCCTTTCCTTTCAGATTCCCAGCCCACCTAATCCACCCGAAACCTCAGCAGCTAGTCGGAACCACCTGCTTTCTACACGCTAAATAACCGGAGATACATTATCTGACGACCGGAAAGCTACCCGTAGCCTAGTAGTTATACACTTACAACAAATGACAGCACGGTGTTGTCATTATTGACTAGTCCACCCCGCATCCGCAGTGTAATATGATCGTCAAACAATCCAAGCATTGCCCACTCACACCTTCAGACCATGCAAATTCACACCACAACTCCTCAACATAATTCCAAACAACATACCCCAAAATTCAATATGACAACCCCATAACCGAAATCCTATACCCTCCCCAAAACAAACCTAACCCCCAACTCCCCCAAGCCCCTCCTCCACTACAAGAACACCTTCCTGACCAAAACCGGGCACGTGGATGCAGCCCTCGCCTACGACACCTTCGCCCGGAACGGCTGGGACGTGCAGTGGGTGACGACGTACGGCCGCACCCAGAAAGCGCACTACCACCCCGCCACGCACGAAGTCATGGTTGTGCTTTCGGGGCCGGGGACGATTCGCTGGGGTGTTTCGGATCTAGATCCTTACATGCAGGAACACGCCCGGGATGAACTCGACCCCAAAGAGAAGGGAAATGGGTGTGGTGGTGGTGGTGATGTCTCCAACAAGGAGAAAGGCAGAGGGTTTGAAATGCAGGTTCAGGTCGGCGATTGCTTCGTGATCCCTGCGGGCGTAGCGCATAAGTCCTTCGATGACGCTGCTGCGAGTCTCGAGCCAACGTGTTTGACGGGTGGAGGTGCGCATCGGATTGAGGCGGAGGATCCCCGCGGGTTCGTCGCGGCGTTGCAGGTGGAGGGGTTCACGATGATGGGGGCGTATCCCCGGGGATTTACTTGGGGGTGGGCCGAGGGAGGCGAGCATGTCGGCGATTTTGAGTCGGTGTGGGGGGTCGAGAATCCGCAGCTGGATCCAGTTTGTGGGGGGAAGGGGGGTATCGGTGCGTTTTGGGAGGGTTGTGATGGGGTTGACCAACCTGTTGCTGGCAAGGCTGGGGAGTGATCTGATTGAGAGGTTGAATTGAATTGTTCTTGTTCTCGTTACTAGTTGAGGATTGAATGCTGCATACTTTACTACTACTGCAGTATAAACCAGACCAGCTGCTCTGCACACACTCCTCCAAGAATCCCTGGTACTTGGGCAGCCCGCCCATATAGTTCAACGCCTTCCGTCGCTTGCCCGGCACATTGCTTCCCATATACCAGGTGATTTGGTTGCGCGACAGCAGAGTCCGGTAACAGGCTTCATTCGTCCGACGCGCCCATTCGGCCTCCATCTCGGGCCTAGCATCAATCGTCGCAGGACCCTGTTCCCGCATAAACAGCATGGTCTTGATGATCCATTCGCTCTGGATCTCAGAGATCACCGGGCCATTCGCCCTCGCGGTGGGACTCTGCGGCCCATACGTGAAGAACAGATTGGGGAACCCGGCGGTAACCATTCCAAGAAACGGGTACCGTATAGCGGGTTTGTTTCTGGACTGTCTTGTCCATCAGCCCATGGCATTCTGTCTTGAGTTGTAGCTATGGATATGACTAGGCCTGACTGCGAGTGGGATATTTCCAGTCTGCGAACTGTGCATTGCTCCCAGCTGGTCTTTTCTCAATGTTGGTGGCAAATGTCCTCAGCTGATGTCTTGTGGTGTCTATATGAGCCTCAGGCATGTCGAAGCGACTCCGAAAAGCGCTAATTGGCCTTGGGTATGATCCAGCCCGCTCATCGACTCAAGTATATAAACCAGCCAAAATACATTCGTAAGAGCAACATCGAAATTTCATCAGTATGAAGCAGAAAACCAACAAATCTATCACTTCATGCATAGCCTCTCGGCAAGCAAGTGTCTTGCTGGGAGAAAAACAAACCCAGCCGAGTGGAGATTAATCTCAGCCTCCCCAACACCTTTAAAATCCATCATGCCCCACAACAAGTGAGACACACCCAGGCTCCAGTACAGCCCAGCACCAGCATACTATAAGAAAGCCACTATCACCACAATCACCCCGTGACAAACAAAAAACAACATCCTCCCTAGAAATCCAGTTCATTCCAAAACACCCATCAACCAGAATAGCGACGCACACCTCACCCCCTAGCCTAACCAAAAAAGAGTATTACCATCGAAAATGATCCTAGGCTTCCTCGGCAACATCAACATCGCCGTCCGCCTGATGAGAAAAACCTACCCCGACGCCCAACTCTACGAAGTAAAAGCCACAGACCTCAGTCCCCGTCCCACGGCCACAACCTCCCTGACAGCAGTCTTCCGGGTCGGCGACGGCGACAGCAACGCTACGGCGTTGATCTCCACAGGAGACAGGATGTGGGGCGAATGGGGTGATGTCGAGTTCATCCCGGAATCGTGGCTGGGGGGTGCGGTCATTCCTTGGCCGATTGAGATGGATGTTGATGAGGCGGATGCGCTTCTCAGGGACGCGGGGTTTACGGGTCGTTATACGGTTGTTACGCTGCGGTGGCCGCTTTGTTCGGGGTTGGATGGGCCGGGTTATGTTTTTGAGGTTGGGAGGGAGAATGTGTTTGTGGGGGCGCGGGATGGGACGGTTTTTGTGGGGGGTTCGGGGTTGCGAGGGGGGAGGTTGGGGGTTTAGGTGGATTGGGGATGGACTTGAGAGAGAGGGGTTCGGAAGGTCGAGTGATCCTGTTTTAATTCTTCGGAAAGCTCTGGAGCTTGTTGGTTGTCTGTTTGGTGTCGAAAACCTTGTTTTACAAACTGGTGGCTGTACAGTAGCTTGGAAGGGAGAGTGGAAAGATAAATCACCATCACGGATATAAGAAAAAAAAACAGATGCACAAGCGAGAGGTGTTGAGATATCAAAACCGGATGAGCTGAGCAAGCCTGGCTTCAAAGTAGGCCCAATCGTCAGATCCATACCACAAAGCTCTTGTAGTGTCTTAGTCTCGCCACTTTCTGCCGGCCACAGACAACTATGCATTTTGTACCGACAGGACCAGGAAGAGTCAATTAGCATCCATGCACTTGATAAAAACAATGGACCATCCATCCGCTACAGAATCAGCGTCACTTTCGTCTGCAATAATGGTAGCCACCTCAGTTGGGCTTTCCTCAGCTCCAGATCTGGTCAATACAATGCAACAGCTGCTATCTTAGATCGGCTGATAAAGAACGAGAGGCCTTGTTTCTTCGACGCTTCGGGCCGAAGACAAAGAGGGAAAGTAAAGAAGCTACTCACTGCACGTCCTTGCTTTGTCCAGAGACCGTTCGCCCACAACTAAGAGGTCATCAATAAAGCCATTGAAGGGTCGAGTCGAATATTAGGCAGAAAATCTCACGATCAAAACAAAGATGTTTCTCGGCCGCATTGATCAATCACTGGGTGATGCTCGTCCGAGTATGAAGATAAAAAGGCCGATCTTGCCCATCTCCACCAGTTAGCAGCATCGTGCACATCCGTTCACCAAGCATATCATCACATACCCTTAATCGATAGCGAAACGACTATCCCTACAAGGCCTAGAAATGTCTGTACGGAATCGAGACGGGGTTCTGGTTGAACTCCCAGGGGAAACGGTGGATGCCCAAACTGAACGCTCAGGGAACCCGATCATTGCCGATGGGTTCCAGCTCGACCTCGAGCAATTGTCTGAAGACCTGAATCACGCGTTCTCGATCTTCATGCGAGAGCGGAAGATCGAACGCGTTGATCACCGGATGTTCGAGGTGGATGACAATAACGTGCTGCGATTCATGCAAAGCAGTCATCTTGCCATCAAACGCGTGCTCGAGCTGAAGGACACCTGGCCGAGCTTCGAGGATCCGTACATCGTCCAACAACTCGAGAACCTGTGTCTCACGTGGGCCTGGGTCAGGAATAGCCTCCTGCAAGTGCGTAGCAAAGCCATCATGAAACAGGTTGATCCTCCCAGTGGTCAGAACCACCCGTACGATTGGGCCCGCGCCAAGGACATTATTGAGTTGCTATCCGCGGTAACCGGCGAAGTCGCCCAAAAGGCCATGGAAGCCATGATCCGGGATACTTTGGGCGCCACCGCGGTGGAAACGCTCCGCGTGGAGAAGAAGCCGCTTCCCCGCCGCAAGGGGGAGACGGAGTGCTGTATCTGCTTTGGTAAGCTCGCTAAGGGAAGGAACATCACTTGGTGTAAGACCGAGTGCGGACACACATTTCATGCCACTTGTATCATGAAGTGGCATGATGAATTGGACCTCCTGTATAAGATGCCCGAGTGCCCTTATTGCCGTGCGCTCTGGCCGCATATCGTACCGAATCCAAGGATCCAAATGGATCCTTGGGAAAGGTAACTTGTCTCCGAAGTAGCTGTCGCGTAGCGGCCGTTGCTGACTAGTTTGAGTCTTCTTTTGTGGATATGGGTAGGAGTCCGAGACCTTATCTCCCAGAACACTCAATACTTTGTAGGTGCACCAAGTTCAAATTGCTGATTTGCCCTTTGCTTTCTTCCCCAGAAGTTGAAAATCGGTAGCTCACAGTGTTTAATATATATCTGATTATAAGCCATTATGAGGCATGAAACTTGGACCGTCACTTCAAAAATGTTGATTTACCCAGCTAAAAATGTAGAGGTTAGGGCTGTGCACCCCCCTCTCCACCTTGTAGAATCTAGGAACAGCAGATGAGAGTGGGCCGCAGGATCCACCCGTATTCGTATCGATCAATGACCGGTTATGGCCGTCCACGGTACACTAGATTCTATAGCAACATGGATTCAGAAGAACGACTGACTAACCCACCGCATAATAGAACAAACCAACATTATATGATAAGCGAGATGCACATTATAACCAAGGGAAATGTATATCCAAGCGCCAGAATAATATCATATAGCCCACAGAACGCCATATGTACAGGACTTTCCCCGCCTACATAAATTTCCCATTGAGAATCACCCAGCACCCTCAATCCGTCTTCTCCCCATCACCGGACAAGAGGCTGCTCGGATGCACAATATTAAAGAGCACCATCACTACCAGCATCAACAGCGCATCAAACACGTACAGAAACGCCTCGTGCCGGAGCAGATATCCATTCTTGCCCATGGCATACTCGATCAGGCGGAGCACCGACCGCATCATGATCAGGCCATTGGCCGCATAGAGCACCCGCAAGTGATGCTGCCACCCATCCAGGGATTGCGATCGCTCTGGGGGGAGTCTGTTGATGTGCCGGTGAAAGACAGCACAGGTAATGATAAAAAAAACCGAAAAACAGGATTTGAACGACAAGGCCTGCGATGACGATCTTCTCGCCGTTATGCACGGCAGCCAGCGCGCCGCCGGCCGCTTGGACGGTGAAAGACAGGATGTCCCCCGTGACGAAGAATTTCGTGAGCCATTTTCGCTTGAGTAGTGAGAGAGGTTCGGCGTCCAGGAGGAGGGGGATACGGCCGGGCATCATGTAGATAGAAGCTGCGGATAGAGCGGGTACGAGGAGGAGTAGCAACGTCTGCTGAATGTAGGGGCCCAGTGACCAGTTGGGGCTCTCTTCGCTCGAGAGGATGCGGCCGATATAGCCTATTCATTCGACTGGGCAGGGAATTAGAAGCTTCTCGGGAAAAGACAGCCATGAGGTAGGCCTAAGTGCGAATGTGGGAGCTACTTACAGAAGCCGCCTATCACAAAAGGGATGAAGAACCAAGTGCGGCGTCTGATCAGTTGGTAGAGATGGAGGAAGGTCGCGATCGCGAATAAGACGGTGAAAATCACGGCAGCGGCCTTGGATGGATAGTACCGATAGAACGCCCAGATGGCGGTTTTATAGTCGGTTTCGACATTTGTTGTTTGCCGTGACCAAATAGACATTATGGACAGTGGAACACTATGGGGGTTGAAAGGATGAAGTGGGCATGTTCATGAATCTCCTTCTGTTTCCGGCAGACGGTCTATAGATTCCTGTAGTCCTCTCTATATTTCGGGGTCAGATAGGGCTCCGTGTCATGTGTCTTCCCTTTCTGTATGTACTTACGCCTTTGGCTTTACTGTCTTCTATAGAGCAGCTATATAAATATAACTCAGACCTTTTAATTTTCTTATTAAAGTTAATTCTTTCTTATCGTATTTTATATTCTATATACCTTTTCTTTCTCTAAAAAATATAATAATAATAATATCTTTCTAGTTTACCCCAGATATTATACTCTGCTATTTCTAGTTAATTATATTATTTGTTTTTATATCTGGAATTTTTATCCTTCTCAACAATGAAAGAAGGCCTTGGTCGTGACGTTCTGATACCCTGTCTTGCACCCATCGGAGTGGTCGCAGGTCTCGATGCAGATCCGCGAGCTACAATGCGCGCAGCAGGTCCGGTACATCTCCTCGGCGCAGGTGCAGTAGAGCGAGGCATTTGCGGTCATGTAGTTAGCAATCCTCCGGAATGAGCTCGTGGATGTAGTCGCTATAGACGGTGAACTTTTTGTCGTAACCATCCGCGAGCAAGTTGGTATAGTCTTGCAATGAGGTAGTAAGGTTTTGTCTCAAAATGTTTGCGATTTACTGATTCTCACAGTAGAGGGGGACATCGTCAACGTTCGACAATTTGTCAATCGTGTTAAAGGTGGCATTGCAACTCGGCAGATCTGGCACAGGCGCCTCATCGACGAACGACTGCAGATAAATCGCCCAATCAGTCGTGTCGGCAAAGTTGAGGCCCTTGTAATGCCGGGGAAAATCACAACTTACCTACGATTTTCTATACTATTTTGGGCTGTATTGACGCCACAGGCCGTTCAGCAGGGGGAAATAAAATGTCTTTGGAAATATGCTTAGACAGGGGTTGAGTGTATATTGACCACCAAGGTATTGGATAATTGAGAATTTCGGAGCAACCGAATTTGCTGTGTGTTTTCTTCCTTACCTTGTTATCTAGGCCATTCTGTTGTTGCCTGGCGAAAAATGGAGTATATTTCTATTTGCCCCACTTCTGCTTCTTCGTATACACACTAATTGTATGGAAAGGCAGATAGATACACACACAAGCTTTGCCTCGCCTCGTCTAACAATGCTTGGTCCAGCCCATATCGTTCAATTTAAGGACTCTGTCTTATCCGAAGGCTCAGGGTCATAAAATCGTCAAACCATTGAACCCTTTTCTTCTTCCTAAGATTAGCAGCTGCGCTGCCCCGCCCTGGGCTCAACACCAGTAGGAGAAACCCGATAAAGCGCATATAAGTTATTTCAAGTCAACTTTGTGTGGGAGGCCCCTACCAGGCTGCCACTATTTTAATCTCTGTCTTCCACCGAGTTGCTCGAGTTTCTTTCCCTTTGGCCCCTTTTTCTTTTGTTTACTTTTGTATCGATTTGAGCTTAAGTGCCACTCCCAATCAAATACTGTTTCTCTCCCGAGACTCTCGTCCGCTCCTTAGTGTGCTTACCATCACCAGCATGGACCACCTGGCTCTGAAAAAGGCTTTCCGAAAGACAAGTCACTACAGTCGGGACAATGCTCTCGCTGCTATTCGCGGTCAAAGCATTCCCCCGGCGGTCGGTCACCCCACCATTCAACTCTGTCTAGTACGCGGAATCCGCTACCACCCGGGGTTTGCCACTGAGCTGCGCTGCAAATATGACCGCACCGGCCTCTTCAGTCGGGCTGTGAACGCCCGAGCAATTATGAGCAACGAGATTCCCGATTTAAAAAATGAATGGGATACTCCATACTGCATCTGGCATCCGGACACGGCGAGCGAAGAGACCTACCAGCAACTGGTGACCCGCTACCCGCATCTGAGATATCATGTTGGCCGAGCGTGTGCCGTGGCAGGATACACCGAGCTATATCGGGAGCTGAACCTATTGCCGGAGATCCATATTGCAGAGGAAGCGCGCGATAACAACAGCACTGCGATCTTTAACATGATCATGGCGAGTCCTGTGCTATATAATGTCATGAATGACTATACCCGCACCGTCAATCTGCATAACCCGCAACTCTGTGATCGTCGCTATGGTCTGAACAACGACACGGCTGTTCGATCCTCCCTCGAGCGGAAACAGATGTTTTCACAGGCACCGCGAGGGCCATACGACGATATCTTCGACGACGACGATGATGATGAAGACTCCAGGACTCCCAGATATCGAGTCAATTACTGGAATATCACAGAAGACATGAACCTCGATGAATTCTCCTTCGAGGCACCAGACTCATCGGAAGAGGATGTAGCCCCCTATCTCTACACTCCTCTTCCCTTTGATCTCCCGTACACTATTATCAACAAGGACCTCCTCATCCTAATGGCCGCCTGGACCGGCGACGTCGACCGGTATGATCGTCTCCGCCGTGACAACGGCCGCATTATGATCGAGAAAGAACTCGACTGTGTCCAGCATGGCATCTACCACAGCAACCTTTTGCTAAATGGTGGTCTCTCCAGTCCCCACTTTCTCACCCACAACGGGAATCCCAAATCCAGCGGGCTATTACCGCCCGGTTCATCATGAGCAATGATCTGTCCCGAGTTTCGCGACGAGAAAGTCCCGACGAAGCAAGGAACCTCCCCTTCTGCATCTGGTACCCCAACCTCGCCTCTCCGGAGACGTACCGGGAACTAGCTCGTCGAGAGCCCCGGATGACCATAGCGGTGGCCCGCGCATGCATCGTCGCCAACTACCGCCAGGTCTACCGTGAGCTGGAATTCGAGCCCACAAAAGCCCTCTGGTGCGAAGCGCAGCAGCGACCGGGGAACTTCTACACGGACGACCTGCGCCAGCGGGCGGAGCGTTACGGTGGGTTCAAGGCCACCGGGGAAGGTCGCGGGTGGGAAGAGACCACCTTTGTCGAAATGTCGAGGCTCTTTAACACCAGCTTGAGCGAGGTGGTTACCCCTGCTAATGGAATTCAGACGTCGGGTTATGGTCTGCCGGGTAATCAACCGTACGCCGGGAGCGTGCTGCTGAACGTCTGCGCCCCGGAGGATGTGAAACGCGGACATAAGCAGACACTGCTGAGAAAAGTACATAGATCCGAAGGAGACGAAGAGCTGGATCGGGAGTTGGAGTGTCTGGGGTATTTGAACTTCCCGTGTGATATCAAGTTGAGGGATTAGTGATTGCTGGAATACGCTGTTTGGTGTTTGATCTATATAGGAACCATTGTACGTATTGAGTAGTTGCTACTCATAGGTCACCTGAGTAAAGGATGCAACTTACAAAAGAGAAAGCTGTTTATCCTTTATCAGTAGCCCACTTTCCCACCTCTCAATTGAGATGATTAAGGAAAGGAGCAATATCTAGAGACTTGTAGACAGGAGATTACAAGCCGATTACTATATGTGCAAGAATTCCAGGGTCCTGGCAGATTTAGTAGGGCAGTTAGGGCTTTGTAGCGGCGGCGGCAAAGGGGGGCCCAGACAGCGGCTGAATCGAAGCTTAGCGCTTATTGAAAATGAGTGGGGGCCATCTTCAACTTCATTTCCTTCCTCTCTCTCACACCTACTTCTCTCATAATTGCTCCTGTCTCACAGTATCGTTCTCACAATATCACACACACGTTAATAGTCTTTATTATAATAATCTATTTCTATATCTTACTTTTATATAATAATAATATTATGAATTTTAAATCTCTTATTATTATATATCTTTTTTTCTGTATATAATTATATCACTAGTTTTATTATCTCCTGTAGAATAGTTTTATAAATAAAGCTTAGGCTCCTTAACTTCCTTGATAAAATTAATCTTCTTACCATATCTCATGTTCTATACACCTTTCCTTCTTCCGGAAAATGACTCTCCACCTGCAGACCCACCCGTATACGTATCAGTATAGGCGGGACTATCCTGGTGCGTATAAATCCTCTGCGGGAAGATCGTGCACATGTCTCGTGTTCGTATAGTCTCAGGAACCCTGAAACAAATTCGTGTAATTCTTGCCTGTGGGCTGGATCGACATCGATCTTGGCTGCGCCTGTTTACCAATTTGTTGCACTGGGCAAGAGTCAAATTCTGCAAGCTGCAAACTGTTCCATGGGAGAAGAGTACATTGAGTTATGCTCACAACAAATGGATGGCTTGACTAAGCAGGCAGCAATTGCACCTCCATGAGGTCATAGTCGACGGTGTTGACCTGAACTTCAAGTCACCTCGAGATTGATTGCCATCAGCTTCATGTGAGTTTGAATTAGCAAAAGTAGGTAGAGCTTCATTGGACGGGCAGTGGGGACGAAAACCCCAGAAGAAGCATTAGACGGAAAAGATTTGTGTTGTGTTGTTTCCCGCTCCAGAACAATCAGCTCCAAGCTCTCTCCGTTTCCTTTTCCCATCTCCCGCTTTGACTTCAGCTCCAGCGTCTTGACCGGCGCCACTCATGTCCGGCTCCTTAATCTTACAGCCTGATTTCTGCTCTGCGCAAGTAAGGATTCATGCTGGGCCACTTCACGGGGGAGATCACATCGTTCGGCAACGTCGCAGCGGGTGACAGACAACCTACGCGAAAGCGACACCGCGCGCGCCACACCAAGTCTCGTCGCGGATGCTTCTCCTGCAAACTACGCAGGGTCAAAGTATGTACACCTTCCTCGGTCTCTCCCTGTCTATTCTTTGTCCCGTATCGATTGTCTAAACGTAACAGTGTGATGAAGTGCAGCCAGTCTGCGGTGCCTGCTCCTTCCGAGAGGAGACATGCTCCTATCCTGACGAGCCAACCATCTCGACGAGAACCGCCCAATCCCCCGCAAAAAGACATAGAGCACGAACTGAATGCAGTCGCTCAACTGAGCGCAATCCGCTGGACATCAATTTGGCGCTGTCTGCCGGCTTTCCAGCGCCGTCACCAGAGGACTTCTTGGCCATGGACAACCTCCGCTTGGTCCAATTCTACCACATGTACACAGGCTCGCAGATGACCCCGCATCCGAAACGAACTCTTATCTGGCAGCGCATTCTGCCCATAATAGCCGGGGAGAATAGATTCGTCATGCACCTGCTTCTCTCAGTGGGCGGTATTCATATGATGATAACTCAACAAACGAAGCGTAGCAACAAACCAGCACCGCGACAGTCAGAAAGTGTGGAACTGAGAGTGGTCCTGGAACACTATCAGCGCGGACTACAGAGCTTCCGAGATGAAGTGTCTCAGATCTCCGAATCCAATGCTGAAGCGATCTTTGCGGGCTCTATGCTTCTGATTGCTTTCGCCTACGCGTCTCTGCAGATTCCCGAACTAAACCCACCACCAACAATGACCGTAGGCTCTAATACGGCTCTTGTTGGCGATAATTCTGGTCAGGAGCTACTACTAAGCCTTTCGCCTCAGCTCAGCTGGCTGCACCTCGTCCGGGGGATACCGACGGTGATGGGCGGCCAGTGGGTTGTCTTGAAAGCGAGTCGGCTCCGGCCCATGATGCTCTTTCCGGATGATGAATTTTGGAAAGTCCTACCTTGCGTCCCAAACTTGTCACGACTCGGAAGCTGTTCGCCTCGTATATTGGCATTTGCGCAAGGCGCAAACGATGCAATAGCCAGTCTGAAGGCCACCAGGACATTATCCGGGTTTACAAACGTTAACAGTGTTGATAGCCTCGACTCCCCACATTCAGCTTCCTCTTCGACGACGTCGGATGACGTTTTGGATATGTTATCAAGGACTATTGGGACCTTGGAAGACACGTATGAACGCATTTTTGCAGCCTTTCATTGTTCGATCAGCGAGCAAGGCGACCCGGAAGATGCCGATATCCAGGCCAATTTAGAAGAGGCGGCAATACTATCCTGGCCCATAAAGATTTCTAGCGACTTCCTCACCGTGCTGGAAACAACGGATCCATTAAGCTCTCTTTGGCGGTGTTCTTTGGTGATCATCGCCCATTTCTATGTTGCTAATACCTTGCTTGACACCTGGTATATGCATCAGTCCTTTGAGGGCGAGATCCTTAAGATCAATGACCTCATACGCGCAACAGGTGACGTTGAGTCGGTTCGACTCATGCAATGGCCCGTTCAAGTCGTGAGCTTATGAGCCGTGAAGTTTAGCGCCTTGACAGACGGTCTGAGCCGCCCAGCAACTCGGATGTTTCTCTGCCAGATGCAGCTGAGTACAAACATCACGCCAAGTGTGTCAGCGGCGTTGAACCTTCTCATTGGTCGAGTCCCTGTCGTAGTTTATAGACCATGGAGATTCCATCGGCGTAACAACAACATCGAGTCGAAAGGTAGCCACCTCTCAGAGACTGTTGCTGGTATCACTAGTGATATGTTGATGACTTGTGAACATTCGAGCCGCTTCACGCTGGATCACTGGCTCTTTAAAGCAGGAATTTTTTATGAGCTGTGGAGATATTTCTGGCTAGTCAGTGTTAGGCTTCTCCGTCAGCGTACGAAAAACCATCTCGGGGTCCGGCGGAACTATATGGATGACCCGGCTAGGAAGCCTGAGTGTACGCACTTTCCAGCTTACTTGGACATACCGCCGTGAAAGCCATAATCCTGTCAGTGTATGAAGAACCAGTCTAGTTAGACCCTCGATCGGCCCACTGCCCCTGCATCAATGGGCTCGTTTTCGTATGGATCGTGTTGGCCTCAATACGACGGGGTCACTGGCTGGCCGGTCTAAAGGTCTAAACGCAGACAGGGTCTTTCGACTTGGGACAGGATAACGATACATCGCTTTCCTCTATATTTAGTACATAACGGTCAAATCCTCCCTTCACCCCGGCATATAAAGCCTCCATATTGACCGGATTGTGGATCTATGTTGCTTGTAGGCAAACACTTTATCCACGCCGCTCGAGGCATAGCCATCCTTTTATTCAGTTTCCTACGCTTCCTTGATGATATCTTCAATTGAAATTCCTTACCCCACTAGATATGTCGGACGCAACCGAATTTAGTGCCGTTAACTTTGCCTTCTACCGCTATGACCCGAGCATGGGCGCCGCCGTTCTTTTCATCCTGCTATTTACGGCCACCACAGGCTATCATGCCTTCCAAATGACCCGCACGCGCACCTGGTTCATGATCCCGTTCATCCTCGGGGGTATCTGTCAGTGGCACACCACCCATTAACCCAAGAGAGCACACACCGAAGCTAATGTATCCCGCCCCAGTTGAGACAATCGGGTACATAGGACGCGCCGCATCCAGTCAGCAAAGCCCCAACTGGACGCTAGGGCCCTACATCGTGCAAACCCTGTTCCTGCTGCTCGCGCCGGCCCTCCTCGCTGCCTCAATTTACATGCTCCTCGGCCGCATCATTCTGATCATGAAGGCCGAATCCTACGCCCTCCTGAAGAAGAAATGGCTCACCAAGATCTTCGTAACGGGTGACGTCCTCTCTTTCCTTCTCCAGGGCGCCGGTATGTTTCCATCCTCAATCCTCCACCCTCAATCCTCACCACACTCCACCCGCCCACTCACATTTACCTCTATGATAGGCGGCGGCATCCAAAGCTCAGGCAACATGACCACCTACCGAACAGGCGAACACATCATCGTCTTCGGCCTCATCATCCAAATCCTCTTCTTCGGCGTGTTCAAAGTGATCGCCTCCCACTTCTACTGGAACATCAACCGATCGCGAGCGTATGGGCATGATATCCCTTGGCGTAAATACCTACACGTGCTCTACGCGACTAGCTTCTTGATTATGGTGCGCTCTATCTTTAGGTTGGCCGAGTATCTCCAGGGGAATGATGGGGTTTTGCTTCAACATGAGGTGTTTCTGTATCTATTTGATGCGGTGTTGATGTTGGGGACTATGCTTGTTTTTAATGTCGTGCATCCGGGTGGGATTGTTGAAGGGTTTCGTGGTGGTTTGGTTGCGGGGGATGAGTTCGTGGCGTTGAAGTAATGGTCATGTTTTGAGAGGATGTTGGAAGGTGGAGAAGTGGCTTGGAGTAGGGGATGTGGTTCGGGTTATAGCAGTTCAGATTATAGCTGGATTGTTAGATAGAGAACGCGGTTTATGCGTGCGGTTCAAGTGAGGCGTTCAGTTGGGGCTAGGACTGTGAGAGGGCTGCAAGGGTGATTTGATATCCTCGGATTTCAAATTCTTCCCCTTGTAAGGGATTGAAGTAAGCGTTTACCGCGCCTTGGATATCGTTTTGAAGTGCGACACTGGTGTACGAAGAGGGATATTCTGCACCGTTCTTGAACTTGCTCCGGCTCGGCTTCCTGCAACACAACGAAATTGTTATGGTTACGATTTTATCCGTGAAGGTAGCTTCGAAGAATTGACAATCCTCACGGACATGTTAGCCACTACGTCTCTGGGCACTATGATGTCCTGTATGCTGGGGGCTAGGCACCCATCCTACGTTTTACGAAGAGCAATAATCGTGAACAAAGGATGCCTTTTATATGCCTCATCAATACCCGGATCAAACGTCATTAGATCAACATGTTATGCAAGTCTTACTTCAGCTACCAGTCATTACCTGGACAGGACCCATCCCATCGTCAACCAGTCTATTACTCCAGACCACGGATCGCCATGGCCAAAGCACCCTCCTTGGTCTGGTGACCACCGATGAAGCCGCTGGCGTGAACGAAGACAGCGCCCTCAGGGATGCGAGGCTGGCCGGCCTTATCAGCCTCAGCAGCCATGACGCCGTCGAGGTCGGCGTCGCGGACCCCGCGCCACGCCTCAGGCAAAGGCTTGCGCGACACGAAGCTGCCCTCGCTCTCGGAGACGCACTGCACGCGCCACTTGGAGCCCTCGGAGGCGCTCTCGGGGTAAAGCACGTAGTAGGTCTGCTCCTCACCGGAGGAACCCTCGGCCTGCTCGAAGTTGTACAGGTGCTCCTTCCAGGGCACGCCGCCCTGGGGCAGCACGATGATGCGGCCGGAGGGGTGAACATCGCGGCGGGCGCGGTAGGCGGTGCCGACGGTGGTGCGGGCCGGCAGCCACGACGAGACGGCGTGGTGCAGCTTGCGCGTGAAGACGTTGCCGATGAAAGTGCTGGCGCGGCCGAACAGGCTGTCCTCGTCCTGCGGCTCGCCCGGCGGGCTGGTCGGGTCCGGGTTGTTCATGTCGCCGACCACGGACGCGATCGTGATCCCGCCATCCCGGAACCGCTTCTTCAGCCCCGCCGCCGCGATCGCCTCCGGCTCGTACACCGCCACCCCGTTGTCGTTGGCGTCGATCGCCTCGATGAAGTCGTTGTACAGCTTCTCGTACAGCAGCGTCACGTCCTCGTGGTCCTGTGGGAGGGAAGTGCGCTGCGCGATGATCGCCCGTCCGAAGTGCATGTATACCAGCCCCGCGGATGAAAGCTTCGTGCTGTGCTCCGGGAACGTCGTTGCGAATGTCCGCTGGTGGTGGTCGTAGCGGTTCGTCGCCGGGTCATATTCGCCGCCCACGTCAACTACCGTGTGGCATGTTGCCAGCTGGGCCGGATCCCGCGTCCGGATCAGAGGGGAGGCACTGTAGGTGGGGAGGAGACGGAGAAGGTAGACTGCGAGAGCTTCATCGGCGTGGAAGTGGCCGCTGGAGAGGACGGAGCAGCGTTAACGAGGCGATTGCAGAGAGCGGGATCGATGCGAAAACTTACTTGTGAGTCCCGATCAAGGGGGACGAGGTCTTGATCTTCTTTGCGATGGTTTCTTCAGCCATTTTGAATAAGGAACGGAATCGAAACATGCACAAGGGGGCAGGTTGATTATTAAAAGTTCAGTTGTAGGAATGAAAGAACTAAGTCGGGAGAGCTTCTGGAAGGTCGTCGTATCGAGTTAGTTCCAGTTGGTATCAGCAGTTTTTCATTGGACAGATGGAGCGGGGCATATTTTGCCGTAAGCAGAAAGGCGCAAATTTGGCAGGTTCACTACGCTAACTATATTAAGACCTTACTTAGGGCTAGGTTGCAGCGTGCATGTGATTGTAGCCTGAGGCTAGAACGCTCTGTCTGTTTTGATTTCCAGTCCGCCAGCCTCAGGCTTACATCTTACATAAGTACTACACTTTCAATTAGAGGCATTACGTCGATTCAGCCTCCCCCTCTCAAACCTTGAGGCCGGGATTGTTTACGTCCAGTTGCATTTTGGCGCAATCACAGGATCTCTTGACACTTTTTGATCAGCTTAATTTTCCAGAGATGAGATCATATACAGCCGATCGCTTCACTAACTGACCGCTACTTGCATCGGGTGGACGCCACCGCCTGCCAGTTGAAGCCGGGTCGGAAGCGCTAACCTGCGAAATCGCGAGCAATTCTTACGTTTGCTTGTGCTGTTGGCCTGTCACTCGCCGTCCTCCCTCCCTCATCCCCCCTCTCCCCTTTTCCCTCTTTCTGTGTCTCTCTTTATCTCTTCCTGCCCGATCCATTGCATTGCAGCCGTTAAGCTTCGATCCCTCAGTACGTAAGTGGATGCCTGCGCCTCCTTGGGATTGTGTCGACCAGGAGTTTCATTCGTCCATCAGCACGTGCCACGTGAATTCGATCCATCCATCATTCCGTCCCGCTTGGGAGATAAGATCGTTGCTCATCCTGCTGCACTGAAAAGGAAAGAAAAAAAAAATTGAAAATCAAATTCAGAAGACACATCGACGGAAACCATTCCCCTCTCCTTGTCAGCGAGTACTACGAAGACATACGAGCAGATACGAGCGACCAGTCAAGCAGACAAAGGACGGAACGCAACCAACCAGCCTTCATGTATTCTTACTAACGGTCCCCCGTCATCCCCGTGTTGTCTACCAAGCTCCTACTCAAGACCGTCTTTCGAAAAAAGAGCGCATCTGCTATCCCCTTTTCATCATCCTTGATCTGAATTCCCTATCTCTCCTTCTCATCGTCTCCGATGTGGCTTCTCCGCGCCATCTCGTCGGGAATCTTCCTGACCGTCACGGTCGCTTCTATTCCTCTCGCGTTTGACGTGGGTGGGAAGACATGCGGTCTGGCCTATTCGCTCGCCCTCGCGATCTTCTATTTTCTGTTCTCGATCCTGCGACTCTCTACCCCCGATCGGTCCTGGGTTCGCTCGTCCTTGGTCGTCGTCATCAGTTCTACGCAGTGGCTGATAATCCCGATCTTGCTTATCTGGTCGCTCAACCGTTTCTCGATTGATAATGACAACGCGGCTTCATGGGTGGAGCGGACATTTACCGGGAAGAGGGCCCACGACTCCTCCATTCAGGAGTGGGTATTTGGACCGGATGGGTTGGTGGAATCAGTGACAATTGGGAACTGGGATAAACTTCTGAGATGGTCAACTCCGGTCTTCCAGCTGGTTGAAGGCTTCTGCAGTTTACTCGTCATACAGGCTGCAGGGCAAATCACTCGCTGGCTTGTGAACCGTGGCGGGCGCAGTGATAGTTGGATGGTACGTACACGTCACCTTGAGCTGCTTGCTGCATGCACTGATAAATGCTAATCCTTCTCCGCTAGATCGGCCTCCTGGTTTTGTCCGCCTCCATCATCTCCAGCTCCGTCTATTTCCTATGGCGCGTTTTGCAGTTTCCTGAAATCTCCAATGTCGATGCAGCTCTGATTGGCGTGTCCATCACATGCGCAGTCATCTTGTGCGCCTGGGGCATCGGCAGCGGCAGGGGTAATCCAGTCGAGAGTTCTTTGCTGTTCGCCTACATTGTGCTCTGCCTCTACCAGATCTTCACAGACTACAAACCCTCTCACCCTCTGGAACAATCGCCCACCCCAGCTCAGGCTGGAGGGGACTTCCCGCCCTTGCCTCCAATTATCATGGAGTCGTACACGACGGTGATGCATGCCTTGTCGACTCTGCCTTCGATCATCCACGCTGCGGTTAATGTTATCACAGCAGTCTTCGGCGCAGTGACTCCCTCCGTGTTGGTTTCCCTCACCTACCGGATCCTAGTTCTATACGCCTCCACTCGGATCATTCCCGCAGTCCGCGAGTCTGGGGCCCGCGCCTTGTCGCAAGAAGCGTCGCTAGACGATTCCGATGCCGCCGGCCAATTCCTCGGCTTCCTTAGTTACTTTTCACCCTCGATCCTCATTGCCGTGTACACCAGCCTTCTGATGCAGCACTTTGCGTCGACCTCTCAAGCTATGGGTGGTAGTGGTGAGTGGTGGAGCAGCCAGGGCGCTGGCGGCGGAAACCTCTGGCGCTGGATCAACCTTGCATGTACGATGGGCTTGTACGCTGTTGAGCTCTACCTCGGTGAGAACGACGATTTGGACGCCGGCCTTGCGGGTCATTGGAAGACCGACTGAACGCTATCCGGATAACCACAATCACCAACACTGATTTCCATCACTTATTCGAGCACATGTGATCGCCGACTGTTGCTCCTTTGCACCACCCACGGGTCAGGCTGCCGCCTAAGAAGTTCTTATACGCATTTCCCCTAGCAAGGGGACCTTTCTGCAAGCTGAAGTTTCAGGTCAGCAACGTCATGGAGCGCTTCCCACTTATTAGCTGGATGGTGGCAGGATTAGAGGCAGACAGAGCACCATCCAGCAGAAGCAGCTACGAAGCGGGGGTCAGCGAATGCGTATGCCTATCGGTGGTCCTTTCACCTTGCTTTCCTTTAGGGATATTGGGGATAATCGTCATCTTTCCCAGCTTTCCCAGCTTTCCCACAGATGGTGTGTCCGTAATGCGGAGACTTCGCAACCATCGTATCATTTACATCATGACCAAGATCCGACCAATATGTCTCCAGTCAGTGGGAGGGCTCGGTACAGCGCCCGGCTCACCCAGCAATACATCAGGGTCGCTCCCGCCCCGAACAGCTCATGTTTCCTACGCTTTGCCCCTCCGATACGGCTCTACCCTTATCAAATCGCCCACCCATATCTCTTATGATCCTCCGTCCCATTATCGCCGTGCTATTATACCCATCTTTCTTCAGTCTAGCGCTCCCTGCTAAGCTGCCTTCATTGGCCTTTCTTTTTTTATCTTATCTATCTCAATCAACAATGCCCCACTTCTTTCACCTTGTACTGCTACTTTCCGAACTCCTCCCCCACCCTTTTCCGTTTCTTTTCAGCTTCAATTCTTGACAACTGTGTGCACTAGATGGAGAACTTTATACCCCGACTTGTTGTTTACGGTGACAGGCTTTTTGATCTTCCTCCGTGTGTCTGTAACGACGTTCCTCTATTTTCCACCATCAGGTATCAATCATCTTTAGCGTCTTTAAGTCTGATTCGGAAATGCAACCCATGAAATTTATAGGAAACGGAGCGTACTTCCACTTTTCGTCAAGGAATCAAGTAAGATAGTCACACCGAACATGGAAAGTAGAATGTTAAGCCAGCTAGTACAATTTAATTTGGTGATACTGCCAGAGACTTGGAAACGAAAACAACTTAGATGACTCGAGTAAGAAAACCGAGTTTAGACCCCAAACGACAATTTAGCCAGTCAATTCTGCACACGGATGCAGGATCTAGACACACAGAACAAACATCACGGACGACTAAACTTGATTCTCAACTCTGGAAAACGCGCGGATTCGCATAATTCCGGCCCGATGTAGGGTAAGGACAAATTCAATTGAGACAAGAATATTGATACTCGGGCTCAGTTTTTTCCGGAAATATGGACAACGAACTGAAAGAGATAGAAGAAAAGATTGCGTCATTTCGTGATAAAAACACTCCAACTTGCGCGAGCATGCTGTAGACCTCATACCGTCGACGCTGGAGGGGGGGATGGAGCGGCTGAAGCAGGCTAGGATCGACAGAGAGAGAGGATCCTATTCCGACGCTTGTGAGCTCATCTTCCCGTCGGGTGGATGCTCCAAGCTGTAGCATGCGATTATCCCAGCTTGCCGCTTTGGTTCCACTCTGTGCCACATAACATCCCTCCGAAAGGCAGAAGACGAGAAGAATAAAAAAAAAAACAATGATGAATGATAAGGATAAGGTCGTAAATACATTAAAATCTCAAGGAAAAAAAGAACAACGTGACGTGGGAATCCATGGCGCCAGAACTCTCTTTTAAATACCACCGATCACCGGACGGAGCCAACAAACCATGTACGAAAGTAGAATATCAGATGCAGAGTCACATGAATGATGAAATCGAAATACGGGAAATGATTTATTGGCGGATGGGAACACCACCCCGGGTTGGGGGCGGGCTCACACTGTCGGCATCGGTGGGCTCTTGGGATGCGACTGCATCGATGTTGTTTCCGTCGGCCTCATCGACGCTGGTGCCTCGTTGCAGGAAGCTGGCTTCCTTGACCGGGCTGCGGCTCTGAAACCCGATAGAGCCCGGATGTCCGCTGATGCTGCCGGGAATCTGCTGTCCACCTTGGGCGCTGATGCTGCCTCCATTGCCGGCGGCGGCGGGGTTGTTGGCGCCCGGGGAGGTGGCGGTCAGGTGGGGGATGTTCTCCGGAACAGGATGTTGGGAGCCGATGTTGGTGACGCCGACGTCTGAGGCTTTGCCTGCTTTGCTGAGGGCGTAGTCACCCGAATCGAAGTATTTGCGTTCCTGTAGGCCGCACAGGGAAGATATGAGAATCAGAGACGAAGGTGGCTGGGTGATCGGTGGTCGGACGGCTGTACCTTGAGCTTGTTCTGCAGGAGATCCTTCTTGTTGGGCATCTTGCCATAGAGGCGCAACAGACGTTGCTCATCGGGGCTCAGCGACTTGGGAGAGAGATGGTGTTAGTGCCAGCCCAGCGGAGAAGGGTAGTAGCAACCCAAAGGTAGGCGGGATGGAACTTACGCTGGTATCGATCTTATTCTGTTGATGGGGGTTCATTTTGAATGATTGTGTTTCGGATTGATTGATGATTGATTGAAGGAGTGAAGGAGGGAAGGAAGGAAGATAAGTTGGTAGAAAGGAGAATGAAGAAGGAGAAGAAGAAGAGCAGACGGAGGGAGGGCGGGGAGTTGAGTTGAGTTGAGATGAGATGAGGTGGACAACGGGTATTAGTAGTAAGTAACTGGAAGTAGAGTGTCGTCAGGAAACCCCACCACCACCAGCGGGGAGGAAAGTGTATACAGAGCAAGGTAGAAAGCACCCCGATATTGTGACAGTGTTAATGGGCCGAAATGGAAAGGGGTGGAGAAGGGAAAGAAAATAGAGAGTCAAGTGACAAGGATAGAAAGCAGCACAGAGATTGCAGAAAATAAAGGAGAAAAGGGGGGGAGGACAAAAGGAAAGAAGTTATACATGTTGCTGTTGCTGTTGCTGCAGTGAGCAAAGCAAAGCAACAGGAAGAAGGGCACATGAGGCCTAGGATGGGTCTATCGGTATGGGTCTGTATTCCGCTGTCATGGTATGGTAATTCATCCGGTAGCCAGTGTACGACATCGGGCGGTGACCGCCCTGCAATCAGCCCCCGTGCTCCATCATCACCTACCCACTAAACCTTCTCTAGGCTAGTATCAAGCAGTTCTGATGCGAGGGAGTCCGCATCCAGCTTAGGCCCATGGAGCTACTGACTGGCTCCACCTGCGCTGATGACAGAACAATACAGTATGCATCCTTTCCAATCTGACCATTGCCTCATTGTCGAGGAAGTTCAGGCACTCGCCGTTTGAAACCCCTCAAGGGAGAAAAGCGGATTTGCTACATGGGGAGAAGCAGCAGGTGAAGAAGGCGTCGGGGGTTCGTATCCAAATTAAAATAAGATGCAATGTACTTGAGATACTGTATGAACGATGCAAATTCTGCCGATAAATCGACACTAGCAATACAGCTGAGAAGGTGCAATCAACCCAAAGACAATATCGACTCATCCTGCCCCATCATTAGGCACAAAGGGCGACAAAAGTAAATTTAAACCTGACCAGCTGCTGGAAAGAGTGGACTTCATGCTCAACTGAGGAATTGTTCAGTGCAGTCCCACCGGATTGCTCAGTTCCACCGGCGGTACAATGGAGGAAGGAGGAAAGTCAGTCAGTGTATGCAATCGGCGTATCGATCTGTATCCAACTCAATGATCATTTCTTCTCCCTTTTTTTTCTCCTGCCCCTCCACAATTTGATATTGCTCGCAATTCAACCTCTCCACGTCCAGACACATCCTCCATCTGTGGGTAGTTGCGCAAAGCTTCATCCCTCTTGCGCCTTGGCTAATTTTGTACTGAAGAACCGGTGAATCCGAGTCTGCACGGTGTCACAAGAGGTTCCTGAACCCCACACTTACTATAACCGACATCACGCCCATTGACCGTGGGCCAGACCGATTTAGACGCCTCTATCCCGATCCAAAATGAGTGGTCAAACCCCCTCTGCTGGTCCTGTGACCATCGTGGTCGAGCATCTGGACCCCGAATTGGGCGCTTGGTCCACTCTGGAGTATGGCTGCATCGCCCGCGAAGCGCATGCCTCGGGGAGCAGATTTCTGCTTAGCTCGGTGCCCACCTCCCTGCAGATGCCGGAGGAGCTGGCAGCTACCCCCGGCCTGAATGTCGAGCATCGCAGCGTCGAGGAGATTTTTGCGGATCGCAAGTCCCGGGTCTGCTTGCTGGACCCTTCCGCATCGGTGGAATTGAGCCCCGCTGATGCTGAGACGTTCGATGTCTTCCTGTTTGGTGGTATTCTGGGTGAGACGTCCTTTTCTTCGTTGACGACTGCATCGCCCAATTGTTCGGCCGGCTGACTGAAAGGGAATCCATTGTTCGGTTCTTAGGTGATGATCCGCCACGCGGTATGTCCCTTGTCCCTGGGAGAAGAGAGTCTATCATGATACTGACCTGAAGTAGACCGCACATCTGAGTTGCGAAAGAAGGGTTATGCCGGCCGAAGGCTGGGACCTGTCCAGATGACGACCGATACGGCTGTGCGTGTTACGCGCCTGGTTGTGCATGACAAGAGTTAGTCCTCGACTGCGACCTGCTCTGTCCAGACCACGACTGACATCGAAGCAGTTCCTTTGGAGAAGATCCCCTACGTTGATCACCCCGAGATCCTCATCAACGAGCACGAACGCACTGAGATGCCCTTCCGCTACGTGACGGGAGAGGACGGCCAGCCCATCATGCCTCCGGTAAGCTTGATGCATCTTGTAATGTTCTCACTGCTCAGTCCATTGACATGTTTGTAGGGCATGGTAGACTTGATCAAGAAAGATGCCGATCAGGGTATCGATGATCTCATCTAAGTCGGGTTGAAGATCGGCCTAAGGTTGTGACGTTGAAAGATGGGCACGGGAACGTGTCGAGTGCATATAACGTGGAATCATCACTAACCAAACACTTACGATCGACTTCCAGGCTGAGTTGAATCTGCATTGAATCTGGATTCGATTTAGTTGTAATATGTTGCTTAGAGATCAACGGGGAAGTATTGCAGCATAAGCATGGATAGCAGTGACTGTGAGCAATACAATACAGTACTTTCTATTGAAACCCCGAATGATAAATGGTACGGATGAGTGGTAGAGTGGTAGAGTGTAGAGTGCAGGGCCGTAGCAGGTCTATAGAGACCCCAAAGCGGTAAGTGATAAGCTTGTTGCAGTACTGCTACTAACTTACTGCCACTTACTGCTTACCCGCCCCTTCGGGCCACGCCATCCATTCGTCTCCGTCTGTCTCAGCCGCCTTTCTTCCTCTTCCTCCCTCCTCTGCCTCCTCATCTCCCCTCTTCTTCTCCTCTTACTCTCTTTCTATTGTTTTTATTTTGAGTACTATCTCAGTACTCTAGTCTGTTCCGGTCTTTGTGGGGAAGACATCTAATCGTGGTCAGACCTCCTACGCTCACTCACCTGATCCCCCCTGCCTGCGTGGACACCCACCTCTTGTCACCTCCGTCACCTCCCTTTATCTCCGGAGCTCCGCCTCAACCGGGGGAAGGTCTCAGTCAGCACGCGCCGGAACTGGACACCTTGATCAATGTGTCCTTGAGTGCTAGTTTTGAGTCCTCTTGGGACCTAATTCGCTTACATTTGTTCAACACCTTTTCAATAACGGCATACGCCCTTGCACCTTATCGCACCCCAAAAATGTTCTCCTTATCGTCCCGCGGGGGACTCTCTGTCTCCCAGATGTCGACATGGGCTCTGTCAACCCTCCTTCTCCTGAGTCCGGCGGTCGTCTCGGCCAAGTCCGCAGCTGATTACTACATTCACTCACTACCTGGTGCTCCCGATGGCCCCTTGTTGAAGATGCATGCTGGGTGAGCTACTCCGCTCCGGAGCTGTCGCACCAGATCGACCATACTGACCCTGTTCTCTGGATTTACAGACATGTCGAGGTCGACGCGCAAAGCAATGGACACCTCTTTTTCTGGCACTACCAGAATCGGCACATCGCTAACCGCCAACGGACCGTGGTGTGGCTGAACGGTGGACCGGGATGTTCGTCCATGGACGGCGCGTTAATGGAGGTTGGTCCATATCGACTGAAGGACAACCATACACTGGAGTACAATGAAGGCTCGTGGGACGAGTTCGCCAATCTGCTCTTCGTCGATAACCCGGTCGGAACGGGATTCAGCTACGTCAACACCGACAGCTATATTCACGAACTCGACACGATGGCGGCACAGTTTGTGGTCTTTCTGGAGGAGTGGTTCAAGCTGTTCCCGGAGTACGAAAGTGACGATGTAGGTTCTCTTGGTCCGACTGTTTCTTCCTGGGTTGTTTCTCTAACAACCTGATAGATCTACCTTGCGGGCGAGTCCTACGCTGGACAGCACATTCCCTATATCGCCAAAGCCATGCAAGAACGCAACAAGAATGTCACCGGCACCAACACAGCGCAGTGGCAATTGAAGGGTCTTCTGATTGGCAACGGTTGGATCGCTCCCGAGGAGCACTACATGTCCTATCTGCCATTCGCATACGAAGAGGGCCTTATCGAGGAAGGTAGCTCGGCCGCCAAGGAGCTTGAGGTGCTACAGTCCGTCTGCCAGTCTCGATTGGACGTGGGCAAGGACAGAATTCACGTCAACGACTGCGAGAAGATTTTGAACGGGATTTTGGATAGGACGATCGAAAACAACCAGTGCTACAATATGTATGACATCCGCCTGCGCGACAGTTTGGACGCATGCGGGATGAACTGGCCGACGGACTTGGTGGATGTGAAGCCGTACTTGCAGCGACAGGATGTGGTGGCGGCGCTTCACATCGACCCGGCGAAGAAGTCAGGCTGGACCGAATGTTCTGGCGCAGTCAGCAGCAACTTCAACCCCCAGAGATCCGTGCCGTCCGTGCGACTCCTCCCCGAGCTTTTGGAATCGGGTATCGAAATCCTTCTTTTCAGTGGTGAGAAGGACTTGATCTGCAACCATGTTGGTACCGAACAGATGATCAACAACCTGAAATGGGGTGGCGGTACCGGCTTTGAAACCTCACCGGGCGTCTGGGCTCCCCGACACGACTGGACTTTCGAGGGCGAGCCGACGGGTATCTATCAGTACGCGCGGAACCTGACCTACGTGCTTATCTACAACTCCAGCCACATGGTGCCCTACGATCTCCCCCGCCAAACTCGTGACATGCTCGACCGCTTTATGAACGTGGATATCGCCAACATCGGTGGCAACCCTACCGATTCACGCATCGACGGCGAGAAGCTGCCCCAGACCTCGGTGGGCGGCCACCCCAACAGCACCGCAGCCGAGGAACAGGAGAAGCAGAGACTCAAAGAGACGGAGTGGAAGGCCTATGCCAAGTCTGGCGAGGCCGTCCTGGTCGTCGTTATCATCGGAGTCATCGTATGGGGCTTCTTCATCTGGCGCAGCCGACAGCGCCATCACGGCTACCGGGGCGTCATGCAGAAGAATATGAGCAGCCACTCGGTGCTCGAGCGGTTCCAGAACAAACGCAACGGAGGCGATGTCGAGGCGGGCGATTTCGACGAGTCCGAACTCGATGACCTCCATTCTCCGGGTCTGGATCGGGAGCATTACTCGGTGGGCGAGGACAGCGACGAGGAGACTCGGGCAGAACATGGCCAGCAATCCTCCGCTCGGACGGGAGCCGATCATTTATGATTCTGAATCTTGTCACTTACCTTTCTTTGTTTGGACTCGGTCTTCACCCCTGTGTGGACATACTTTGGAGTTATTGTATTGGCACATTAGATATGAATTGTTCTTGCTTTAGAATCCTGTCATGGGAAATTGGATAAGATGGTATGGTGCACGGGCGACACGGCAGTTTCAAGTTCTGTTGCAAGTTTTGTCCGGCCTTGTATTTCCATGTCCAAATGTCTATTGATCAGTAGTTTGTGACTTTTCTCTATATCCGGTCATCTATACTCCATCTGTACCACACAGTCAAACCAGACCTACTTCCCAACCGTCCAAACCTTCACGCTTCCATCGTCGGCCGTAGTAATCAGGATTTCCTCCTCTTTCGTGGTATCCCGACCGCGATCCGCCCGCTTAGCCCAAGCAACATGGTTAATCTCGTAGATCCCATGCGCCCCGACCAGAACAGCGACAACCACCCACTCCGTCAATGGCTGTTTGGGGGGTCGCTGTTGCTCATCAGGCAGGGACGCGTCCGTCTCCATAGCCTGCGCATCCTTGGCGACAAACCGCTCCTCATACACCACAATCCTACCATCAGCACCGACCGACGCGATCAGGCCCGTCCTCGAACTCCACGCAACCGAATAAACCGCCAGATCATGCACTGGGGGGAGCGTAGCCTCCTCCTCCCAGTGCTCATCAAGCCCAGTGGGCCGAATAATACTGGGCATGTTGCCAGCGCCACGAGCGTCGACCTCCTTAGGCAACCGCCTCCAAACCCTCACAGAGCGATCATCCGAACACGAAAGAATCCTGGGACCCGACAACGCCCTGAATTGCACCTGCTCCTGCTCCTTCCAAACCCGCATGACCGCAACCTTCTCCTCCTCACTTACGCCCGGCGCCCAACCCGGCAGAACCTCATCCTCCCCAGACCCATCCTCCCCAGCCCCAGACCCATGGGCTACTCCCTCAAAAGCAACCCCCCAAACCGTCCCCCCATGGCCCCGGAGACAAGCAACCTGCCCCCAATCATCAAGATCCTCCCTCCAAACCCGAATCGTATCATCATAACTCCCACTAACCAAACACTCTTCGCGCGGATGCCACGCCACACATTTTACGTCTCCCTCATGCTCCTGCATAACAGCAACAGTCTCGAAATTATTATCGCCGTCGTCGAGATCCTCCCAGATCCAGATCGATTTGTCCCGCGAGCACGTCGCCAGAAGCATGCCTGAGGGCGACCATGCGACGGACTTGACTTCGCTGTCGTGGCCGTCGAGGAGGACGGCGAAGCGCCATTCTTCTTCGTCTTCTTCATCATCCTCATGGTCTAGGGTTTGGGTGGGGCGGTGCGCTGCGGTTGCGGCTTCGTTACTGCCTTCGGCGACTTCATCGGTGTTGGCTAGGAGCTCCGCGGCTTGAGAAGTGGGAAGGTAATTATCCCATCGGCGCCAGATGCCGGCTGTTGCGTCGAAGGAGCCCGTTGCCAGCACACTTTCGCCTTCGACGTGCGGTTTCCAGGCTGCGGTGCGGACGCTGCGCTTGTGGCCGCCGGTTATTGTGGAGAGGAGTCGGAAGTTTGTGAGCGAGTAGATGCGGATCGTTTTGTCCGAGCTGCAGGTTGCGACGATGGGGAGGCGCGGGTGCGGCGCCGTTTGCCAGGTGCGTTCGAGGGAGGGAGGGTCGAGGGTTGAGAGGGCGTGGATTTGGTATGTTGGTTGTGCTGGTTGTGCTGGAGTCATGGTTGTGTTTCGGGGAGCGGGTTGCAGGTGAGGGGTTGGTAGGTTGGCACGGAGAGTGGGAGCGATGGCTGTAGTGAGATGCGCTTGGTTGTGCCTTGTCTTGGACTCAAGCTGTCAGCGTGTCTGAGTAGCTGTATCTTGGAGAGTCAATTGCCCTCTGCTCGCTATCTGTCTGTCAAGATTCAAAGTTGAAGCTTTCCGGTTCGGCGGCGGAATTCATGGCGGGGAAAGCAGCGCTGATTAATCATGTGCTTGGCGTGCCGGAAGTTCTTCTAGTCTTATCAGCAAGGAAGATAAGCATTTACTTAGAACTAAGTAGTAGTAGTTATAGTCTCCATCTGGAATAGCATACATATTGTAATTCTTGTATCAAAAACGCACGCCCAAAAGTCAATTCAGTCTGTACCACAAGTACTATAATGTATCCTTCATTAGCCAAGACAAAAACTCTTATAATTAGCCTCCACCCCTCATGCCCCCTCGCCGAGGATCCGCTCGTAGACTAGGCCGTGACACAACCAGTCCACTTCGCGCATCTTCTCCAACTCGTCCGTCAACTGCCCAACCTCCGTAACAAACTCGGGCATGCCCGCTCCAGCCAGGCCCTGACTGGCTGTCGTCGTGGCGCGGACTCGTTCGCTGGCACTAGCCGCACTCAGTCGTGACAGAATGTGCGCCCTCAGCCGCGAGAGAAGCAGTCGCGCAACCGGATCGGCAAAACCAGAGGTACCGTTGCCGCTACCACTCGTCGCCGTCGCGGGACTGGTCGCATCCGACGTATACGATTCGGAGGACGAGATAGACTCGACCTGGATCTCCACAGATGGTTGTGTCCCTTCTCCCTCCGTAGAGGCGGCTACACAGGCCGTGGCAACAGGCACCAAAGCCCGGCGGATGGTTGCTGCCAGCTGCGCGCTGGCATTGGGTGGCATCGGGTGTGTGGATTCTAGAATCGATTGAACGCGGTCGGGCTGGATCTCATTAAAGTCCAAAGACATGATTCGGTCCGCCTCGGCTTTCCACTGGGATCGCGCGTCGCGCTTCAAGAGGTTCTTGGCTGTCAGAAGGATAGACGCTGTAGCCACGATTCGGAACGCCTTTGCATGCAGGCGAGCTAATCGCTGGCGATCCAACTCTAGAGTCTCCGGCACCAGCTCTTCCGAAACAGGCGCATTGCTCATGACCAGATCGACAAGTCCTTGCGCATAGACCTTGGTACTCGGCGGTCGGGGCTCCCCGTTGATATTCTCTGGATCCCGCTTGCGCAGCTCATCGGCGATGATCTTGCGGTATGTCCGCCAAAAGCGTCGTGTCTTCCCCAAGCTTTGAGTCCCGTCTTGGAGACCCTTTTCAAAGGTCCTCTGTTCATATCCAGGAGCTTCCTGGATAAGCTGCGGAGCGGCAACCTGGATCATAAAGTTTGTGTGATCAAGAGAAAGAAAATCGATTATTCCCATCAATCGTGCCAGTCGGTCGATTGCATCCCCCGATGTGTCTTCAGCGAATGCTTTAACTACTGGATCGCGGTAAGGGGCACAAAGCTTGGGTAAGATGGTGTTCATAAAGTTGAAGAAACTGTCGTAGGAGAAAGCGCCGGCCCTGCACTGGCTTTCGACCAGCTTAGGGTCAAGCACCTCACTGATCAGTACATGCAGCGAGTTTCCAGGCCGGAGCGAGCGCAGTAAGCGGTCTTGGATCACCGTAGCCATGGCCACTGTCCAGTTTGTTTCCAGCCCGGCTTCCACGTCCTTCCGCATCATATCGCACATATGTTTCATGATTCGCTTGCGTGGCTCAGTGTACTGTTTCTCGTCGATCCGGAACTCCTGATTTATCAAGAGCTCGTGCACCAAAGCTCGATTCTCCGGCAATGCGGTCAGCATCCGTGTAAACCGCTCGTGGGGAGAAACTCGCTGTCTGTCGAGCTCATGCAGCACTGCACTGTCCACGTTGTTAAAGGTCTCACTGATGGGAGAAGCAACGCTTTCCGGAAGAGCTTCTGTCGACGAGGGCGCAACCTCCGCCGACCGTGGGATAGCCTGCTTGGACGCCGTCCGCTTCTTCTCGCGCTTGGCCTTCTTCAAGGCATCTCGCACCATCTGCATCGCCTTGTCAGAACCAGCCAGACGCTTCAGTCTGGCAAGAAGGAGGATCTGATTCTGCCGAATACCCTGGCTGTAATCCTCCGCGACACCACCAGCGCGGTCATTCTTGACCGTCTGCCAGATCAACTCCAATTCGATAAATTGAGCCAACATGATCTCGATCAGAACACTGGAGTCATGCGACTTCCACGCGTGAAAGGCAGAAAAAAAGACATTGTAAGCCTCGCACAAAGCCTGGAGCTCCGTGGCAATAGCCGATGGGGAACAGCATCCCGAGGAGAGCAAAGGTGTCACCAGCTCAAACGCGGCGAGAAGCTCGCGCGCTTTCGCAATCAAATCCTGCTCTTGTTCGCCATTGCTGCTCAGAACCTCGGCAGGATGGGTCACAATCAGGTAGCTGCTAAGGAACGTGCGCACAGCACCCCGTCCACCGATGGTGCCACTCTCCATATCTTGCAGTCCACACAGCTTAAGGACCCGACCTGTGGTCTCCAGAACCCGGTCATCAGACAGCTGAGCGCCAACTTCCTCGAACTCCTTCTCCCGAATACGATCGGTGGTCAGGTCGAGAGCCAGGAACCCACGCATTACCATCTTCGCATGGTAGGTTCTCCAGACTCGCTGGATGATCCTCGCGGCGGCATCGCGGGTGACCGACTGAGCAACCGCCTTGGGCATCTTCTTCTCGTCGCCACCAGTCGGCAGACTGCTCGTGCGGTGGCGGCGATGACTCTGCTGATACAGGGCCCGCCTCTTCTCGGCCTCAGCGAACTTCTCCGCGATTTCCAGGCGCAGGCGAGCGTGTTCGGCGGCCTTGCGTTCCCGGTTGTCTTCGGCCTTCTTCTTCGCCCGACGGACCTCCTCCTCGCACTTGGCCGTGATCTCCGCCAAGAGCCGCTCCCGGGCCTGCTGAGCAGCCAGTGCTCGTTCTTCCCGCTGCAGGTTGCGGGTAGCCGCTTTGGCCAAGGCCGCACGAAGCCTGACTTTCTCCGCGTGCAATGCGCGGTCCGCGAGTCGGGCCTTGCGACTCTCGAGAATGGAGGTCCGTCGGAGATGTTGCGCTACGTTCTCGGTTGAGGACGCGCCATGAGCGGGCCCGTTCGCGTGCTGGGAATGGAGGGAGGAGATCGAGCTGCGGCGGGAGGAGGCGGCGGAGGAGCGGCGAGCGACACTAGGCTTGCGAGCAAAACGAGCGGCGAGATGAGTGGGCAGGTTCAAAGGCAGTGCTGATTCATCAGACATCATTTCCACATCTGTTGCAGTCGCGGGTTCCGGTTCAGTAGAAGGGGCCGCATCGGAGAGTTGGACGTCGATGTCGGAGTTGCGACGGATCATATTCTGCGGTGAATGCACGGGAAGCGGGAGGTTAACCGAGAGAGATATCGAGATATGAAAGGGCGATGACGAGACGGGATCGGGTAGATACGCAGGTTCCGTAGATGACCCCCTGTAGTTCGAATGAGGATGTAGTCAGGCTGCAGTTTGGAGCATCCCTGGAGGAAAGGAGACCCGTGCTTCGTCTCAGAGGAGATTTTAGTTGGAGTAGACTAGTAGTGAGTGTAAGTGTAAGAGTGTGTGTGTATGTTGGGACAAAGAGCACTGGGAACAAGATCAAATGAGTGTCGAGGAGAGCAGGCAGAGGCTCAGTTAGTTATGCAGTGACTAGGTCAGCCCAAAAGTATAATACGGAAGATAAGCCGGGATAGAAGAAAGCATGACTTGCACCACATCCATCACGGATCGACGGGGAAGAGTGTATTTCACCTTTCGTCGTCATCGAACCGGAAGAAGAATGAAGCCCGTCGAAGGCGCCGCATCCAGCCGTGCTGACTAATTCCGATTGACAATGCAGCTGCAGCAACTGCAGGAAGCAGCTGGCTTAGTTAATCGATATTACGCGCGGTGGGATGAATTCTTCATAAGCAGATACATATGAAAATACTCAGCATGATCATTAGTTGAGTTATATCTAGTTAGACTATGCCCATCCCTTAATGCATGTGAGGCGTGATTCAATGTGTCTCAGGTATCAACATTCCAACCCCCATCTCCAATACCAGACAGACGCTTTTCCCAACAACTCAGACGCCGAGTACAAATGCACATTTTATCATTTGTAAGATAGAAGCAAAAATGCAAAAATGCGGTCCAAGTTATGCATCACCAAACGCCCACCATGTAACCGCATCAAAGATATCATACAAGCCACTCCAGTTGGACCAGCCAACTCTCACTATCGCCCTTGTGGCCTCAGCGATGCCCAAAGATGTCGATACTCTCGTCATCGTCATCTTCCTCATCGCTGCCATGCTCTGAGCCACTGTTGCCTGAGGCTCCGCCATCTTCGTCTTCATCAATGTCGGCATCGGAAGCACCGTCAACAGACTCGTTTTCCTGCCCCAGGAAACCATAGCTGTACTTGATCTTGGTCCCCCACAATCGAAGTTCTCCACCATCCTCACTCTCTCGACGGCCACCAACGCCGCCAAATGAGAGTCCACTGAAGAAGGAAGTCGACTGTGATCGATTCGAACCACGGTCAGGCGGGATACCAAAGTAGTTCCGAATGACAGGCGAGACAGCACGATCGCGCGTTAGGCTGTAGGAAGCAAATTGCCGACTAGGATCAGCAGACATGGGAACAGAAAGTTGAGACTCGTGCCCAGGGACTGAGCTGGTGTCAATACGTAGTGATTCGAATGTAGACAGGCCGCTTTCGTCAGCGCCATGCGAGGAAGACCTGGCCCGCGTCGTTGAAATATCTTCCGTATCACTGTTTAACGCGGAGGGATCTGAATCGTTGCCCCTGACTAAACGAATCTGCGCGGTATTGTACGATTCACACCTGCTTTCTGTCAGTCTCTGTCGCGCGGATAGGATTATAGATGCTCACAGGTCGCATCGCAGCCCTAGCCAGTGATACCTCACTACAGATTTCGCGCTGCAATCGTTGCAGTAGACAAGAGCTTTTGTGTCTTTGAATTCTGCCGGCATAGGCTGGCTCTCGATGGTTCGATCCAGATTTCGAAATGTAGACTCCATGTTGGTAATGGTTTTGCTGCAGATCGGACAGCGATATGAAGTTCTAGAGTATTCGGAGAGACACCGTTGATGGATACTGTGGCCACATCGCATAAAGACTACAGTCTCAGGAGAAGTGAACATATAGTCTCCGCAAATAGGGCAGTCACATTGAGTGGAGCGCTCAATGCACCGGTGGGTGTTCTCGATGGAGATAGGAAGGCAAACACTGCACGTCTAAGACTTGGTCAGCACCCACACATATTGAACTGGAATATATGCCTGCTCACCTTGCAATGGAAGAAGTCCTTCCCAAGACCTTTACCGATACGGCAGATGCCACAATCGCTACAGTGATAGATGCTCTTGTTGGCGTCGTTATCCCAGAGCTTGCAGGTTTCGCAGTAGTATTGCGCCGCTTGTTCGCCGCATTTCCTGCAGGATTGCGCTGCAGGCTGGGCTTCCCCACACAGCATGCAGAGCATGTTCTCTGTTTTGGGCCGATCCAGACGGTGCTCTTCGACCTCATCGTGGCAAAACCGGCAGGTGTACCATTTCTTACAGTCGAAACACTGCGACTTGACGTTTGTCTTATAATGTTCGCAGCCTAGAAACACTTCCTCAACCTCTTCGGTGTCGAGGTCGTCCACCTCACATGCAGGTGACTCTAATTCTGGTTTGGGTGCATAGGTCGGTAGCAGATCTTCCGCAGTCAAATTGTAGCTTTCGCTTTTGACAGGTGCGGAGGACGCTAATGGTGAGGACCGCTCCAACGAGATAATACTCCATCGGCGGGCGGTTTCGTCTTGCTTGGGGCTCTGAGGAATGAGAGGTGATGGGCTTCTCGGAGTGTTTTGTTGGTCGGCAGAGTCACTCCGGTGAGAATTGTACTTCTCGGTCATCAGTGCATGAATCATGCGCGCCTGATCTGTATTGCTGTAACCTAGATCTCGAATTGCATGAATCCGCCTCCGTAAAGCACCCATACCGTCATCTTCTGGAAGCGCAACAGGACAGCCCGGTTCCTCTGTCATGAGATTATGACTCAACACCTGTTCCGGAGGCTGTGAATGTGGGCTGGATGGTTGAGAGGCGTCTTGCGTAGCTGGAACCGAGACGGTCTGCTGTGGGCTGATTGACAGGTTCGTGCGAGTCATTTGGAAATGCGAAGTCTGCGGTAGACGATCTTGACTCGGTATTGTTGTCCATCCAGGAGGAAATCGGTGTTCTTGTTCGTGAGAAGGTCCAATCGGTAGGTGATCTGGAGGTGAGGCGGAGGGAAGAGTGCGGCCATCTTCAGACCCCGCATCTCCGCCATTTGAGAGAAGCCCAGGGTGTGTGAAGTCCGTCATAACCGCGCCCTGGCTGGTTTGATCGCCATCACTAGCCAAGGGAGCGGCACAGTCTTTCCCGGCTGTTAAAGAATCGGAAGATGGTCGGGGACTGGTTTGTTGTGAGAGGCGACGGGCTTGCCGAATGACGGGTTCAATCAACAATGAAGAGAGGAGCCCACTCATGGATGAGGCCAAAGAGCATCTGATGGTGGAAAAAGCATAGAAAAGATTTAACACTCGGATGTGCCGTAAAACTCCCGAAGAAGCTACACCGGAAAAGGCTTGGAATTCCTGGTGTAAGCAAGGTAGGCAGACAGGTAAAAGCAGCAAGGAATACGGAGTAACTCAGGACCGAAGACGGAGGGAGAGGGAGTGATTCGATCTCGGATGGCAATCGCTTCGTCAGCCGCTATGACGTTGAGGCCTGAGGGTCGGTTCCTGTCTTGGCTAGAAAGCAAACAAGAGCTGCGCAGTTGAACAACGAGATTGATGTACCTTTGAATTGAAGCAGTTAACACTCCAGTGCAAGGTCAGATTCAGCTAACATTGATTAATTGGCTGTGTGATGGAATTGGAGAATAGGCAGTCTAAACTGCTAAACTGCGTGGCCATCAATCAGCCTGGAGCCACCTCATGGGGGCAAAAGTGAGAGCTTTCCGATTTTGGACTAGCTCAGCCCCATTTCTGGGTTTCCTACCATATCGGGATTAGCGTTATCTGCGTCGGCAGTTCATCAGACATGTGATAATGAGGCTGCCACCGGCACTGTGCACTTCAACTATTGCATTGACTTAACTATGTCGGGAAGCGGTGGCTGGCAGTGGGTGTAGGGTCTCTTAGCTATTTAGCCATCTTCTCAGGAGTACTGTAGGTGGTCATGATCCTTTTCATCACTAAAACATATACTCCCCTACTACTAAACAGGCATACAGAAAAACTACATACTTACAGGCCTCGTATATCAAACTTCAGTCAAAGATAGGAGAATACCTACGCACGAAACATTAGGCACCGCGCTATCCCAACCATAAAATGTTTCTTTTCCACAAGCCGATTATCCTTTACCTATCACTCTATATAGCTCTTATCTATAACATCCTTTATATAATCTTCGCCGTATATCCTATTATCTTCCAGCAACTCCATAGCTGGAGGGAAGATTTCGGTGGCCTCAACTTCTAGGAAATCTTACTGTTGGCATCCTCATCCAACTATCATCTACACATTTTCTCTCTATTTTACATACAAAAGAAAAAAAAAAGGCTCTCACATTCTTCCCCGGCACGCCTGCCCCCCGAGAAACATCTTCCAGACACTTTCTTAAACAACATCACCCTCCCTGTTGACTTGTTCTGGTTCTCCCAGGTCAACTAACTCTCAATTCACTGGATAGTGCCCATCGCGGCCGGTGTGTCCTTTGACTTGAGCATGGTTATAGTCTTTGTCCCAATATTTAACTACCTGATCAACATATTTACAATTTTTGCTGCATCGATGCTGGCAGCCAACTCCCTCATACAGCCTATCTTTAGGACTGTGTTCCCCTTGTTCATTAAGTAAATACTCCAAGATTTGTGCTTTTATTAGACTTCTTCGATTCCAGCCTTCCTCACTCTGTTATTCCACCGCGCAGCCGACACCGAGGCTTCTATAGAGCACATACTAAAGAAGGCTGCCGAGGCTCAGTCGCAGGAAGCTGTCAAAGCCTGTAGGGGGCAAGATCATTGTGGAAAAGCTGGGTGCAGCTAAACCACCGACTCAAAAGTGGAGGCTGTACTGGAGAAAGACTATTGCCAATACTGCATGCATCGACGTCTCTATGCCAACTTGTTCAATGTAGAATATTTCACCCCCCTCCTTCCCTTTTCATGTGTATCGTAATGTGACGTGTGTGCAGGTCAGCATATACATGCGTACGGCAAACTGGGAAAGCTGCAGGATGAGAGCGGGCTTCCCGGAGTACGGAGTTGACCTTCACTAATTTGTAGGATCTGCCGTATCTGAAAACCTGCTGGTAAGTATCTTTCTTCCTTCCAGCACTCACACTTCCCAGCCATTAGACACAGAGACTGATCGTTCATATCGTCCAACGGGCAGACCACCGTAGGCTACGCACATTACGCCGCTACCGATCGCGCCACAACTTCAAGCATCTTCATGCATTCGAACCAGAGCGTTGGCTTCTTGCGTCTGAGAAGATCGAATTCGTGCCCGGTTTCAAAGCGGCTTTTCAGCTTTTTTCTGTTGGAGTGAGAACTGCTTGAGAAACGCGTCTGTACACCTTTTCATCCTCACTTCGATCACTAGATGGGGGAAGAAAACGGTTGGCGCCGACCACAGGTTTGCTCATCATCAAACCCGGTTGGTTATCGCTTCTGTCATCTGGCACTTTGATATCGCGCTCGTCGATGAAGAGGATGACTGGATGGATCAGAGAAACTTCAAGATCTGGGAGAAGAAGCCCCTTCTTGCTTGGATTACTCCGATTGCGCGCTGACTACTAGTATCGTTTATCGATATGAGATGAATACGGGTCCTTTAGTACAGGCCAGACATTTATATAGAAGAATGGACACTGGCTTTAGTGATTGATCTTTGTGTTTCATTAGCTTCGTCCTCTTAGAGATTATCTAATTCCCTCTCATACTTGTCTCTGATGTACATTCATCAGTCGACGATGTTCGGAAGAGGCGGGCTATTGATCATAATCGCGAGATACTTTCAAGTTGCTTCAAAACGCCCTGACCGTCCCAGAACTTGAAGCCCTGGGAGCGAACGATATATATATCGCCCTGAGAGTCCATCTCAACAAAAAGTCGAGAACTATCTTCAAGTTGTTCTATAAAGTCGAACACCGACCCATTGAATGATGTCTTTAACATTTACCATTATACAAGCCACCGATCACCGACAAGGTAACTCCATTGACATTCACATTCACATTGCCTGAACTCAATTGATTATTGCCGTCCCGAGACGGGTGGCGCCCAGGAATGTCAGAACAACGCGATAGCGACGTAGCTACAACATTGCAAGATACTACAATACAAATTGGTCAGGAGAGAGAGTATAAATTCCTTAGTCTTAGGTGAACTCCTTCTATCGAAGATCCTTTCTAATGAAGAGCAGCCACCACAAAGAATCCAGTGATGAGTAAAAAATCTCGGCATTTCTTCCGGGCCAAGAAAAGCATAGCGAAACAAACAGAACAAACCGCTTTGACTCAACCACAGATTTCTCTTCGATTTCTGCCTCTCGTTTATATTTCCTCTCTTCTAGCACCAATCGAGGTCTGTGTTTGGGATCATCTTAGGATCCTTATCATGAGCGGTGCTGCACAGCAGAGTTCCGCTCCGGTCGAGATGGATTTGGGGTCGCCTGCGGCTCGACCTGTCACTGGAAAGGTGCAGGGCTCGGGCGGTCCGGACAATATCGAGCAAGTATTGAGTCACGAAGGCCGGCAGGAACAAGATGCCTCGCAGTCGGAGCTTCAGAGGCTCGATTTGGAAGAGGATGCGCCGGTGGCCCGGAGCAACTGGAAGATCTTTGCGACCATGATTGCTCTTTCGGTATGTTATCTTATTATTTGGCGGCAAATGCGAGCTGCTGTCAATTCATTCCCCGCGGGAAAGAAGACCCCAAACTGATAAGCCCTTACTTACTGATACGCGCATTATCAAGCTGGCTCTTTTCATTTCAGCCCTAGACCAGACCATCGTGGCTACGGCAACCCCCACCATCTCGTCGGAGCTGCACTCTGCGTCGGGATATGTCTGGATCGGAGGTGCCTATCTCCTTGCCAATGCGGCGAGTTCGAATATCTGGGCCAACCTCTCTGATATCTGGGGTCGGAAGCTCGTTTTACTCACCGCCGTGGCTTTGTTCTTTGGCGCCTCCATTATCTGTGCAACTGCTGTCGATATGCCCATGTTGATCGCAGGCCGTGGTCTACAAGGTATTGCTGGCGGTGGGCTCATTCAGCTGATCACCATCACCATTTCTGACTTGTTTAGTGTTCGGTATGGACTGATACATACTTACCCGCGTCACAACAGTAGAATGTGTGCTAACCTCCGAAACAGGCTTCGCAGCCTTTTCATGGGTCTTATCGAGTTCATCTGGGCTATTGCTGGGGCCATGGGCCCTCTTGTCGGTGGTGCTTTCACCCAATCCGTCTCCTGGAGATGGATTTTCTGGATCAATCTTCCAGTCTGCGGAACGGCTTTTGTGCTTCTATTCTTCTTCTTGGACATCCACAACCCGAGAACCCCAGTCCTGGCTGGCATCAAGGCAGTGGATTGGTGGGGAAGCTTCTCCATGCTCGCGCTCATCATCCTGCTTCTTCTTGGGCTCGACTTTGGCGGAGCCACTTTCCCCTGGGACTCTCCCAAGGTGATTTGTCTCATCGTGTTTGGCTCCTTGATGTCGGTCGCTTTCATCTACAGTGAAAAGCGCCTGGCCAAGTATCCGCTTATGCCGCTTGGTGTTTTCCATAACAGATCCAACGTCGCCTGCTTCTTGGTCGCGTTCACCCACGGTTTTGTAAGTCCACCCCGAACGCTGCCACTTTTTCGCAGCCCAACCGCAGACTTGTTAGTTGGATTCTAACACTTACGTGACCAGGCCTTCCTCGGATCAGAGTACTACCTCCCGACCTACTTCCAATCCGCAAAGGAAGCATCTCCCTTCCGGTCAGGGCTCATGATCCTCCCCTTCGTGCTCACCGAAGCCGCTCTGAGCCTATTTGCCGGGCTTTTCATTCACGCCACGGGCCGCTACCTGGAGATCGTTTGGGCGGGAACGACCCTGGTGGTCCTCGGTCTCGGTCTCTTCATCGACCTCGACACATCCGCCTCGCTGGGTAAGATCATCGCCTATCAGATCGTGGCCGGGATGGGATGCGGCCTGCTCTTCTTCCCGCCCCTCCTTGCTCTCCAAAGCAACGTCACACAGCGCGACACCGCGAGCGCGACCGCGACATTCGGGTTCATCCGCAACGTGGCGATGGCTATGTCGGTGGTGCTGGGCGGCGTCGTGTTTCAGAACAGTATGGAGATGCGGCAGGGTGACCTCCGCGCCGCGGGTCTGTCGTCAGCGTTCCTGGATGAGTTCTCCGGGTCGGAGGCGGCGTCCAATGTGGTGGTTATCCCGAGTGTGCAGGATGTGGATCAGCGCCATGCGGTTGCGAACGCCTATGCGTGGAGTCTGCGCAACATGTGGATTCTGTATGCATGTGTGGCGGCTGTTGGTTTTGTGGCTAGCATGTTCATCACCCGGCAGCATCTGAGCAAGGAACATGTGGAGACCAAGACAGGTCTGAAGGAGAAGGAGTCGACCAGCTCTTAGGGGACATCTAAAACGGCTGTACATAAAAGTTGCTTTCATTCTGTGATTGGGAACATAGCCTGCATTTGTATGGGAATTGGGAATAGACATCATCCAGTTCAGTCGCAGCAGCTTAGACGAAATCCAGCCATCAACAATATTTCCTGGTCTAAGCTCTCAGCGTGTGGTGAGAACGACATCGAGCCATCGGAAGCCCAAAAGTAATAGCAGGGCATCTCACCGCGGGTCGCAGCCGGAAGAACTTCGATAGTAGGGGCGCATTAAGTATAAGCTTCGTGCCGGAGACTGCCGACGGCGGCGCTGAGACACGCCCGCAACGCCACACAGCCACAAAATCGCATCCTCCGGAAGCCAGCATGACAACCAGACCTGGGCTCAAACAATCACTCATCGCAAATCACTAGTCCGGGCGTGATCGAGGTTCGCTGTCACAGGAGAAGTCTTGACACCCATTTTCTTTTCTACAGCAGATACAGTCCCTAAATCAAACAGCCGGAGACGTTGGGCATGTGGGCTACACCATAGAAAGCATAGGGAGACTCTCTTGGGGGCTAATATGCCTGGAGACCATTCGGTGATGGCGTGTCACCCTTGTGATTATGGTGAGTCGCACGCCAACTGGCCATTCCGTCTACTCCGTTATGATTCAACGCAGGTGAACGTCTCCTGGATCGAAAGATTAGTGAACAAGCGATGTGTTGTTTCATCCTTGATCCTGACGGCGTTGAGGTACCTGAAACCATAGTTTGCCTGCATTCCTACGTTCACCCGAGAATAGAATCATGATTACTCGACGCTGTTTGTGCTGCCAAGGCACTTGGCTAACTGCTGTAACGTTAGTGATTGTTAGTGATTACAGGACGAGAATGTTATGATGCTCAATGTTGGTGTAAGAATTCTTGGGTCTAACTCGAACACTGCTAGGATTGATCTGTTTGTCACAATATGCTGTTGGATGCCTTGTTGCGTCTGGATTGTGATCGGACACGAAGACGAGTAGTTTGGCCTCGAAGCAACACTCTAATAGTTGGAGAATGTCAGTCAAAGATCTGGTCTCGCAGCGCATAGTAAGGGTCCAAGCCGAGATTCGTTGGCTCACTTCTATCAATCTGCTAGTCCGATCTTAGATTTTTTTACGGCAGGAACAATGAACGGACAAACCGCATTCTCTGGTGAGAGGACCGTGAGACTGATGGCGGCAGTGCAATGGTCCTGAAAGGAAATGAAGGATGGGCCAAGTTGGGGGCGAAGGAGAGAGTCGAAGTTGGCTGCGAGTCAGGAAGTAAGCGTCGCTCGTGGGGGCGGCGAGCAGAGCTTCGTTCCTCCCCCCACTCGCTTCCAACTCACCTTACTTCTCCACGCAATGAGCTTTCTCTTTCAGCCCCCAAGTACTGCCGACTCGAGTTCCATACATCCTGGACGGCAATACCGTAGTCGAGGGGCGACTATGTCTCGACAATATCTCAGGGTCTTGGAAGTGTTGGTTTGTCTGGAATTGTGGGCGAGACATGGCCACACAAGATACAATGGAGCAAGATAAAAGATAAAAGGGCTCCAGGTAACCCAGATCACCCAGATCAGGTCAAACCCAAACGCTCTTTTCCAGCCGCACGCAACCGGCTCAATCATGCTCAGAAAATCTTTGTTGCTGGCCCTGTGGGCCAGCGGAGTTGTCACCGGAGCCCTGGCGGCCGATTCAAATGCCAACTTTGTCGAGTCTTATGACCCTGTTGCGACTGTGGTAGGTGTTTCCTCACCTGGCGGAGTCTCTGAGCACTTCAACTTCCACAGGAACGCTGTCAGACACGGTACGGCCCATATCCTGCAGCGCAGGAAGCACAAGTCTAGCGGCAGCGGCAGCGGCAGTGGTAGTGGCATCTGGGGACATCATATTGGCAAACACACTACCACCAAGGCACAAGAGAAGACGACTACCAAGAAGGAGGAACCTACATCCACGAAGTCGTCGACCACACATACGGCTACCACCCATACTACCACAGAGGAGAAGCATACCACGACCTCCTCTAGCTCGAAGACAACTGTCTCTACTACAACTTCGACTTCATCGACGACTACAGTGGCCTCAACCACTAGCAAAACAGCATCTACTAAGTCCCCTGAGGCCGAGCATTCTAATACTGCGGTCCCTACGAAGCCAACCTCCACAACCACTACCCTAACAGCGCAGCACTCCTCTACTACTACTAAGGGGACAACCTCCGAATCAGTCACCAAATCCGCTGAAGCAGAACACGCATCTACAAGCAAGACTCACACAACGACCAAGTCTGCCACTGGTTCTGCAGAGTTGGACCATGCCTCGTCAACCAAAGCGGAGACAACCTCTAAATCCACCACAATTCCTGTCGAAGCAGTGCACTCTTCCACGACCACTATAGATACTACCTCAAGGTCAGTGACACGCTCAGTAGAGGCAGAGCATGCATCTTCTGCCGCAGGGATACACACGTCTATTCCTAACGTCACGACTACCTCGTATCATGCTGGCCACTCGGTCACAGAAACCAGTACGCATACTATCCATACATCTGGCGCAGAGCACTCGGCAGAGGCCAGCAGCGCACATGCTATCCATACATCTGGGGCAGAGCACTCGATCACTACGAGCAGTGCACATGCTATTCATACCCCTGACGCAGAGCACTCGGCTAGCGCAAGTGTTCATGCGGTAACAGCCACCACTGAGGAGCCTAGCTCTGCTACCTCGACCGAGCCTAATTCCGACGACTCGGGCAGTTCGAACAATAGTGGCTCTTCTTGGTCTGAGTAAGTGCATCCCACCCGAAGTCAATATTGCCGTGCTAACATAGTATTAGCACTGTTGACAGTGTTGGGAACACTATCGATAGCTTCGGGAATGTTATTGACAGCGCTGGTAATATCATCTCATCCGTCCAGAATGGAGGCGATGGGAGTTACAGCGACGATGGTGATTACAGTGATGACTATGACGACTCGACCGGTGATGATTCGACTAGCTATGATGACTCGACTGGTGACGACTCGACTAGCTCTGATGATACCACCTCTGATGATTCCACCAGCTCGAATGATTCGACCACTGACGATTCAACCACATCGGACGATTCGACTGGCGCTGATGACTCGACCACCTCTGACGACACCACCGACGATGGCTCAGACGAATACAACGACGACGAAGCCACCGGCGACGACGAAAGCTACCTATACAGCTCATCCGCCCTGTTTCACGGCAGTTCCACCTCGGCCGCCATCCCCTCGTCCACCCCAGCCACCTGGAGCTCCCGTCCAACTTGGCCTCTTCCTTCCTCAACCTTCGCCATCGTGGCTTCGCCGACTCCAGAGATTACTCCGGAAGCGACAGTATATGTCTAAGCCGCAGCGCATGCAGGACATACACCATAAAATGGTGTATAGTCATCACTCTTTCAAGTTTCTATTCTTTTACCTGTATAAACCTTTCTTTGATTTCCACTTGTGCCGGGTGTCTCTTTTTATTCCCCTGTCACATATCTTCTTTCGCTTCTGTCTCTCGTTCATTCCAATTGTGCTCTGATTTGTTTAATCTACCAGGACAATCAATCCTTACGAAGGCCTAAGTACTTGGCTATGCTATGATCGTCTTCTCTGAGATGATTGATCAGAGTTTCCCAGAATGTTTCGTTTGGCTGCCGTAGCATCCAGACCACAGTAGCTTTCACTTGAAACAGAATATGGCCACATGTATCCAGGAACGGGACGCTAAGGATCAACCTTCGTTGTCTCCTTAAAGTCGGAAAAGATGGATTCAGAATGAGACTGCATTAAGCTCGATAAAGCAAGATAAGACAACGCTAGCATTTCAATAAATGACCGTCAGAACAAAGTCTCACTTTCCGTTACTACGCGCATTTCGCCCTTCATTTGCTTTGATTATGATCTAGTCCAGGAACACCAACCGCCCGTTCTGGTTCGAGATCCTCTCATCCAAGCGAATGAAGCTCCTCTTCCACCCGGCATTGCCATCCCCGAGATCCGCCACCAGCACGCGACCCCCATCCTCCAGATGCACATTACTAGCCGAGGCCGCGAAGTTGCCGTGGCGGGCCCACTTTAACTCGCCCCAGGAGTTGGTCAGCACGTCGTTCAACGGGATCGAGGACCGATGCTGGTGGCCGTTGACATCGCCGCAGTACGCCACGAGCTCGTGATACCCCTCAAGCCGGATGTCGCGAGAGGAGCCGGAGAAATTCCCGCGGTAGGTGCCGCCACCGCAGTGCTTCCCGTGGTGCTTGCGGTGGTGGTGGTCGTCGTCAGACGAGGAGGAAGAAGACGACGAGCTCGAGTGGCGGTTGTGGCGATTGGCGCGGCGCTGCATCTTGCGCTCTTCCTTCTCGCGGCGCTGCTGCTCCTTCATGGCCTCATGCTCGCGGCGCTGCTGCTCCTTCATGGCCTCATGCTGTCGGCGGAGGGCTTCTTTCTCTTCTTCCTCCTTCTTCTTGCGGTGTTTTTTGACGGCGTCTTCGGCGACGGAGCCCGTGAGCGCCCCGCCGATCGCGCCCAGGAAGCCGTGGTTGACCTTGTGGCCTGCGAAGGCGCCCGCTGCACCGCCGGTGACGGCGCCTAGGAAGCCGCGGTCTTGGTCGTCTGTGGCGCCTGGCGGAAGATTGGGGTTGGAGGTGTAGGGTGGGGGTTGTTGGGGTCCTCCCGGTAGCTGGTTGTAGGGGGCGTTGGATTGGTTGTCGGCCGTCGTGGGTGGGTACGGAGAGTATGGGCGGTCGTTGCCGTAGGATTGGTTACCTCCCTCTTGCTGGGGATAAGGGTATGATGGGTTGGGAGGCCCTCCGTGGTGAGGGTATGGGGGTTGCTGCTGCTGCTGCTGTCCGTAGGCCTGCTGCTGGGAGTACCCATCGCCGCCTAGGGAGGGGGAGGGAGAGGGTCCACCAGCAAACGACGGATGAGCAGGCATCGTTTGGTAGGGACTGTGAGTCCGGGTGGGATCCGGTGAGGGAGCATAGTAATTCTGGCTGGGGTTCGAGTTGGGACGGTAGTAATTCTCGTAGTTGGGCTGAGATGGTGGGTAGGGACTGTAGGCGCCAGTGCGAGGAGTGTCCGGGCCTGGTGTCGATGAAGACCAGGGACCAGGAGTGTGTGTTTCCTCCCGCTTGGGCTGCTGAGACCCGCCGAAGTATTCTTGTGCTGACATCAGGGTGGTTTGCTTGGATATGGATTTGAGCTGGTTGGATGGAGGTTCTGTTCTCCTTAAAGGTAGAGAGACCGGAGATGCAGGAGGGAGTTGAAAGTAGAAAGGAGGGGGTGAGAGAGAGAAGTGCGAAGTGTTAGGCTAATATATACCTAAGCACTTGCTTGTACGTACAAAAGTGTGTCGATTTACTGTCAGCCGTGGCTGTGCTGGGCAATCACCAGCTATTTTGCTACCTAATTAACTGCGGAATTGTTTGGTTCCTGCCTGTTCAGGCGCCTGGTAAGCATAAGGCTGAGTTGGAATGAGGGGCACTGCCACCCTGCCACACTTCGGCGGGGAACTTCCTGTGGCTGAGTCGGAGTTTTCACCCGTGTTTGGCTGCAGCAAACCTGCACTCAAGCCATTTCCTATCAATCCATCCAATTTTTGAGTTCCTGGCCAGACATTGTGGATATTTGCTCTCCACTGCAATTTCCGGGCCCAGGGAACCCCTGGATCAGCTCAAACATGCGCCGGGAATTGAGCGGATCTACTCGGATGGCAGGATGCAATTGCTGTGGTGATGCCAGGACTGAGCTATACCCTCATGTCGAGATAAGCTACGATGAGAAAACAGCACTACAGCCTCGTGCTATATCAATGGGATTAGTATTATAGATATTTGAGATTCAAATCACTTCACCAGGTCTGTCAATTGACCGCAAACGATCTCTGCTATCGGCCTATTCCGACGGCGACCCCACTGCTGATAAGAACGGCGACTGCCGATATCAGCTACTCCGCCATACTACTTATACACGATCTCTCTTTCCCATTCCACCACCACCACGAATATCATCATCAGTATTCTCAATCACTATCATAATGCCTCCACCAACTCTCTCATCCCCCACTCCGCACCTCACCCTCACCCCAGAACCCCTCACCCCAGCGGCCTTCTCCCCCTTCGGCACAGCAATCACCTCACAACTCCCCCGCACCACCACGACGCCCCCACCACCCTCAACCCTCCAAGCGCTGCACCCGATCCCCGTCCTCGCGAACCAGAACTCCGCCCTGAAGTTCAGTCCGATCTCCCCCCTCGATGACAACTACGCAGCCTGTCCCAGCGGCCGCGCCTCCGCCGCCCGCATGACCATGTTCTCCTGCTTCCCGCGCACCCTGCGCGCCTCCCCCCGCAGCAGCCACAGAGCCGTCTTCGACGTCCGCATCCTCGAGCGCCACCCCTTCACCACCCAGACCTTCTCCCCGCTCGATCTGTCAAGCCAACAGACTACCGGCGCGCAGAACGTTCCGGAACCCTACTATCTGGTGATTGTGGCGCCCTCGCTAAAGGGCTCGACGGCGCGAGCCACCACCGCCGCAGGGGAGGTCGTCTTCGTCGCGGACCCGCCGGATTTGAGTCGCGTGAAAGCGTTTGTTGCCCGCGGCGGCCAGGCTGTTACGTACGGCCCGGGCACGTGGCATGCGCCTATGGTCGTCGTCGGGGATAGGCGCGTGGACTTTTTGGTCGTGCAGTTTGTCAATGGGGTTGACTCTGAGGATTGTCAGGAGGTTGTGTTTGGGGAGGGTCTTGCGGTTGAGGTGGATCGGCGGGTCGATGGGTGCGGGGATGGGGAGAGTAAGGGCGTGAAGGCGAGGCTTTAGAGGAAGATTTACGCGGGGGTGGGTTGCGGTTATGATGGAATATGTGGGAAAAAGTATTGTACATAGCTATTGAACCGAAATAATCTGGGGGTGGTGGGGTTGTGGATGGGTGGATGCTAGTTAGTGTACATATTATGCCAATGCGCGCGCTTCGCAGCATGGCTTTGGTGAGATGAGTGGCTGCTTTGATGATGTGCATCACGCAGGGGCCATCGTCTGGCTGGATTCATCTGAGCTCGTATTACGCTGTTGTTGACGCACACGTCGGGCTAATTCGATGGTCTCTGAGGGCAGTCCAGCGAGCTGGGCGACCTTCAATGCGTGCGAGTCGCGGTTCACGCCCTTGCGCAGCCGGTGCACGAACGAAAACCCGCCGTTGGCCGTCTCCTTGACGTCGGTGCAATACCGGCCTAGCGACTCAAAGTCCTGGGTCATGTCTGCAAGCGTGTGGAAGTGTGTTGCGAAGAGCGTCCGGCAGCGATTGTGATAGTGCAGATGGTGCAGGCACGCAAAGCTCACTGCGGTGCCGTCCTCCGGGGTCGTGCCTCGACCCACCTCGTCCATGATCACAAAGGACCGCGGCGTCGCCTGCTTCAAGATTGCCGCCGTCTCCAGCATCTCCACCATGAACGTTGACTGGTCTCGGAACAAGTCGTCGGCCGCGCCGATTCGGCTGAAGATCTTGTCGACAATGCCCATCTCCGCATAGTCTGCCGGGACGAAGGATCCCACTTGCGCGAGGATTGTGATCAGAGCGTTCTGGCGGAGAAAAGTGCTTTTGCCTGCCATGTTGGGCCCGGTCACCAGCCAGATGCGGTCCGGGTCGCCGAGGAAGCAGTCGTTGCTGACGAACCGCCGGCCCTGCTCTTCCAGCCCCAGCTTGACCGTGGGATGGCGACCTCCCACGATCTTGTGGCACGCGCCGTCGACCAGGATCGGACGGACCAGCCGCTGTTCCTGGGCCAGGGTCGCGAATGAGCATGCCACATCCAATTCGTCCATGACGGCCGCATTGCGTCGGATCTTGACCAGATTCAGGATGACCTCACGGCGCAAGTCTTCGAAAATCGCCTGTTCTTCCTGTCGGATCTGAAGCTTGATTTGGTCCATCTGCCCGCCCAGCTCGGTCCACGCTGGCAGGTAGAATGACCGGGTGGACTTCGTCATCGAGACATTTCGTGTCACTCCTAGGTCTTCCAAAGACTGCTGAGATATCCTCGCAGCTTTGACATGGCATATGTGACCCAGACCCGGACTCCATTTGAGAGAGAGGGCTGTCGAACCCACAGCGTCGCGAAGGCGCTGGGTGAGGTTGGCTTTCTCATTGTGCAATCGGTCTAATGCCTGATGGAGGTCGTGGAGAGCAAGGCTGGCGTCGCGCCGCATGATCCAGGTATCGGCGGCCGAAGCCTCATCTGTTGTCCCGCTCCCACCCCGTTCGCCGCTCTTTGTCCTCACTTTCTTCGGCAGTGTAGCCATTTCACCCGGTAGGCCTTCACTCAACGTCACTTCCTGTGCCAGCATTGCTGCTTCAGCGGCCGTGTCGTCCTCGATGCGTTGTTTCTGTAGCAGACCCTCTTCATCAATTGCAGCCAAGATCTTCTCAGCCAGGATAGTGGGCCCATTCATATACAGTCGATCGATTAAGTGCTTGAGGCTTTGCGCTGCCGGGGTATCTTTACATTTCCGTCTCTTGCTCATCAGCACCCGCCTGATCTCCTTCGAAGCTTCGATCGAACGGGATAGACATATCAGATCATCTGCGTCTCCCCTTCCGAGAGTGAATTTCTGAACCAGTCTCTGTGCATCATAACTGCGCTTTAGATACTCGATGACATTGGCGTGCAATGCTGAATCTTCAATGAAGATACACACAAGATCCAAACGCTCGTTGATCACAGACAGAGATGTTGAAGGCGAGGCTACATGAGAGTTAGCATACCAACAAAAGCGGAGCACAATCAGTTGAGACCATACTTAGGCGATCGCGGAGCAGACGGGCGCCGCTTTTAGTTGATGTCCTGCGCACCGCATGGAGCAGACTGCCCTTACCGAAGCCATCTCGAGCCGTTTCCAGTATCTCCAAGCCCCTCAAACTGTTGCGATCGATACTCATCGATTCGTCCAGATCCCGACGACGCGGCGGCTGAAGCTTCATATTTAGGCCCTGTAGCTGCACTCGGATATATTCGAGAAGGCTATAGCCAGCAGCCACTTCTTCATGGGTAAAGGATCCTGCAGATTTGGCGGATACCGGAGCTTCCAGTACAGAACCCCATTTGGACATGGGTTCGATCTTCGAGGGAAATTGGAAGAACGTCATTAGCCGTTGGTCGTGTCCGGTCAACAGCTCTAGCTCCTGTCTGACGCCGTCCCCCAGGGCTTGGTCCACCAGGATCTCGCGAGCGCCAATTCGGGCGATCGCCGACGGCAGCATCTGCGCCGTAGTCACTTGAGTGAAGAAGTCGCCTGTGGAGAGGTCTAGCCAGGACAAGCCTACATTCTGAGATGCGAAGGGCAGAACATGTTGCTTCGTTGAATCGTCATCCTGTTCTACCTGCTCTTTCACGGAGGAGACATCTATATAGATTGCCAATAGGAAGTTGTTCTCGGAAGTGTCCATAAATTTCTCATCGATCAAGGTCCCAGGTGTGATGATCCTGGCGACCTTCCGATCGAAGAGGAGGCCCCCCGTGCGAAGCTTGCCCTCGGCATCGTTGGCGAACTCTTCGCTGATCGCCACGTACTTGTTCAAGTCCTGAACAAGGATTTTGAGAAAACGATCTAGTTGGAAGAAGGGGAAGCCGGCCATGTAGACGGGCCCAGCGCTGGTCTTCTTGATGGCCAGTTTGATATTTAACAATGGAGCTAGCTCTTCGGCTTGTTCAAAATACAGCTAAACCAGCATCAGCAAGATATGCGCGAAGAGATTCTAAAGTTCTGGCCAAGTATCTACTTCGTACCTCGTAGAATCCGCCAACCCGTGTCAAGATCACACAGTTCCTAAACTTCTGCATGTTGTTCCGATGCCCCTGCACAACGACAGGGTATTGAGGGCCATCGTTGGCGCCATCATCGTAGGGTTCCAATTTCAACGCCCCCTGAGGTAGATCCTTCAACTTCACAACGGACTTGGATTTAGCATTTCTGTGCGGGACCTTTGAGGTGGGTGTCACCCTGGGAATGCATAGTATCGGCCTCCGCGCATGATGGCAGATGGTGCGGTGTATATGGCAGTGGTGCGGAGGAAAAGCAGTCCGACCAACACTGGAACGGAGCTGCGAGGAGATCAGAAAGGAGATCTGTGCTCCATGAAAGCGCATCGTCTCAACTCCGTTCGCGTCAACTTCTTCTTCGCGTGAAGAGCAGAATTGACCTACGCGTAAAGCTTCAACGAATCGGATATCGAAGCGGCGGCAGAAACCAGGGCGGATGATTGCTGCCTCAGGCTGCCAATCAACACCTTGTCGCAGGTCGCCAAACCTTCCCGCTTCGCCACTCAAATCTGCTGGGACGAGACCTTGCCGAACTTCGCAACGCCAACTCCCTTCACCTCCGCAAGAATCCCCTCCTCAGCAACTCGCAACCTTGCCGCCGACGAGTGTGCTTGTTTGTTGTCGGAGGATGGTCCAGGTTTGTGAAACCTAATTGAAGGACCTTACACTATTATACAGAATCACGCCCCCCGAATTATCAGAGCCGGTCGCAGGTGTTACGCACGCGCCGCCAGCTGAATCTGAGCTCCACCGAGCTCGAGACGACGACTCACCTGCAGTCGCCTCACGATCGTTCTAACATCCTTTCTCTTCTTTTCAACTCGTTTATTCATCATAGTCCATCAACATGGCCGACCAAAATATCTCCCAGTACAAATACTCGGCGATGTCCAACCTGGTTCTCCAGGCGGACCGTCGTTTTATCTCCCGTGTCAACGATGAACCCACCGGTGACCCGGAGTCCCTCGCTGGCCGCATCAGCATCCGAGAAATGGGATCGAGGATGGCGCGTGATGATGCGCCCAAGACCAAGAAGAAGGCCGGTCTGACGGATATCGAGAGAGGCTCCATCCGCGAAGGCGAGGATGTGCTCGCTCGCGAACAGAGAAAGACCCAGCGGGGTCAACCGGCACAGGTACGCGGCCAGGGAATCCTGTCCGCTGCCGATGCCCTCGTCGAGGGCCTGAAGTACCGTCCTCGCACGCCTGCCACTCGAGCTACCTATGACCTCATCCTCACAATGACCGCCAGCCACCTGGGCGACGTCCCCCACGAGGTTGTCCGGAGTGCCGCCGATGCAGTGTTGGAATTGTTGAAGGACGAGGATATGAAGGATTTCGATAAGAAGAAGGAGATTGATGATTTGTTGGGCAGTGCGATGAACCCCAAGGAGTTCAACGAGCTGGTCAACCTGGGCAAGAAAATTACCGACTACGATGCTCAGGATGATGATGAAGAGATGGGCGACGGTATGGCTGGTGAAGCAGAGGGTGAACTGGACGAACGTCAGGGTGTCGCGGTCGTGTTCGATGAAGAGGATGAGGACGATGAACGCATCGGTACCCTCGACGAAGTTCGCGACGATGATGAACTTTCAGAAGACGACGAAGCAGATCAACAGGATGCACCAGGGCTTGACGACGCAACGACTGAGAAGGCAGATCTTGAAGGTTTACAAGAGGCTGAGGAAATGGTCATCGATGGAGGTCTAGACCGTGGGGAGGGACGACGTGATAAGAAGACCACCGTTCTTGCTCGAGAAATCGATGCCTACTGGCTCCAACGCCAAATCGGTAACGCATATCCGGACGCTCACGTACAACATGAGAAGGCAACCCAAGCACTCGAACTCCTCGGAGGTAAAGGAGAGGACGGCGAGGCGCGGCCCCTTCGCGATGTGGAAAACGATCTGATGGATTTATTCGATTACGAGCACCCTGAACTCGTCGCCCTGATGGTCACCAACCGTGATAAGATTGTCTGGGTCACCCGTTGGCGACGAGTTGCTGAAGATGCGGACGCTCGCCATCTGGTCGAGAGCGAAATGGTTGAAGCCGGACACCGCGCGATCTTGGATGAGATCCAGGGCAAGACAGCTCGCGATGAAGGTGCAGGTCGCCCCTCGAAAAAGATCAAGCTAGACTTGATGGATGTCGATGTTCCCAGCGCTCCTCAGCAGCCCGAAGTAAAGCAAGAGGAGGGAGGGCTGGTACGTGGTCTGCAACCGAAGAGATTGATCAACCTGGAGAATCTTGTGTTCCACCAAGGTAACCACCTGATGACGAACCCTAACGTTAGACTGCCCCAAGGCTCTACGAAACGGACGTTCAAGGGATATGAAGAAATTCATGTGCCTCCCCCGCAGGCCAAGAAAGAACCGGGCGAAAAGAACCTTCCTACCACCGAGCTGCCCGAGTGGGCACGCATCGGCTTCGGAAGCTCAAAGGAACTCAACCGAATTCAGTCCAAGTGTTTTCCGACTGCTTTCCACGATGATGGCAACGTGCTTGTCTGTGCCCCAACCGGTTCAGGAAAAACCAACGTTGCCATGCTCACCATCCTGCGCGAGATTGGCAAGAACCGTAACCCGCAGACGGGAGAAATCATGCTGGATGACTTCAAGATCATTTACATCTCTCCCTTGAAAGCTTTGGTACAGGAACAGGTCGGCAACCTTGGTAAGCGCCTGGAGCCTTACGGTATCAAGGTGGCGGAATTGAGTGGTGATCGCCAACTTACGAAGCAGCAAATCGCTGAGACCCAGATCATCGTGACGACTCCTGAGAAATACGATGTTATCACCAGAAAGGCCTCGGAAACGAGCTATACCCGACTCGTTCGTCTGATCGTTATCGATGAGATCCACCTTCTCCACGACGAGCGTGGCCCTGTCATCGAGAGTATTGTTAGCAGAACCATCCGAAAGGTCGAGCAGACTGGCGATCCGGTCAGGATAGTTGGTCTCAGTGCTACACTCCCCAATTATCGGGATGTTGCCAGCTTCTTGCGTGTTGATCCTCTAAAGGGTCTCTTCCATTTCGATGGCTCTTACAGACCCTGTCCCCTCAAACAAGAGTTCATTGGTGTCACAGATAAGAAGGCCATCAAGCAGCTGAAGACCATGAACGATATTTGCTACAACAAAGTTCTCGAACAAGTCGGTCAAAAGAGGAATCAGATGCTGATCTTCGTACACTCTCGAAAGGAGACCGCCAAGACTGCCAAGTACATCAGAGATAAAGCTCTTGAGATGGAAACCATTGGCCAGATTCTGCGCAGTGACGCTGCAAGCAGAGCTATTTTGGCTGAAGAAGCTGAGTCGGTTGACGATGCCTCCCTGAAGGATTTGCTGCCTTACGGATTCGGTATCCACCATGCTGGTCTCAGTCTTGCTGATCGAGACTCGGTCCAGGCGCTTTTCGCCGACGGCAGCATTCAAGTGCTTGTATGTACGGCAACTCTTGCGTGGGGTGTCAACTTGCCTGCCCATACGGTCATCATTAAGGGTACTCAGATCTACTCGCCTGAGAAGGGTAGCTGGGTCGAGCTCAGCCCTCAGGATGTCCTGCAAATGCTGGGTCGTGCTGGACGACCTCAATATGATACTTTCGGTGAGGGTATCATCATCACATCGCAAACTGAGATTCAATATTACCTCTCCCTCATGAACCAGCAGTTGCCAATTGAGAGCCAGCTTGTGAGCAAGCTCGCGGACAATATGAACGCTGAGATTGTTCTCGGAAACATCCGTACCCGTGATGAGGGCGTTGACTGGCTGGGTTACACCTACTTGTTCGTCCGCATGCTTCGCTCGCCTGGTCTGTACAGTGTCGGTGCGGACTATGAGAACGACGATGCTCTGGAGCAGAAGCGGGTTGATCTCGTCCACTCTGCGGCTGTCATCCTCGAAAGAGCAGGACTCGTAAAGTACGACAAGAAGATAGGGCGTCTGCAATCTACGGAACTTGGGCGCATCGCTTCCCACTACTATATCGGCCACAACTCCATGTTGACCTATTCTCAGCACCTGCAACCGAACATTACCACAATCGAATTGTTCCGAATCTTTGCTCTTAGCGATGAATTCAAGTACATCCCAGTCCGCCAAGATGAGAAGCTGGAACTGGCTAAACTGCTTGGCCGCGTGCCTGTTCCTGTCAAAGAAGGAATTGATGAGCCTCACTCCAAGATCAATGTTCTGCTACAAGCTTACATCTCTCGCCTCAAACTTGAGGGACTTGCTCTGATGGCAGATATGGTTTATGTCACTCAGTCTGCCGGTCGTATTCTGCGTGCTATCTTCGAGATTTCCTTGAAGAAGGGATGGTCGTCTGTTGCGAAGACTGCCCTCAACCTGTGCAAGATGGCCGAACGGCGCATGTGGCCAACAATGACACCACTCCGTCAATTCCCGTCTTGCCCCAGGGATATCTTGCAGAAGGCAGAGAGAATCGACGTTCCCTGGGCCAGCTACTTCGATCTTGACCCGCCACGCATGGGCGAACTTTTGGGTATGCCTAAGGCTGGACGCGTTGTTTGTGACCTTGTCTCAAAGTTCCCTCGCTTGGAGGTTCAGGCCCAGGTCCAACCCGTCACTCGCTCCATGCTCAGAGTTGAGTTGACTATCACTCCCAACTTCGTGTGGGACGAGACATTGCATGGATCTGCCCAAGACTTCTGGATCTTGGTGGAGGATTGCGATGGCGAGGAGATCTTGTTTCATGACCAGTTCCTTCTCCGTAAAGATCATGCGCAGTCTGAGATGAACGAGCATCTCGTTGATTTCACTGTTCCGATCTCGGAGCCTATGCCCCCTAACTACTTCATTTCGCTCGTGTCGGACCGCTGGATGCACTCGGAAACCAAGATCGCAGTTTCGTTCCAGAAACTCATCCTTCCTGAACGCTTTCCGCCTCACACTCCTCTCTTGGATATGCAACGAGCTCCAGTCAAGGCGCTGAAGCGCGAAGACTTCCAACAGCTGTATCCTGACTGGCAGTACTTCAATAAGATTCAGACGCAAACTTTCAAGTCGCTCTTCGACACCGATGACAGTGTCTTTGTTGGTGCTCCTACCGGCAGCGGAAAGACCGTTTGTGCGGAGCTTGCGTTGTTGCGTCATTTGTCTCAGCAAGACAGCGGCCGTGCTGTCTACCTTGCTCCATTCCAGGAGCTCGTTGACCAACGGCTGGCGGACTGGGAGAAGAGATTTAGCCAGCTTGTTGGTGGCAAAACCATCGTTAAGCTGACGGGCGAGACCACGGCTGATCTCCGACTTCTGGAACGGGCGGACCTCGTTCTCGCCACACCTGGTCAGTGGGATGTCTTGTCTCGGCAATGGCGGAAGCGCAAGAACGTGCGCACGGTGCAACTCTTCATCGCTGATGAGCTACACATGCTTGGAGGTTATGGTGGATACGTGTATGAGGTGGTGGTTTCACGCATGCATTCTATGGCCCTTGAAACCGAGAATGGCATGCGTATTGTTGGCTTGAGTGTGCCTCTGGCGAACGCTCGTGACATTGGCGAGTGGATTGGCGCCAATAAGCACACGATTTACAACTTCAGTCCTCACGCCCGACCGGTGCCTCTGGAGCTTCACATCCAATCCTTCACCATTCCTCATTTCCCCTCGCTCATGCTCGCAATGGCAAGACCAGCTTACCACTCCATCCTGCAGTTATCTGCTGACAAGCCCGCCATTGTCTTCGTGCCTAGCCGCAAGCAGACCCGTGCTACTGCCATGGATCTCCTGGCTGCTTGTGCCACAGATGATAATGAGGATCGATTCCTCCACGCCGATGTGAACGAGTTGGCTCCTCTTCTCGGTCGCATTCAAGAGCAGACACTGGCTGAGTCACTTACCCACGGCATCGGGTATTACCATGAGGCATTGAGTCCTACCGACAAGCGCATCGTGTCTCACCTCTTTTCCATTGGTGCTATCCAGGTTCTTCTTGCTTCTCGCGATGTCTGCTGGGAGCTCGACCTCACTGCGCATCTGGTGATCGTCATGGGAACTCAATTCTTTGAGGGTCGTGAGCACCGCTACATTGACTACCCTATCAGCGAGATCCTCCAGATGTTCGGCAAGGCCTCTCGCCCGGGCGAGGACAGCATTGGTCGTGGTGTGCTCATGGTTCCTGCCGTCAAGCGCGAATACTACAAGAAGTTCTTGAACGAGGCGTTGCCTGTTGAGAGTCACTTGCAGGCTTATCTGCATGATGCATTTGTCACCGAGATTAGCACGAGAACGATTACCTCCACTCAGGACGCCATTGATTGGATGACACACACTTACTTCTACCGCCGTCTTCTCGCCAACCCGAGTTTCTACGGTCTCACCGATGTCAGTCACGAAGGTCTCAGTACCTTTTTGTCCGAGTTGCTGGAGAACACCTTGAAGGAATTGTCTGATGCTAAGATCGTGGATCTGGATGAGGAAGACGACAGTGTCGCTCCCTTGAACGCTGCCATGATTGCTTCATACTACAACATTTCCTTCATTACCATGCAGACCTTCCTTCTTTCCCTGTCTGCCCGTACCAAGCTCAAGGGCATTCTGGAAATCATCACGTCAGCGACAGAGTTTGAATCCATTCAGATGCGTCGTCACGAAGATCACATTCTTCGTCGCGTGTACGATCGTGCCCCGGTCAAGATGGCCGAAACCGCCTACGACTCGCCCCACTTCAAGGCTTTCGTTCTCTTGCAAGCTCACTTCTCGCGCATGCAGTTGCCTATTGATCTTGCCAAAGATCAGGAAGTCATTGTCAGTAAGGTGCTCAACCTCCTCAGCGCATGTGTGGATGTTCTCTCTTCGGAGGGTCATTTGAACGCGATGAATGCGATGGAAATGTCGCAGATGGTTGTCCAGGCCATGTGGGACCGCGATAGTCCACTGAAGCAGATTCCTCACTTTGGCCCTGAGGCCATCAAGGTGGCCAATGAGTATAAGTATGTATCCGTTGTGAGCCCCAGATTGATCAATGCTAATTCTGCTTGCAGCATCAATGACATCTTTGAGTTCATGGAAGCCATGGACCCATCCGAGAACAAGGACTACGCGACATTGGTCAAGCGTCTTGGTCTGGATAACAAGCAGCTGGCCCAAGCCGCCGCTTTCACGAACGAGAAGTATCCTAACCTGGACCTTGACTTTGAGGTTGAGGACCCTGAAAACGTCACCTCGGGCGAGCCGGCCTATCTCAAGATTAAGATCGAGCGCGAAGTTGAGGAGGATGAAGAGCCTGATACGACAGTCCACGCTCCCTTCTACCCGGGTAAGAAGATGGAGAATTGGTGGCTGGTTGTGGGAGACGAGAAGACAAAGAACTTGCTCGCTATCAAGCGGGTCACCATTGGCCGGAAGCTGGATCTGCGCTTGGAGTACATTGTCCCTACGCCTGGAGAGCATGAGTTGACCTTATACTTGATGAGTGACAGCTATGTGGGCGTGGATCAAGCCCCTACCTTCACGGTCACGGCAGCGGAGGGTATGGATGAGGATGAGAGCGAGGAGGAGGAAGAGGAGTAGACGATCTGTCTGTCTGCATGGACATGTGATGGTTGATCTTGGAATTGATTTGTATGATTGTGTGTAACTATATGTTCTAATGGGGAATTCCATTCTGATGGATAATTTAGACCCATCACACTGCTACCACTTGAGGTACATACCACACCGCATTACCTGTACTGTACGGAGTAGAGCTATCCCTATTTGGCATACCGGGCGGTTGTGCCCAGCCGCCCTGACGCCACCTCCGCTCTTCCTTCCCCTCACGGTCCTCAGCCTCCCCCCACACGCCCTCTCTGTTCCTCTTTCTTCCTTTCTTCCACTTCCTTACATTTTCTTCTTATCAGCTCTTGCTCTTCTGTACTTCAGGGGAATCGAATTCGGTGCGTATCAAGTGTGCAGTCCTTGGACAAGCTAGATTAACCGTATTCTAGCTAGCTAGCTATCTTATCTATCTGTATCTGACCATTGCCGGTCGCGGTGTCATGACCATTCGATCCATGAAGTTCACTCCAGAGTAAGTCAACACTCTGTGCCAATCCGGGAACTTATCTGGCCTTTGTCTGTCAAGACTAAATGCTTTGAAACCTTATACTGACCTGGGCTAGAGTTCTCCTTGGAGCTCCGCGGCGTTCTGGCCCCGTGCCGAATGCCTCAGGCACCCTTGCGGTGTACACCCAGACCACCTATTCGTTCGAATCCCACTCTAAGACCAACGAAATCCGAGTATTGGACATCGAGAGCGGCAGATCGGCTCTCATCACCAATGATGTCGGTGCCAGTTGTCCTCAGTGGCTGGGCGACAGCAACCAGCTGGTTTGGTTGAAGGCCAAGGCGAACGGCAATACCAGCTTCATTATCGGCGATGCACACCAAGCAGACAAGACATACACCGCAGGAACGGTCCCCGGCCCGGTTTCAGACCTGAAGGTCACGGTCGTCGAACCGGGAAAGATTGGCTTTGCTGTTACCGGCAAGGCCAACACGGACGGCACCCTGTACAACCCCCATGACGCAAAGAAGCCCACCACTACCGGCCGCCTTTATACTTCGCTCTTCGTGAGACACTGGGACGCGTATGTTGAACCGCAGAAGAACGCCATCTGGTATGGCTTGCTTCTACAGGCACCCCTCTCTCCGCCCACTCGACAGGCGGGTAAGTACACTGTGTCAGGGCTTACCAACTTGATTCAAGTCTGTGGCTTGACGGGTGTGGAGTCGCCTATTCCTCCATTTGGCGGTACTGGTGACTTTGACATCAGTCCATCTGCCATTGTGTTTGTCGCCAAAGATCCGAACCTGAATCCCGCCACCCACACGTCTTGCTCCTGCTATTACTGCCCGATGTTCTCCTGGACCAGTGTGACTGCAATGGAAACTAAAGTGTGCGCTGTTAAGGGCTTGGAAGGAGCCATGTCCTCCCCGATTCTCACTTCGGATGGCAGTTCGATTGCTCTTCTCACGATGCGTGAGGACGGCTACGAGTCTGATAAGAGACGAATCCTTTATGTGCCTAATCCTTGGAGCGGGGAGATGATTGAGGTCTTTGCAACTGCTGACGGAGAAGGTGCATGGCCTCTGAGTCCGTCGGGATTGACCTTTACGCATGATGATAAGTCGCTTATTATTCAAGTTGAGGAGACCGGACGAGGAGTACTCTATCAGCTGCCATTGGACAATGTTCGCCACGCGAGTCCTGACGTGTTGAAGAAGCTCACACATGCGGGCTTCGTGACGGAAGTGTATCGCGCGGCCGCCGATTCTAGGAAACTGCTCATCGCTAGTAGCAGTCTCGTGGATAACAGTAAGTGGTCTATCATCGATCCTGAATCGCCGAATGAAGTCCGTGTCATATCCTCGATCGGACGCGATGGCGCTTCGTTCGGGCTCAGCCCTACCCAGGTGGATGAGATCTGGTATCGTGGCGCAAATGACACCCCTGTGCATGCCTGGGTGGTGAAGCCGTCCAACTTCAAACCCGGGGAGAAATATCCGCTGGCTTATTTGATCCATGGAGGCCCCCAAAGTGCATGGTGCGAGCAATGGAGCACTCGCTGGAACCCTGCTATCTTTGCTGAACAGGGATATGTTGTCGTCACACCCAATCCTCGCGGTAGCACCAGCTACGGGCAGAAATTCACGGACGAGATTCGTAATGCCTGGGGCTCGCTACCCTACGTCGACCTCGAGAAGGGCTTTGACTATATCGCAGAAAGCCTGGACTATGTGGATACATCCCGAGCGGTGGCTCTGGGCGCCTCGTACGGTGGCTACATGGTCAATTGGATTCAGGGCCATCCTCTAGGTCGACGATTCAAGGCACTGGTGACGCACGATGGAGTTTTCAGCATGACCTCCATGCTTGCCAGTGAAGAGCTTTACTTCCCATTGCGGGATCTCAAGGGTCCTTTGTGGAAGGTGCCCGAGAATTGGGAGCGGTGGGATCCATCTCGTCATACCGCTAACTGGCAGACGCCGCACTTGATCATCCACAACGAGCTCGATTACCGGCTGACCATCGCTGAGGGACTTGCTGCGTTCAATGTGTTGCAGTTGCAGGGAGTAGAAAGCGCGTTCCTGACCTTCCCGGATGAGAACCACTGGGTGCTGAACCCGGAGAACTCGCTCATGTGGCATTATACCGTGTTGAACTGGATCAACAAATACACCGGGCTGCCAACGGCGTCGAGCAAGTACGCTGAGTTCAGCGCGACAAAGGCTCCATCGATGGAGAAGCGATTGGAAACTGTTTCTCTGTGATTCAGTTGAGGATAGGGTACTGGTTCTAGTCACATGATATCTCAGGAAATAATTGTGTTGTGGTCCATTCCATTGTCTGCCTCTTCCACAAAGAACAATGAACCCACTTTGGTATGGGCATTAAGCCGAGGCAGGCCCCTGTAGGTCAGATAATGGTCTCGATGCATAAAGGGATTGGCATGCCTTGTTCACTATGAGACCGGAACACTTAATATAGCCAGTAGTTTTGTTCAGGAGGCCAACAAAAGAACGGTGCTGTGACTGAACAATAGAGAGGATAAAGGTAGTGAGGTGCTGATTGTCTGAAGCATATCGACATGTTGTTTCGGTTTCGAGTTTTAATAGAACCATGCTTGACAGGAAGATGTGCTCAACAAAGGAGGCAGATTGTATAACCCCAGCGCTGTCCTCTCTACATGGAATATCTTGGAGCTGTTCTTCTTCGATCATGATATCCTCCTCTTGTTCGCGCCAGTTTTACATGTGAGAATTGATCCTGAAGCCAAGCCTATACCAGTAGTATCTACTCTTGAAGATATCAAGAAGTCTAAGACAAGACATCGCGCCGACATTCGAAATGTCGCCCCGACAAAACATGCCGCCGTTCACGCCACGGATTGTCATCGTCCCAGCTTCACCCCCGACGACTACCTCACCCACCTATACAACTGACTCGGACGACCTGGAAGACAGCGACCAGTTCTCGCCTATGTCTATTAGTCCTACCAGTCCAACAGCCACATCGATCACCGCCCCCCCGCGCCGCTACCGACGCCTGCTTCCAGCGTCAACAGTGCAGACCCAATCCCAACAACACCCCCATCAAGCAACACAAGCACCAACCACACAAGCAACAACAAAAGAACCAATACCATCATCAACACAACTCCTATCCCCAGCCTTCCCACCACCATCCTTCCAAACCTTCTTCACCTTCCACCCCGCCAACCCAACCCCCGTACCTTTACCCTCAACCTCATTCTGCACAGCAACATCAACAGAATCCCGCCCAAACAAACGCCCCAATCCCAACTCCAACCCCACCGCCACCGCCAAACCCACCAAGAAGAAGAACAACAGAACTACCCCAACACTGGAAGCAATAACCACGCACCTCCGCACAAAGCTCTACCCGCTAGTCAGCAGCACCACAGGCCACGAGCACCCGGCGTTCCCGCGCACACTCCTCGCCTTCCACTGCCTCACGCACGCGCAGCTCGACGCCCTGGCCCGCCACTTCCACCAGGTGTATCCACCCGTCGCGGCCACGGGCTTCTACCCCATTACCGTGCCGCCGTGGGTGGGGACGGATCGCAGTAGTGGGCGTGGGAATGTGGATCTTGAGACGAAGAGGCGGAGGTTTGGAAGGTTTATTGGGTTAAGGGGGTGTGAGAGTCCCATCTCTATCTCTTCTTTTTCTTCTTTCTCTTTTCCTTGGGGAAAAAAGGGGGGGGAGGGGGCTGGGGTTGCGGTTTCGGATGATGATGGCGATGAGCTGGTTGGGGATTGGGGGGAGATGGCGGAGAGGAAGAGGAGGGTTAGGGGGTGGTTGGAGAAGTTGGATTCTGGGGTTGGGGGTGCGGGTGATTCTGAGGGTTTGGAGAGGCCTAAGGATGCTGGGAGCGGTGGGGGGAGGGATAGAGAGCAGCAGGGTACTACCACTACTTCTACCTCCAATATACCCCTTGAGGAGGAGACCGAAGAGCAGATGCTCGCTAGGATGGAACGCGAGTGGTTTGATGCTATGTTGCGCGCTAGATTGGAGTCGGACTTTGCCATGCGCTGGAAGATGGGCGGTGGGTTTTGAATACATCGAATCAGTTGCTGTTGCTGTTGTCAGTGCTTGATGATTATCATTGTTGTCAGAGGTTTATGGTCGTATATAATCATGCCTACCCAATACTCTATCCATTTCAGGGTCGGAATTTATGTAGTACCAGGTGTTGAGACAATTACTGGTTGTGCGTAAAAAGGGGAGGCTCTATCTGCTGCCCCCATCTGCTCATTTGCTTCTTCATCTGCTGTTGGACCAGCAGAAGCATATTGCCACCGCCAGCTGTGGCTGCCTTGAGCTGGACGTAATGCTAAGTCTCATCAAATAAAGTAACTGCTGGAGCTTGGAGCCAATCGAAGTGGGTGACATATTTGACAATGGTAGAGACGAGACAGGAGAGAATTCATTCCCTCACCAAGTGTCATCGACAACGTACACATCGGTGTGGGGGTTATGGAATAGACTGCCTATCACATCCGTTGATTCCCGGCTTATCTCTGCTTCAACATAACGAGATGCAACATCAAATAATGGCTTAACGATACGCAGCTGCCTATTAGAGCTGACATATCACGGTGATTATGCCAGAGATTGTAGACCGTCAACTACCCCCCCTCAAACGGCCCAGGTCCGCTATATCAGCAGTAGCAATAATATTACAAACCAGGATTATAAGAGGGACAAATAGCGCTAGGAGAAGAGTCTTATTAACCTATTTATAAAGACCCGTCGGTCATTTTACTGTATCGCAAAGTATAGCAATACTGGCTTCGGTTTCTTCAGGAGCTATTCGGGCAGTAGTAATATATTACGTACACAGTATTATACCCGAAGGGCTCTCTGTTGGCATTCCTTAGTATATAGAGGTCAAAGTAGAGTATTCCATAGCTTTATTAGCGTATATCAGGAACCGTAAAAAGTTCAGATTCAGTATATAACTACTCAACAGGTCTGGCCAATTCTGAGAAGGGTGTTTAGTCAGAGTATCCACGGATAGATTCCGTATCCTTGCTTCTGTAGGGAGTACTACGAAAGTCATTTAGATACTTAATAGTATCCGGCTCTCACCGCTATCATCTGCTCCAGCTCAGAAGCTAATATACTGGTACGAGACACACGAACGGAGACCGGTTTTTTCAGCGTCGTCGGGCTATACAGACTATCGTACAAGCGGCCGTAGAGACTAGCAATATCGATCCAGTCAGGCAGCCAGTTATATACTAGGGAGGTCATCTTGCGGTCCAAAGTAAGTCGTGGGATGGTGATATCCTGGTCTTTTAATAGGCGATAGCGTGCCAAGCTGTCAAGTCACAGCTTTCTCCAGGGCGTACACAGCCCAGAAAAGATACATCTTTCACTGCACTACGTTTTCTTGTTCCGGTACCATGGAGTAATTGCTATGCAACCCCAGGGTCAGGCACATTAGCAACGCTCGTGAAATAAACGTCCAGGCTGCGGACACTTTTCCCCGGTGCAGACAATGAAGGGACTATATGGTGGAAATCAAATTAACACTGCGGGTCGGAGGACAAATCACTTATTCGGCCGGCTCCTGGGAGGTCGTGGACTGGGATATTTTTGATATTGTGGGCATAGACTATAATCGTCGAGGAGAGACGGCGGAGAAGTACGTCTCCTGTCTTGACCGGTACAGGATTGGAAGAAAGCCTCTCGCGGTTTTGGAGGTTGGCTGCTGCGCCTACGAGGGGGCAGCTGAGCGTGGAGACGGCGGGTTCGTACTCTTGAGAGGCACGAATCCGGACGGCACGGGCACCTTCGAGAACGATATCGTCCCGACGCGGAGCGAGAAAGAGCAGGCCGCTTATATCGGGACGCAGCTTGAGCTTCTTAACAAGGCACGGGTTGATGCGGCCTTGATATACCTGTTTTCGTTCCCTTGCCTGGCCGCAGGGAAAGGGGCCAGGAACCTCGACATGGTGTCTTTCTCGCTGGTAAAGACTTTTCCCTGGAAAGGATCCAAGATCTAAGAATATGCCTCCGTGGGTATCGAAGGAGTCTTTTTATCGCGTCGCTGATGTCTTTCGCTCTATGGAGCAGGCAGAGCAGAGATCCGCGGTGTGCGTCCTTAGGCAAGGGCCTAGAGACTTAGAATTTAGTGTCGCATAGAATCAGAGCCCTTGTGACCTTGAACAGACTGTGAACCGATAGGTAGTTGGCGAGGACGAGACTATTCGCCATGGGAATATGAAAGTCTAGTGATGGCCAAGCGCCATTGCCATAGACGTGACGACGTCCACCCGTCACGTCAAGGTATACACTCATTTCGTAAGGTAACGAGTTCCTACATTCTGTACAGAATGCTGTTATACGATACTATTGCGAGAGACCCAGAACATAGCTCAATATGGAATTATTTCAATGAGGTATCCATCTGGATCCTCCACAAAGGGACAGCTACCACGGCTTCCCACAGAGGCCTGTCAAACCCCTTGTCGGGCGTATTGCAACCCAAAAACGTGGCCATCACCTCTGAACCTTAGGCCACCCCAGCTTGAATTCCGTATTGCAGTGAATCAGGCACAATCATCCGCCGTAGCTGCTCAGAGCGTGCTCAAATCTACCCAATGAGCAAAAAGGGGCAAAGGATGAGCAATAAAACGGAAATAGCAGGCCATCGTCGACCGTCCTGGAAAGTTAAGTACGTACATATGTATATGTCGTGATCATCCTGTCAATTCTAATGGCCCATTCCCTTCTCCTGGTTCTCTACCACGATCCTCCAATACTTCTCCCGGCTGCGTTCGCGGAACGTCTTGCCCCATTTGATCATCCCGAGGAAGACGGCTGCGCAGGCCAGGCCGACGAAGGCGGCCGAGATAAAACAGTTCTGGTAGCCTAGGTTGTCGACCCAGGGTGTGATCCTACGACGGTTAGTCAAGATGCACGGACAAAGGACGAGCACGTACCCGTATCCTATGGCGAACGACATGGTATTCCGGACTAGAATCACTGTAGCCATCGCGTCGCCGCTCAGTTCGCGGTAGCTGTCAACTAGGTAGTTCACACTCAAGGTGATACCACACGTGTTCGCCATGGCAAGGAGACACATTGCTACGATCAGCCCGAACCAATGGACTTGGTGAGCTGCGCCCACGCCCCAGAGCAAAAGCGATCCGGGCACGACGATCAGGCAGATTGCAAATGGCCACAACCGTTGTTCGGCTTCCATGATACCGTTGTTGCGTCGAGCCAATCTGACAGTAAGCCAGTCGCTGAACCGGCCCGTCAAGAGAAAGCTGAGTGGGTTAGTTGAGAAGCGAGACATGTCGAAGGGTACTCACGCGAAGACTACACCGAGGATACAAGCCAGATAGCTCAGACCAACCATTGAGGAACTGCGAAGGTCAGCATCCGATATGGCTGTCTAGGGAGCACATACCTGAAGTTGTACGGAGCACCACCAAGGATGATAGACGCAGTACCATTGAGCACATTAAACCAAATCAGGTACGAGCCGTAAGAGAACCTATAGATGTTAGTGACACTCAAATCCTGGAATACCATCGAACTTACCCAGCGTAGAAGATCACGGGCCAGCTCAGATAGTATATTGTGTGCCATAGCCGTCGGAACATATTATTCCTGGGCAGTCTCGGCCCCAACAGAGACAGTTTCCTGATGTAGCTCTTCTTCTTGTACATGACGCTATACTCCGTATCGGGGTGCTGAACCACACCAGAAGGAGCCTTTTCTTTCTCGTTCTGTTCCGATGTCCTTGTGGAAGACGGCGTTTGTGAATCGGGCAGAGTTCTATGCTCGCGCACGTAGTTGGTCTCTTCCATGAAGAAAAAAAGAAACACAATCGCACAGCCACAGAAGATACTGGGCCAGTAGAACACCCATTGCCAGCCTTGGTATTCCGCGATAAAGCCACAGATCACCGGTGCGAAATAATTACTTCCGGCGAGAAAGAACGCATATAGGGCCATATAGGTTCCTCGTTCATGGGTGAAGTACTGGCTAATGATGAGCTTGGTCGAAGATTTTGATCCAGTCTACTTACCACATCTGTGACAGTGACTTCCGGCAGGGCTTCAATCGGGGCAGTAAAGAAGCCCGATATGATACTTCTTGCGATCCACTGGCCGTTGGTATGGATGTAAGGGCTGATCTATGGTTAGTCGATTTACTATAACAGGTGGGCCCGAGGAGCTTACCCCCACATCGAAGTTCCCTAGCAATCATTAGTGAACTTTTCGTCTTCCATAATTACTTTGACAGCCTTACCAAAATCCCCACTAGGGATAGAATATATGTCAAGCGTTTGCCATATTGCAATGCCAATGGCTGCCAGAAAAGAAGTCCCCAGCCTGCGAACAGAAACATATAACCGGTGCCCTCGTTCAGGGTGGAAACAGAAACTCCCGTCGCGTCCGATAATTCGGTGAGGACCGAATATACAACCGAGCATGCTATTCCCGCGAACAGTGTATACCTATGACGCAATGTCAGTGCCGAACCACCGAGCAGGTGAGCTCTTACATCGACCACTTACACGCTGACGCAGATGGTGGAAAGCAGTTTCCGTCGAGGCGCCCAGTTCAATGGGTCATCGGGATCATCCGAAGGCTCTGGAATGAGGACGATGTCGCTGTCACCCTTGTCCAGGTGGCGGGCCGCGAGAACATGTTGTAGATCCACCAGTGTCACTGTGCCTGGGATGGCATCTCTATCCACATTAGGGGCCATGGTGTCGGTCAACAATTCGCATGAACCGACAGGCCTTTGTCAAGGTTCAGAGGAAGAAGAGAAAAGACAGGCTCTGCTCTTGGTTAAAATGATGGCTGCTTCCTCCCTGCGGGCAGCCGGGGTTATTAAAGGCTGGCTATTCTCGAAGAACCTTCCGACGGTGACCGAATCAGCGTGCAGCGTACATGTCAACCTTCGCAGAGGCCTGGCAGTAGGTATCATTTACCGCGTTCGAGAACCCCCGCTCTCTCTGTGGCACCATGGAACCATTCCGTCTGCTATCAGGCATGCTGTCCAGTGTCCACAGGTGATCAGACACCCGGCCCTGTTATCATAGCTTTGTAGATAAGCCAACCCCGGGAAGCATTCCTCACGCTGAGAACGCCGAGCCTAAGCAAGCATTGCACGGCACGGACGAGAGTCATCGGGACCCTATGAACTGGGGTAACGCTCTGATAATCATGTCCTGATGGATCCACTTGGTTATCAAGGAAGAAGAGCGATAACAAGGGATGTCTTCCCCGCGCGGCTTCGAGGCGGGCCATCGCGATAACCCACCAGTTGCGGCTGTCCAAACGAAGCGGGGATTTTGACCGTCGGCTAAGATGTCCATCTTGCCGGTAGACCTAGGCTGATGCTGTCGCAGCGGAAGGATGATCCTTGAATCAGAGTGGACGATCTTGACTATCCCATTCCAGGCTGTTGTCACTTGTTGTTGTATGCAGCTCGACGGCTGTCAACCAGTGTAGATATCCAAGACTCAGATAAAGATGTATCACCCCTGCACTTTTGGATCCCGCATGGCGATATTGTAAGCGATACCAGTCACACTATTGAGCAGTCGATCGACATCGTGAATGGGGAGAGAGTGGAGGAAGAGAAGAGAAAGCTCTCCCGCCGAGGTTCTCATCACGGGTTTATCTGCGACTCGGGCGAAGTGCAAATACGAGCTTCTATCATCATCGGACTCCTTCCCATAGTCTGGAACTTGTCTCTACGTCAGTCATCCCCACTAGATAAGGATGGAGAATCGATATCAGAGGGGTTTTGCTTCGGAAAGATGGCCATGCAGCACTCTCCACACCTCTTTTGATAACAGGTTCTGTACGTCCGGTACGTCCAAATAACCCCGTCTAAATAGACGCTTCTACGTATCATGCTCAGTGATCCTCGCCCTGGAGGCCGTAGATCTCGATGATTCACTACTAACCTTCCAGTTGTCAGCACCAAAATGCTGGCACGAATATTTTACTAATCGGCTCAGCAGAGATTATGTCCAACATCAAATCATTTGTATAATACACCAGACAATCCAACATGCAGCACAGCTGACGGGAATCGACATTAATGTAGAAGTATGAGAAAGCACTTGCAGGGAACATGCTAAGGCGACAATAGAAATTGATAGAGTCAAAATGTGGCTCAGCTCAAGCCTCCAGCGATCTCATCATCATCTGGGAGATCCCTAATGACATCTTGAATGATCTGAATCAGCTCATCGATGTCTGGTCGATCGGCAGGCTCAACTTGTAGACACTTGCGAACAACTTCTTTCACAGGCTCGCTGATCGCCATGGCGTTGTCACGGTTATTATTGGTGTCAGCGGCTTTGCCTTTGCCTTTGGTCGCACTGGATTTCTCGTCGGGGAAGCGCCAGTCTCCACCTAGTACGCACATACTCAAACTACCACCAGTCTCTTCGCTGCGAGCTTCAAAAGGACTCTTGCCCACCAGACAGGCGTACAATGTGCATCCAAGGGACCAGATATCCACTTTAGTATCGATGATGGATCCCGTCTTAACGTCGAACAACTCGGGCGCCCGGTATGGCATCGTGCTGTGCTCTGCTGCAGTGTCCTGAACCGCCAGGGCGAGTGAGCGCGAAGTGATTGCGATTGGACTGGGTGCTAGCGACCCAAGGTCCATCAAAATGGGCGTGCGACCATCGTCAGCGATCATAATGTTCCCTGCTCAAGTTAGCCCAAAGACGTTCTCGTTGAGTTTCCGACCACCATACCAGGCTTGATGTCTCTGTGAGCGTACGGACGGAGGTCTCCATCCTGCACTCCTTCCTGGCTCCTGGTTACTTCATCGTCCATCAATGGCTCATTTTCCTCATCATCGTCATCCGCGTTCTGGCTTGCTCGTCGCTTAGATTTCGCCTTGCGAAGAGCAGTGTCTGCGTCTTCCTCGGCGCCTTCCCTCCTGACAGCCTTGGCTTTACGGGTCGGCCCCGATCCGCTCTTGACACGGTACTGGTGCATGGCGCGCAATGCCTGTGCTACCCCCAATACCAACACCATCAGCCTTTTCTCCGGGAAGCGGGAGTGATTGACGAGATTGGCGTTGATCGCATCTTGGAGGTTTCCGCGTTGGTAGTAGGGCAAAAGGATGTAGACGGTCTTGGAGCCGGGCTCACCGCCGTCGGAGCGAAATTTGGAGCCGGGTTCGGTCGAGACGCAGTGGTCAATGGAATGAATAATGTTGTTGTGTGCTGTGAACAGATTGTAGGCTTCCACCTCCTTCAGGGCCTGAGAGACCGACTCCTGTCCGAATGGGCATCGAATCTTCTTAAGCGCAAACAACTCGGAGGTCGCTTTGTCCTGAACGAGGTAGACATAGGAGAAACCGCCCTGCAAAGAAGGGGCGAACGATCAGCATGGAGGGTTTCTTGGAGACAACAGCATTGAAATAGTAGTCAAATGCGGACCACATACTTCACCCAGCAGGCGGAGCAACTTGAAGCTGCGATTATTGATCTTCAGTTGCGGCGTGCTTGGAAAACAGCACATACAATCGGTGAAACTGTACAGAAGGTCGAAGAAGTATTGCGCCATGGCGAAAGGGAGCGGCGCTACGATCTGAGGGCGGAAGTAGGGGAGGTGCAATGAAGCTCTTGATAGCGCAATGATGGATCACAAGAATAGAACGGCTGTGGTGACCCCGTGGCGACTACGGAGTTGCTAGTTCGAGAAAGGATACGTACTATCGTCCACTTCTGACGGGCTGGGCTCCACCCACGAGTTGGCGGCGCAAAAGCGGACAGCAGAACGGTAAGGGAGCGAAAGACACAGATCGGAACTGCAAGGGAAAGTGTGGAGGAGGCGGGAATGAGGGTAATCCAAGGGCGTAGCAGGGTTGATTAAAAGGTGCTGGTAAGCCACCTGGAAAGAAGGAGATATTTGTCACCTGGTGGTGGTGGATATGAGGAGGAAGCAGTAGGTAAGGAAGACGAATGGATAGTAAGAACTAATTAAGGCGTGGAGCGGAACGATGAGGAGAAGCACAGAATGAGGAATGAAAGTCCTGACTTCTCAGGCAGAAACATGAACGTGCATTGCTCCAGCCACTAGACTTCTTCGGGCAGCGAGCGTCACTATCCATGATTTATTATTGTATGTTTCGAAGGTGTAAGTACGTGACGGGACGCTACGGCGGTGGGGCAAATCGTCCATGGTTCGTGTGTTTATTACTGGTTTGGGATGGGTTCGGATCGAATCGAAAGGCTGAAGGCTGATTGAAGGCTTTCTTTCAACCAGCCTTCAATCCAGCTGCAGAGCTTCCTGAGCTTATCCCCGATTCGACGTTCGTCACTCGGTTCCCATATCTACCCATTGTCGTGTCTTTGGCTGCGATCTTGTCGACCAGATTCATATATCTCAGTCTCTCAATCTGATTTGTCGTTCTTCTGCGCCTGTTGCCTGCGCCCCTGTCCTTCGCTGCCCAACTGGAGGATCCGGAGACCCTACCTGAAAGGCTTAGAGACAGAGAGAAGAAGGATAGGGATAGTTCAAATAACTATCCCTCCGAGCCTCCTACTAGCTGCGCATCCATCCTGACACCAACTATGTCGACTGACCTATGATCAGTCACTTGTTTGCTGCACTGCTTTCAGCCACCCCACACCTTACCCATCACTAGGCCATCCCTTTCTTTACCTGTCGCCGTCCCTTGAAACCTACTGTGCATCCCTGCCCCTGTCTGTGGCAGTATATCTCGACTCTCGGTCTCCTTTTCCTTCCGCGCGCGCCGAATTTCTGACTCGACTCGACCCGACCACCTTCAGTCACTATGGCACCCTTCGACGATGTCCAGGTGGGCGACCTGGTCAATGTCCCTGGGGGCATGTACGGGACGGTCAAATACTTGGGCACTGTGGCGGGTAAGCCAGGCAAATTCGCTGGCATCGAGCTCGCAACGGAGCATGCCAGGAGGGGGAAGAACAATGGGGACGTTGAAGGCAAGCGTTACTTCTCCACGACCATTCCCGGCTCGGGTATCTTTGTACCGATGAACAACAACAAATATGTCACCAAACGTGCTTCCGGTCCAGGCTCGAACATCAATGCCGGCCCTCCTACTCCCTCGCGACCCGTCAATTTCAGCAAATCTATCGGCCCCGGTACCTCGGTACGCGCCCCCCGAGTACGGCGTCCGTCCCTCTCCCGGCCCGAATCGCCCAGAGGCCCGCCTCCTTCCAAGCTGAACCTGGCGGGGTTGCGAACCCCGTCCGTGGCTTCGAGAAATGTATCGACGAATGGCTTCCCGCGAAGTCCAGTCAAGGCCCCGTCCCGCGCCTCTGACCGTCCTCCGTCGCGTTTGAGCACCGAAGATGACATTCCATCGACCCGAACCTCCGACTACCACCAGTCTTCCGTAGCAGCGGAACTACAAGAAGTGCGGGACCAAGTTCAGAACCTTGAGAGGCAGCTGCTGGACCGTGACCGTCAGTTGGACGAGCAAGCAGCGACCCTGTCAGACTTTCAGCGGACCCTGGAGGAGCTGGAGGGATCCGACTCCCTGTCGATCCGCGCCCAACTGCGCGAGAAAAATGAGAAGATTGCACAACTGACTGCGGAATTTGATCTGCACCGAGCAGATTTCAGAAGCACGTTGGATACTTTAGAAGTGGCCGCCTCGGAAACGGAGCGGGTCTATGAGCAACGCCTGGATGAGTTGATGCAACAGAACAAGGAGCTAGAAGAGCGCGGGGAAGATGTCGAGGCTGTGGCGAGACAACTCAAACAGCTAGAGGAACTCGTCTCCGAGCTTGAGGAGGGCCTTGAAGACGCACGCCGCGGAGAAGCTGAAGCTAGAGCCGAGGTGGAGTTTCTGCGCGGGGAGGTTGAGCGGACGAAGCTGGAACTCCAAAAGGAACGTGACTCGAAGGAGCTTCCGGCCGGACCAGACGGACAATATCACCTGAGGGAACTAGAGCAAAAGGACGACGAAATTCGTGGCCTCAAGGCTATCATTCATTCGCTCAGCCGTGGTGACCCCGATTTGCACGCAATCCAACAGAATGGTATCGGAACAAGCCCGCATCCCGATCATCCGTCCGATCATCAGTCAGAACATGTGACTCATCTTGAGCAGCAAGTGGAAGACTTCGAACGCATGTCGGAGCGGAAGACCTACCGCATTGAAGAGCTCGAACGCGAACTTCAGCAACTGCAGATTAACGGTGGCGGTCGCACGCGTAGCTCCACCGTGACTACAGCACCAAACCACCAAAAGTCAACGAGCACTAACGGGGCCAACCTCACCAATGGCAACGTGATTAATCATGCGCACCGCCTATCTGATCGCACGGTGGTTCCAACCGACTGGCAAGATTCGGCTCAGCATGAAGGGCAGTATCAGGCTTATTCTGTAAGTCACCGCGCTATGTCGGATGCCTCCCACCATCGTCTTGAGACGATGCACGAGATGGACGCTCGCTCGGAGGACGGCGGCTCCCTCTGGTGTGAGATCTGTGAGACGGGCGGTCATGACATCTTGAGCTGCACAAACATGTTTGGTGCCGAAAACAAGGATAAGACTCCTGAGCCTGAGGAGCCACTTCACGATGACAGCTCTGTCGGCGAGAAACCTACCTCCGAGACTTCTACGGCGGAGCCCTCTACATCTTCAACTCCTGAGGAGAGCACAACTCCGCAAAAGACCGGGCGTGATGCTGTGCTGGAAGGGCTTCGGGGAGTAGGCTTGACGTCGTCCATGGCCCCTGTTGCAGGAAAAGCAAGCGGTGTGATCGATGAGTCGAAGTGGTGTGCTCTCTGTGAGAGAGATGGCCACGAGAGTATTGACTGTCCGTTTGACGATTGAATCAATGGCAGACCCGAGCGACCTGATCCGAGACACAATGCAGCTGACGAGTCAATAAAAGGTCCTATGATTGCATTTAGTCTTGCCCGCCCATGGTATGCTCCATGAAAGGCAATAATGCAGGAGACTATTGCCGTTGTCTAAAGGCTTGTTGCTACCATAAGCAGGTCTTATTCAGATACAACATACGTTGGTAATTCTGCCAAACCGCCGGTTCTATCTCGCCCTGTTCTCTTGGCACATTACATGGGGGCAATCCGGTCTTTCTTCATAAATTATACATTTCTGGTTGCATGAGCAAAGATAGCATGCATACGAAGTTTGCCCTGGGGCTGTGCCGCTGTGATAAACTCACATGTTACTAGTCAGCCTTGGTCAAGTGTGTTAAGATCGATTTACTTTCTTTGTCTCGTGTGCCCTGTTCTTCGTCCTGGTGTTGGCTGGGTCCAGAGGAAGACAGCTACTTTTGTGTACTCTTTCGCTCCAACTTCTCTTCTCTTTCATATTCCCCTGGGTCACTGCCATCATTCAGACATTCAATACCTGACTTTAGCCTGCGGGCAACCTAATCAATACCCGAAGCGGGCCAAATGCACTACTCATCACACCTCCAATTCCCGAACTGTAGATTTCTTCCTAGATACGGGAGAGGCTCCCTGGCGCATTGTTCGTAATCGCCAACGTCACACTTTTAGCTGGGAGTTTTCCAACGAATATTATAGTACAGTACATCACCATGGCACCAAACTGGGTATCGTTTCCACTTTATCCGACCGAGACTCACTCTGGGTGTCGAGGAGGCTGTACGATCTCACCCTCAGCAAACTTGGTCTGCGCAATAGTCCCACATGCTTTGCAGGTCCGTTTCTCCTCATCCGCAGCGAACTCGTTAACGACGTCCTTCACCTGGGTTCCAAGATCCGTGCAGATGAATTTCTTCTCCCAAACAATCTCACTGCAAGCCTTACAGTACCAGCGCATGCTGTCCACCGCGTCCTTGGCCCGGGGTTGTTCCATCACCACCCCCACCGTGTCCTGAAACCGCACCGGACAATGGGGAGTGTTCGCCGGCAGCAGAAAGATGGAACCTTCGTGGATCGGAATATCCTGGAACACAGGCGGTGTTACCGAGGTGTCCACCGTCTTCAGCAGCATGGATCCTCGGTACTGGTAGAAGAATTCCGGGGTGGTATTGATGTGGTAGTCCGTGCGGGCGTTGGGCCCTCCCACGATCATTACCGTATATCCGGCGGTGGCGGGTGATGACGGATGATACACGCAGTAGTTATTTACTGGGGGCTGGAGGAGGTGCGCGTTGGCTTCTAGCCTGCATGTACACCGACAGGTCAGTTGTTGTGCGAAAGCGGAATGAGTCAAAATGGTGAGGAGGGGCTTTCGGGGTTGATAAGCAACAAACTATGCGGGGCTAGGAGGGGTATATGAGACAGACTGGGAAGCACAGTGGAGGGCTTCAATACCATTTGGGGATATTTAAGGCCGGCGGCAGCATTGTTTGCCTGTAATATGCCTTAACAATGATTTCCGAGCAGTCGACACTGAATGATGTGCTTTGTTTGAGCCAAAGATGGGCGGCGGGTTGGGAGATCTATGTGATCATCCGACGGAGGGTCTTCCTGGTTACGCTAGTTAGTCTAAATGTTATCGGCGCGGAGATAATCACCGCCAAACCCCGTTGCGCCGGATCGGATCATCTGTCTTTCCGGCAGATTTTCTCGATTCCCTTTTTCGGACCCAGGCAAAAGAAAGATTCGCAGGGCCGAAATTCTGATTGCTCGAGGCTCTTTGCTATCACCACGGCGTTTCTCGAGGCAAATAATCCTTCATACCGGACACAATGGCGTCGACTTCTCAGCCTCCGCTTCGGTTCACCTCCCACAAAAATTTCGTCTATCGTCTCGTCTTTTCTACGTTGACCGGCCGCACCGTCCATATCTCTCAGATCCGTCCTTCGTCCCCGACGAACCCAGGTCTCGCTCCGCATGAAATCTCTTTCCTTCGCCTTCTCGACGCTGTCACCAATGGCTCCCAGATGGAAATCTCCTACACGGGTACTATTGTCGTGTACAAACCGGGTCTTATTACTGGCAGCGCTACGGGCACCGGCGCCAGTGGAGGTGTGATTCGCCATGAGCTCCCCGCAGGATGCACTCGCGGAGTCAGCTATTTCCTCATTCCTCTGTGTCTTCTGGCACCCTTCTCCAAGTCTCCGATTAAGGTGACTTTCACTGGTCCGGGAGTGATTACCTCGTCCACCCCGACGGGCGATATGTCTGTCGACAGTGTGCGTACTGCTATTCTCCCTCTCTTCAACCAATTCGGCATCTTCAACAACATCGAGCTGCGCATCCTCAAGCGATCCAACCCTGGGCCGAATGGCAGAGGAGGTGGCGGTGAAGTCCAGTTTGTGTTCGGTCACCAATTGCGACTACCGAAAACTCTTCACCTGATGAACCCGGGTCGAATCAAGAGGGTTCGCGGTGTGGCTTATTCGGTGGGTGTTTCTGGATCCAATAACGCGAGAATGATCGAGTCCGCCCGTGGCATCCTCAACCCTCTTGTACCCGATACCTACGTTTTCTCTGATGTGTCGTCGGCGCCGTTCGTGCCTGCTCCGGAGAAGACCAACCCGTCAGGAAAGAAGAAGATTGGCCTTGGCTTTGGTCTGTCCCTGGTCGCTGAGTCGTCTACTGGGTGCCTGTTCTCCGCCGATGTGGCATCGCCTCCCTCCGGTGGTGAAGCGCCGGAGGACATTGGGAAGCGATGTGCCTACCAATTACTTGAAACCGTCTCCAAGGGTGGCTGCGTTGCCCCTGCAGGAGTGCCGATTATGCTTGGTTTGATGACCATGGGGTCGGAGGATGTGGGCCGTATCCAAGTTGGCCGCGAGGTGATGGCTGCCGAAAGCACCATTCAACTGGCCAGGGACCTGGCCACATTCGGTGCCCCGGGCTGGGGTCTTCGCGATGCTAGTGGTGAAAACGAGAATGGAGATGTGGTCATCAGTGTCGTTGGACGCGGCATCGGCAATGTTGGGCGCAAGGTCGCTTGAGCGTGAAACATCGTCACAGCTTCGCCTCACTCCCTGGGGTCGGCTGGTTCGAGTATTATCGATTAATCCGATCGAATAATATGTTTCCTGTCTGCGGCGGCTCTATCGGCAACGTCGCAGCTTTGTTTCAGGGCCTTGCCACCTAGCAGGCTTCATTTACGACAGCGGTGTATAGCGATCACACCAGGGGAAGAAGCGGAGTTTCACATCAGCCGAGGAAGGAAAAAGACCACGTCAATGCTTCATTCTCAAGATGTGCCTTTGCTCATTGTCGCCAAGTTTCACCGCTAGCTTGGCTCTGTGCCACGTGGCTGAGACCACACCGGACAGATGGCCGTTGATCGCACACCGCAGCCCGCAATATGGCATTCATGCCCCTCAACAGCACCGTTGCAAGGTCTTTTGTTGTTCGACTTTTCTTATGATACCCACTGTTGTTTGGTCTGTGAGGCGTCCACCTCATCGTTAGGGGAGGCCATGTGAGATTTGAAGGGAAGGAACTGGATTGGTTTTCGGAGTCAGGAGTAGGAGAAAATAGGGCTGGTGGACTGCGGCCTGACGAACAGACAGTTCTAGAATTGAGTGCTTGATTGGTGGTTGTCCCATGTATATAGATGCCATGAAGTAAAATATAAGCCCTTGCTGGTTGCGTCTATCGTCGATCTACTTATTTCCTTTCTACTAACTCTCAGCCCTTCACCATGCAACTTCTCTGGCTTTCTCTCTTCGTCACTCCATCGCCTCGACTACGTCGCATTAGGAAATCGCTGAGCAGCAGGCCGGAGAATTTACGACGCATCGGTCCAACAGCGTTGATCAGTTCAGATCGTCTGTCGGTTTATGTATGACCACGGCCTCACGCCATGTCCCGCTTACTCGACCTTTCTTTGTCTCCGGTCAGCCGGCATTGAGCCATTCAACGAATCCGACATGATGGATATGAAGTCCTCTTCGCCAGGCCCGCAGAAACAAGCCAGCTCGACGACGCCTCCCCCGTTCGGCCATCCATGATTACGACACTTCCTTTCCAACCCGACACAGCGAGGCAGAATAAAACCCGAGGCTCTCCCGACTTCCTCTCTTTCTCTTCTCTTGCTACCCCTTCCTGCTTCTCTGTCTTTTGTCTACACCTCCTCGTCCCCTTCCTACTGACTCTTTCCATCCTCCCTTCCCAGGCATCATCCCCTTTCGACGATTTACATTCAACATCTGTCTTATCTGCTTCCATCCATGTTTCGCGTCGCTCGACTTAACTCCTGGCTCAACCCGGGACAGCCCAGTCGATGAATCCTAGTAAGTCTCCTTACCAACCCGTCATGCTAACAGCTGGTGTAGGATTTCTGTGGGATCGAGGCAACTCTCCAGCAAGCGCTCCTCGGAGTCTGGTGGAAGAGTGTCTCCTGGGGGATTTACTAATGTGCTGAAAAGCAGGTTAGTCTATAACACCTCCGTTCTGAGCAAAGCCTAGAATCGTGGGCCGGCCCAGTAAGCGACAGAGCTTGTGAGTATCGCTGACTCGCCATCAAAGAAACATACTGACAGCATCGCAGGCTGGCTAAAAACAAAGACACTACACTAGCCCACTCCGCAGGCACGTTCCCATAAGGGAAATGCTCTGGTAAGTATCCAATCTTGCGATGAGAAGGGGTTTTGCTGATTGTCTTTATAGTGCTGTCCCTCCCTCCCTCCCCTCTTCCCTCCTCCCCTTCTCTCTCGATAACTCCAACCCAGCAACTTCTTCTCTCTCTCCATCATACAATGATTCTCTGGGTATCCTCTTGTCAGAACAGAGTCGTCGACTCCCACGATTCTTTGCCTGGCACCGTGGGCAGGTCCAGTAGGTGACAGAGCTTGTAAGTGCCACTACCTCGCTATAGCTGAACAATCCTAACGCTCCTTCCAGGCTGGCTAAAAACACCTGCCTACATCGCCGACTATACTCTGCAATGACACTGCTACGTGATTCTCACTGTTGAAGTCCGCGCGAGTCATGCTCACCACATGATAGCTCGCTATCGACACAACACAACAACAACTCAGCAACCACCAAAGTAAGCGCCTGTGGTCAGCCCAGTAAGCGACAGAGCCTGTAAGTATCAAGTACCTTGCTCAAGAGGAGACAGGAACAAGACTGACTCTGCCTTTAGGCTGGCTAAAACAAGAATCAGCCACGGTGCGCTGAATCTTATGGTGTTTGCTTCGAGATGATCAGCAAGAGGCTTTTCCTCCTCAAACCTCCTGCCAATGAATCCTAGTCATGGTAGAAGAGGTCGACTGGGAATTGAGACACGATGTATCCGACATCTTGTATTTCCTTTGTCTTGGACTCTACCATTATCCTTTTCTTTTGTCCTGCATCCTGGTCAAGGGTTTTGGAGAGTTTCCCTGGTTTGTACCCGAAGGGGAAATAGCTAATGCACATGAATCTCTCTAAATCCGGTCGTGCATTGTTGTAGCCATACAGTGACTATAGGCATGAGAACGTGCATAAGCAATCAGCCCTTCAGTATTTTTAACCTTTTCTGTCTAAAGTGCCTGAAAGTACCTAGCATGTAGCAAACTTCTACGAAGACGCTGCGACCTCGTTCTTACGGTCTGATTTGAATTCAGATGACGATGTCGGTGTGCTTAGGCTAATGGGTCAGCCGGCTGGCTGGGTTGCAGCAGCTGCCTGATGATGTCGGGACTACTGCACACTGCAGCGCGCAGACCAAGACAATAAGCTCGGCCCCACAGCCACAAATGCCACTGGTGTTTGCTGTACGCTCCACACTAAGCGATTAACACTGCCGGTATGCATGGTCCGCCACACCGCATCCTATTCCTCTTTCACTCAAGGGAATTGACGACTAGACTTCGTGGTAGAAGCGATCACGCGGCGAGTATACTAACTACTGCTTCAACTGTAAAGTACATTTCTTTTCCATTCGGAATAATCGTCTAAAGTGGTGGTTGTGACTGGGAAGATATGTACAAAGTTATTCGTCTATGACATCGTGCTTAATAAGATTTATCCACCGCCGTAGTCGAGGCAGGAAAGACTAGTGCAGAACTCAGAAGCTTACTGGTGCACGGTATACACTGAGAGATTGTGGGATCGGCTTTAAGCTCTTGTATCATTATGTGACAATGTCATTTACAACGCTCAACAAGTCTAATATATGTAGGAACCCGGCTAATCACACAATAACTGAAAATGCACCGAGGAATTTGGAGCAACATCCAACGCCCGAGATGCTCAAGAAGTAAGATAGCTAAATGACTGCTCAAGTAGATGAGACGCAAAAGGGCTTCTATCCAGCGTATGGATCACGTAGATGAGAGGCTCGCCCTTAAAAAGGGAAGCGTGAGAAAGAAAGTGACAAATTCTATGAAATCGAGAAGTGGAGGAAAAATGGTTGTTCACTCGGACACATCTTCGTCCTTGCCGGGAAAGACAATCTCTCGCTTTACGACGGCACGGATATTGCTTACGAACACGAAGAGCCACATGCCTACAATGCAGATGGACATGGCGGACCCGACACCCTTGACGCCGGGACTATCAAAAGATTTGCCCAGGGTGATGGTCGCTAGCGTAAAGCCTGTGTTCGGGAAAACCATGGCCCACCAGTTGAGGTGGAAAGCTGTAGGTGGAAGGCGGATCGTGGCGATGACGGCAATGCTGAAAAACCAGAGGCTGAGGGCCCACAGAAAGGCGCCCGTCGCGATGGCAAGGAGCTGAAGTATATGTGCGTCTTGGAAGGGGTGCTGGTTCTGAAGGACTTCTAAATCCTTAGGGAGACCGTTGGTCATGCCGATTAGGGCAAGCGCTGTGAATGCCGGGGGCCCAACGCAGATGAACATCCCTGGTCTGTGTTCCCGGGACGGAAGGCCTGTCTCCATGAGCCGTCCGATGTAGTGCGCGTACATGAGAAAACTGATGGAAAAGCCAAGGCCTTGGAAGGTAGTGCCTGCCACGATCATAGGAATAGCAGCGCGCGGGGGTTGCTGTTCAGCGATCACCGAGGCGATGGTGCCGCTGAGCATAATAGGGAAAGCGGGGAGGATCCACGAGGGCATCATTGTCTGAAGAGGATAATGATGGGCTGTGAAAACGAAGGAATATTGGACGACGGCTGTGGTCAGTGTGAAGGCACAATAGAGCCAGAAGAGGACCTCGAGGGCATAGATGAATGCAGGCTGTGTAGTGTCGCCGAAGTAGCGGTAGAGACCAGTGATTATAGTTGCGATGGAAAGCCAGAAAGTGGGAAAGAAAAGACCCTCCCGGTCATGCCGGAGCGAGTCAAGAAAGTTGCCGTGGAAGATGAAACGAGTGGCCATGAGGCTGCCCAGCAGCGCAAAGAAAGCCAGGTTGATGATATAGACTGCAAGTCCAATCTCTTTCAATCCGGGGAAGGAGTAGGGTTGGCTGACAAGCAAGAGGGCCAGGCCGCCGGTGCTCATCGTCAAAGTGTACCAGGCCCAGGTGAAATGACGCAAACGGTCCCGAAGAGACACATGGTTAGAGCTAGAGTATTTGGACGTTTTCAGCTCATGATGATATGTTGTCAGGTCCGAGCAGGATGTGCCGGGGGGCGGGTATTGCTCGAGCATACTGTATATTGGGGAGAGAAAGAGGAAGAATGACGACTGTATCAATGGATCTCTAATGGAGATGAAGCAAATTATATCAGTAGAGAACGAGTGACAAGGAGTTATATGGCTGCATTCAGGCCCAAGTGAAGGTCCGCGATGAGACTAACACAGCCAGATCGAATAAGTCAATAAATCCAATGAGTATGGACCACAGAGACAGTATAGAAGCGCAGCAGCACAGATATAGCATCAGCCTGCATCAGCCCCTATCCATTGGGGCTTTGATAGGGCCCCACGACTCTGGGTTTCTGCTAGCGCTCTAGCTACTATCGTTCGAAGATATGGAGCATACAGTGTCGCCAAGTGTCTGATCTTTGGACCACAGAGTACGGCAGAATAGGAGACAGTTGGTCTAGGCGCTGACGATTGCAGATCAACAATGGGGCCATGGTTAAAGCCGCGACGAATTAGGGCAACGAGGATATGTGAACATCTTGCGAGGAGGGAGAAAGTCGACCGCCAAGGTCGAAGTCCTGGTCCACAGTCTAGGCATCATTGAAGGTAGCTGACTGCCGAGGAAAGTGATGGAATCAAGATTTGCCTCATTTTGGGTCTCGGCTTTGGTCAGTCAACCTGAAGACCGCCTAATGCTGTAACAGTGGGTCACAGTTACAGAGACAACGTCAATCGCTAATCTTTCGATCTAATCCCGACACATGAAAGTGGTACGCCGTCTCCGTTCTCGCCTACGGGTGGCGCACGTCACAGCGTGGTGTGATTGTTGCAGCAGAAACACTGACACTGAGTCGGATAATGTGATATGTGATCAGGCAAAGACGAAGCGTTTAGGAGAGAAACCCGTCTATGTCTCGGGTCCGTCCAGAGTCCTAAAATTGAGGCAAACGCGTTGTGAGGAAAAAGCTGTAAGTGATGGAAATGTTCCGACCACGATGGGATGACGCCCAAGTGTTGCGAACCAGCGTCTGCTCATTGAGCGATTTGCATCATTGCCAATCGGGGGGCGCTGATAAGCGTCCCGTATCTGTCCGAAAGCGAGGAATATCGGCAGAGCCAAGGTAAGTCAATGACAATCGTCGTGGCTCGGCCCAGGGACAAGGTTCTTGAGGACCGGCCGGGATGTGATAGATCGCCGCTTGGCAGGTGGGTTCGAGTCAGGGAATCCGACCACCAGCCGTGAGGAGCAGGCAGAAAGAAGGGTTCAACGTGGATAAGATGAATGGCGATGATTGCACCCAAAGATAGAGGAAACTTGAGCCAAGGAGAAGATCGACAGCGCATCGTCAACGGGAGGCCCGCCGCCAAGCTTCACAGTGGCTGTGGCGGAAGATTGAGAGAGGGGAACGATAAGAAGAGCCAGGAATAGGGGAGGGGGTTCATCATTGAGTTTATTGGTTTCATGGTCGGATCGCCCGAGATTGTGGGATAAGTGCTGAGGTGCTGAGTGTGTCTGTGGGTGGTGAGTGGAGAACTAAAGTTAGAGAGAGTAGTTGGTTGGAGAGTGAAGAGAGAAAGAGAAGGGGAAGAGCGGAAACTCTTGGAAAGGAGGAGAGGGAAACCTCAGGCTTGGCATTCATCGCCATTCTACGACTTATTCTCTCGCCAAGCATGGCTCAGCTTCTTTTCAATTTGATCGTCTATCGCTTGAAGCGCGTTTCATCCTTCCTGACGCAATCCTTCTCCAAGCAATTCTGCAGCCTGACAATCCAAGCAACAGCACTCACATCTGCAGCAAGTAGCCCCGTCCTGTCGCCCTTTTCTTCACGGAATCGTGGTCTGCAGCGAAGGCGACGAGAAACTGGCAACACGTCTCAGCGGGGAAGGTCAGACGAATGTCCAGCGCATGCAGACTACAGGTCATATCACATAGAATGCTCTGGAATGAATCTCATTCATAAATGGAACAAACGGATATCCATGCTAATCATGCACGGCACACTTCAATCAAATTTCAGTACGCAAGCAGCGGGAACAGAGACTGTCTCTAATTATATCTCACGCCAGCCAGAAAACGGGAGAAAACTCAATTAGGTTCATTCAAATCTTCAGAAAAAAAAGTATATGCGATAATCGTTCGGGCAGATACGGACGCCGGGTTATGCAGCTCATGAAATCTCTTGTGCAATCTCCTGCAATAAAAGGAAATGAACAGTTCATATGCATGGCCAGGAACAGATCGGAAGACAAACACGGAACGAGGCATCAAAAACGTTTACGGATGGGATTGGTCGCAGCGTACTGAACACAAAATCACACCATCATCCGGTATACGAGATCTGAGGCGAGCTCCGTCGTAGTATCGAGCAGTGCCCGCAGACCCTGAGCTGAAGGCTTATGGGATTTGGCTGACGGTGAACCCAGATCGCTATCGACTGGCGGACAGTATGTGGCCAGATCCCGCACTTTGCACGCCGCATAGTGCACAACCAGCTTCCGCAGCTCGTTGTCCCGCAATTGGGTGGCGGAGGTCGGAGTAATCGGCTCCAGACGGGTGGTCTTGGTGTACGTATAGTGCAGCAGGTCAAGGACTTTGAGAGCTTTGATGCTCGTTAGAGCATGATGCTCTTCATCGTCGTCCATTGTCTCAGGGAAGCCCAGATACAGCAAATCTCGGTGCAGTTTGCGGAGACATAGCTGAGCCAGTGCCGGGATCAGGTACCGAGTTGCAAAGACATAGAGCTTGGCATGGAAGACTAAGTACGGCAGCTCATAAGGCGAGCGGGAGGAGATGACGCTTGGAGGCCTGGTGCTGAGACAGGAGCGCGGATCAATGTAGTCAATGGCGGCGAACTCGTCCCATAAGCTGGTCCCCTTTTCATGTAGACGAGAGTACTGCTGCTTGGCGAAGGAGGTGTCAATCATCGGCCCAGTCAGTCTCCTGCCACCCCGGTCGTGTTCCAGGTGCTTCTCTTCCTTCGGTGCTTGCGATGTGCTTTTCGCACCACCGCTGTCTGCGTCGTTGGTTTCAGCTTCTGCTGGGGGAGCGACTGTCGTTTGCTCCCAACTCTCCGTGTGCGAAGCTGGCTCCGCAGCACTTGGTGCCTCCACTGGGGCGGACTCTTGACCCCAGTGTTCCGACACTGCCCTGGTTTCCGCAGTTGCGTTGGCGACGTCCTCCTCGGGCTTTGGGTTCTCAGGGGGTGGGGTGGACGGAGGCGTCAACTTAGAGGACGGCTGCTCTTGGCCAGAAGCACCCTTTTTCTTGTTTTTATTCGTCTTGTTCTTCTTGCCCTGCTTTCCCTTGATTGCCTCGTCATCCGCCGCATCCCAGGCATCTTCGTCACCCTTTTCATCAACGGCAAGGGTCGTCGCAGGCTGCTCACTGGGCTTCTCTAACCCTGGTCGCAGTTCTTGTTCGAAATTTGCAGGCTCCTCATCTGGCGCGATTGCGCATTCCCAATCATCATCATCCCTACCAGAACCAGCATACATGCCCTCGCTGGGCCGGTCGTGGGTCTCCCTCGAAGATGTTCTGGGGGGCGTCGGCGCACGCGGTGGTATAGTTCTCACTGGACTCGTCGGAGAGTCTTTGGAAAAGACCCCGCGAAACGGATTACTCACGCGCTGGTTATCGCGATCCTCCTCACGCGACCCTGGGGGAGGTACCCGATAATCCCCAGTGTAGGCATATTCGCAGAAGGCAACAAAAGTCTCGACGTCCTCGTCCTCAAGGACAGCGATGTGATGCTTGGACTCCCGGGTCTCACCACTATTCATAAGATGGTCAAGCGGTTGGGAGACATGACGGGCAAGACCAGCCTGGATGGTAAGCTTGGTGTGATTGGGACCGACCAAGAAGGTGAATGGCGGTGAATGGACGATGCTGTAGCCATCAGTGGCCGTCCTGTCGGGGTTGGCATGAAGTAGTAGATGTGAAGGTAGGAGAAACGACTGCCCGCTGCTAGGGTGAATGGCTTACCTGCTAAAATCTTTATCTGCCTCCATCGACGATGACTCCAATTGTGGACTGATAGTCGTCTGCCCTACTAGCAAAGCACACTTGAGGTAGGATGGGAGAGAAAAGAAAAAGGAGGGGACGGGAATTGGGAGGAAGCCACGCAGTTCAACTAAAATACTGCGGATCCGTCCATGCTACACCCTGATCATGACTCTTTCATATACTCTGCATCGGGGCTCGCCTTGACTTGGTAGCCTGCACACTACCGACTGCAACAGGAACCCCTCTCTTTTCTGGGCAATTTCCTTAGCTCCCCTCCACCGAAAGAAGCTACAAGCGCAAGAGGCAAGTTGAACTGGGTCAAAAGAGCGATAGTCTGGCTACGTGGGCAATCATGACGGGGGGTGGTGAAAGAGAGAGTGGATTGACCGCCAGCGTTTTCGCGACGGTCGTCTTATCGCGCGAGCCACAAGGCAAGAGCGCTGCTAGACGTTTCGGAGGGATCGCCCTGGTCATCCGAGCTCTGATCAGTCTTGCTGTCTTTCTGTCTGCCCTCAACTTTGGTCGAAAGGGGGGTGAGGATCTGTAAGTTTCCTGCATGGACTGCAGAAGGCACAGGGTGGGGGAAATGTGCTCTTTTCATCTGGCCTGTCGTCTTCGAGTTCACTCCTCCGTCGAGGATCAATCAAAAGGTATTGCACCCTTCCTGCATACTCTCACGCGAGACAAGGACTTGAGAAAACCAACCAGAGCATAGTTGGAGGGGCTGGCGAGGGATGATGAGTTGTTGCCCGAAGGATCGTTCAATCCCAGCCTCTCTTTTCGTCTTAGACACCCAACGGCGGTCAACCCACACTGGTCGGGGTTTAGTGGCTGCAGGGGTCCTCATTTCGTCCTCGTTGGTTGTATGCTGAAAAACTATCCTTATGAACTCTAGTTCCAACGTCGAATGGGCTGCCATTCGTATTTGTTCTCCTTCCGTCTGGAAGAATTGTATACTAGAAGGCGGGTTCTCGTGTCGCTGAGATTATCTAAGGTAGTCGTGCTGCTGCCCTAACCCGTGACTCGGGACTGAAATACCAATCGAATCCATCTTGCATGAAAATCAATTCGACACAGAGTAGATGAGAACAACGCTGAGATGTTCAAACCGGGGTTCCATAATATGACCCTGGAGTGACAGCTTCATGACTCACCCGATCATAGTCACATTGACCGCGACAACACTTGTCTGCATCTTCGTCGCAGTCCAATGCACAAGCACAATAAGGAGAGGAGTGATATCATTGATTCCCATCGAGACCGTCTATATCTAATTTATCATAAGCCAAGAAATAACAGTCATATATATAGAAGATAGTATACATAAAGCGATCATTCCCCGAGATCAGTTCAATCAATGCACAAGGCGAATCTCGGTCGTCCCCGGTTCCCACTCCCTCAGGCCCTCTCCAACACTATACCAAAACCGCAACTTGACACACTCCGTGCGCGCCTTCTCGATTTCCCCACTGTCGAACGCCTCCTCCAAAGCCCGCACACACCCGGCGACCCGCTGCTCATTCTCCCGCTTCAACTCCCGGATCGTCTCCTCGGCCGCCTCATCCGCCCCGACTTCTTCAATCGTCTCCTGCACCTCCATCACCTCCATCAGCGTCTGCGGGTCCAGCGCGTGCTTCGTCGCCCCGTCCTCCGCCGTGACGTCGATTCCGTGCATCTCGTGGAGGAGGTACTGCGCGCGCTGCAGCGGGTCCAGCAGCGTGCGGTAGGCCTCGTTGATCCGCGCCGACAGCGCCTCCGCTTGCTGCTTCTGCGGGCCCGACGGGTACTTGTCTGGGTGGATGCGGGACTGCCATTGAAGAAATTCGCGGCGCAGGTCCGCGACCGGGATCGAGAATGGGGAGTGCGGTGGTGGGCCCGCCGGGAGCGTGTTGCGGAAGATCGTGTAGTGGTTCGTGATGTCGGGGGTTTCTGGGGTGGAAGATGATGAGGAGGATGTAGAAGATGAGAGGCAGGAGGTGGTGGTGGTGAGCGAGCGAGTGGTGCTAGTAAGGCTTTCCTTATTGGGTTGTCGTAGTGGCGAAGGTAATGGCGTTGACGAGAGTCGGAGATGGCATCTGGGATATGATGTAGTTGTGCTGAAAGAGCGCGGAGACAGGGTTCGCAAGCTCTTCTGGGGAAGTCCGGCAGGGTACAGCCGTGTGGCTAGGCGCGGTACCGCCATGACTGTGGACAGAGAGACAAAAAGGGTATGTGAAGATGAGTTGAGATGTTGAAGCTTCTGTCTTGGCTGGAATTCTTGATTGATAATAGATGGAGGGTCCGATTTTGCCGAAGGATTGAACGGGCGGTGAGATAGGATCGGAGATTGCGCCTCACCGCCTGCTGTCTTCGATTGCTGCTCAATTGACATCATCACCAGCACTTCTACATTGCATGGTACTGTACATAGCATTGTAATTAAACGTTATGTGGTTGCCTATAGTACACTCAGGCTCATTCAATCCCCCAGAGCTTTACTGTCCGGTCATGGCCACAACTGGCAATCCACTGCGCATCCGCACTGATGTCAGTGCTGAGCACGTTGCCGGAATGTCCACTGAGGCTCTTCACCAATGACCAGTCATCCGCACTGAAGATGTTGACGTTCTTGTCGAAACCACTGCTCACAAAGAACGTTCCCGACTTCCTAGGCTGTATGGGGGCCGGTGACTCGCCATCCATCTCCATGCGACCCTCTGACGAGGGTAGGATGGACGTTGCTTCGGCGCCCTTATACCATCGCAAGTCGGAAACGACGCTCTTATGGGCGCCAATTCCACCGGTGTTGCGCACTTGCCGCAAATCCCAGCATTTGATCCATCCGTCTCCAGACCCGGACAACACCCGGTAGCCGTCCACACCCCAGTCCAGACCATAGATCTCCCGGATGTGGCCCTCCAGGATCATCACAGTCCGGCCTGTTCGTAGATCCCAAATACGTCCGATACTGTCCAGACCTCCGCTCGCCATGAGCGAACCATCGTTGTTGAATGCAACTGCGTACACTTCCCGCGAATGACCTTCCTGCAGTAACAATTCTGTTGTCGTTTCCACATCCCATAGCCGCCAGGTAGTATCGTAGGAGGCGGATGCTACATATCGGCCAGACGGATGGAATTCCGTCCGACAGACACGACCACTGTGGCCGGAGAGCGTCGCCAGCGGCTGCTCCTTGTCCAGTGCCCACAAGCACACGTTGCCCTCGCCACCACCTGAGACCAGGTTCACAGTCGATTCCGATGCGGTAGAAGTCGCACCCGGGAACCAAGACAACCCGCCCACCCGGTCCGTATGTCCCTTGACCGAGAACTTCTCCTCCAGGTTGGGTACTGTCAACAACTTGATACCTCCTCCCCAGTTTCCGGTGGCGATCATCTGCCCATCGGGGGAGAAGCGACAAATGCTGACAGGCCGGTCGCCTGCGATCTGGGAGCCATAGAGGTCGAACTTGTTTAACTTTTCTTTGATCGCTTTGCGGTGTTTGATATGTGTTCGGAGAGGGATAGTCGATTCTTCACGCAGCCGGGCGACACGGGCCTTTGCGCGCGGAAGGGAGAACCGCGCGATCTCTTTCCGCGTTTTGAGAAGCTCCTCGGAGCCCTCTGTATAAAACTCTTCCTGTTGCTCAGCCTCCTCCTCGTCTTCTTCAGCCTCCGTTGTCCCCTCCCGCATCTCCACATCGCCCTCGGCCGCGGCTGCAGCCTGCTGTCGCTCCGCAAGATCGGTCAACAACTCGCGCAAGCGGTCTCTGCGATCCACGGGACCTTCCCCAAAGAGCGTAATCGGTTCGCCTAGTTCTCGAAGCCGTGCGCGCACTCGAGTGTCATCAGTGGGAACCGCCATCGCCGCAGCTCTCCTCTTGCGCTCGAACTGGGACAGGATAGCAGAGGCTCTTTCCGGCGGGATGCCCGCCGCCGCGGAGGGAAGGTCATAATTTCGGTCAACGGCTATGTGCACGAACTCAGACGTCAGTAAGTAGTCATGGGTGATACAATGGTATTCGAGAAGGTTGGTATTAAACATACGCAAATTTGCCAGGTCAATGCCCATGTCCATGTCCTGTCGGAGAGATCGATGTCAGTCAATGCGCAGTAAAGAGATTATAATCATCTTGTATCCTGAGGACAGCCAATATAGCATATATCATTCTAAAAAGTCCAAAGGCTGGAAAGATGAGAGTTCCATACCTGCGCCTCCTCCACGTACGCCTGTCGCGACGGGTGCATCATGATGGGCGACGAGATGAGGGGATCCGCCAAGAAGTGTCCACTCGAGTGGTCGGGGCACGCAAAGGAAGAATTGTGCTTGAACTTGGTGTTTGAAGCTAGCAGTCTTACTTCTACCAGCTTTGAGTGCAGGGTCAAAGTATAATAAATTCGAGCAAGTGAAGAGTGAGGGAGAGACGGAAGTCGGAGAGGGACTGAAATGGCGGCATGTTCGTTTTGCAGAAGGCGGCAAGCAACGCAACCCAGTCAATAATCTCTATCACTGCTCAATTAAGTCGCGCAACAACTTCTCCGATCCTTTAATTTCCACTTGCACTTCATTAGTTGTCCCTTCACATGCATTCAAAGAGTGTATCCTGCATAGATCGACCCCAGAGCCCGCCGTGATATCATCTCTTATGCCTCTCGTCCATATCTACTACTATTCTGCTCTTCCTCCGCCATCAACTACTATACCAGGGTAGAGTTGCGCTCGCGTTGTTGAACAACCGCCCTCAATATATCAGACCTTATTGGGCCATACATCTCTCTTCTGTGATACCGGAGCAGGAGTATCACTGGCCAACAAAATCGATCAGTCTCTCAAACATGCTTCTCATCTCTCTTTGCTCACCATCGTGAGGCGGTCGATGACGAGAGCGGGCGGTCACCGCAACTGCCGGATTTTGGCCCGAAATTTCCATCGGTTCTTCTTCTCTTCCCATTGATCTCTCCCACTTCGACTCTGTCTTTTGTCGAGTCAGCCGGAGTTTGGAAACGACTACCTTTGTCTCCCCCCTCCACTCCTTTTGCGCGCCTCGCCCACGTTTGATCTCTGTTGGTCGTCGCCGACCGCTCGACTTCCTGTAACTGCTGGCCCAGACAGGATAGAAAGTCTCCGGTTACGATCCGGGATCTCTCTGCTGATGATCGCGTTGGCCTCTTCCAGTAGAGCCTGCAGTTCGGCCTGCAGAAGCCTACACATCGTCGCCCGTGAGAGCCTTTTGGGCTCCTTCGCTACGCCAAAGAAATCGTCCGCTTATCGGTTGACCTCCCAATCTTCCTTCTATCTGCCGGCCCCCTCACGATCTCCGTCGTCTGCCGATTATCGCCGAGCTTTCCATACAACTGCGCCGCTTTCCTCACAATCCGCCACACCCCGAATTTCTTACCGCGTCGCTGCTTCATCCTCTGGCAAGGGCCGTCGCTTTCATCCGGCTAAGAACTCGTACGATTTCAATCCCGAACTTCACGAAGCTATCGGCGTTGCAACAGACACTCAAGATCCTGCACTTCGGAGGAAAAGAAGACCCGACAGCGGAGAGGATGCGTTTTTCGTCAGCAAGGTCGGCCATGGAGACTCCGGAGCCATAGCGTTCGCTGTAGCTGACGGAGTCGGTGGCTGGGCAGAGTCCCGCGTCGATCCGGCCGATTTTTCCCACGCACTTTGTGGTTACATGGCGCAATCGGCCCTTGCTTGGGACTCACCAGCGGAGCAATTGCGCTCGAAACATCTTCTTCAAGTCGGATACGATCAGGTGGTTGCAGACAAGTCGGTGCCGGCTGGTGGCAGCACTGCATCCGTCGGCGTTGGATTGGAAGATGGACGGGTTGAGTTGGCGAACCTGGGCGATTCCGGCTCGGTCCTTCTTCGACTCGCAGCTGTGCACCACTACTCGGTGCCGCAAACCCACGGGTTTAATACGCCCTACCAACTCAGCATCATTCCTCCGCGGATGCGCGCCCAGGCGTCAATTTTTGGCGGTGGTTTCCTAGAAGACTTCCCCCGCGACGCGGCCGTCACCAATCTCCAGATGCAGCACGGAGACATTCTCGTGTTAGCCACCGACGGCGTGTTCGACAACCTCAACAACCAAGATATCCTCAAACTGGTTTCCAGCCGCATGGTGCTTACGGGTGCCTGGACTTCCACACCCGAGGCCGGAATCCTGCCCTCAGCGGATCTGCAGCAGCTCACCGGTCCTGATGGCCTGGCGCCACTTCTTCCCGCATCATCTCCATCCTCCTCTTCCTCCTCCTCGGATACCGCATCCTCGTCCAGTAAATCCACCACCTCCTCGAAAACCCGCGACCAAGTCTACACCCTTCAATCCTTGCTAGCAGCCACCATCGCCGGCGAAGCCAAGCTCGCCAGCATGGACGTGCGTCGCGACGGGCCCTTCGCCAAAGAAGCCCAACGTTATTACCCCGGGGATTGGTACCGCGGCGGCAAGGTCGACGACATCTCCGTCGTGGTCGTCGTCGCCGTGGAAGAGGGATACACCGGCCCTTCTTCTTCTGCTTCACCAGCCAACTAGTACCTTCACCTCCACCTACTACTTCCAACCCCGTTCTTATGATGGATTCACCCACCCCGCCGACGTTCGGTTGTCTGCACCACATAAACACATTCTATATATACGGATAGAAAACAGTTACCCAGCCCTAATAATCTTCTCGCTTCGCCTTGCATTATTGGTTTGGGTTATTTGGGTTATTTTGGGCCCCGCGTGCGCGCCGGGATACATACCTACATACCTATCTACCTACTTACCTACTTACCTACGGAGTATACACTTCCTCTTTGTCCATCACTATTCCCGTGGTATTCTGTGTTCATATAAAACTTTCATATCTATACCCCACCAACGCGCATCGACCCCTTCTTCGTCCCACATGACCAAAGATACAGTGGTCGAGGTCGCATCTTTCCATTGTTCATTTTTTCTTATCTCTTGGGTCGGACCTACTTTCCGGAGAATCTTGTATATCGCCTATGGATATAACGACGGGTCGAAGGAAGGAAGGACAGGTGGAATTCCCTCTCGTCCTTTCCCAAACGAGATTTCCAATGGAACAAACTAGAGGCATCATCTCCCCTGCTCAGTGTATCATCATTGCACACTTAACAACTTTCCCATAAGAAAATCAAATCCAACTTGAATTGGGATTCGGGATTTAGATAACAAGAACGGGATCCACGCGCGCGTAATCTCCAAGGGAAAGACAGACTACCAAACCATCGCACATCGAACCTGAAACCCCTAGGTAAAACTAGCTATGAGCGGCAAAAGGCAAAAAAGAATAATCCCTCATAATTACAAATACTGAGCATTAATGAATACCGGAGATTGTAGAACAATCTCGTCGAGAACGAATGTAACGCAGAGAAAGAGGAAAGAAAAATAAGTGACATGAAACCCATCAAAGACAGAAGAATAAACCAACAGACAGTCCACTACTAGGGTATCGCGTGGATGTTGGAATCAGTCTCTGGATCATGGGGGAGAGAAATAAGCTGTCAAGTTTAAGTAGGTAGGCGGGATCATAGTCACCTGCGCTATACTAACAAAGCTTTCCCAAGTGATTGCTCCCATGCACTTTACATTGAGTGGACTTAAGGATACGGTGCCTGGGACGCTGGAAGCAATTTCTCAGGGTCAGGATTATCTTCCGGGACATCTTATCGAACCAACGCACACCGAGGATTCGATATTATTGGAGTCATCCTCCGAGAGGACGTAAGATGAGATTTTGACGGCGAAGAAAATTTACAGAAAGCCAGGAGCGAAGATGAACATCAAGTATTCATGAGAGCAAGAGAGTGTTGCACGTTCAACGGCTGTTTTTCAATTCGCTGTCAATTTTCCGACTCTCTTCGGGCATTCGAATTCCAAAACAAGAAAATGGTAGAGTGGACGATGAGCAACAGAGAGGATGTGAAGAGTAAGCGGTGACGACAGTGCCCAAATGCTAAATAGTAGGGAGAGGTGTTGCACGAATGAAACAGGGCGGCCAGAAAAGCTGTTGCGAAAGCAATGAAATGGTAAACAAGAGGAACCAGCAGATAAAGACATTCCTTTTGCTCTTTAAGCAGCTGCCTCCGCAGGCTTCTCCTCTGTCTTCACTGCCTCTTCAGCCGGCTTTTCTTCGGCTGTCTTCTCCTCTTCCTTCTCTGCCGGTGTCTCTTCAGCTTTCAAGGTGGGCTTCTCAACCTCTTCCTTGACCGGCTCAGGGGCATCCAACTTCTCCCCTGCATCGGCGTCGGTCATCGGCTCATCCTGAGGCTCAGCAGTATTCGTCTTGCCCTCCTTGGGTTCCTCCTCCTTCTCGTTTTCAGTATCAGCCTTGGCAGGAGTTTCCACGCTGCTCTCTTTGTTAACGCCATTCGCCTTGGGCTTGTCCTCCTTGTCCTTGGGCTCGGAGGGACCGGCGGTGTCAGCATCAAGCACGTTCTTCCACTTGGACAAGATGTTGATCGCACGTTGCCGGAACTGGAATTCCTCGTCCCGAGGGATAGAACTGAGCTTCACAATCATCTTCAACACCTTATTGATCTTGGTCGCACGGATGATAGACACTTCCAGATCGGTGTGCTTCTCCAATTTGTTGAAGTAGCCCGACATAGTCGTCATTTCCTCCTCTGCTGGGGGGAGTTCGCGAGAGATGAAGCCCTTTTGAAGCTTGTGGCGGATGAAGAGAACTAAGTGGTGTGAGTATTTTCTTCGCCGACAAACATCCTGCGATCATTGGGAACTCACTCTCTTTTTCTTTCTTTTCCTTTAGTTCTTCCTGGTTGACCTTCTTCTCAGGTTCCTTGGAAGCGGGACGGGAGTCCTCATCCTCGTCACTTGCGGCGGCCTTGCTAGCCTTCTTGGTGCTGGCAGTTTGCTTGGCCTTGCTAGAAGCAGGAGCTTTCTTTCCAGTCTCAGCGGTCGGGGTCTTGGGCGTCGTCAACTTCAATTTGGTGGTGGTCTTCGGGGTCTTTGCGGGCTGTAAACCAGCGCGATGCGCGATCGTTAGTTTTTATTGTATCCCGCGCGCGACGCGCAAACGGGGAACGACCCTAACTCACCTTCTCGTCACCCGTGACATCAGCTTCAGCATCCTTCTTCCGCTTCTTGGAGCTCTTCGGCTTGTGTTCCTCCTCGTCAACGTCCTCCATCTCGACATCGTCATCGTCAACGACGTCCATGCTCTTGCGCTTATTCTTCTTTGCTTCTCTGGCAGCTTTGGCGGCTGCCTTCGCAGCTGCCTGGGCTTCCTTCTCTTCTGTTTCTTGCTCGAGCGCACGCTGGTGGTCGGCCAGTAGCTCCTTGAAGTACTGAAGATCGTGGCCTTCCGCACCAACAGCAAAGGCGGACAGCAACAACTTGGACTTGCCCTTCTCCGATACTTCCTTGCAGGTGGAGGGATCGAGAGGGGTGAGATCTGTGTTGGGAACCCAGGCGCTAAAACGGCGTTAGACAGATCACAATGGAGGGAGCACAATCGTAAGGCAGAAATGCCAAGTGTTACTCACAACTCGTTGGTTTCGAAGAACATGACCGGGAAGGTTCGCTCGTGCGCGCGCTTGCCGCCATCAGCGTAGTCCTCTCTATAGCTCCCATCTTCACGTTGGGCGGTCACGGGACGCGTTTCCAGCAAGGTCTGAGGGAGCATCTCTTCATCACAGATGATGGATGGCCATGGCGGGTAACTCCTCAGACGCGCGAGGAAATAATCACCAGGTTTCGCGTCGAGATGCGTGACGCGAACTTGCGACTTCTTTCTGCTCAATGAACCTCCGGTGGATTTGCGCCTCGAAGAGGATGATTTCTTGGCCGAGGCGGGTGTTCCGTTGGCCTCCGATACTGGGGCGGCTTCGAGCTCTGCAGGGGCGGCTGCGCCATCGGCGGGTTCCTTCGCGTCGACGGGCTCGGAGGGCGTGGTGGGCTTCTCAGCTTCAGTTGTCTCCTTCTTTTCCTCAGGAGCAGATGCTGGCTCTACAGGTCGTGGATAGCAGGTATTAGCAGGCTTTCACATACAAAAGGGCTAGGTCTGGCTGGAGATCCCTTGTGGAGAGCCAAGCCGACGCGACGTAGAATCAGCCGGATATTTACCTGATGCGTTCTCACCCGAGCCATTGGCCTCCTTCTCTTCCTTCTCCTTAGTCTGTTCTGGCGCCGAGTCCGCAGGAGCGGGCTGTGCCTCAACAGGAGCGCGCTCAACGGTCTCAGCAGCGTCGGGTGCGGGCGCAGCGGCAGCAGGAGAGTCCTCAGCCATGATTGCGCTAGGGATCAGGTGACGATTCAAAGGATAAGCTAAGATCAGAAGAGAATGGAGATAAAGGAAACCTTCTGGTGATGGGAAGGGATGGGGTGGTAAAGGGGGGTGGTGGATGTCGATGTGGGTTTTGGTTGGGGGAGGGGGAAGAGTGAGAGAGAGAGAGAGAGTTGAGTTGAGTTGAGTTGAGTGAGCGAGAAGTGGTGGAGAAGGTCGCGACGCCGGGAGGCGGGAAGTCGAACAACGCGTTGCACTTCTTGGGGGGAAAAGGGAAAGCGACACACTGTTAAAACCGCAAATGACGCAAACACTTCAACAGCCACAACTCCCTCTAGAGTCGAAATTAACCACAACAGACAGTCGCTCTAGTTCGGATTTGAATCAGATAGATTATTTCTGGATGAGCAGGCTTTCCCCGGATCGGTTTCTGCAATTGCTAGGCTCCTCGTAGTGGACAAGCCGTGCGGGAAAGTCACTAGGTTCTTCCCAATGTCGCAGCACGGCTTTGGAAGATAGATGGATGTAGATGAAGCTATCGCGTTTGAAGAAGGTAGTAGTTGGTGATGGTGAAAAGATGGTCGTGCCAGTTTATTTCTGCCGGTCGACTGTGACGCGAGCACAAACACCCCAGCGACACGAGGCGATCTGCCAGCTGCTTGGAAACCGCAGTTGCTGCTGCTATGCTGCTGCTGCTGCTGCTGCTGCTGCTGCTGCTGCTGCTGTTGCTGTTGCTGCACCACCAACAGCGCAACAACGACAACACGCGCGGAGGATCGCGGTCTGATTTAGGTGATGATGATTCCTCAGCTGTGGTTTGATACACAGCCAACAGCTTGCTCTGACCCTACCTGTTTCCGGTAGATAGTCGATGGGAACGGATGGAGACGGAATAGCTGAATAGCTGGTGGTGGCAGGGAACTCCCCTGGTCTGACCACAACTGTGAGATATTGTCTCTCTGAATCAATCAAGAGGACTATATTGCTCGACCAGTGCAAAAGTCTGGTCAAAGAGTTTAGAACGGGATGCAGAAGCAATAGGGGCGTTACGGACTGACCTGGTGGCACCGTGGGCGAGCCAAGAGCGACTGAACGCGAGGGTCGTGAGGATGTCGAGCAACACCGAGAAACCCCGCGGTCGCAAGGATCTGCAAAGGTGAAGAGCAGGGGATTCCGCTGGTGCTTGCGCAACAACGGTAGAAGCCTTATTGATATTAACCAAGAATATATTCTAGAGGATGAATGGAATGGTAGAGAACAAGAAAAGAAGTGGTGGGGTTGGTGGTGGCAGAGAGGGAGAATGGAGTAATGGTCGAGAACAAGAACAACTCGCCCTTCTTCCCAGACCATACAAACTGTGCTTCTCTCCCTACTTTATCATTCACCTGCCCTCGCTTTCCTCTCTTCACCACACAGTACTGTTTTTCCTACATCGCTTCCCAGAATGGTCTCGATAACCTTCACTGGGTCATCCTGCGACTCTCACAAGATTGCAGACACGAAGCGACCCGTGCCCCGCTCGCTCTTTGATCTCCATCGCGCCATTATATACTTCACCCGGTCGAGAACTGCTGAACCAGCGCAGCAAAACAATGTGCGTTGAACCATAAACCATGCCTATTTCAAATACAGATTCATACCACTGCAAAAGATCGAACATCGAAAACCAGTAGGGATACTTGCATTATTTTCTAAGGAAGCCTTGTATATACTTTCTAGGGAGCCTGCATCAATAATAGTGATAATGATGGTCGTAAAAATACGGCCATATAGAAGATTCGAGAAGCATATGAGAGTAGCAGGAAGTCATCGAGGTCATGGTGAGAAGGGGGGTTCATAGACATTAATGTTGCAAATGCAAGGGTATCATCGAGCTCCAGGACAGACAAAGTGAGAGATCGGGAGGCTTCCCGACCGTTGTCGCATTAAGGGAGAGAGGTATGTTCAGGAACGCCATCATCAACCCAGCCAGCTACTTCTTCAAGACCGTCCGTGTTGTTTGAGGCTGGCTTATGGATCCGAACCACCCAGAGGAAATAATCTTCCAAGGGTAGCAGGTTCAAAAGGATTCCGTTGAATCTCCATCCCAGAGCACATACCGTTGCACCGGCAATGGCGTCCAAAATGAAGTGGTTTGCGGTGGCGACGATAGCAACGAGGATCGCAAAAGGATAAGCAAACCCCAGGGCGAGACAGCCCAACCGTCGCCAGGATGGAAGCTGCAGCTTCAAAGGGCCAATGGCCAGGCGAGTACGGCGTCGGTGATGTGGCGGCAGCGGGATGGTCATGATGGTGAGGCCAATCATGAGAGAGTAGCCAAAGTGCAAAGATGGCATGGCAGCTAGAACCCAGTCAGTGACATTGCTCGAATACCTCCCAGAAATTCCTCAAGTCTCTACAACTTACCATACTGGTTGCAGAAGCGATTTTCGGTCCAGACGCTGCCCGCACCGTTGACTCCGTGCACGGTATCGACAAACCCGTAGCTGCGACCCAAGGCTGCATCGGGGCCCTTTGCATCCTTATCACTCAGCAGACGTGGTGGCATACAGGGCCACAATGTGAAAACCACAAAGGCAAGCAGATTGCACACGGCAAGAGTTCGACGCCGAGCTTGGTACAGATGGGACCCGGCAGGCGAACCGCTTGCAAGCCCGCGCGGTTTTCCCGGTTGCGCCTCGTCGAATCGGTTCTTCGTGATGGTAAAATAGTAGAGCCAGACAAGAAAGGCGATGGTTCCAGGGATATGAATGAACGAATAGATCCAATTGGTCCAGGTCATGAGAGTGGGATGGCGGAGAAAGAATTTCTGGATTGGGACCTCCCAGAAAATTCCCAGCGCCTCCTCGATCTGTATCAATCGCAGCGCATGTTTGCGTGCCACATCGACCGTATCATCTTTGAGAGTGACAGCGGTGAATGCGCGACCTAATTGATATGTCTATACGGAGCACGTCAGTCTTGGGTCCGCACACACGCACGGTACAAGCCAGGGGATCAATTGCGCGAGTCTCAAGCAAGAATCAAATTTCAAACATACCCAGTACACAAGCGCCCAGTACCAGCACTCAACAAGGAAGGGGAACTTGCGGAGCAAGCGACTGAGTAACCGATCGTGGAAAACAGTGGTGTCCGGGGACGTGACTTCGAATGTCGATGTGAAAACCCCAATCTGTCTCTTGCGCCAACCGGTTTGGCCGATTTGCTGAAGCGACGAAGAAGATAAAGACCGGCGATTCAGTAAGGTATCCTTGGCAGTTGGAGTGGAAACACCAGACTCGATTGCACCGGGGGAGGAACCGCGCGACACGACGTTGGAAATGCGACGAGGTCTTCGGGGAGGGAACGTTCCTGTACTTCGGTTGATCCAAGTGCCTCCGAAGAGTAGGACGATGACCGTCAGAGGTTCTAGGATGGCCCCTACGCCCATAGTGAACGAAGTCGGAAAAGGAATGCGCTGGTCAGCCTAGTGGTGGAGGACGGACCAAGGACCAGGGACCAAGGAAGTAATAAGACTAAAAATTTATAGGCGAGGCCACTGGGGGATGCGGAGGGCAGAAGCGAGTGTCGTAACTGAGATGAGAGGCTGTGGCAGAATAAGCGACTGCAAAGAGGAAGTTAAGATGAGAGTCAAACGACTAGCATTGTAGATTCAAATCTTGATGGAGGAAGGGAGGGAAGCGAGATTGGAAAGGAAGGGAATAAGGAAATTGGGGAAAGATGTCACACTACCTGCTGGATGAGCCCTCGATTATGTATGGAGGAAGAGAAGGATGTATGGGATAAGTGGGAGGTTGTATGTACCTAACTTCCACTTACGTATCCTAGGCACCTGCTCTTGATTCAGGGCAAGTCCATACTCTTAATATAAAAAAAGGTAAGAGCTTTTTGAACTTGACGATAAGTATCTAGTACTTGGATCCAGCCAAGTAAGATGTGGGGAGGTGTGGGAACCACGCGAGGTGAAAGAACTGCTCACCACCAAACAAGAGAGAGGCCTAACCGGCGGCCATTCATTATTGGGAATCGGGGCCTTTAGTTTGCATTATGTCGTGACAATTAACACATGCTGGAGTCAGGGAAGGTCAACAACCAAGGAAAACGAGTGTAGTAGCGGTGGTATCGGAGCAACCGGAAGCCGGAAACTAAATCGACCTTGCTTGGCACGGTGGGCATGAATGGGTATGTTGCTACTACTTCCCATTACGCACTCGTTCATTCCGGGTTAGAATTGGTTAGAAAGAGAATGGAGAAGATTTCACTTGGCTTCTTATTGATTGACCTTCAAGCTTCGTTCCTTCTTCCTTGTCTGACTGCAAAACTGACAACGATTCCTAGAAAACCGATCAGATTTGGGTATATGGCAGGTTATCATGGCCAACACACAACCTCAGCGGTGAAAGGATACCTTTTCCCAACTATGTCATGGAATGGATGTATGGTCTGGTCATGGTCCGGTCAGCCCTAAGACATTCCCAAATCGTCCTGGTTGGAAGATCACCTTGGGTTCCAGTTGGTATCCTCGGTATGATGCCGGTATTGACTAGTAATCCAAGGGACCCACGGTGAAAAGTGGAAAAAAAAGCGATGGTTGGAGGAACCCGCGTGACGGGATCCTGCAGCTTTTCCTCCCCAAACATGGTAAGACGTCACATGGACTACATTATGATCATTACTGTTATTCCTGGATCAATAAGCTGGTGTGGCTTGTGGCTTTGTTTCCATCTAGACTGTCTATACCTGTTATATGGGTGAAATCGACGGTAGTCGTGGATAGAGGTTCACAGTCATCGACCCAGAAGCCAGAGAGGCCTTTGCGCCGATCAATGAACATCAGCCCCGGATCTTTCAGCCTTGTCCAGCCTTGTCTTGCCTGCTAGCAAATACATGCCCAGATACAAGTACAGTGAGACAGAACATTCGAATTCGCTGGGTGACCGATTCGGCACATTTTCAAAGCCACTCATAAGTACTGTACATACATACCTTGCTTGTAAATCTCTGAAGCAGTCGTCCACCTGCCTGTTACACATTAACCCCTCTTCGCGAGTACGAGAAATCAGCAAAGCGTCTGCATAAATTTCAGATCGGCTAACAACTGGTGCCACTTTGTTCGCCTCCGAGCGCCAACCCAAGCCAAGCCGCTCACACCCACGAAATCTTCCAGCATCTCTGCCGTTCTAACAAGCCTCTCCGCCAATTGTTTAGCTGCTTTCCCAATCAATGCGAAACGAGGAAGGATAACGCTTTCGAAATATGTGTATAAGGTCCAATGCAGCAAGGGAAGTCCGTGCGACTCCTCTGCGCTGTCGGCACCGGAACTCAGCTGGTCCGCTTCAGATTCCGCTGAGACCGAGCTCCGTGCAGGCTCAGCGCCTCACGCAGACTAGACGGGCTCTGGGTTTCCCTGGTTCCATCCTCAAAGTTAATCACAAATCCACTCCGGTGTTGGCTCATCAGATTACTGATTACTGATCTTGTCTCCAAAACCGGCTTTTCTCCAAGGTTCAGACCCTAACTAACGGCCTTACTGACAAACACCGAGTCACCGACAGACTAACTGCTCTGGGACCCGCCCTGAGGATCAAAGGGTGCCTGCCAAGTACAACTATCAACAACAGGAGAAACAAGCTTGTTTTTCTTTTCGTGAGATAACTTGGGGTAACTCAGACCAGGTTCCAATATGGATAACCAGACATGTGCTACTTATCATTGGATATAAGTATAAGCATTTTCTCCCCTCAAGGGGTCGGGCTTTATCCTCTTAATATGACGTCATGATAATGTTTGCAGTCCTTATTTAAACAATCCCCACCCGATTGCACAAGCAATACCTCAACACCCTTATCTAACTGTTACATTCTCCTAACCTACTTAGTAAATCACCCCAGAGTTGCTCCAAGTCTAGGACAATCGACTGACAGGACCAGAGCCAATCAGACTGTAGGTGTCTGTCTCTCTTCAAACGAAATGATGAGATATAGTTTACGTCAGTCTGCAATCTCGGTCCAGTATCAACCCAGGTGCAACCCAAATTCATTTGACCCCAACTCCATTATTGAGCTTTCACTTCCAGACTGTTTGCTCTATTGTAAATAGCTTTAGTGCTTCGTATACCTCCAATTCACTGTTAACATGTTTATGACACTTCCCCGCAATACTCCTGCCTTGCCTTTGCGCAACAGTACCGAGGCTGCTTTGCGGCAGTTATCCAGGGCCTTAGTGTCGGCTGCACCTTCGAGATGGTCCTCTTCTACCACATCTGCAAAGAAAGAGATTACATTGCTCCAGGATAAGAAGAATGGATTCGGGTTTGCACGGTCAAATCCCAGACCATCGAAGCCGAGAACCAAGGGCGTCACCGAGATCAGGGGCCCATACTATAGTGTATGCGACTCAAGCCACAGTTGTTCTCGGAAGCTTTGAACTGCTGTCTGCAGCTGCTTGAAGAACATAAGACAAGCTGATCATAATTGCAGGTCATGGGGAAGAGATACCTAGCTGACGTGCTGGAGACGTGAGCCTCTCGAACGTGCTAACCATAGGGAAGCTCTGCTGACATCTGCGCCCAACAGCATGGGAACACATGTGGATGGCTTGAAATTTGCAGGAGGTAAACGGCCGCAGTTCCCCAGGCGTTCTGGTGCTCGCCATAGGCTAAGCAAGTTTCCCAGGGTCTTTTTCTTTGTTCCCGGAAAAGTCCTTGAAGGAGTTGATCGATCTCGCCCACGAACACGGCGTCTATGTCTCCACAGTAAGTCTTCATGGGCGTTAGGTTTGTCCTCCTTCACATTCGCCAACAGCAACTAGGGGGGTTGGGCTGAGCATCTACTCACCCATCCCGATTCGAACGCCGTTTTCGACAAGTACTTGAAGAAGTGCAAGGATCTTGGGTGCGTATACTCTATCATACAAGGCTACATACCTTGTATACGGATTATGTCTAACTATACATCCCTACGTCAGGTTCGATGTCATTGAGCTCTCTTCGGGCTTCCTATCTATTCCAGAAGACGACTGGCTTCGCCTAGTCGATAAGGTACACTCTTACAAGCTGAAAGCGAAGCCTGAGTTAGGCATTCAATTCGGTGCTGGTGGCGATACCCCCGCATCAGGGCTGGAAGCCATGGGCACTTCTGATCCCTCGAAATTGGTTAATCTGGGCCGTAAATTTCTCGATGCAGGCGTCGAGCGGCTAATGATCGAGTCGGAGGGTATCACTGAAAACGTGGAATCGTGGCGCACCGATGTGGTGTCGAGGATCATGAAGGAGCTTCCTTCGGAAGGCGTCATGTTCGAGGCGGCAGACCCCAAGGTCTTTAACTGGTACATCCGAGAATTCGGCATTGATGTCAATCTATTCGTCGACCACAGCCAGATTGTGCAGTTGTCATGCTTGCGCCATGGTATTTGGGGTACCGCCGACACCTGGGGAAAGATTGTCTCTTTTCGACCTGAGTAATTGGGAATAATGCGAGGTTGATGGGCTGAATGTGGAATTGATAGTCCTGTCTGAGCTGATATTATGCTGGGCTAATGATTATAGCACAGATGGAAGACAACAGGGGGGCAGAAATTCATGCCAATAGCTTCAACTAGACCAACCACAAAGCGTAAGATAGACACATTGAGCCCGTCGCGCCGTCATTACCCAAAGCAGCCAAGCCGCATCGTGCAGCTGAGTCATGCACGGAAACAAGCCCACCCCCTCCTCCACCAAGTAAACCCCAACTTTCTACCGCATTTCGGGGGAAACGAACGCAGTGAGTGCTGCGTGCCTGTGTTGTCGATCTCTTTCCCCCAGCATCTTCCTGCGCGTCTCACTGGTACTGGCCATTGCAGATCACCCGGGTTTCATGAGCGGGAGATGTCGTGCGCCCCCGTTGGCTAGTTCTGTTTGGGTTCCAGCTTGAACCCATCACTAGCCGGCCTAACTAGCTATCCCGCTGCTTACTTCTAAATTCTCTCCGTCCTTGCATCCTTCGGTTCGCATTAATTCGTGGTTCGACAGCTTGGCTCAAGCTCCATCTCGTTACATGCTTCGCTATGCCGAGGGCAAGCACGGCTCCCGGTGCTCGACTCCGGTGTAGGAGAGCTTGCGATAGTTGCAAGCGTCGCAAGCAGAAATGCAACGGAGAGCAGCCATGTACAATCTGCGTCCAACGCCGCAAGGAGTCCGAATGCCACTTCTCCGACAAGCCCGCCCGCTTGCTTAAGCCGAATAACAATCCGAAAGAGACCATGCTCCTCAGCGAACATCTAGTGCCGACCCCGCAGCGGCAAACGGCCATGGACCGACTTCTGAATTCGCTCGAGGACCGCAGCGCATCATTGGAACAGCAAGTGGCTGATGATAAAGATGGAATGGCTCCGGTGCCAAAGGTGGCGAGGCTTCTGCGTGACGGACAAGGGAAGTTTATGTACATTGGCGATTCCGCAAGCTTGTCCTTCCTGCAGAGTGTCCGTCGTATCGTATCATCGTCAATCGGCCGCTGCGAGTTCACAGAAGACAACTCGCGACATTCGATGCTGGAGGCTTTCCAGAATAGTTCTTCAACACAGGCAGGACCGCTGATCGCGCCTCCCAGCAATGAGGAGGCTCAGCGATTGGCGCGTCAATACGTTCTTGCTACCAGCCCGCTCCTGGACCTTTTTGATCTTGTTGAATTTCATCCGCGGCTCGCCAATTGGGTGGAAAATCCCACTGGTGACGAAGACACGGTCAGCTCGATCTTCTACCTAGTGCTTGCGATCGGCGCGCAGGTGTCAGATACCAACCAGACTCTAGCAGAGCAATACTTTGTCAGCGGCCGTCAGTTGGCGTTCTCTGCGTTCACTGAAACCCCCAGCATCTACACCATCCAGTCTTACGTCCTAATATCGATGTATATGTTAGGCGCGTGTCGGCGCAATGGTGCCTTCATGAACCTTGGTATTGCGCTCCGGGCGGCGTATGCCGTTGGAATCCATAGAAAAGATGCGAATGCGCTGTTCTGCACTCGAGAGCGACGGGCGCGCGAACGCGTTTGGAAGAGTCTTCGCATGATGGACCTATACCTCAGTGCCTCACTAGGGCGGCCTCCGGCTACCTTGGACTTCGACTACGACCTTCGCGAGGACGGCCTGCCTCCAGTGGATCAACAGCGTCTTCAGCCTGAAGAACAGTTATCTATGACAGTTGTCTCCTTGTGCCGCATCTTCGAACGAATTCTGACTGAAGTTTATATGCGGCAGGTGGTGTCGATCACTGTGGCTGACACCATATCGAACCAACACCGGGCCTGGGTTCGCAATCTGCCCATGTTCTTGCAGATGCAGACCGAGCGACTAGATTCGAAAACGCTGGAAGGCACCTTGGCTGCAGCGCATGTATTTGGGTCATACTACTGGTCAATCATTCTTCTTACCCGCCCGTTTCTTATTTTCCGGGTTTCACAGTATGTACGAAGTAAAAGCGACTCGACTGGCTCCGCCGACACCAGGACCAGCAATTCTCGGATCGCGCTCTTCGCTGATGCGTGCGTTTATTCCGCCTTGCGGGGTCTCAACATTGTGGATGACCTTTCACGGTATAGCAACCTACCGCGCAGATTGCCTTTCCTTATCAACTCCGTCTTCAACTCCGCTGTGGTGCTAGGCGCAGCATTCTTTGCCGACTACGACAATCTCCTCCCTCTCGAAGAAGGTATGGAAAAGGCCGAGAAGTTTCTTGGCCTGTTCGTGCCGCACGATCCTCATGCATGTCGCTTCTACCAGATCATCAAGTATCTTCGCGCTGCCGTGGCTGAGTATGTCCGGCGACGTAACCGTCAATGGATGGAGCGCCGCAGTCGTCAAGTGGACCAGCTCTTCGGTCAAGTCGGCCCTTCGGATGAGCACCCGGCCACAGCAGATGCCATTACCCCATCCAGCCGCCGCGGTGACCAAGCCGCTGTCCCATCCCCCCTCTCTCCCGAGAAACCTGCCGGTGGGCCAGCTGTAACCCATTCCCCCAACCTGGCCACAACCATGGCCCCCGGCCAGCCGGATAACGACATTTGGGAGACTTTGTATGGCACGCAGGGTGCACCCACTCTTCCATACGACTCGGCCATTTCCACGCTCACCACAACGGGAGTTCCCATCGGCTGTTCGCCGGGCGGGACTATCCCAAATGGCGCTTTACCTTCCGAGGTGCCGGGCGGCCATACGCCACTGTCGGACGTGATACTGCCCGACAACGGCCTTTTGTATATGGCCGAGGATCTTCCTGTCTTTGGTCTTTGGGAAGATGCCTAGTGTATGATTGCATGCTACACCTAGGGTCGTGGCCTTCGGACTCTTCAATTCAATTTCTTTACGATATTTTGATGAACATAGCATGACCGATTGACATGTTTGCTTCTCTGCTTTTAGCATTTCTTACGAACCTGTTGTTCAGACGACAACGTTGGGGGTTCTCATGTATATTGCATTTTATTCTAGCTGTACATATATACCTTGGCACAGATAGCGAATCCATACTCCCACTCACGTTGATGCGGTTCTTCCAGACGTAGACAGTCATGTGACATTCTATCTCTGAAGATGTATAAGGCGGCTGTACCTGGATGTCTAGCTATGAAAGATATGTCACAGACGACCCAGTAGGCAAGCCTGTCAGCGTTCGAGGCCTGACAGAAGACAGGCACAACTCTCCTTAGTCTGTATATAGAAAAACCCTCACAGAGAGAAACTATACAACCAACTCATCCCCGGGCCCCCCCCCCCCATCATCCCTTCACGTATCTACCCCGCACAAAAACCCCGAAAGCAAGCGCAACCTTTAAGAATTCGCCGTGAAACCATCGGTAGGAATAACCACCGCATCGGCATGCCAGATCTTACCGCCATCAGAGGTCGAGAACTCATCACTGCTCGTCGAGCCAATCATATACAGGGTGTTGCCGAAGCTCTTATCCGCCTCGCTGAGGGTGATGGTGATGTTGTTCCAGCCTGGTTATGTGCATTAGCCTGTTAACGCTCCTTCCCAACAACCAAACAAAAAGAAAGAACATACTGTATCCCTGCAGGGTACCGCAGGTACCGGAGCCAGTGTAGCACTCGTCAGAGGAGTAGAGGTACTGCAAGGGGTTGTTGAGGGCGTCGTTCTGCCTGGAGATGACCGTTCCGTCCATGGTGACGACCTGGTAGACTTTGTTGTTCTCGACGTAGACTTATGGATTGGTCGCAATTAGCGGACGAGTTGGACACTCGGACTGGGGGTGGGGCTGGGGGTTGGGGACATGCTCTCGAAATCCACCTGCGAGTGCTTGGGTACAGGGACGTAGGCCTGGCCGATTTGACCGGCTATTATTCCATACAAAGGATAGATTAGAATTATCTGTTCCTGATTGAATTATCTTCCTTCCTTCCTCCCTCCCTCCATGGAAAAGAGAGGGCTTGAACTCACTAGGAGTATAAGTGCTAGCAGCAACGCACCACTCGTCCGCGCTGGCAGAGCAGCCCCTATCACAAGCAAATCGCATCACCGTTAGCCACAGCACTACAGCTCTCTTCAAGGGGCAAGAAGGGAAGGGCCAACATACTGCGACGCCTGATCCGGCGACCAATTGAACAAAGGCTGGTAAAGACTATTGGTGGAATCGCTCTGCGTGGCCGAGACGCCGATCCACACGGACTCCCAGACCTCGTCGGATCTGTCCTTCACCGTTGCGCCCTGCGGCACGCTCGGCGCCACGATCGAGTACGTCGCCTTCGTGATCTGCCCGCTGGTCGGCGGGCCCATGTAGAATCCGTAGCCGAAGGTCCAGGAGTCGGCGCTGTATGCGGCCGCGCGGAGGGCCAGGACTAGCGGGGCGGTGGTGTATGCGTAGCGCATCTTGTTGGGTTCAATGATTAAGGGTTGGTTAGAAGGTGGAAGGGGATTTGAGAGTCTAAAAGAATGATTTACACAAGACACAAATTTAAAAAAGGAGCGAAACCAGTCGCGAAAGCTGCGGTGAGAAATGAATGACAAGTTGACGAAAATTGAGAGAGAGAGAATGCGTTTGTTGATCAACAACGAGCCTCAGAAAACCGGATGGAGGCCAAACTTAAATGATGGATGGACGGTTGGTTGGTTAGGGCAAACCGGCTATATGCAAACTACGTTTATACTGAAGTATCCGTCGGATCCCTCGAGGCTATAGCGCAAATAGTGAGACTGACTCGGTCCATTTATAACCATGTTAGTAACATGCAAGGTAATATATGCAGCTAGGTATGGCAGCGCAAGCATCACCGGCTGACGCAAGCTGTGCTCCGGCTTGTTGTCTGAAGGGATACAGATGCGAGGACGACGACACCTCCACGGGACCAAGAAGTATCAATTGGGCCAAGGGCCAGAGTCCAGAGACACTGTTGCGGTACTATAGATGATGAGTCTCATCTTCAGCCCTCTTGCGTTGAAAATATGGGAGGTTTGTGCGCTTAGACATCCTTGTGTAGACACAACTCTCTGGCGACTGAAGCGTATGCTAAGCTCCCAATTAGGCAGTCAAGGCCGAATACTGTAGGTAGACCACGCGACATTGTTACTGCTGCATATGAGAAGGAGAGAACAGCCAAGCTAGCCAGTCAAGGGAATGGTGAAGGTAAACAACATAAATCTGGGATAAGTCCAAAACTGCGGAGGAGCCGTGCGGCAAGACGGCAGATCGACCAGATTAAGCATTTCGGCACACTTTCCAATTCGGGCCCTGGTTTGCGAGCTCAGCCTTGCTACGTCTATCAGCTACATCAGTTGCTGGCGCACACTCAACACTTCATAACATAAACTCCCAGATTTGAAGCATGAAATAAATAACCTGACACTCCTGTCTTACAAGTCCTCACAGCTCAACACAACCGGGAACACACAATGCACCATTCACTCATCCAATCTCCATGCGTGCCGTATATCGAACAATATTCCATATTCTGTCTGACCACAACCTATATGTACCGTACATGAATCGCGGAGATGGCAGCGTGGCAGCGTGTAGCACGCCGGATAGACAAACAGATGATGATGCGTGCAGACAACCAGCCACGTAGCTAAGAAGAATTTGGCGAGACAGCGAACCATATATGAAAGACGAAAATGAACTTAAGGAAACAAGCGAATGCAACACCTCCAATCCAACTAACAGAAACACAGACCATAAGACAAGGCCAAACAGCACGATCATGAGAACAGGGGAGAAGAGTGAAAGGAAACCAGAATGATATATAGAGAAGGGCGGTTAGTCGAGTGATCAGTCTGAAGCCCTTGATCGGACAACTGTTCTTGACAAGCCGTACTAGAAATGTCGGAACAGAAGACGAGCGACTGATTTTGAGCTTCCAGAATTACGTATAAAGATCTGCACCGGGGGTACGAGACAGGAGTTCTAAGAAAGCGGCGTGCTGGAAGCAGGACTTGAAGATATTTTCTGAACTCGCTGCGTATATCCGATGAACCAAGTCATGCGCGCTGTACGCATTACAGCGTTAGGAGTCGCGGAAAAGAGGGAATTAGATAAGAAGCGGCATCATCTATGTGTGATGTGCATGCCATTCCCGCCAGCAAGAAGAAGCAGCGTTATTGTATAGGAAATGCCGCAGAGTCGAAAGGTGTATGTACATATCCAGATCAAAATCCGAACGGATTGGTGGGTGCTAATGGTAGGCATACAGGTCAGAAATCGGCGCATTCAAGTGGAATTGTGCAAAATCGGGACTTACTAGCTTGCGCAAGGTTGGCTCTAAGGCCTGTTGGCTGTGGGGCAAGTTTCTTGGGGGCATCATGCTTGACACCGAAGCGGATGGAGGGAGCGGGGCCAGTCTTCTGGGGCTGCAGTGGTGTAGCAGTCGGCTGTTGAGGAATGGGCGGCAATGGTGGGGCTGGCCCACTGTAGGGCATGCTGCCAACGCCATTCATGCCAGTGGGTTGAGGTTGTAGAGGCGGGGGGAGGACAGAATTGATGCCTGTCTGCATTGGTTGCTGCGGTTGTGGCTGGAAGCCTCCGAACCCTGTCGGCTGCGGCCCCAATCCAGGATAGCCAGTCTGCTGCTGTTGCTGTTGCTGGATACCAAATTGAGACTGCGGTTGAAAGCCGGTCGGCTGCGGCATCAGCCCGTTCTGGAACTGGGCTTGCGGCATGAATCCGGTCGGCTGCGGCTGCTGCAGGGTTGGCTGGAAACGTTGTTGGTTCAGCTCGGCCAAGCTTTGACCGGGTGGGACAATCTGCGGGCCTGATTGAGGGATCCCAGTCAGCTGGGGCTGCAGTGTCTGGGGTCCGAAAGAGCTTGGCTGCTGAGAGAAATTCTGAGGCGCTGAGAGGGGTCGTTGCGGCGGAGGAGGAAGCAAAGAGTTGCCTCCCAGCGGAGTCTGTGGCGCTTGTGGACGCTGTCTCGCAGCCGGTTGGAACCCAGTTACCTGAGGACTGAAGGTTTGGGCAGTCTGTGGCTGTCCGAGCTGTGCAAAGAAACCGGGTGTAGCCCCTGTCGCCTGCGGCTGAATTTGAGGCGCAGGCATAGCAGTGGGCTGAGGTTGAATGGTATGTTGGGGCTGGATCGTGTGCTGAGGCTGGATCGTGTGCTGAGGCTGGATCGTAGGCTGAGGCTGAATCGTAGGTTGAGGCTGAATAGCCGGTGGTGCTGCGGGCGGAGACTGAGGGGCAGAAACAGCAGCAGGTGCGGGCGTGGGTTGCAGAGGAGCCTGAAGCAGGGAGAGTTCTGCCATTGCTCCAGTGAGCGGCTGCGCAGTCGGGGGTTGGTTTGCAGTCGGCGAAGAAGCGGCCGGAGGAGGGCTTGACGTGGTAGCCGGAGCGGCACCAGGAGCAGTGGTCGGGGCCTGTCTGGGTTGTTTGACCTCCCACGCATCGTCATCGAAGCCCTTCTGCACCGGTGGTTCAGGGGCAGACGCAGAAGCGGGTGGAGTGTCGCTGCGCTCTGCAGGCTTCGAAGCATCCTTCTGCTCGAAGGCTTTCGGGTCAACCACATCACTTGCCGGCGTGTTGGGTGCAGGTCTGCCTTTTCGAGTGTTATTGCGCAGCATGCCACCAGGGCCGGAAAAGAGACCACCAGCTCCATCCTCGTCAATTACTTCCTCGCCTCCAAAGCTGACGTTACGAAGTTTCGACTTGGCACCTGTCCGGCCAAACATGTTATCCAAGTAGCGCATGACCCGCAAGATATCGCCCTCCTTCAAACCAAGGGTGCGCAGAACTTCGGGGGTGATGTCTGGGAGAACCCCCTCATCCATGGAGTCCTTGATGAAGTTCTGCGAATATCGTTCACATTGATGAGGACCAACGCCGGCCTTCAGGAAGAAGTCAAACCAATCGTAGTCCGACTGCTGGAAAGAGGCACCGTTCTGCTTGCCATCAGACGAGCTCCGCGACTTGTCGGGCTCAATGCGCTGAGAACGACGTTTGATATCGGACAACGGCTTATCCTCGTCCAGAGAGGCTCCAGTCAGCTTTTCAACGTATTCCAGGTCCTCTACCGACATCTTCATGATTGGCACGGCGATCTTAATGCCATTCTGCTTGTGAAGGTGAATTTTGCCGTCCATCAAGCCAATGAACTGAGCCTCGACGGTGAACGTCTTCGTGCGGTCGGTCCATTGTCTGACTTTTGAAGGGTCAGGTTCTATTTGGGTTAGCCAATCCTCAGTAATACTCTCAGAGGGAAACCAGGACATACTTGACTTGTGGCTGGACTTGCTGTCGCGTTTTTGGCGCTAGAGCATTTGTCAGCATCTGATCGTCATGAAAGGTGGTATCATCTTGTGCACGGAGCGTACCTCTGAACTTTGCGTGTCGATCATGGAGTCGGTCTTCGACTTCCGTGACGCTTCTTTGGTGAGACGTGCTTCCTCCATGCGGTTCTTCTCCACGGTGGATAACCCTGGTTCGGCACCTCCAGGCGGCGGCGAGCTCGTGACGGTTCCTGTGATTTCGATGTAACTACTCGGAACTACGCCCTCCTTGCCGTTCTTGAGGCGGCGCACCATCCACCACTCTTCCGACTTGCTATCATCGAGCACAATGACGTCGTCGCCTGCGGCCACTGTTACCTCGTCATCGCCCTGCGCCATGAAGTCGTACAGGATTTGACCCTTCTTCTGACCCCCGCTGGTGCCAGCGGCAATGACTTCCCGAAGACCTTCGGCACGGTAGGCACCGGAGATCTCCCCAAGAGCGGATACAATCTCACGAGCCGTATCCTTTGCTCCAGCGTGGAAGTCGATACTTTTGCTGGGGCGGATAAGATCAACGAAAACATGCTTTCCCTCAATAGAGTAGTGAGTCAACTTGTCCGCGGTCCACTCCTGCACTGCGCCATCTTCTTCTGGTGAAATGAAGATGGTTCCCGTTGCCACGTTGATACCGAGGGTCGTGGGCATTTTCTTTCTCTTGCCCATGACCTCGACCATCTCATTGATAGTGTAGATGTGGTAACCCGACGGAGAACGCGGCGTAGGGTGGCCCACCCGGTTGTAGGGAGGAGACTCCTTCACATGACCCTCCCCATCGTTGTCTCGGAGCGATGCATGCCGGGGATGGGCGGGCTCTCGGGGCGACTCGAGGTGTACAGGCGACGAGATGAACTCCGACGGGGGACGCTGCGGGAGGGCTGGGGGCGGCGGCGAGGGCTCATTCCGATAAACCTCCTCGGGCTCATATGTCGGGCGCGCGGGTTGAGGTGGCGGAGGCACGGCTCGGGAGGGTTCAGACTCGGCAGGGGAGGCATGTTGCTGGTGGATGATATTTGCGATGGCTGCAGCGGCTGGGTTCTGCACGGTATTGATTGGCGACGGAGCGCGGGCCTCATTCATTTCTTCCGCGGCCACTGCCGGTCGCTGCGGGAGCGTGGGGGGCGCCGGTTCAGGCTCAGGCTCCGGTTCATATTCATCCGCCGGCAAAGGCGATGGGGCGGAGGGTGCAGCAGCATGGCCTGCATCCTCGACAATCTCAATGTAGTTTGCAGGGGCGAAGCCGTAGTCCGAGTTGACTCCCACAAGCGTCCAGTCGGGATCGGAGACGTCATACACAATCAAATCTGCATCTTCGGAAAAAGAGACCTCTTCATCTGTCTGGCGGGTATAGTCGTAGAGCGCCTTGGCTGTGTGAATAGGTTGCGCCTGTGGGCCGGAATGAGAGCGTCAGTCATTGCGGTTCCTATCGGACAAAGTGTCGTCGCGCCTTTCCACCGCACCCGCTCTACCCCTGAAGGCGAGGGCCGCCGGACCCCGGAAACCGCTCGCGGAGCCGGCGAGAGACCTCCAAATTATTCGGGCAGAGATTGGCGATCCCCATCGACACGGAAGACATCAGGCAGGGGAGCGAGTCTTACCTCCTCAACATAGTTGTTCGGAACGAGTCCCTCGGGTTCATCCTCGTCGTCGCGATCGGCCTTCTTCTTAGCCTTCCACCAACTGTCCTCCTCATTTTTTTCTAGAATGCAGAGCAAGTCGCCTTCGCGAAGCTCTAATTCCCCTGCCCCTTGGGGTTCGTAGTCGTAGATTGCCGTGTAGACGCCGAGGAAACCCATGGTAGGTGTCGTCAGGGTAAGAAGGTTGAATGCAGAGGGGAGGGGGGCTGGGGGTGGGGAGAAATGGGGGTGTGCTGCGGCTGCAGCGGGCAGCGTCAGGCGGAAGGTCAGAAAGATAAAGAAGTAGTAGTGAGAGAAGAAAGACCCAAGGGGAGAAAAGAAGTAGAAGAAGGAAGAGAAGAGGAGGGAGAGGGGGGTGGAAGGTAGAATTAGAGGGTAGATTTGGAGTGGTGGTGGTGGTGGTGATTGTGGAGGAGGTCAAGTCGACCGGCGCAGTTCGGAGTGTGCAGTGAGTGCAGTGAGTGCAATGGTGGTGGGTGAACAGGTACGTAACTGGTCCGAGTGGAGGATCCAGGCTAGCCTTGGCAACTTCACTGGCTGCTTATAGTACTTACGGCGGCCTCAGGCTGTCTCCCCCGGCTCCCCTTCCCTTGTCCGTCGTCACGTTGTTCACTCCCACGTTCAACATAAAGTGAGGACACAAAGTTGAATGTGCTATGAAAATTAACTCCCACGTATCTTCAAGTGCATTACAGTACCTAATGTACTCTTGGGGTGATCGTGTGGTGTACCATTGCTGTCAGTCCAATGATGATGCCATCGTCGTCAACCCCTGACTGCCGCCCAGCCTGTTTGGGCATTCATCCAGAAGACTTCTTCAATGACGTCCCCACAGTTAATACTTCACCCTCACTAACTATTGGGCTCCTTTCAGGCATACCTCGGCTCATACTCACTAGATGGTATTTATAGGCATGGTATCTCCCAAAGCAATCCTTTCAATCAATGGAAATTATTCTTGTTTGAGGCTATCGACAATGCAAAATGTTATGGATATAGGGCTAGAAATGTACAACCAGCCATAGCATGCAGGTGCTGCTGGGGGAGGCGAAATTGAGAAATAAAGCGAGAAATCAGAAATGCTGGGAACAACATTCAAGATTGTAGGTCGAATAGAAAATTGCAATGGAATTAGCAATCACAACTCGTCCTTGTAGACCTCTTCACTGCCTGTTTCAGGCGGATCCGACTCTGACGAAGGTCTTTTCTCTGGCTTCTCGGACTCCTCAGCCTGTCCCTTGGCGGGTTCTTCAGATTCACCAGACCTTGAGCCTACGTCTTCATTGCCTGGCTTGTCCATTTTATACTGATCCTTTGAAGGAGAAAACGAGACCAAGCTCACTTCGATCTCTTCATCGTTGACCTTCGTCTTCTTGATCTCCTTGGGCTCATCCAGAATCACGTTCAGTTGACGCTCGCCATTGACCGTGACCATTTCTAGCTTCCAGTTTTTGCCTCCAGCCATCTCATCCACGCCCTTCTTCAGATCCTCCATCTTCTCCGGGTCGATGCCGTACTTCTCGAGCTCGTCCCGGGTCCTCTGGTACACTTGTCCATTTTCGCGTTTGGCCACGATGACCGGATTCTCTTCGCCGGCCGATGCAACCCGCCCTTTCTCAATAATCTTGCCTTCCGACCCGACTAATCTCTGCGCCCCGACTTCGATATCACCCACAATCGGAAGGCGCTCCTCCGTGAAGCCGGCATCCTCGGCGTGCTCCTGCGCGATGAGAGCCTCCCGCACAGCCTCCCAGTTGGATACCTGTTCCGGCTTGAGAATCTCCCGACACTCGATCCCATGGATCTCATCCTGTTGGGGTGGAAGGAATGCAACGTCGTTGCACAGCCGGGGTGTGTAAATGATCATCAAGTACGAGCAGGTCGACGTTTCCTTGATCCAACCGATCCGGTCCGTGGACTGGGGATGACAGTGAAACTGCACTTCGATGTTGCGACGTCGTCCCGTCAGGTCACAACGCGTGCCGCCATCTAGACGCTGCACAAGATAGCGGGATCCGCCTCTTGTCTGCAGTTCTGCCACATCAGTTGTACTCGCGGTCGCCTCCTTGTGCCCGGCCTCCCACTCATGGGCGAGTTCATCCTCTTCAGCCCCTCCCTCATCCTGGAACGGAAATCGACCTAGGACGAATGACTGCGTCGTCGGATCTTCCATGGGTGGGTAATTGGGCACTCCGCTACCGGACGGCAGAGCGTGAAATTGCTTGACCTGCTCCTTGTAACAGAACGAGTAGGACCACCACCCAGAAATGTAGTACATGCATTTGCCTTCCATCTCACGGAGCAGCTCCAGACCACGGTCCGTGGCCCGTGCCAGCTCCTTCTGCTCGTCGGCCTCGGCCGTCTCATTCCCGGACCCGTTGGCCCGCTCGTCGACCTGCACCTGAGGGATTTGGCAGAGGTATCGCTGATCTCCTAGAATCATCTCCTCTAAGGTATAGTCACCTGTGTCGAGGTTGGCGGGAGACTCGCCTTGCGGTTCGGCGTCATGGCTTTTCAATCCGAGGTAGACCTGCGGCCGTTTCTGGGCTGAGTTTTCTCCTTGTGAATTATCGAACGAGGATGGGCTGCTGTGGGTTTGGAGAAGTTCTCGGGCATGGGGCTCTAGAATGTATTCGTCGGGGAAGAGAACTTGGAACTGAAGGTCAAAGAACGGGCAATTAGTGGGCGGATCCGGGACGGCGAGAGGAGTGTTGAGAAGCGAACCTGGGGGTAGGCTAGGAGGTCATCATGAACACTAAATGCCTTTTTGCTGGCCCAAGCAGTGGAGCTGGTACCGGCCAGCACCAGGAGTGATGCGAAAACACGGCTTTGACGAGACATGTTGAGCTGTCCTCAAGCTCTCTAGAAACGGGGGTGCGAAGAGTGGCCGACTCTCGCAGCGTCGCATGCGACGATCTGGCCTGATCTGGGATGGGCAATGATTGAGGCTTGGGAAAGTAATGATGATACGGGAGTAATAGACAGATAACTGGCTTCACAAAGTACGACGGACCAGCGATGGCAATCGACTGTAAGCTTGCGCTGATGGATTTGACACTGCTTTTAGCATTGCCATAGCATCATCGCTTGTGCCAGTCTGGACGATGAGCCCCGAAGGCGGGCGGAGAAGATGACTATCTTATCAGCACGTGTTATCAGATCAGCTCCATCCAAGATGGACTACGGAGTACAGAGTCGCTGACTTGCTACAGTAAACAGAATGCAATGATACCTAGTAGAAGGTGCCATGACACTATTACAGCCACCTGATGAGCTCATGAGTATAACGTCTCCAATTCTGATCTTAATGCCCATGTCTCAGTTCCTTACCAACTCATCACTCATCACTTTCCAATAACTGAATACACAACCCCCTGAGTAATGCCTGAGTCATCCGCCAAGCGGCGCCTCCAAATGCTGACAGCAATCTTTGTAATTCGGCGCGCATCCATGGGTTGCTGCTCGTCAATCAATGCTTCAGATCCATCCGCCTTTATTCCCGTAACGGTGGATCAGCCCAGCCAAATCTCCCCCGTGCGCAAGTCCGCATGGGGGTTTACATGCTTACTCGACCCATTATAAGAATTTACTAAAAACTAACAAGACAATTTTCGCTTCCAGGAAGATTCTACAGTTTTCGTACACCCCATTGAACCCCGTGTATAAATTCCCTCGTGCATGCCTCCCCACATGAAACTCCTCTTTTCTTTTTTCATCGGCATCATTGCTATACTATACACTGCGAGTTATCACAACTACAATCTTCTTGATCTAATACTCCCCTCCAAATACACAACTCAACAGCCCTCCACCGCCGCCACCACTACTACTAATACCACCACACCAATCATAATCCCACCCACCAACAAAATGACTCTCCCGCGAAGCATCCGCCAAGTCTTTCTAGCGATCGAGCAAGCGGAAGGCGCAGGGGCGCGAGTGCGGCGGTCGATCGGCACGCAAAAGCTACGACACCTGAGCCCGTTCCTGATGCTGGACCACTTTACGATCGGCAAAGGGGCGGGATTTCCGGACCATCCGCACCGGGGCCAAGAGACGATCACGTACCTGCTGTCGGGCGGGGTGGACCACGAGGACTTCGCGGGCAACCGGGGCACGATCGGGCCGGGCGACCTGCAGTTCATGACGGCGGGCAAGGGCATCATGCACGCGGAGATGCCGCACGAGAACGCGGACGGGTCGCCCAACGTCGGCATGCAGCTGTGGGTCGACCTGCCCAAGGACCTCAAGTACTGCGAGCCGCGCTACCGCGACCTGCGCAGCGACGAGATCCCCCGCGCCACTGCCGACGACGGCCGCGTCACCGTCAAGGTCATCTCCGGCCAGTCGCACGGCGTCGACTCTGTGCGCGACCTCGCCTACACCCCCGTCTGGTTGCTGGACGTCTCGATCCAGCCCGGCGGCCGCGTGCGCCAGGCCCTCCCGCTCGGCTGGAACGCCTTCGCCTACACCTTGAAGGGCACCACCGTCTTCGGGTCCGGCGATCAGACCCGCTCCGTCAAGGAGTTTCACAACGTCGTCTTCGAGCAGAAGGGCGAGTTCATCGAGGCGTCCGTGCCGGACAATGCCGAGGAGGATGGCCGCTTCTTGCTCGTCGCCGGCCAGCCGCTCGATCAGAAGGTTGTGCAGTATGGCCCCTTCGTCGTGACCAGTGAGGAAGAGGTTTACCAGGCCATGATGGACTACCAGACCGCGTCGAATGGGTTCGAGAAGTCGCGCGGCTGGGAGAGTGAGATTGGAAAGAGAATGGCCTATTAGACTGTTTTGTTCCTTTTGTCTGTACCGTTTAGCAAATTGGCGTTTAGGATTGTTTTGGGCGGCGTTAGAATCTAGTCAAATCGATCTTATTCTCATGGATCTACAAATTCCTGGCATGTCATTATGTGACTATCTTTCAAGAACATATAGTATCAAACGTTAACATTCCGGCTAAAAATTTTATAATAGAGCAGAGACTGAAGTAAATCAAAGACATAGACGGTAATGGGCGGCTTGTAGGATACAGACACAATAGAAATCGTGCTTTGACCATCAAAGCACAATACACCTTGCCCCTTCCAGAGAATTACTCGGTGTACCCTAAGCACCTAGCCACAGATCATCGCCTACTCCGGGCATGTAGAGTCTCCACCGGACCCCTATACCATGCCCACTGCAGGCGCGACATCAATCAATCTATTTGGCAAAGTGCAAGTCATATGCCAACCACTTGCGGGCCAGGATGCCAGGCACATCCAGACCAGGGGTACCGTAGGTCAGCGGGGCGTAGAACACGAAGCCATAGATGGTGGCCGCCAGGATCACGAGAGTAGCAGCCCAGCCGGCAATCAGGGACTTGCGGCCAAGACGCTCCGAAGCCGTCACAAAGTGAGTGATCCGAGCAGTAGCCTTGGACTTGCCTGTCGAATCATCCTCCAAAGGAACGGATTTCACAACCGAGACAGGTTCCAAGTTGAAGATGAATTCGATGAGAGCACCAGCAACGAGGGCAGAAGCAAGGTGAGCAGGAAGGTAGTGGTGCAAGAAACGCTGACGACCCATCAACCAGAAAGGGAAATAATGAGCCGCCCAGCAAAGAAAGAGGAAGCCAGTGCTGTTATACAAGCGGGAACGGGCACCCAGACCCCAGACTGTGAATTGTTAGTATTAAACATGTTCACTTGGAAGTTTTGAAATCACTTACTCTCTTCCACTGCATCCACACCACGTCGGAGAGACAGCTGATCGGCACCAATAACACCCGCAAAGACTGCTAGAAGACTGCTCGCAATCCACCAACCGATCGGGTTACCCAAGAAGTAGATTTGTTCCCGGGTGTCGTTCTTGGTCCAGAAGCTGACACCACGGAGAAGGAAAGGCCAATGGAAAGGTTCGCTGGCGTAAGGGTGGCTGGAAGTCAAAGCGTTGTTGTGATGGAACATGGCGCGCTGCAGCTCAAGATACTTGCGGAAGAAAGATAGATGTTTCACTTGACGCTCTTCCTTCTGGAAACGAGGGCTACCCTCCTCCAGGGATTCAATGGAGTCGATGTACCACAGGTTGCTGGTCTGGAGAATGTTCTTGTTGCCGTTGATTTCGGCCTGCTTGAAGGCCCACTCCGGCAAAGGCGTCGTGTGCGTCCACATGGCCACCCGAGTGGGCATGTGCAGCAGCTTGAAGTGACTTGAAAGAGTTCGGAACTCCTGTTGGGGCTTCGCGTTCTCGATCTTGATCTCAAAAAGGGTGTCATTGTGGCGCTCGCCGTTCGCAAGCTCCTGAGGAACGGTAGTGAACTCCTGGTTGGTCGGATAGTAAGGCGATGCCACATCGTGGGTAAGCAAGACAGTGTCGGTGCCCAAGTGACGAAGCTGAATGACATCACCGTTCCGTACCGGGTGTCCAGTGGTGTCAGTGACATTGAAGGGGACGGTGGGGATGATTTGCCAGTTGTTGTTGGTGTCGTTGTATGGGTAACCGGTAACCTGCTGACCCTGACTGGAGATACGTCCATCATCGTAGCGAAGCGGGTATGTCTCCAGGTGACTGTGCAGAAAAACCTTGGTATCCTTGTGCCTAATAGTGATAGTGTCGTAGTATTGGATGCCGATGGACTCCGCAGTCAAGGCATTGTCGCTCAGGGTCTCCTGGAATTCAGGGGTCATGAAGTCGTCACCGGGACCAGAGCGAGTGAGGATGGCGAAGTGAACCTGGAACCAAAACAGATAGAAGAAGAATGGCACAACGATCAGTGCGAAGCCGCGAGCGGCGAAGTGCTGGCTCCAGCGGGCCATGCTGAGGGCACCGCCAGGGCGGCGAATATCCAACAAATTCCACAGATCAACCAAGACCGCTGATCCGATGGTGACGAAAGTAAAGACGCCGACATACTTGGTGGAGATGACGCAGCTAAGAGACACACCAGTCAAGAGGAGCCACTTCCACCACTTCCGGCCAAACGGCTCATGGCGCAGCTTGTAGAAGCGGACATAGCACAACACACTCAGAGCCATGGCCAGGACCAAACTGGCATCCAAGAGGATCAGCCGATCCTCTCCGATGTGCGCATTGTCAAACAAGACGAGACCAGCCGACAATACACAGGCCGGTAGCGAATATCCAGACTCCCACATGATCAGGAACACCACGGGCACGGTCAGAGCACCGAGGGTGGCGGGCATGGCACGCAGCGCAACATAGGGGACCTGGTGGTCGATGTAAGAATCGCCAATGTTGTCGAACAAGAAGTGGCCATCATAGCCAACCAACCATCCCACGAAAGCGAAAAGAAGCTTGCCGAACGGGGGGTGAACATCGAAGAAGTACGTGCGCTGGAGGTAATACGAGGCAAACTGAATAACGACAGGTGTCCAGTTAGTGTGTAGTCCACAAACTCAATTCCCATGCAAAGACCATGTGAAATCGGCTTACCTTTCCAAAGTGCACCTCATCGAAGACAACCTCGTTGGGATACGAAATCTTGTAAAACCGAGTGATGAAAGCCAGCACGGTCAGAACGGCAATGGCCAGCCAATAGCTCCATTCTGACTGGGGACGAGGCGCTTTGGTAGAAGAATAAGGAGACGAGAAATTGTCCGCAGGCACGGGAGTACTCTCCTTCTTGCCGCCTCTCTTGCGAAGAGAGGGCGAAGGGGAAGACATAATTAGAGGAGGATGTGGTAGCTAGTAGAAAGAAAACGAATGACTGAGAGACAGCTCTATACTGGTAAAAGGGGACAAAACAACAGATCAGCACGATGGACAAGAAGCGAAAGGGCAAGTCACCCCCCATGGACGTACTTACAAGGGAGAAAAAGAAGTTCAGGAAGAGAACATGTTCGAATTGGCTCACAATCTCGTAATATACTGAGGTCGCTTCAGCCGCAACGGTCAAGAGGGGGCGGTTAAGTCGAATGATGGGGGCGGATTGCGTGTCTTTCTCACACTTCCGCGCGGAACGGAAGAACCTGAAGCACAGATCCGAAACACCCCCTACACGTAAGCTTCATGGCGTCAGGGTGAGATCGACCGGAGATATTTAAGGTTATCTTTGTTTTTTGCTCATTTATTGTACTAAGTAAACCAGAAGAGATTCGAAATAATGTAGACAACCAAAGCACATGCACCCCAGGGATATCCAATGCATATGCGAACAACAATTGCGCCCTTCACGCTGAAGCATGACCCCATGCGGTGAGTATAGTATGTATGTACAATTTCAAGACCAGATGTACCGCAAACCGGAAAATTGCAGTCAAAAGGGGGGAATTCGAGAAGATGGACAGAGAAGAGCGATCATTCGTCATCTGATACGTCGAGCAACTCCAGTTCAGTTTTGACGAGACTCTGGAAATCGCTGCGAGAGAGGCCGGTCGCCTTTGCCAGTCGGAACAAACTTTTGATATTTGAGCTGATGTGCTGCTTTACCCCAACTTCATAGGTAGACTGGTTCTCTGCCTCTTGTTCGAGCTTGGCCACTGGATCAGAGCTGCCAGATGAAATGGATGAAGGTCGAGGATGATTCAGCGGCATGGCGTAGTCTCCATTTGTGACCGCACCTGATGAGGGATCGGTCGCTTGTGCAGATGGCTCGCCATTCGAGCCATTGACCTGCCGCTGCAAGAGCCGAGCCAGCATATCGCCATTAAGTGAAGAGGGCCCGATCTCGGGTTGCTCTTCCTCGGGGTCATGGTTATCCATCGCTGGCTGCACATCGTCATACTGAGAATAATAGTCTGCGTCAGACTGTTGCAAAGATGAAACAGAGTTGGGAGCCGGTGTCTTCACCGCGGGTGTCCGTCCGGGAGTCGCGTCATATTGGGCCCAGTAATCATCGTCGTCATCCTCCTCTTGTGCCTCCTTGCCATTGCCTTGTTTCGGCACTTTGGTTGCTTGATCATTGTTTCCTGCTGTTCCCGACCCCGTCACCTGCTCCCTGTGGTTGGCGTTCGCTTCCCCGATCGAAATCGACCAGACTCCGTTCTCCCCAACACTGCTATCCTGCGGCAAAACCTCCGCCACGCGCCATGCAGGTCCTCCGCCTTCCTGGTCGTCAGGACACCAGACGTAGATTACTTTCAGGCTATACTCCGATAAGAGAATCCGCGACTGTAGGGTCTCCTCGTCCACTCTCTTGTACCGCACGGGGATATCGTCGGGAAGGTCAATCTCTCCTGAAACGGGGTGGGGCTCAAAGCTAGCTCCGTCTACCAGCGACTGCAGGCGCTCGGCTGATGCAGAATCCCAGCAGAGCAACCGAAGCCATGAGTCAGTGGGCGAAGCGGAGGCGGTTGTCAAGATTTTGACACGCTGGCGGATAATCGGAGACAAGAGCGGTAGCAGAGCAGGGGGAGGTTGGGGAGAGACGAAAGCCGTGGGAAGACAGGCGAGCAAAGGCGGGAGCAGAAGGCGAGGTTCAAGCGGAGGAATTAATTCGACCATGATGATCGGCTTTTGAATGGTTTGCACAGATAGCAGATACGTCGATTAAACGTTCAAAAGCTGAGCTGCGACCTGCAGCGGTGTAATGAGAAATCCGCGACCGGGTTGATGTGCGCGGGGAGAGGGGGGGGGGCAGATTTGATATCCGCAACCGGTGAGGGGCAAGGAAGACGGGAGGGAAAAGCAAGAAGAGGTCAAGGGAGAAAAGCCATGTTTATGAAGGCGAACAGAACAAGTGGAGGAGGGGGGAGGTGGCCCGAGTGACGATCGACCAGACTGAGGGTCAGCTTGTTTTAATTAGGAGGCGCGCGAACAGATGGCAGACAGATTCCAGAGTCAGAAAGACGACTTGGTGGACATGAATCGGACTGCTAAGACTAGACTATCAGCTTAACTCCCCTTCGTCCGGCGCGCGGTAGACGTGGGTCCCCAATCGGCGCGGGGAAAGCAGCAGATGGAGCCCCAGCCAGCCATTGAGCGGCGGAGAAATGGAAACATTGAGATCCAGAGTCGGTCCTCGGAGTTAGAATGAACGATCAATTACTCCGTAATTCACTTTGGTAATAATGCCGTGGTGATATTGGTGGTGGGCTAGACTCGAAGCACCAGTGGAGAGGCAAGGCAACCGGTGCATTCCATTCCATGCGAGCGAGATGATGGAGTGGCGTTGAGGGTCAGCCATTGTTCAGCAGTTGGCTTACCTACTTACTCACCCACCCATGACCTCGACCACTGCCTGTAGGACTGCCTACCGTTAATTGTCCTTGGACCGGAGCTGTATGCTTTATTATGTATGAGTGTGGTGGTGCCGAATTATTGGGTCCCTGAAGAAGCTTACTCATCACTACTGCTTGTTCGACTGTAACTACTTTCCGACAACAGCACCAGTCCTTCACTGAATTCCCCACGCAAAAATCGAACTTTCGTTCGGGATAGAGGCCCGTGCGGACGAATTTGGTGAATTAGAGGCTGGAAAACAGATGGTGATATTTCGAGCCTTGATCGCACTGATTAAGGCAGCCGGGAAGTATGGGTCGGAACGACAATCTGTAGTAGAGTCTACTTGGATCTATGACTATATCTATATGCTAATAGGTATAACGAAAACCAGCCTGGAATGATAATCGAAGATGTAAGTTTATGATCGTATCAACTGCATCAGGCAAAAATACCATATTTTGAAGAACCTTCCCTTTCTTCTGCTGTCGATTGAGCGAGTAGAAAGATAGCGTAAAGAGACCCACTAAAATGATCATGAGGACATGGGACCTAAGGGCACAGCGGAATAGATGTGTTAGTGTTTGCTTGTTAGCTAGCAACAAGACTCGACATACCCAATGGACACCCATACAGCGGTTTGATAGCGCGGTGCTTCCTGCTGCCGCACAATATAACTGCCTGCCACACCACCCAAGCCATTACCCGCCGACACTGCTGCCGCAGTGGTGGCGCGATTCCATTGCCCAACGACGTTGTTGGCCATGAATGCGTTCAAAGCTGCCCAGTTCGACACATATGCCCCGGTAGCGAGAAAGGTTCCAATGTATCGAACAGTGACCTGCGTGGAGGAAGGCAAACCAAACATAAGGAACCCAGCTATGAGGCAGAGAGCGTTGAATGTAATGAGGGGTGCACGGATGCGATAAGTGTCTCCCACAAACGATGTAAAAATAACTGGGATGACCGACCAATAGTAGGGCTACCGAGATGGTTAGGAGCGAATTACAAGCACAATATCTGGGAGCCTCTATTTGACCGGCAAAACTACGAAGGCAGGAGTGACGTACCGGCGTTGAGAGCAAGATAGAATCATTGCTCGAAAAGCCCATACCTGATTGAAGGATCATAGGCAGAAAATAGTTCAGGGCCGTAGAGACAATATTCAACAGGAAAAACAGGCATGCGAACCCGTACAATTTCGGGTCGGCGAAAGGAGCCAGAACCTTGCTCCACGAAAAAGCGTCCGGCACTATGTCGTCACGATCAGCTCGAATACGCTGCGCGGCCACACGTGCCTCTGCCTCAGTCAGGAAATGGAAGCTGCGATGAGCATTCTCTGGGAAGTCAACCATCCACCAATAAGTGAGAATTCCAATGACGCAACTGATCAGGCCCTGGATAAGGTACATCCAGCGCCAGCCTTGCAAGCCTGCTTTCCCGTTCAGCAGATTTAGACCGTAGTTCACAATATACCCTGTCGCGAGCCCGACCACTTCACCCGACTGAAGAACAGCAAATCGAAGCTGCTGCTCCCGTCGTGGGTACCAGGTACTGATGAGATAGGTCAGACCCGGGTAAATACCCGACATCGCCATCCCCAGTAACACCCGCAGGGCAATCATCTGTCGCCAAGTGTGAATAAAGGCAGTACACAACGTTATGAGGCCAAATGTGAAGGTGATGGCGGCGAACCAAACCCGGGGACCCACCCAACGGACTGCGATGGTGGACGGTAATTGACAGACGACGCTAGCGATGGTGAAGATGAAGATTGAGACAGAGTTTCGTGTGCCATGGAGATTCAAGTCGCTGGGCATGCTGGTGACGGATGCAGATGACAGGATGCCCGAGTCGAGTAGATTGAGACTGCAGAGGATCCCAGCAATACTGCAAAGACGTACGTCCGTCTTCCATCGGATTTTCTCCTCCAGCACTTTCAATTCTTCAGGGTCCTGCTCTGTGAGGTAGAACGCATCGCGCTGAGTAGGCTTTTCATTCAGCGGTAAATTTGAGTCATCGCGCCTTTCAATCACCGCGCCATCGGCCTGTTTCGAGATCATGGTATCGCTGGGCACCTGATCGAACACGCAGCAATAGGAAGTGTTAAACTTGATTCCAAGAGCAATTGGGAATGGACAATGGAGTGCAGCGACATGATCGAGAGCGGGGAGATTTGAAGAAACTAATGGAATACGGTATGGTGGCGGCGATGCATCCGCTTATCTATTGCTGGGTATCGCCGATGGCTCCTCTTTTCCTTGCATATCTTAGCAATCAATCACTGTCCAGGTACTGATTCTTGGCTCATGGGGCCCCTGTTTAGCCTACTCGCGTAATTCAGCCGAACCCCGAGGGGCCAGGCTGGTTGAGCTGGGCGACACCCCTTGGTCGCACATGGTGCAGATACTTGTAGCTCTTTAGGCTTAACCAAAGCCGAGGGTCAAGATTGTGACTAACAATGGCGGAATAAGGGCTGGAGAAGAGGTGATCTGTAGATTTTGTCTGTCGGAAAGATCCCGTTTCGGATACTGCCCGGTAGTACCTACTCGTACTACTCGTGCGTGGATCGAAGAGTCAAGGACGAATCAATTAGAAATGGAGTAGTCAGTTGGGCTTGCTTGATAATTGAAGCCTGGTCACTATGATTTGCAATGGAACTGCTGGTTTAAGTCAAAAGAATCTGAATCATTGGAAGGGTGTAAGAGCTTGCCTGCTTTGGAGCTTAGCGCCATTCCCACATAATCAATTCGATCACTGTCGCCTTAACTGCAACATAACAACCTCTTTAATCCAGATGGGAGCAAACATGATATATCACGCTATTAATCATCTCAAGCTACTGATGAGGTGTCATAAGCGATGAGCCATAACCGCTCGAACCATGGCACCAAGCACACCTTAACCAACCCTGGCGGATAATGTCAAGATTAATGCTTAATGTGAGAAAGTTTTTTCAGATCGCATTGGATCAAACTCCGAGCTCCCATCAAACTTGTAGCTTGAAGCAGACCTCGAACAGACTGATGTGTTGATTTTACCAGATGCACAGCTCTACTGCACCCTGTTAAAGGATGCAAGGAAACTATGTGCTTCGACTAGAATGCGAATTGGAGTCTCCATTAGACATGCCGAAGTTTTTGTTATTAACGATTTTTTGGCTATTCCATGCCTTCCTCACTCGGGTATTGCTTGATCCTCTTTCTTGATTTGAGCCTAGACCATCAGCCTGGCTCCTACGGCTATCCGACGACTGCCATCGACATTTATATCTAATCTATGTGGAAACCACGCTGTATCCTCGCATCGCTCGGGTTTTCGCGGGTCCTTTAAAGTCTCAGCAGCTGTCGCTGGGTTGCAGCTCAAATCCTAATCCCTCGAATGTGGTCTAAAGCAATGAAACCTTTTATGCCCTGCGTTGTGTGCTGGAAGCCACTCTTTGAATGTTTTAGTCCGTCATTTGTACAGTTCTATTGTGAGGAAAATGTATAGATCCGTGGCAGTTGAGCGGCATCAATGATTATAGATCACATCCAGCTTACATCTCGAATGTAGTATCTCGTTCACCATATCAGGCACTCCCACGTCACCACTAATAAGCGTTAGAATAATGCTGCTACAAATGACACATATAGCATCAATGCTCGCCCGTAATGGGTTCCAGCGCAATTGTGTCCGAAGGCTGAGTTGACACCGCGGAAGCTAGCCTAGGATGACTTTCGAGAGCCGACGGGTTCGACCAAGTTTCGTGGTCTTGGCTGTCCCTAATTCGGGCAAATCCATCCTCACTTTGGCCATGGCAGGGCTGCTTGTGTGCCGGCTATGAGCACTGCTGCCAGCGGAGGCCTTGCTGAAGAGTCGCCCGGGCAAAATCCGAACAATTAAAGGCCATGTTGGTGGCAGACATGCGGCTATAATGATGAGGGCTCCTTCAAGAGTAGTCCAAATTCCGAGGTTGATCGATGCCCCTCAATATGAGCAATAGAGTCAATATAGACAGATGGCAAATAGTTCGTTCGGGAAACTTACACGTAGGATCAGCTGTGGCGCTGTCTTGGAAAAAATATGCCATACGCAAAATGCTAGCCACCGTTCCCCTTTATCCTGTCAGTGGGCGACGTATTTACAGTATGTATGCCGCGCGGGTGTGGACACTCACAATCCTCCCAAGAGGAAAACGCCCGTCAATGCCAGCTTGTGACCCCGGTTAACATGAAGTTTCCAAACATATGGCAGTGGCATCACCAGAATGAGAACGTCGGTCAGAATATTAGGTGGTGAAACGTAACGGTAAAAGGCTTCTTGATTAAACATGAGCCGTCCTCGATGGTCTTGTCCCATATATATGCGATTGGCGAGCATTGGAAGATGGCCGCGAACAGAATTCCAATGCCGTGGCCGACGACAAATGCTCCGACGATGTAGGCAGCGACTCTGAAGTTACGAGTGCTAAAGATGCGGACGTAGAAGACAAGAATGGAAACCTTGGCAGGGGTCACGACGAAAGGGAAATCTATGATCTCGTTGACGTATAGACCCTATACATTTAGCGATCAGCCACCACTCTCTTGCTCCGGTATACTCCAATCAACACCTTTTCTAGGGCAATCAGCTTCTCTGGGGTTTGCTCAATGTAGCTCATGTGATAACCGACACCTGCGACTTCGACCACTACGGTAGAGATCAGCATTGGTCGTTTGTGAGGAGGAAGATTGAGGCTGTGACGTACAAACCACGTACAATGCCGATTGTCCTAAGCTAGCAACCTGTGATATAGCTTTTAGCAAGCAAAGTACATACAGTCGGCTTGTCATCTTACCAATGCGATGACAATTAGAAAATCATCAAGTGCATATGCGATTCGCTGGGTGTGTCGGGTATAGAAGCGAGCTACTACCGAGACGATCTGAATGATTGCCACAGCAATAGCTACGCCCAACAGGGAGCCACCATTGTAGGGCACATTCGACGAATCCGAACGCTGGTACATTGTCTCTTTCCCTTCGTCGCTTAAGGTCATCTCCCCCCTCTAGACCTACATCAGAGGGGTGGAAATGCGTTCATATAGACGCAACCGAGTGCATGTATAGAGAAGAACAGCAGCTCAACTAGTTAGGTCGCATTCGCCTCAAGTCAGCAGGAGGAATTGGGACGGTATTCTTTGCCAGGACTAGCATGATATTGGATAGTCGATTGAGCATCCATGATGTTCTTCAAAATGTCGCAGAGCCATTACATAATTTCGAGATCAGAAGCGGGAGTCACTCGTTGAACCATGGAAGGCCTTCAACCAAGATTCTGGTTTCCCGCTGTCAATTTCCGCCAATCCCATCATGACAACGCCGTTTGCCGCATAGCGGTCCCTAGGTAAACCTTGAGATATGAAGCCTTTCCTAACTGTTCTTCCAGGAATGTGTTTTCAGCCACGTGAGCCTGGGGTCCACCTCGGATGTATCTCTGACCTTCAGCTGCCGACTGCCTTGACTGACTGAAGCAACTCTTCTTGTCATCTTCATCTTGGCTTTGGCAGTAGAGAATTGTCGGGTCTCGTCTCTGGCTTTTTCCTGCGGGACTTCGACTAGATCTTTCTTGATAACATAATATCCGACGGCGTGCCCCTGGCCACGAAAATCCCGGCTGCCACAAGTAGCTCCGACTCAATCAGAGATATCCCCAATAAAGCCACCCATCTCAGAGTCATCCCGGCGGCTCATGGACCATCAGCAGCCTTGAGCCCACCGGTAGAGACGATTATCCAGAACGTCGCTTTGGTGAGCTGTTCAGACTAGCCATCTCTCGACTAAATATAAACGTACCACAACGTGTCAGGACTCAGTTCTGCTACTTGCACTCTGCATGGGAGTCCAACCCAATAAATTTGCGGCTGTTAGAGATGGCCAAGGTCACGGATCGATTACCCGACACATTGCTAACATAGCCGGTACGATCATTACTCGTGGTAGGGCTATCTGGAGAGCATGGCTACTGGCAGCGACTTTCATCCTTCATCGTCTGTCATTATGAAAAAGAGACAAGCCATCTCGAATGCTCTCCTCCTTGACTCCAGAAAGGATGTGTTCAGGGCTCTCTTTTGGGCATACGTTAAGAACACATGACTCACTATATCAGATAATGAGACTGCTTTTAGCGTCTGGGTACGTTTTAGATGCAGGCATTCAGACCTCTACTGGCCCCCACCAGTCACAAAGCTCATGGTAGACCCTACTTTTGAGGACTCAATAAGAGCTGGGTAAGCTCACTTTTCTATATCATACTTGTATTGTTGGCTAAGTGGGCTGCTAGCTTTGACATTGATAATGCCTGCACCAGCAAAGCCCCTCCTCCCCCCCCCCCAGCAGTCATTCCGGGCTAACAGTTCCCCGCCTCCTCCAGGAGCACACCTTTCCATTTAGCCATGAGCATTAGGCGGCGCCGTTTCCAGTGGCTTGATTCCGACCCTAACTTGACGAGAGTCTTGCAGCAATGTATGACCTCGAAGCAGCAAGCCACGCCAGATTGGGTGCACTGGTTTGAAGTAAAAGACTCTGTCATGAACGAGTTCGTCAATGATTCAAACAATGATGTCGTTTTGGTACATGCTGGGGGTGGCAAGGGGTACTATCTGCATTCATTCAATAACAAATTTTCCCTGCCTTCCTGGCCGTTTAGTATTGTAGGGCTTGCCACAAGTTATCTCCAACATGGAGATTTTCCCAGACGAGACGCAACTCATGCGCCATGATCTTTTCACTCCGCAACCAGTGAAGGCTGAGCATCCTTCCCCGCCGAGGTTGCACGCGAGTTATATGCAGAAATCCAAAAGATTACTGATCTTGCATGGCGCTTCTATAAGGACTCGTACATACTAAATGCACTGGATCCTGCACAACTGGCCAGACAAGCAGGTTCAAATTATCCACTTGTGCAATTCGTATGTCTTGGAGCCAGGTTATTCTCGTCGCGTCATCAATGAAACCATTGTTTCTGACAGATATTGTGGCTTCTCCACCGCCTGTACGAGCATCATGACGATGGATCAAGTCGGATATTTCGAGCGACCCGAACAAAATGGCGTGGTCTACTGAACAATGTCAGTTCGAAGAATATTGTTCTTCATGACCACTGGCAGTGGTGAAGGTATAAATGTTAAGTCATAAAGCATATGATAGGGACATATCATGACAGCCAACGATATCCGGTCACATTGTGACTGTAAACTGCTGTTTGTAGGTTGTTGACTCCAGGTATTTGTTTTAAGTCTCTGGTACTAGCTTTCTTCACAAGTCACTGTTCGTACCTATTTTGGCCACGTATCGCAATTCGCCGGTCAGCTTCACCACCCGAGAACCCTCAGTGGCAGGATCATTACCACTCAGATCCAATGATACTTGGAACCCGCCGAACGCAATGGGTTATCGCTTGAATTGCAAGGTTTCTGCTTGCCCGTGAAGCACTTACATAGCTACTGGCTTCATTCACGGACCCTATTAAACTCATAGAGCCTAGCTTGGTCTGCATTGATTGGACCTATGAGTATTTCATATGAATATCCGTCCTTTTCAAGGATCAGGTGACAACGCAAGAGTTTACTCGTGGATGGGCGGTCGGTGTATGCCGAAACACTGATTATACTTTGATCCACTACAGTAGACTAAACACTTCCATCACTACCTATCGCTTGACCATACAGGTCTACAATTTTGATGACCAATCTCAAATACCATGTTCCATCGATGAGCAACTGGAACCTTACTTTACATTACACAAAGTGGCAGTGAAGCACCATGGAAGCAATAATGGAAGGCCGAACTTTAAGCCTCTACTTGCTTCGATTCGGGGATTGCTCACGTCATACGGCGTTTGCGTTGTGTATGCCGTGAATATGACGATACTCTCTGCCTGTTGCCATACTGAACAGTTCAAATATAGCTTATGGAGCCGGAGTAAGGGTCATCGCGCTTCTTCGAAATCTCGAGAATCTCTTAACATGCAGGTAGGCAAACTGAGGACCGGTCAATCAGTGATTTTACAACTTATGCCTCAACTGATCTAGCTGTTTCCATCCTTCTCACATGCCCCCGAGGTCAAATGCCCAACCCTCCAATGATCGAGGGCCACAAATCAATGCGATCATCACCACTTTAGCCATTCTTCCAACAGTTGCAGTTGCCCTCCGATTTTGGTCGAGAGCTTTTGTTGCCGAAGTCTCCTCGACCGAAGTCTCCTCGACCGAATTCCATCACTAGGATCTGGTGGGATGACTGGACTGCCCTTGCTGCTGCGGTTCACCTTAGGTTCCCATCAATTTGATCAAGGCTAACTGAGCACAGTTACTCAATATCGTTGTCTGTGATATCGGCCTGAGAATGGTTCAACTTGGGCTGGGGAAGCACGTTCAAAGGGTATCCTCGGCGGACCTTGTCGAATTTCTGAAATTATTATGGATCGTATATTTCTTCATTGTGGCCGGTACATCGACAGCACGAGCATCCGCCTTGTTCTTCTACGGACGGGTCCTCATTCAAGGTTCCTCTAACTTCCGGTATGCACTATGGGCAGTGCATGGGTTGAATACCGCATGGTATATCAGCAATACGCTCGTGATCACCTTCATATGTTCTCCGATCCAGAAGAGCTGGAATCCAGATCTACCGGGAACTTGTATAAATACAAAGGTCCTATGGCTTGGCTGCGGAACGCCAACTCTTATCATCGACGTCCTTATCTTACTCCTGCCAGTGCCCATGCTTTGGAGATTGCACATGAAGCTCGTACGCAAGCTTCTCCTAGTTGGGGTCTTCTTATGTGGATACCTGTAAGTGGAATCCATGGAGCCATATTTTCTATTTACTTACTATCTAGTGTAATTGTGGTCTCGATTGGGCGTCTTATTTCAACCATCCAAGTCACCCCGCACCTAGCGAAAGATCCAACGTGTAAGTTTCTCCACCCCTATGTGGCAAGAGAAAGACCCACTCACTAACACTTACGGAGTAGACGACGCTGTCAATCCTTCGATTTGGGTCAATCTAGAGACTCCGATATCAATCATCAGCATCTGTCTCCCAAGTATTTATTTCTTGGTCTGGCACGCTTATGAAGGAGGCATTCATTCGTTGTTTTCGAGGGCTTCGAGCCCCTGACTCGTCAACCATGGCAATCATTTCATGGCCAAACTTCGAGGCTGAGAGGAGAAAATATTCCTGAAGATGCATGGAAAATCTTCCACAGGCTATGACTGGGTTGGACGGTATGCTGTGTACCAGCTCGTATCCAGTGTCATGGCGGTGCACTTCAGACTCGTATGTCAACACAGCCCAGCCCTTAAAATATGCTCGATCACTCGTGCTTCTGGCTAGTCAATCACGCTCGTGTCAAAGCAATAAGGTGCGTCAAACCCATACCGGCGCATCTTTTCTGATGAGAAGCACAAACAGATATTGCAAATCAATGACCACAGCACAAGCTTGATGATATCATATGAATGCTTGATGCTTACGAGAAAAGCTCCCCGAAGCACATCTGGCAGCGCGGGAACTTTACTATATTAGGTAAGGTTCCCATGTCCCACATGGGTATTATTGTTTCTTATGCCTTATGGTTATACACATAGCTTGTGACAAGTATAAGTAGGGTTTCTCTGAGCCCAGGATCTCAGAGCGATACAGAGGCCAATTTAATGCATAATCATTTGCTCTTCTCACATGAGACTGGGATAAAGTGCTCATAGCTCAAAGACTGGATCAGTTCTAATTGCAACTGCGTCATTCTTTTGTACTATAATGTACTATAAGAGGCCATTGGGACAGCTATCATTTAGACGATACTTGATATTCTCATCTCAACCGCCTTCTATGCATAGTAAAATTGCCATAGAAGCGCTATAGCTTGAACGGCAAACAACGAAGATCAAGCGCATAGTAGAGTGTCATAATGATACGTAGAAGTTGGCCCAGTCTACAGCATCTATATATAGAGGAACCAATTGCAGACTTCATCTAATAGCCATCTCTATTCCTTTCTCTTATTCCTCCTACCCGCATCAGTTACATGGTTATAAGCAAATGCTTGCATTCAAAGCCGAGCGCTTCTCCTCCAAAAGTACGGTCCAGTGAACCCCACGAAACCACAGACAGTAGAATAAGTAGTGCTGCGTTACTCAGCTAGCAGGAATCCAGGACCATACTAATCAAGGGATCTCAAATCCGATAACTCCATTCACTCGCTCTATATAAGTAACTCCTACTTCACGTCGACGAGACCCTTTTTCAACCATCACTCTATTACCTTCTACGCTACTCCCGATACAAAGCAGCCAACATGCTAACACCATACACCACCCATACAACCACCGCCGAGCTTTTGACCGACGGCAAACCCCCCACCCCCACCCCACCAGACAAAGACACCTCACGACGGGCATCTCCCCGAGCTCGCTAGGCGGCTTCTTCGTGCACTCCGTGCCCCAAGCCCAGCCAGCCAGTCGCCCAGCCACCAAAATCCGCTCCCTACAAATCGACCTCGGCTACCTACAGAGCGTCCGCGCCGCCGCAGCCCAGCTCAATGGCTAGGAGGACTTCCCTGCCATCGGCTGAGCCTGTGGCTATTATCTCTTTGTTTCGAGCAGTCTCTGGAAGGAAGAGCTGACAACCTGGAATTCCTCTTCTAGGAGGGCAGGATCTATGATCGGTGGGGTGCCTAGAGGCAGAGCAAAACGGCGAATATGTTGTTTGCGATCGCGCTGGCGCAGAAACTGGGGGTGAAGTATAATCTACAGGCGTTCAGTCTGCATTCGGGGTGTATCTCTACGAAACTGGACCGGCATGTGGATTGGAGTTTGGAGATGAAAGAGTGTATGTTCGGCTGTGTTGTCCGATTTGCTGACCCCTTTGGGGAGCGTGAAGACGTGGTTGAGAGCCTGGAACTAATTGATGGGATTGCGCAGACTGTGTGGGTCGGTCACTCGGGAATCGAGAGGGTTGGGGGTATGGATTCGGCGCGGAACCTTTGCAGAAGAGGCGCTGCGACTCACGTCTATGCGGCGTTTGATCCGAGCTTGAAGGGTAGAAGGTACTCGGGCCATGCGCAACGGTCGCTGTCAATGGGGTGTATCTGATTGACTGCCATGTGGCCAACCCTTTGGTCGATACACTCAAGCCGTGGGCAACCAGCAGCTTCAAGGCCGAGAGGCTATGGAGACTGAGCGAGAAGCTGCCAGGTCGGCCAAGGATTCCCTTATCGAGGAAATCGGGCTGTAAAGGGCTAAAAACACAATCAATCTCATACATGCAATGGCCACCTAATATACACTCTAGAATGCTGCTTCTCTGTTCGCCTGCCCTAAATATGCATAGATACATCAACAAGGTGCCCGTGGGGTATATGATAAGCTGAATCAAGGCGCCGCTCGAAATTTTGGTACATCTTGAGGAGAAGAAGATTAAATCATGGCAGTATGTCTTTACAGACCGATGGGTGGATGCTCAGTGTAAGCGGTGAAGGGGGGTGAAGTTCTTCCAACCGAGGTGTTGCTGACCCGAAGCCTGAAAATCAATTCGGCCATGGAGTGAGCACAAGCTCAGTTCAAGCGATCCTTCTGTTCCCACTGCCCAACGAGCTTTTTCATTCCTGTCCATTCCTCTGCGCGTACATCTTCCGGAGTGCCGCTGAGCCCCTTGCCGACTTCGAATACTGTTACCACCCCGTCAAGGCCGCCAGTAGCTATGCGTCTACCCTCACGCTCCTCCCAGGCGACCTTGTTGAGACTCCTCGTAAGAATGCCTCCACGGCCCCTGGAGGGCGTCGTTTTCACCGCTGGAACTTCCGTGTCTGTATAGAGATCCCAAACCTCGAGGTTGCCAGCACCATCAACGAGAGAGAAGACTCCAGGGCGGTGAGGAGACCACTTTGCATCGTACACAACATCTTCGCGATTGATTTCAAGGATTGGAGACACGACTTGGGTCTTCGCTATGGCCGAGGCGGCCGGGGCAGTCGTTGCTGGCGGCCGGACACGCCAGAGTTTCACGCTCCAATCCAGACTAGAGCTGAGCAACAGATCACCCAGATCAACCGGGCCCCGTGCGGGGTGGAATGCAGTAGACATGATCGGTGCAGCATGGCCACGATACGCCAGACGATGGTCGGTACCAGCCTTAGCTCCCGCTCGATCATAACGGTGGCACGGATATATGCCTCCTTCTTCGGTCCCGACAATAAAGAATGTCGGGTCGGATTGAGGAAATGACATGGTCGTGGGTGCAAGATCTTCGGTTTTAGATGGGGGCGGTGTAGAAAGCTCCAAATACTCCTGGGGCTGAGAGAGCATATCGACAGTCCATCCACAGACAACGCCGTCTGTCGATGCTGTGAGGATGTTGTGAGCATTTTGGGTGCCAATGATCGAAATGCTGTAAACAGGGTGGGTATGTCCAGAGCCGGTCAGGGGCGTCTTCTGCACTGGCGCACCTCCACCTGCTCGCGATGACCGGGTGTCCCAGAGCAGGACCTGGCCTGAATATGAACCACCAACTATCAAATTGGGGTGGAATGGAGAGAATTTTGCGGCCAAGATATCGGAGGTTGAATGGAAAACATACTCTGGCCGAGAGTGCAGGTGTTGGTTCCAGATTTGGACGAGGCCGTCGGGTTCATGAGGCGCAGAGGGGTTCTTGGTATAAGCGGCCAGGACCAGTTCCGGAAACTGTACCAGTTATCAGTCTTGCGATGGATCCGCATCGGAGCGCGCGACAGACCTTTGGAGAGAAGCTCAGATCGCTAATCATACGTTTCTTGCTCCATCGTTCATCCCAGAATTGGCAGACTTCCCGAATGCCTCGTCTTTTCTTGCCATGCTCATCATCATCGTCCAGCTCGCCATCGACTCCTCCGAGCTCGTAGTCTGCCAAAACATCATACTCCTCATCCAGTGCCCGCTCAATCACTTTTGCCGACCGTTCAACAAAGTCCAAGAAGTCGTCCGACGAGGTCACGGCCTTCAATTCATCATCATCCAGTGTGCGCAGCGGATACCGTAATTTTGCTGTCTCGGCTTCAATCTGGGATTTCTGTTGTTGAGCTTTCTGTAGTTCCTCCTCAATTTCCTTGCGAAGCTTGTTCAGAATCTCCTCGTCAAGCTCGCTGGCTTTCTTGCCAGAGCGTTTCGTGCCATCTTCATCGTCAGAGTCTCCAGAAGTTCCATTGGGGCCTTTCAGGTCATCGGTTTGCACTGCTTTGCTGTAGGTGACAACCTCGGGTTTGGGCTCAGGGGCTGGTTGGGGTTCGGAGGCGGCGACAAAGAGCTCCGTTCCAACAGTTTGGACGGCAATTGAGTGAGAGACGGTTCGCGCAGGAGGACTAAAAGCCTCGGTGTTATCCCCGCTCAACTGGCTGGCGCTGAGCACGGAATTTGGTCGACTGCCTTTGCGCGATAGACCGTCAGTACCTTGGCCGATAGAAGCCGACCCGGGACGGTCAACAAGACGGGAGATGAAATCGTCGAGCTCAGCTCTGCTGTCTGCACGACTCGGGACGGGCGATACGACCTAGGTAGATGAAAGAGACTAAGACTTCCAGCTCTCATAAGGGGCAAAGATATTTCGCGATGTAGGATAAAGCTCCCTTACCTCAGAGGCATCACCACTATTAGCGCGAACCTGGGAGAACTCCCTCTGGCGCAGTTCTCTTTGGCGCTTGAGTTCGGCGAGTTTGGCTTTCTTAGCAAGGATTTCAGCCTTGCGCTGTTGTACTGCCGAGGACATGATGTGAGATAAAATATGCAGCTGGCAGATCGGAACGGAATCGTTCCGTTCAGACCACGTTCTGACACAGAATGTGGTGGATTTGTTGTGATCGTTTCTTTTATTTACTCCGGAAAATGGGGGTGGTTAAGTAAGGTAAGTAAGTAACGTAATCGTCAACCGAGCGAGCCACGCAAGCGAGCGAGCCACCCAAACCGCCCAAATGCCTCACCAAATGCCTCCCCAACATGAATTCTGATTTGTATACAAAAATATGGTGTTTTGAAGCCTTAATTACACTGTTTTAAATATCTTTTCACCCAGTTCCTCGATTAGGACATCTTGTATGTATATGGCCCAGAACACCGCAGTTACTACACCGGGGAGGTGCCTGACGGCGAGGCTGCTGACTCTTTATATAGATTGCTTTATTCTTCTTTCTCTCATGTTGGAATACTTCTCTTGCTTTATTAACGGTGAGGCTATTTAG